GCCAGCATTAAGCCAATACATTAGCGATGCAGTTGTAGAGCGCACAGACATTGCTAGCCGGTCTCTGCAGGAACAGTGGAACCACCTTGTCCTCGCTCCATTGTCGAAGCTTGACGAGAGCGACTACCCAGTGCCAGCCCCGCTGGTTCTGGTTGTAGACGCGCTCGATGAATGCAACAGGGACAGGGACATCCGGCCCATCTTGCGACTGCTGTCCACGGCTCGATCGCTGACGAGAGTTCGGCTGCGGGTGCTGCTGACAAGCAGGCCTGAACTGCCGATCCGACAGGCGTTCCAGCACATACCGGAAGCAACGCCCCAGGACGTTGTGCTGCAGCACATATCGCGGTCGATCGTCGACCACGATATAGCCCTTCTCCTACAACACGACCTCCAGCTTACTGGACATAAACTCAATCTCCCTGCTGGCTGGCCAGGTGCGGAGATCATCGCGCAGCTGGTGCAGAGCGCAGGCGGCCTGTTCATCTGGGCCGCCACTGCGTGTCGCTTTATCCGCGATGGAGAGCGCTTTGCACCTAAGAGGTTGGAGAAGATTCTGCGCAACGAAGGTGAAGTTACTACCGGTCCAGAGAAGCTCCTCAACCAGATCTACACCACAGTGCTAGAGAGCTCGATCCAGATCTATGGGTACACAATTCCAGAACAGGAGGAACGACTGATAAACATCCGTTGTGTTCTGGGAAGTATAGTAGCGCTATGCTCTCCTCTCTCTCTGCAGTCTCTAAATCAGCTACTAGACGTCGCAGGAGGGGTTAGACGGACGCTACAAGACCTACATGCCATTCTCGACATCACGGATGATGATCGAAGCCGGCCAATCTCCTTGCATCACCCTTCGCTCCGCAACTTCCTGTTTGACCAAAACAAATGCGGCAACATGTTCTACGTAGATGAGAAGATCGCCCACGAGAAGCTGGCGGGTTGCTGCATCAAGGTCATGTCGACGTCTACAAGCCTTCGACAGAATATGTGCCGTCTCTCTGAGCCTGTCACTCTAGGATGCGTGATAGGAGAGGACATACTGGCTGTTAACCTGCCATCCGAGGTGCGATATGCGTGCCGGTACTGGGTCGAGCACCTCGAGCGCAGCCAGCAGAATGTCATAGATGGAGACACAGTACATGTCTTCCTTCAGCAACATTTTCTACACTGGGTCGAAGCAATGAGTAAAATGGGAGAGACGGCTCAGTGCGTGCGCTTGCTGGTCGTACTACAGAGGCTAGTCGCAGTAAGGGGTACTGAACACAATCTATATTCATTTACTGACATAGAATGTAGCCATATGCAAGCGCTTCTAGTAGTTTTGTGCATGAAGCATGGCAATTCGTATCGCAATCTGAATCGACACTAGCAGAAACACCTCCCATGGTATACGCGCTACATCTTGGTTTTGAATTTGAACGAGAGGAAAAGCTATTGGAAACGGCGTCTACCCTTCAGGAGCAGGATAGTGTCGGCGGAAGCCAGTCCGAAACGCTTGTGCATGAAGGAAATATGCTGAACCATGAGAAAGACGACATGTCAGATGACGATGATCCTCTTGAAACTAGCTCAGTCAGTTCACACATTACGACAGCACGTGAGAAAGATGCAAAGGCCCACGTCGCATATGTGCTCGCAAATGATACGGAACTCCGTGCATTGTGCATCAGGGTAGTGAAAGAGCTGGGCAAAGCTGAGTTTGCTAATGAGGGGCGAAAGCTGCTCAAAAGCTTTTACTGTGGCTTGCTCAAGGATGCTAAGACCCAACTGGAAAAGCAAAGCGTTAGTCTACTAAAGTCTCGGAAGGGAAGGATAAGGATAAGCAGCAATATTGCAGAGATCATAGATTCACCTGATGTCGAACACAGCGAAGTGGGAAGGAGAGCTGAGGAGCAAATTCGCATGCGAAGAAAGCGACTAGAGATATGGGCGGAAGATTACACGCACACATCCCACGCCGATGGAGACTCACATGAGTGGGACACAGTGCAACATCGGCTTGTGGAAAGGTTGTACGGACAACCTGAGGATTTCGAGTACGCGGATTCCGGAACTAGTCATAGTGGCGATTCAGACGAGGGGTTCGACTTGGAGGGCGAGACGAAGGAAAACTTCTTGACAAAAGTCACTGAGATGGAAAACTTCTTTCGCAACTCCAGGTCGTTCGAGGTTTTACTTGATGGGTTTCGGGAGCTGCTTCTTCCACAATTACTGAGAGACATCCTGCCTGCAACTTCCGTGGAGATCTCAAATGAGGAGGATAAGTCGATTAGCAACCAGATGAAATCGTTCGTTGAAGACTTCACGATGCTAGATTGGAATTGGTGGCCTTTGACACCCCGTATGAGAGCGCTCAAAGCTAACGAAAAACGTCTTATCTGGAAATGCGTGAGTAGACCTTATGCAGAGTGACCAGCAAGCTGACTATATGTAGTCGTGCGGCACCAGACTCTGGAAAGAGATAAGCGCCAAAGAGGCAGACGTTATCAGTCTCTTACTGCCAAGTCTGGAGACAGGATCGCTCATGCCTCAATGCACCAAATTCTCGGCAAATCTACCCTTGTGGAGACGACTGGCTGACGACATCAAAGACTCCTTCTCGATGTTGACTGGTGGACAACAAGGGACTTCGCCAACGGCATTGGGTTCAACGACGACTACAACTACAACAACAGGTGTGCAGGCTACCACAACTGGTCAAACGAGTGTCAACCCACAGACTCCTGCCCAAATTCCGCAATCCGTTCCAGCTAGCCAACAACTTACCTCAGTTTCCGGCTCTGGTAGTCCACCTTCGCTAAGGTGGATTATCTTCGGTACCCAACCGTACAACAAGACTGCAGAGCTAGAACATATTGAAATCGACGATTTTACCAACGACAGCCGCTTCTTTCGATCTTTAAGAGACCATTATCGGAAGCATCGTGGTCTAATCAGCCGGTGGTTCTCTATTTGGCGCATTGGAGCTTGTGACGGTGTGAGAGTACGAGTCCGATCAACGAGTTGGACTCTATGATGTTGCTGACAAAAGACACTAGTTCGACAGAGTGGCTTCCGATCTCGTTTTCTTGGAGAATCCAGAGCTGCCTACCGATTTTCACGAATATATCTACAACCCGAAAGCGCCTCCAAAGGGTAATGCGGAAAACCCTCTTATAAGCCGCCACAAAGCTTCGATGTTCATGAACTGCAATGACCCATGCCGTTGGAGACTTTTCCACAATTGCGTACCACATCTCATCAACAGGAGAGTTATTGACCGCGTTCCAAGGAAGAAATCCAAGTTCGCAATTAAGGACGACAATTCAATGGAGCACCAAGCATGGGGTATAACAGTTAAACACGAGATCTCTGTGGCTTACGTGGTGTGCTATCATGTTCTTATCCTGGCACTTCCATTTGCCTTTTGGGGTTGGTGGCAACATAACCATCCAGATGATCTGCAGAATGCTGCAGTGCCCATTACTGTTGTTGCAGGGCTGTTATCCCTTTTTTGGGGCGCGAATGGCATACTAACAGAAGGCCGACACTCAGGGTCAAAGACTGGTTGATTTTGTTTTTGTGTAATATCCGACTGAACACCCAGCTACTGATAATTCGGATGATGGACCAAATGTGCGATATTAGTTTGAAATTCTTCTTAAAGCTATTCACTTGGGCGACTGAACAACAGCAAGATGGTGCGCATTAATGATCAGACACCAAAAACGTGATGGATGCTGCAGAGATTAGTTCCAGAAGTCGCGTAGCTGCTAAAGCTCACTTTTATAAGTAAGCACGCACTCAAGTTGGTCTTCTACACCTTGAAGTCCCAAATCACCGTCCACGATAACACAAGTCGCGCGAAACAGCTGCGAGATCGATAACGATAGATCTCGTGGTGCCGTTCGTGATAAATAGCGCGACGCTCTTCCCGTACCATGGACCTACCTCACGGTCTGCGATCAAGACACGCACTCTTAGTTCCCTTCTTCCCACGGAGAAACCCAGTAAATCTTAAGCTCCATCACCAGATATTCTTAAAAACTTTGTCATCAGCGGACGCAGTAGTCTGACCAGAGTGCCCTACACGGAAGTGCAGCACGCGTTCCGATCGGAAGAAGTCGGCATTTCGGAAAGAAAAGCGAAGAACCATCTGACGTTGATGGTGTGACTTTTAGTCACTGGATACAACGGCACCAACTACTGCAACATCGTTATGTGGCTTGAGGCGAAGAGGAAATCCCGGGACGCATAACTGCGAGGAGAAGGTTTGCAGGTCTCCGGCAACAATGTAGATGCTTGAGAGGTTTTCAAAAAATACATCGCGACTTCATCTCGCCGAAAGTAGCAGGTGATCCCGCGACATGACCTCCCTCCCGTCGCATGCAAGTAAAAAAGACGACGTCTAGATGTTCGAGTGCCCATATATTGCGTTCGGAGTCTAGTCCTATACCAGCCTCTACCCACTTCATACATTCGTACCTGAACATCCTCACGCAACCATTCCTGCAGCGGAAAAAGTGGCGGAACCAGCGAAGCCCGGAAAACCGCATCAATCACACGTGGGCCATACGTAATACATGTCATCTCTTACAGCTGCTTTGATCTGGGCAGGCGTAGTTTCCGTCACGCTTTCACGAGGGTGCTGTGGACCCTTCCGAGTTTTAGGTAAGAAACCCTGCTTGCTCAAAAGGCAAGAATGGTGTATCACCGCGGAGATGCACATTTCAGCGGGTCTTGTAGGAAACAAGAGAATGGTGTGTTTGCAGGTGTGTTCGCAATGGTGATGCGATATAAAGAGAAGCTTGGAATGTGAAGATGTGGCAATTCAATATTTAATATCAGTTTTCATTATTACTTCAATAGTGGTAATAGTAAAATCCGTACACTCCATCTCCGGACATATCAACCACAACAATAACCGCAACCAACACCTCTCTCGACAGCAAAACTCATCTTCCATCCACGGAGGACAGCAGAAAACAATACTACTCCAACTACTCGATCCCGCAAGAATGGGCGCCCTAACCCCCTCCCAAGTCCGCACGATCAAAGCCACGGTTCCCGTCCTCGCCGAACACGGCAACACAATCACAACCAGGTTCTACCACGACCTCCTAGAAGTGCACCCAGAGCTTAAGAATGTCTTCAACAACACCCACCAAGCAACCGGACACCAGGCCCAAGCGCTCGCCGGCGCTCTTTACGCCTACGCTGCCAACATCGATGATCTAGGCAAGCTCTCACCAGCCGTCGAACTGATATGTCACAAACACGCATCCTTGTTCATTCGCCCAGACCAGTACGACGTTGTCGGCAAACATCTACTCGAGACGATGAGCACAGTGTTGGGTGAAGCCGCGACACCCGAAATTCTAGAAGCATGGGGAGCGGCGTACTGGCAACTAGCCAACCTGATGATTGGCAAAGAAGATGAAATGTATAAACAGACGGCCTACTGGCCTGACTGGAAAGACTTTTCTATTGCTAAGAAAGAAAAGGAGAGTGATGAGATTACAAGTTTCTATCTCGAGCCAGTGGACAAGGAGTTCAAGTTACCGATGTACAAGCCGGGACAGTACATCTCAGTCAATGTATTCGTGGAAGAGCTAGATGGTGGCGTGTGGCAGGCGCGACAGTATAGTCTGAGCGACGCGCCGGGCAAGAAGTATTTGAGGATAAGTGTCAAGAGAGAGCCAGGGATTGAGGTGGGAGAGAAGAAACACATGACGCATGCGGGTTATATATCGAATCTGCTGCATGACATGAAGAACGAGGGGGATGTAATCAAGGTCTCGCACCCATTCGGAGATTTCTTCTTCGACAAGGACGAGGTGGATGCGGATGCACCTGTCGTGCTCATTTCAGCAGGCGTCGGTTTGACTGCCTTGACATCCATCTTCAACTCGCTGACGAGCGAGAAGTCGAATCGCCCGATAACCTGGATTCAAGGCGCACGTAACTCGGCCACACGCGCGTTCAAAGCCCACTTCGACCAATGCGCTGCTGCAAATGAGAACGTGCATGCCGTGTACTACTCGTCAAGTCCAAGCGAAGGGGAAGTTCAGGGTCGCGACTACACCATACAAGGTCGCGTCGATCTAGACAAGATTGACAGGCAACACCTGCATGCGGACAGTGGCAAGACAGTGTACTACTGTTGTGGACCCACACGATTCATGCTCGACGTTGAGGCCAAGTTGAAGAGCTATGGCGTGCCGAGTGAACGGGTGAAGATGGAGTTGTTCGGTACCGGCGGAGTACCGAGGGTCTAGAGGCATTAGAGTATTGGGTGTATATGGAGATCGACCTTAGTATTGGCGTGGAATGAAGCTACCGTCCTTTTTTTTTGCTTTACATCGGGGCAGCCGGTTGGTGATTCATCATGTACTGTATCTGTAAACTGTATATTAGTTATCATATCAAATTCCCGCTGCGTTAGTTCATCCAACTCGATTTGCCTCATCCGCGCGCTTGTTATCGACGGTGTTGTCTGTGCAGCGGCGGCGTACCAACCACTAACTCGGGATGTACACAACAAACGCGCATACCTCAGGACGCCATTTGCAACGTTCCCACACAAACGTGCAGCGGAACGACGAGCTTTGATTGTAGATCATCCTACCGCGGCTGTCAACGGGTACGGTCAGGTACTAGGACATTGACCATTTCCGAAGTCCCGGTCGTAACAGCAGGTCATGTCAGGCCAGGCCAGAGGTCGCACACTTGCTTCACGGTACTTGGGTAAACGCAGGGCAATGTCCTCGGGATCATGCAGAGAACCCTCTCTCCCTTACCCACTGAACTTGATCACCGAGCATAAGGGGTGCATGAGGCTCACCTGCCAGCAGAGCAGGGCCGGTAGGATCGTATGACACGGTAGGGCCGAATTCTGAACGTTGTCCGTAGTATATTCATGCCGCTGGACGCGCATCGGAAGTGTACGCGCTCCCGCCTCGCTCTGATTCGTCGAGACGACGTAAAGAAGGCGTTGTGGGGGAGAATTCTGGATGGCTGGCAGGCTGGCGGGTAGAAAGCAGGCGCCAACTGAGATGACGGCATGCAGTCATTCAAGCAAAGTCATCTCGGCGGCTCGTGTCCGGAGCCCTCACCGGCGAAAGGGGTAATTTTCTGGAAAAGACAGGGTGTGGGCGAGTGAGGGTGTGCGCAGAGTGACCAATCCGGTCGACTTCTAGAAATTGCACAGAAGGGCGCTTGGATGGTGTGTGAGCCTTAGACACAGGGTTGCGACAGGTCATCCTTGCGCCGGAACGTTGGTCAAAGGAGCTGGGGCCGCAACCGCCGGCTGGCCAGTTGCGATGACACAAAGCGCAAGGAAATATGAGGCGCCCTGTGCGTCTCGGAGACAAGAATAGCTCCCAGGAATCCATGTCGGCGGTGGAGGATGAAACAGTTACGGCAGCTCTGCCGTAGTTGGCACAGTACATGTTGTGTGCGCGTGACGATGTAACGATAATTCAATAAGAAATAAGATTTGGCTTGTGCTGTCGATCGCAGATGGATTATGAACGGCTACGGGGAGTAGGGTGCGGTGTGGAAATAATTATGCTTTTGTGATGTGCAACGGAAAAACCGTGCACAGCACGTTTCGAAGATGCTCGTGTCAGTCATGGAAACGCGACGAGGCTGGGAGTGGGTCCGGCAAATATGGACGTATTCTTTGGTGGGACGCGCAAGCACAGACGGATCTGGCGGAAGTATACCGAAAGAGCGCCAGGCTGCAAAGAGTTGTCGATATGCGGGACCCCTTCACCGCAACAAAGCCAGGAGAAAGGTGCAAATGTCGGTGTCGGTGGGCGAGGGCTTGGCTAGAACTGGAGTGAGTAAGAGAGTACCTGACTTGTACCTGACTTGGCCGAACAAAGACGTGCTAAGGGGGGATGCGCTTGCCGGGAAGAGCAGAGCAGGGAGACACGGCGTATCGCAGAGGATGCAAATATTTCGATTGCAGTATTTCGATTGCAAATGCACTCGTTCCTCAGAACTCAGAACTGAGAACTCATGCAGGTCTACAACGTTAACATGCGGCCTCGTGGTGGCGGTGTACACGACGCAGACCTGCCGTTCGCGAGCCCTGGACGATTGACTCGGCGGCGCTCAGGGGGCGTCGGCGGGTGTCTCGCAAGGCAGAGGGGCGTCTCCAACCTCCACAAAATAAACGAGCGTCGGCCAATAGGAAATGTCACTGCAATGGCAATGCGTTGGTTATTCAAGTGTTATGCTTCTTCTCGCTGTCTCAAACCCAGCCTGTGCCGGGGCCGGTAGGTGGCTCGCTGTCTTGTCGCCTGCTGCACGCTCTAAGCAAGTGTTATGCACCGTGCCTTCCCTCCTTCTAGCGGCCTTCTATGTGCCTTCCATTTTTGGCCCATGCTCCCTAATCCTGGCTTGCACCAGGAACAGCGGAATGGCTGTTGGTGCTGCAGCCCGACGCGTGTGTGTTTATGTGGTGGGGAGACAGGGAGACGTTAGGGGACGAGACAGATCGACATCGCGATCGCGATTGCGATGACTCACGAATTCCACTGTACATGTCGCGGTGTCGCTGTTGCAACGGGAAATAGAACTCAATCGCCGTTGAAGTTGGATGAAGAGTACACTACCGTCGGCTTGTGGATCCTCATCTGTGCACAAAAGCGCCACATACGCCTCAAACAAGGCCGCAAGACTGCCCCAGCTCCTTGACAGCTAGCAGCGGCATGCTAACAGTAAAAGTCATGGTGAAGCTGTAGTGTCGCGAGCGCGAGATGAACGCAAGGATAGGGTCGCTCCACAGTTGGCTGCGTCGCGATGCATTGATCGTGTGTATTTGAACGTGCCCTGCTCCATGCCATGAGAAGGATGCTTGAGCGTTCCCTTTAACACGCACCACATCTCCAGATCACAGACTGCGACTGCGACGGCCAAAGCACAACGACCAATCAGCGCAAGGTACGGTAGTGAGACACAGTCAGCGAAGCAAGACTGACTCTGATGCAGCCACGATTCACCTTTTCTTTTGCCGGCGGTAGGAAGGAACACGATCGACCAGCGCCCCCATCTTAATACACCAAAAAGTTGCCTACCATATTGTTGGGCGGAAGCAATCTAATCAGCAACCCGGCCCAAAGTGTAGAGGACCGTCAACGTCACCATCGATTGTTGACAGTCATTGGGCTCTCGTAATTCTCTGCGCATCCTATCCAAGAGACGGCTCTCAGCCCCATTTCTTCAGCTACCACCCGGCGGACTATCCGGCTACCTCAGTTTCGCTTCTTCATTCTTCTGCATAGGCGACAGTATAACTTTTGGTGCCAGTGTCAGTGTGGTGGACACTCAGACGCTTGGACTCGCACGCATCTGCCTGCACCACGCACATCGTGGTCCCTTTTTGTCAACTAGCCCTGGAAGGATCCGCCCAAGGCCGAATCCAGACTAGCGTCATTTGGACTTTCTGGGCAACTACGCGCAACGAGTAAAGAAGTACCTGCAGACTCTCCAACACCACGCTCTCCATCACCGCCATCCCCTGCCCTGCCCTCTCTTCCGTCTATATCTATCTCAGGTACGTACTCCCGCTTTGCACGATTCCCTTTCGCCCCGTGCAGCCCGCGCATTCCCGCTGCAGGTCTTTCTCACCGCTCCACTCCCCTTTTCCACTCTTCAGACGTGGCCAGCGTGACTGCCAGACCGTCAATTTTTTGGCGCGCCGCTCTTTCACCTTTTACCTGCACTTTGCAACATCACGTTCGCTCAACCTTCAACTGACATCGCGACACAGTGCATCCGCTGCATTGACCTACGCGCGGCCCCCCTCGACGACGACTCGACGTGCCAACACGACGCCTCCAACATCACCACTGCGTCTTTGCCCGACGCCTGCTGATTCCATCATCACCACAGCCTCTCAGCCTCATTTGGTGCGCACCATCCCGTCTTTTGCGTCTCAAGCCTGTTGGTGCCCTTGCCTCACAGTCGCCGTCTGTCGCGAAACACGCTCCTGAGCGAGACACGCTGCAAATGGAGCTCGACACTATCCTGAACCAGAGATTAACAGCTTCACTAGGAAACGGAGCGCTCAACATGCAGCACGCAATGCAGCCCCAACATTTCGGCGCGCCGCCCTCGTACCTCAATGGCGGCCACATCAAGTCGGAGAACGGCTCGGAACGTGGCGTGTCGCCTCACCCGTCAGACTCTTCGCGCTACTCGTCGCAACAACCGCAGCAGCAGCTTCCCTCGTACCCATCCATCCCCCAACAGCACATGAACGGCTTGCGATACCCATCGCCTTCGCAAATGCAGGCGCCCATGCCCATGCTCAACAACAGCAATTACATTCCAAACCCCCCAGACCACGCGTACGCCCAGCAGCAACAGCAGATGGCGGATGCCCAGGTACAACACCAACACAACGGTGGGCGCCCCGCATCGGACACGGGTCCACCTAAGGCCTTCGCGTGCTCGACATGTGGTAAAGGCTTCGCGCGACGCAGTGACCTCGCACGTCATGGTAAGAAGCTTGGGCCGCAACACCAAAAGCAAAGCACTGACTGAGACATGCAGAACGTATCCACAGCGGTATCCGCCCTCACGTGTGCGACTACCCCAACTGCGGCAAGCAGTTCATCCAGCGCTCGGCTTTGACTGTGCACCAACGTGTCCACACCGGCGAGAAGCCTCACATGTGCGAGCGATGTGGAAAGGTATGTTCGGGCCCTTGTATTCTGCCTTCGTAACTAACATCGATTAGCCTTTTAGCGACTCAAGTTCGCTGGCCCGCCATCGCCGTATCCATTCTGGCAAGCGGCCATACAAGTGCCCGTACGCCGACTGCCAGAAGACTTTTACGCGCCGCACTACCTTGACCCGTCACCAGAACCACCACACTGGTACTGTTGAGGAGGCGGCTGCTGCTACTGCTGCGGCGCTCGCATCCCGTGCTTCTGCCTCGAGCAGAACCGGTCGTTCCGATGGTGGTGACTACTCCGAGACGGCGTCACCACTCGGCACGCCCTCGCCCAACGACCGTACACTCTCCCTTTCTCCGGCAAACGGAATGCCTGCTGGTGGTATGCCTGGTCTGCATCGTCAGGGCTCCGACTACGCCTACATGGGCGGTATGAACGTCCCTCCACACATGCGTCATGAGATGCCCCAGCCCAGCCCACGTGCCTCACCCGCACTCACAGCCCAGTCGTATGCTTCCAACAGCTCTCGTCCGGCCATCACATCACACCCCAACGCCTACGGCCCACCGCCGATTCTTGAGCCCCCCACAACCGCAAACCACAACCAGTCTGGAGGCACCACAAGCGCCAACGGAAGCCCTCACATGTCTGCCATGGGCTGGCAATCACCCGGCCAGCAAGCTCTTCCTTCTCCTGGCGCACAAGACAACGGCTACGTCTATCCTGAGCCGCAATACCAGGCACAAAACGGCATGTACTACCAACACAACAACATCCGCCGGCCCAACAGCACCGAACCAGACCACTACAACCCCAACCAACGGGAGATGGGTAACGGAATGTGGGCTCCCGCCGTTCAATAGGCGTGAGCTGACGTGGTGCTAAAAAATCACATTCGATGTAATGCTTGAGCCTTCTCGCGTCATGGTTGTCGTTTTCCTGTAAAACTAATACGTGTGCGAGTCTTTAACACTGGTGTTTTCTCGGCAGGCAGGACTTATACCCCTGTGTCTATCAAAATTTTCCTGTCTCTTTTTGGTTCATCAAGTCCTTCTCCTCATCTCGAAGCTGGGGTTTATTTCGGTGGCGGGGTTTCCCTGGGTTTCTTTTCTCTCTATCGCTGAGAGACAAGGCGTTGTGGCGTGCCTCTCATACTACACATGCTAGACTTGGCAAAGGGCGTCCTGGGGCTTATATGTGTCGGTCTGTGTGTGTGGTTTCCCTTTTTTTCCGTCATCGTTAGACTGGTCGTTTTAATGAAGGATTTATTTCCGACACAAGCTCTTTAGACTACATCAACTAGTATATTTCTGCGCGAGCGGAAGCCCAAATAAAAATTCAAAGCTGTAAAATTAATCATCCAAGGACTGGCGAATGTGCATTATGTGGTTCATCAACTAAAGACTGGCGAGTGTGGATTATGTGATGGTGTTGGCTGCCCTAGATTCGCTCATCGGGCTCAGCGCATTGAGCATTACCCATTACACCCAAGATCGCTGCCCAGGCGACAAGAGAGGCCTCGTCAGCTCAGTCGCAACCTGTCCGTGTAATTGTCGCCACCAAGCGCGTGTACATATCGCAATGTCAGGTCCTTGAGCGTGAAGCAATGCCCTGAAGCAATTCTCTATCGAGTTGGTCGTATCCGTATCCAACTTGCTCGTGCCAGGTACTGACGTCGGCGCTTGGACCCTCGATTCGGTCGCTCGGCCTGAGGTGGTCATCAGCGCACCAGCCTCGCATTACGTCTATCCACGTCTCTCCTGCATGTCCATTTTCCCCCAGCTTGCCACAACTCACGCTGCCACATTACCCCAATCTCACCATCGCTGGGCATTCACGAGGACCGCAACTCGTCGCGCAGTTGATTGCTTGCGCCCGTTCCCATAAGTGGCACGTCATCCGCCCAACGCTACCGTATACCTCAGCCACTCTCTGGCGACCTTCCCTCCCGACAGCTCCGACCCTGCGACATCGCAAAACCTGAGACGGAAAATATACGGCCAAGATGAGTAAAATCGCGAGATCGGTCAAGAACGTCACCAAGGGGTACAGTCAGGTCGAGGTCAAGGTTCGCAATGGTATGGAGTGTCCATGGAGCTGCACATAGGGCGTAGCTGACAATCGCAGCAACCAGCAACGACCCATGGGGACCTGTAGGGTCTGACATGGCTGAGATCGCCCAGATCACCTTCAATAGGTACGACGGCTGCATCTCCGCGCCGAGCTATGCTAATTGCTACCCAGCTCGACCGATTTCTACCAGGTCATGGACATGCTCGACAAGCGCCTCAACGACCGAGGAAAGAACTGGCGTCACGTTCTGAAGTCGCTGAAAGTGCTCGACTACTGTCTACACGAGGGCTCGGAGCTCGTCGTGACGTGGGCGCGCAAGAACATCTACATCATCAAGACATTGCGCGAGTTCCAGCACACGGACGAGGACGGTCGCGATGTAGGCCAAAACGGTAAGCGCGCCTGACGTTGCGAAAGGGCACGTTACTAAGACGACTGCAGTGCGAATGGCCGCTAAAGAGCTGACTTCCCTCATCCTCGACGAAGAGCGACTGCGCGCCGAGCGAGCCGACCGGAAATCATGGAAGTCGCGGGTAACAGGCATCGAAGAGTACCCCGGTGGAGGTCACCACGGTCCAGACGGCGGAGAGCGATCGGCGCGCCCGCGAAACGGTGAACAGCGCCGCAACCGTAGGACCGAGGAGGAAGACCTTGAGCTCAGGCTAGCGCTCGAGGCAAGCAAGAACGAGGCAGAGGAGGAGAAGAAGCGTCGCGAACGCGGAAACAGGGCCGAGGAAACCGACGACGACCTGGAAAAGGCCATCAAGCTGAGCAAGGAGGAGGAGGAGCTGCGCCGGAAGGAACTTGAGCAGACCAACGCAGACCTGCTATTCGGCGAGACCACTGCGCAACCAAACACTTACCAGCCTACGGGTAACAACCAGGGATATCAGCAGCAGGGTCAAGTAGACTGGTTCGGTAACCTCATGGACCAGAGCCAGCAGCAACCTCAGAACACTGGTTTCCTCAATAATGCGTACGCTCAGCCTACCGGTATGCAGCCTCAGCAGACGGGCTTCCAGAACGGCTACGGCGGCTACGGCGGCTTCCAACAGCAACAGCCTACAGGCTTCGATCAGTTTGGCGCCCAGCAGCAGCAGCAATACTTGCAGCCTCAGCACACTATTCAGCCACAGCAAACCTCCTTCAATAACAACCCCTACGGTCAATTTGGCGGCTTCGGCGACATGAACCAGCAGCAAATGCAACAACCGCAACAAGAGCAGTCACTCCAGCCCGGCAGCCACAACCCATGGGCAAGCAACAACACCCAAGAGGCCCTCAAACCTCAGCCCACAGGCTCCAACAACCCCTTCGCCCAATCGTTCAACAAACCCCAGCAGCCAACTACATCATTTTCACAACCCAGCCTGAACACGCTGAGCGAACAGAAGACGCAAACCCAGTTCAACAACACTCCCTCGTTCAACCCCCCAGTATCTTTCCAGCCACAACAGACAGCTCAGCCACCTCAGCAACAGCAGCAGATACCCCAGCCCCCACAAAAAGAGATGGATCCTAACGCTGCGCGACTTAACGCGCTTCTCGCGACAGGTGAAGGCCAAGATACGTTTGGCAACGTGGGCAACATGCGCATCCCAGCCCAACACACTGCGCCCGGTACTTTTGTCAACTCGGCTGGGTCTGGCTTGAACCGGGTCAATGCGAATGCTACGGGTAACAATCCGTTTTTGAACAGCCAGTTTACCGGCATGCCGCAGCAGAATCGGATGATGCCTGCGGCAACTGGACCCGCGAATGGCTTTGGTATGGGCGGTGGTTCTAATCCTTATGGGAGCGCTAATCCATTCGGTGCGCAGCCTGGGCAACAGCAGCAGCAGGGCCGCCAAACTGGTGCTAACAATCTCATTGATTTATGAGGGGATTGAGAATCAGAGATGGTGAGGGGAGAGAGAGAGAGAGAGAGGTGTAAAGGCGAGGCAGAGAGGAGAAGCCTGGTGGAAGCTTTCATCCCCCAAGTGCTTTGAGGGCTTGGTCCAAGTCTTCTTCTCGAATGGTTCTATAGTCTTTTCTACAAATTGCTGGGGATATTACAGCAAGGAACGTGGATGCTTAAAGCTAGAAAGGAAGGAAATGCGTGAGTTCTATTTTGATTCCCTTTTATTTTTCTATACATTATTGTTTCTCCTTTTCACCCCCCTTTCGACACCACAACACGGTCTGCGTACACATGCAGTGGATGAGTGCTGTGAGCAACGATGTACTGGTGGCCAGTGGCTGGCTCGTGGGCTAAGTGTAGATAATAGTCTGATGTGACAAAGTCTTCAACCCATGTTTGTCACATGGAGACTATAATCGTTGGTATCTTTCTTTGACTTGCACTGCTCTTTTCTTACCATGATTGTAGGAATATAGAGAGTTATGGTGTGAACGCATTCCACCTTGAACATTTGTTCACCATGGATTTCCGACTCTACTGTAACAAGTAGGACACGTGAGATGTGATTCATGCGCGCTGACGTTTTTGCTCGCTCGCGGTCCCGACACCTTGTACGCGCTATTGCCAAACCCCGCAGTCACCCACTCCTCCGCGTCCCCCCGAACCCACCTGCACTCTTGTCGTGTCCGGAACCGTTTTGGCGCACCCATGATTGCGTGCTGCATTGGCTTAGTTGCCATTGGAGGTGTTGACTGATGGTGCCTGTTAGTTTTTTGCTATCATATTTGAGCGCACCAGCACCAGCATAGGATCGTTTGTCTGCACTTGACGCGCAGACGCACACGCTACCGCGGAACGCTATCACGACGCTATCGCTTGGCGACTTCAACGCGTCACAGCTTGTCAGCCATCTTCCGACGTGTGATCTGGACATATACAACTTCTCTGTATTATCGCTATCTTTCTGATGACTTCGTCTTCCTCAGGAGCAAACACAGGTCCCGAATCCACCATGAACACCCGAAAGCGTACCGTGCAACCATGGGAAGACAGAGCGCGATCCCCGACGCCTAAGAAACTCCGCACCCGCTCTCCATGCTCATCCAATGTCTCTGCCAGCCCACCCCAAGACGCTCCTGCGCCTGCCGCGCAAACCTGCAGTGGCCTCCTCACACCAGAAGCCAGCACATTGACCGAATCGCACTTCCCCTTCATGAAGCTCCCCGCCGAACTCCGCATCCACATCTACCACATGGCCCTCGTGCGCGAAGATCCCCTTCTGCTGCACGCCGACCGCGCGCCCGAGAAACCCGATGAAGACAACAACAATTTCACTGCCTACGTCGGCACGCGCGGCCAGCAGCAGCAGCAGTCCACCTACGTGCCCGGCCGCGAACCACCCGGCCACGCTTTCCACCGGCCGCGGGCAGCATCTGGTCCGGAGCGCGTACCGCTCTCTGATCCCATTGTGCCTGAGATTCTACGGCTGAACAAGACGATATATCGGGAGGCGCGGCAGGTGCTGTACAGCGACAATGTCTTCACGCTCAGTCTGACAAGCGGCATCCACACGCTGAGCACGCTGCACCAGCGCAGCAGGAGCCTGATCAAACACGTTGTTCTCACCATACCCTCGCACCACGATATCCTCGACGGCTTTGCCGATCTCGTGCGCCTTGGCTTGCGGTATTGCTGGGGGTTGAAAACGTTTAGGATCATACTGCTGGCTAGTCTGCCGGATGATGGGAGGGTGACCGGCGCGACGAGTGTGTATGCGAATGCGTTTCATATCCTGAGGTGGTTGCCAAGGGGTTGTAATGTCGGGCTCGAGGGCAATGTTAGTGAGACGGTTAAAAGGGTGGTTGCTGAGGAGGGGAGACTGCAGAATGTGCTTGATGAGGCGTCATATCTGAAGAGGCAGCATCAGATGCCTGAGAGGCACTAGGCGTGAGTAGAGAGATGTTCATACGATGGGCGGGGGATTGTGATTGCCTATCTGGAGCACAGCACGTATTGATATGATGAGAGGTTGCTTCTGCCAGCTTGAAGCGCATTGCCTTGCTGAGCGTAGCTTGAATCTTTGGATGGCGGTGTTGATGATATGATCAAGAGTGACTTTGGCCTACTCAAGAGCAAGTGTTGCCTTATCTTGTGTATACATCAGCAAGAAACCTCTAACTTGCGTAGGCTCCTTTTGCTTGGGCACGTATCATTTTTTTCGATTTGCTACCATATTATCTAGGCTCTCGAGAGGGGTTGCGCTGCATAATAGCCTAGCAAATGCCATCAAACCATGTGACTACAGAAGCGCGAGTCGTCAGCATAACGTCAGTTGTATAGACCGACTACGCCTTCCCAGTATGCTTCTTGTCCAGCACGTGGCGAGTGTAACTCTCGCTTCATAGGGCTGTCCTAGCGAGGTCAACGTGACGTGAGAAGTTTGGAATCAGGTAATCCATCGACCGCAATCTCGACACAGCCGACGCCACACCCCCATGTGTTGCAACGTCTTGACAAGCTACGAATAATGCACAACTCGCCTCATTCCGTTCCGACGTCGAAATGGCGGCGTGAGATTTTCCTCGTTTCGCAACTGCTTATGCAGCACCTAGCTCCTACCACTACTGGCTAGTGGCTTACGAAGTACCATCTCAGCTCAACATTTGTCGTGGGCTGCCAAGTTATTATACGAAAATGAGAGAGGACTGGTCGATGCCAAATATGGGCACCAGCTACTACGCGCGTTTACTCGTTGTTGCGCCTCTTCAGACGCACTTTGTCAACACTGCCGGCCAAGGCGAGATTCATGCTGATGAGCGGACCATGAAAGCCGCGGTGCGGTCAAAACTGCTCCGCCTGCCCGTGACCGTTTTTTTCCCACAAACAACTCAGCTCGGATCGTGTTTCCGCGATGATTCAGCTATTGGGATGAGGGGGGAGGTGGAAGTGTCTTGTCTCCCGACTGCTCCGCCCGCTCTTGTCTATCAAGGCTTCAGCTCGCATCACGATTTCAAGATGATTCACGCGTTTCAGTCTCCTACCCTAGCTATTAGTACGCTGGATACAGAAACAAGTATCCTTGGGCAGAGGAACAAGCGGCATGTGTCGCACAACGTTGCAGACAGGCATGACTAAATCTCCAAAAGAAATATCCCATGGCTTTGGAATCTTCGACAATCACATCGCCATGCTGTGCGGCGAATTTTAAGGTTAAGGCTGGCGGTAGAATGACCAAGTTGTGCGTTGCTCGCCTCCGCCACCCATTGGGTGCCGTTGCTATTCTTGTAGTGTTTACTCAGCACTGCCCAGGAAAAGCTGCGGCAGTAGAAGCCGTTTCCCTGCGTTTATCAGATCAACGTCAACGTAAGGTAAAGACCAAGCTTTGTTAACTGCTTGGATGTAACCCTGCCAGTTTACATTTACGGACTGATCGGCGGCTCAAAAGCAAGCCTTTGCCAACGCCTTTGGGACACTATCGAATTCCACAGCTCTGGTTACCCTGACGCACTTTCTGACGCCATGGACTCCCCTTCCAACAACTTATTGCCACAATCTCTCTCAATACCAAGTGGACGGCCGAAGCGAGCGGCAGTGAGCGAGGAACCCGGCCAGAAACCTAAGAAACCTAAGAAACCCAATAGCGAGATACGGAAGCAACAAAATAGGATAGCTTCACGCAACTATCGTATGTTAGTCTACTAGCCGTCACTGATGGCGGAGACAACTAACAAGCATGATGTAGGAGAGAAGCGCAAACGCAAGCTTCAATACCTCCAACAGTTGGTCAACAATGATTCAGACAGCCATCAGGACCCAGAACCTTCGCCAGAACAACACAAGATATATCCGCGCTCCCTATCTGCAGACTGCCAGATCGCAGGCCCAAGTTCGTCACCCTATACAGTGCCGTCCGATCGTGCTCTACATGCGAACAGCGCAGTCGTAACACAGGCTATACTGGCTGCTACTGTCGCGTCTTTCGATACGAACCATGTCCCAGCCGAGCAAGCATATTCTCCTTATCAACCTAGCTGGAACGCGTCCGTTTACTCTCCACCTCCACCAGCGAACATACCCTGGAATATGCCGCCAGCGTGGATGGAGAGCCTCGCGTATCCTCCCCAAGCTACCATCACTCGACCACCCATGTACAGATACAACGATCATCCAGCACATTCGACATTCCAGCAAGTGCATACAACACCCGCACCCTCACATTTCCCCAGCGAACCTCTCCCGAGCCCGAATTTGTATGGCTACAGCGCGGATTACACATATCACAGCCAGACATCTAGCAATCTCAACGTGAGTCTGCCTACCTCGCATTCGCCTTATTATCAGGGGTATCATCATCATCATCCTGCCCCGCATTGAGGTTCGAAATCCTCTCTTTCCCAAGCCTTCCTATTCGGAAGATTCGGCTGTGAATAGCGAGGCGCATAAGCTGACATGAACCACAACTAGCATGACGTGTTTGGACACGATGGCTCGCTCTTTGAGCAGCCAGTTTTCATCTGAAACGTTCTTGTAAGGGTGTTTCTCGGTGCGCACTGCATCTAAGCTACCTTTGTCAAGAAAGCAGTTGCCAGGACAAGAGACGACGCTCAGCAACAGTTGTTTTGACTGTGCTCAGCTGCGCAAATCCTCGCCTAGACCAAAAGGAATTAATACTAAGGAAAAGACAAACAGTTTGCAAGCTCGACTGACAGGCTGGCCGCAACTCTATGATCATTCGAACGAGTATCTTACCCCAACAGGCATGTTTCTGCGTGTAGAAAGCTTACGCCAAGACTACTTGCGACGCTGGCAGTCATGACACCACATCATGATATCTGAGACCATGGCCACGCGGTCTGTTTGCCAATTTCGCGGCTATTCGGATTGGACTAAATAGACAGAGGGGTATCTTGACTGCGGTGCCCGTATTCAATGGGAAGATCAACGTTGAAGAACATTGCCGCTGACGATGAACCTTTTTGCTGTTCCGGAGAGGTTATAGAGAATGTCGTTTTGGAAAAGAGATTGTTTCTAGGTGTTTGGAGTTGCGGCTGACGACCATCAAGCGGCTGGAGGCGGACGGGGGTTTTTTCTGGATCAGGAACTGACGTGATGTCAGCTGACCGTTACCCTTCCTGCACGGTGTTGCTGAACTCTACTAAGAAGGGCCAAGGTAGTGTATCGCCTCACCGTCGTTGTTATTGTTGCGACTATTCTAGTACGCGAGAACATGTATTCATGTTGAAACATGGTTTGAATATTAGACATTAGCAGTAAAACAAAAATAGTTCTCCTTCGACAAGTCAGTCTACACATGACGTGCCCATGTGAAACAATAGCAACGGCGTCTTTCGCCATGCTTGAAAAGTATCTCCATGTGTATATCCAGAAATGACAACCGCCCGTTACCATGGTATCTCGAATCCTAAAAACGAAGAAAAAAAAAACGCCAATGCCAAGATGCAAACTACCAAACACCCCCTTCTAGATCCCGTCCCTAACCCATCACCCTTATCACATATCTAACCTAACCATCGCCCAACCCAACCGCCCGAGTCGTTTCAAACAAGCAGCCCTAATCCGGATTCAACTCCTACTTCTCCCTCAGCGCCCCTCTACTGCGACTCGGACTCAACAAGTTCGCCCTAGACGCCCCCTTCGTAACCGGCCTGTCTGCATCCGCCTCAGCAGCAGCATCAACCGACCCAACACTCGAACCCCACGCGACCCCATCCTCTTCCTCCTCCTTCGCCCTACGCTGCCGCTCCAACTGCTGCTGCTGCTGCACCTTGCTCAGCGTACTCCTCAACGCCTGATACAAGTGCTGGTTATCGCTCGAATCCAAATCGACCCAAAAGGAATAAACAGGCAAAGCCTGATGATTCCTAGCTCTAAACTGCTTGAGCAGATACTGTCTTGCGGATAACTCTGGATCCGACTCGTTCCGGACGTAGTCTGGAAAAAGCTTTTCCAGCGGCGCATAGGCCATTTTGCTAACGAAGCGCGTGAAGTTGTTTAGAATGAGGATGATGGAGGAGTGCGCGAAACCGGGTTGGTTGACCCAGGTCTCAAAGGCTTCGAATTCGTGGACGAGGATGGATTGGTTGGGCAGCTGGGGGCTGGGTTTGTTGTATAGAGATACGTCGACGGTGTAGATGACGGCGGTGGCTTCGTCGAGTTGGTGGTACCAGCGCTCGCGGAAGTGCTGGGGTACGTAGCCGCGGATGTTGAAGAGGTGCACGTCTAGTTCGTCCCAGTTGAAGCGTGCTTCGTTTATGCCGCGCATGGATTGGTTGAGGCGGATGATGTCGGCTTCGCTGGGGACGTAGTCTGCGTCGGCGATGCGGGGTGCTTCTTGCGCAAAGTAGGGTGCGTATTGTGGGAAGTCGATTTCAAAGTTTCGGACGTAGAGTTTGGAGAATTCGGGGCAGGACCAGATTGTTGTGATGGCTTTGACTGCGTCGGGGGTTATGCCTTCTTTTGCTGTGTCTAGCTCGTGGAGTAGGATGGCGAAGTCGTGGTTTAGTTCTTTGGAGAGCGTGACGCCGGTGTCTTTGAGTAGGTTTGTGATTGATTGGATGAGCGAGTGTATGACTTGGTAGACTGCGGGGCGGTATTTCAACCGTTCATCAGTCGAGTGATAGCCTTCGGTGAATAGCACTTTTAGCTGGTGCATGATGAGTTCTTTGCCGCTTTGTCCATTGCCTACGAGAACCAATTTGGTCTCATGGCGAAGGTTGGTAGCTTCTCTTTGCAAAGCGCGGTCTATTGCCTCGGAACGAGTAGCTGCTGCCATTTCCTCATTCTCCTCATCCGTAGGCGAGACAGCCCCGTGGAACTCGTTTCGCGCGAGCTTCATGTGGAACAGGAGTCTCAGCCATTGAATAAATCGTGATAGTTGTGCAAGACCAGTGATACAAGCACCATTCAAGCCTGAGGATTGGGAAAGGGTCCTGAGGTTTGCCGCATCTTCCTTTCTGATCTGGCGGCTTTTGTGGAGCAGAATCTTCCGCTGTGCTTGCGCGGTGCTGAGATGTATTAGAATCCTGGAACGGCACATGAAAAGCAAATTAGTGGCTCACCAATGACATGCCGCAAGCAACAGGTTCACGGCATCGTTCTGTCTTCGCGCCACCTGTTGCAGTCGTTCCATCGATCTGACAGCGACGCGGTATTTTAACTTTGCTGCGAAATCGACGGGACCATGATCTCGGTAACCAAGACAAACATTCAAGGCATCTACATGGCGCACCAGGATCCCACAAGAATGCGTCAGTACGTCCAAATCCGATAGAAGTTGCGGATGCAGATCGTTGACAGCATAGTTGAGCCAGTCTTGTATATTGCCGAGACTAGACTTCAGCGCTGTCAGTTGCGCGATGAGGTTGATGGACGAGCCATTGCCATCTTTCCAACGGTTGTGGATCTGTCGCAAGCCATCAATGTCTTGTCGCAGCCGGTCCCGAATGGTGCCGATGGCGCTGATCAGCGCAAACACCCTTTTCTCATCGTCCGCCATCGCGCAGTAGCGTCGCGTCGCAAAATGATTATCGAAGATCGCTCGGGCAGCGTTGGATTGACAAAGTCAAGAAGTCGTCGAAATCAACGGCCAACGCGCGCGACACCCCGCGCATTTAGCCAGAAACGGCCAGGATTAAGGTTGGCACTTGCGGATGATTGTCACAGGTGGGAACGCGAGGATTATCAGCACCAGGTCCGCGGATGTTGAGGGGTTATAGGGATGACCCGAAAGGACTACCGAGAAGATTCCGCGAGCTTGGGGCGCGATGGGGCGGTCTTGTCTTGGTCGAGTTGCACCGCGATCAGCAAGGCGGGCTGATAGCGAGATGAACCCAAGAACAGCGGCTCAGCCTCATCGTGGAAACAGAAAAACAAGCTGTCGGTCACGGTGATCTCAACGGCGCGATAGCGCGTTTCGATGCAGGGGAACGACAACGACCGAGTAGCGTGGCGGTTCCGCGTGGATGAGGCCGGCTAATTGGGGGGGCGCGTGAGCTGAGCGGCGCGGTTCGACATCAGGTACGACAACATTTCTCTCTTAGCTGCATGACAACTGTGAGTCGAGCTTACATTGTCTAGGCGTATACGAGGAAGAGTCACAGAGGGTGGCCTCGTCTTTGCTATGACTGATGACTCCCTCCAGTTGATGTGGCTAGTGCAAAAGCCCCAGGCCACCAAGCGAGAACTCTGTCGTCATCGTTTAGGACGTTCAGTTTTCCTCACCCGCAAATATGTGCCCTATAAACGCCACACAGTCACTTTGGGTTTCGAGATCTATACAACAAACATTTCAAACATCTGAATCGTCTATGCCACTTTTATAGCCTTGGAAAGACGATCATAACAAAATGGCAGTTCTCAACACGCTGCCGAACGAGATACTCTCGCTGATAACGAATCATCTTGAACGGCCACGAGACCTGCTCTACCTATCTCTAGTAAGCCGCCGGTTGAGAGAATTTGCAAAGCTCGATGGATGGAAAGCTTTGCTCAAAGGCCGCTTTGGCCTTGGTGGATTGGATCCGGACGCCTACAACGCCGTCCATGGTCTAACAACACTATGCCGAAACTGGGATCGAAGAGGCCTTATCGCAAGATACCTGGAACCAACGGAGAAGACGATGAGCATGAATACTTGGCAGGCTGAAAGGTGGAGAGGGCCGCAAGGTCAGACAATGGGGTATCAACCTAGCATCGACAGCTATGAAGAGATGTATGGGTCGTGGGGAGAACGAAGAGAAGTATTGGCATGGTCTGCTGGTACTCAGATTGTTCTACGGACTAAAGAGACGGGCGCGAATATTGAGAAGATAAGAAAACGCGAAGAGGGTCTCGATCCGGCATCTGATCAGACGTGGACGTACGACGCTTTTAAGCATCTGAATACGTGGTTCACGTATAAGATCCCGGATAGCTTTGAGGGTCGCGACGACATCACCAAGATGAAGTTGCTCCGACCGCATCAGAGAGATTTGGCGTTTGAAGAAATTGTTTTCGGAACAGCATCGGGCCAGCTTTCGTTGCTTAGTGTCAGCCCTGACCTTGCTGAAACTAAGGTGCAGCAATATGATACCAATGGGCGTGGCATCAACGATCTGTCAGTGTCATCTTCGAACTCGCCCATGCTGGCCACCGCCCTTGCGGACTCCTCACTAGCGCTCTATTCCATCGACCGCGACAACTCTTCGGATGAAGCTATTAGGCCCTCTTCAGAAGTCAAAACAACATCAGATGGTGCATCACTCGGTAGACTATGGTCGTGTGAGTTCCTGTCCTCTGACACGGTCGCCGTAGGCTGGGGACCCCACACCGAGCCCATCGAAGTCTACAACATCGGTCCCGATGGTCTCACTTCCGCACCCCTCCGTCGATTCAATGTCGCTCATGCACTCCATGCACATTCACGTCCGACTTCGATATACCCCATATTGCCAATGCCGAGTACAGCACAAGGCGCATCGGAAGCAGGCCACACTTTCCTCTCCGGCGGCTACGACGGCATCATCAGACTCCACGACATGCGTTCACCTCGCGGTTTCGAGCAGATCTTCTGGGACCCAACAAACGACTCGCCAATCTATTCCTTGGCTGCGCAGGGTCTAGAGCGTATTGTAGCAGGTGTAGCTCTCCACAGCATGATCAAAGTATTCGACGTGCGCTTCTCTGGATCTCATGCTTACCACAGCATGTCTATATCCGGGAATAAACCCAGCCCGAAAGGAAAGACAGCATCTTCGGATCCAGCGACTAATGTTATAGTCAATGAGACTAGGAAACATGTCCCAATAAAAAGCGGTGGCTGGAATCTCTACCTCAACCCCCGCATACCCCCTCCACGTACTGCATACCGCCAAGATTATTCGCGCGTGCGAGAAGATTCCCCAGTGTACAGTCTCTCTATCCCGTCATCTACATCGCAAAACCTTTACGCTGGTCTCGAAGGCGCGGTCGAAGCTCTTACTTTCCACGGCATCGCGGATGTGCATCCGGATCCAATGATGTCGCACTCCCTCATCCAACGCCACAACAAGACTGCGGTTGATGTCCGCGCATCGTACAACCCAGATGGCGGCGCGCTGAATCTGGGCATGTATGAACAAGGTACCGACGAGGGGATAGGCATGCAATTGTTGGTGCAAGATGGTGTCACGGATAGCGCCGTGCGGAGAGAACGTTGTGATACAGCGAAGGCTAAGGGATTAGATGAACGCTGGATCGATCTCAGGGATGAAGGGGAGAGATGGGCTAGGGGTGAGGTTGTGCCAAGAAGGGAGGCGACGCGTGGACCTAGGACGGGTGGTGGGCGTGGGCGTGGAAGAGGAGGCAGGGGGAGAGGGGCAGGAAGAGGGGTTTAGGATAAGGTTTAGACAACATTAGTACCACCTATTTAGACTAGAGTAATCGTGCTTGCTACCGCTGCATCATCAAACCGGGACTTCTGTAAATTCCGAACAACTCCAATCCTGAAGTACTCCCCCACCTTACTCTGACTGGGCTGTACTAAAAGCGCATCAAATTGGACCACAACATCTCGATCATCACCTCGATCGAGTTCATATTCGTATAGCCCAAAACACAGAACAGTTTCCCAGCTTATGGTGTTTTCCAGCTCTTCTGTTTTCCAAAAACTAAACCAATCGAACATAAAATGGAAGCCAGAGTCGAAGTATATATGCATTCTGCAAAAGTCTTGGTCAGGTATTTTGAGCCTTGCAATCATATCGTTTCCAGACACTGACCATCCGCTGAGACAGAGGTTTGCACCACGGACTTGACCATAAGGATTGGATGTAGCTAGTTCGATGCTGAAGCTTTCCAAAGTACATAGGGGTTCAAAATGATAGTTGCTTCGGTATGCATATTCAACAGGACCCATCACACGCGAGCTCCAGGAGAAGGTAGGACCCAGATAATTGATATTCTTCGGATCTTCCCAACGTCTTGTCAGATCATAGGTCGGATTGATATACCATCCAAGTTGATATCCGATCTCCTGTTCCCAAAGGCCTGCGATATATCTTCCTGGTTTCAGGTGTTCCACGCATGCTGCTAGGCCTGAAAACGCTGGGAGAGAATCTTCCCCATATGTGAGCTTCATCTGACTGTACTCTTGCACGATCCTCGTCCAGTGGAGTGCAAAGATCTTTGTACTCATTTCTTGGGCAGATCGCATTTCTCCAAAACTGTCGTATCCTTTGGTAGGAACGACTTTCGGTCCCCGTCGTTCCGTGCTAGCACCATCACATTCGCACTTTCTTCCAGCCTGGCATTCAAATTGGATCTCATCTGGTAGGAAGTGAATGGTCCGATGGGCCAGAAACCTTTCTTGCATACACCAACCCCGTTTGTATAATGTGTAGTTGGGCTTCCGTTTCGCATTCTCACAGGTGTGGGTGTCAATCTGTCTTGCATATACCTCTTGAAATTGCTGACCATGATGCGCGTACTGAATAAGAAATGGCTTCGGTCGTTCTTGTAAAAAGCCATCTTGGCAATCTTCTGTGGCTGTGGCTGACAAGACGACATACGCACTTGCGTAGATATCAGCCATAAGAGATGCCTCATTTGCCCAGTCTTCTTTGTCGTCTTGAATAATGCAGACACGATCAATCCAGATGTATTCCAGGCCTAGTTTTCGAGTAATATCAATAGCGTCTTGAAGAGTCTTTGGAAAGTCCCATGTCTTCAGCTCCTGGTATCGTTCGGTAACATTATCTTTCGTGGTTTCTGACTGCTTGCCCGATCCCCAACGGTAAGACAGCGCGGCGAAAACCACCGGATGTTTTGGAGAGTAGAGTCGAGCACCACCATCTTCGTGGTTGCCTAGCTTTAATAGGCGTGTGGGATTCAAGTTGCGCACTGATGAAACATGCCGATGGGACGTACAGCAGTGACTGATCCATCTCTTCATAACACTAATCGCGGCTTCCGACCCGACAGATCTATGAATGTCTTCCGCGTATCGGAAGGGCGGCTGATGCATACGCGGATCTGTTGCCAGAATCAGAAAAATTGCTGATCGTGGGCCGAGGTGGAAGACAAACCTTTGGAGTACAACTGAATATGAATACCTTTACAGTGATCTTTCGAAAGATCATCTCTGAAACAGATCTGAATATCGTTTTCGCCCCTCCTAGATTGATACGTCATGAACTTGCAATCATTCGCAAAGTGCTGCTGACATGTGCGTAGAATACCGCAAAAGTCGCAGTCTTCGCTCAGATTTTCAATGTGGAATCCAACGCCGTGGACCTGAAAATTTGGGTTGAGGTAACACGACTGGCAACTGATTTTGGCAAAGGCATATTTCCTGTCAGATAATGAACTAAGATTTCCCGCCTGTTTAGAAATATGCTTCTCGGGCCAGTTCCAATAGTGTTTCCTAGCAACGGACCTGCAAGGGGTTAGCACAAGTCATGAGACGGTTCGAAAAGACTTACAACACCTCCGAGAGGCTTCGCGAAGATACCTTCGCATCTTCCTCACCAGAAGACGACTCCGTGAATGAACCATAGCCCCAATCAGAAGTCGAGTCTGTAGATGCATCGCAGTTCTTATGAGGAGATGTCTTTGCATTTGAATCATCCTTATCGGAAGAGGTCCCTGTAGCGGTATTTTCCTCGTCGGAAGAGGTTTCAAAATTGGAATCTCCCCCATCAGAAAACGTCTTCTCTTTAGAATGTTCGTCTTCAAGAAGCATCTCTGGAGCCGAACTTCCTTCTCTAGCACAAGTGTTCGCATATGTATAGTCGTTGTCGTAAGACATTGTCGCACCTGTGAGTTCGTTTTCAGTTCACAATGAACTAGAAGTATTCAATTTATGAAGATGCTAGCCTTAGCTATTATATGGTCCCTTGATGAAGTTTGGCTGTCTTAAAGTGTGCCGTTCGTCGTCTTGCAAAGTGCGTAGGCAGGAAAGGCTGAACAAGTTCAGCTGACGATGCTGGCTGCAAACCCCGCAATGTGGCGCAGTGCAACCTATGTAGGCAACTACCCAAGCACATACTTAAACCGAATGTTGTCTCAGCTACATCAGCCTGGCCGACAGTATCTTCTGGTCCTCGTTCTTCTGCTCTATCAAGAATCCATCTACCGTACACAAATGGATAATTCCGGAAGGATTCGACAAAACTAGCCAGAATATTAAGCGAGGCCACAGACCATCCATTCGACACATCTCACTCGCTGCTATTGTCCCGACATCCTCTACGGCGTGTCCACCGGGTAATGGCTTCACAGTATGACATTTTGCCAAGGTGGCAGTATTTCACCGCTTTCCACACAAGTCGCAAAGCCGTATGTAAAGATTGCCCTCAGCGGCCATACATTTCTCTGAACGTCCCCTCTATCCCTGATAACCGTGTCGTTGTCCGTAGAGCCGTTTTCACTACGATTTCGCACGATCAGGGATGGGCTACGTTCCGCCCTGAGTTGAACGGTACATACGAAGATACGTGGACCTACTTCGAAGTGCGGGTTGTCGACAGCACAGGTCGAGATCGGATTCCACGCGAGGTTACGACTCAAAATGTCCGGGCGTCTTCAGAGCCCAAGAAACATGTCGTCTGCTGGGATTTCCGCGATGACAAGTACTGGCTACTCAGCGAAGAACACAAAGAAGCCCCTGTCTCTCATTCTGGAATCACTCCTTTGAAGTGGTTGGCTGCGCTCCAGGCTGGTGATATTATCCAGACCGTGCCCAGAGCTGAGTATCCAGCTTGGGTCAACAACATAGTTGAAGCTCGCATTGAAATCTGGATCGAGCTTTTCCCAAAGGGATCACATCCAGAAGCTGTACATGCAACGAACACCTACGAAGCATACAGGCCACTGCAGGTTGCGTCAAAGGAAATTCGTTTGGTCAACATCGAGCCAAGTAACAATCACTCAGGCTTAGATGAAGAGGAGCCGCCGCATTTGACATTGAAATATACTAATCTGGGGGAACGAAATCATGATCAGTATGAGACGCTCTCATATTGCTGGGGAGACCGTCTGAGTACAAGTCCTATCTTTTTAAAGAGCTCTGAAGAGTCTCCTCCAAGAGAAGTTCAAATTGGCACAGACTTGCGAAATGCACTCAAACGGTTGAGGCAACCCGATCAGACTCGGACATTTTGGATAGACTTACTGTGTATCAACCAACTCGACCCAGAAGAAAGGAGTCATCAAGTTGCGCTTATGGGTGAGATATACGCTTCTGCGAAATCGTTATCGGTCTGGCTGGGTGAACTAGAGGACGGCCACTCTCATACGCAAAGTGATTTGGCTGTTTGGCAGACCATTGCTACAACATGCGAAAGAAATCCGACTGAATCGCACGGTAATGCCGGACTCTGGCACGATCGAGTCTTCCTTCGGCCCTGGTTTCAGCGTGTCTGGGTAGTCCAAGAGGTGTGGAACACGTTATCATCTCGTTTGAATCAGGATGACGACAAGCATGACCCTATATCCGTTCTTTGCGGCCACTTGAAGCTGCCATGGTGGTTGGTTGTTCAGGCCAACATCTGCCTGTTTCATAACTTCCCGTCACGAAGGAATTGGTCAATGCCAGTGTTATGGACAAAGCTTATGAATGTTACCAGAGACAGGCATACTCCACAGCACGTCACAGCTGGACCCCGTCTGGACATACTTTCGATTGTGATAAAAGGCTTAGACATGAAGGCAACAGATCCGCGAGATCGCATATTTGCGCTGTTGGTATTCGGTCGGGAGACATATCGCATTGCAGAACTGGATGAACTAGTGAGGCCTAATTACGCAAAGACCGTTGAGCAAGTTTACACCGATTTCACCATATGGTGGGTCAAAGAGAATCACTCTTTGAGAATCCTTTCAGCAGTTCATACATTGCGTCACCGAACCTGGATGGACCTTTCTGATATCGCCTCGCATGGCACACACTCGAACAGCTGGCTTGGTACTCCGCGTCGGCCGTCATGGACTCTATGGACTGATGGAAATAGCCGTTGGGAGCGCGGAACACTTGCATTAGGTGAAGCAGCTGATTACAGGGCATGTGGCAACCATCAAGTCGACATGATTATTGAGAAGCGAAACGACATGAAATGGTCTATTCCTGCATTCAAAGGAGTTCAGATCAGCTCAATCGCCTCATTTGCGCCGGTGTCGATATCAGCCTCGGTCTTAGCTCGATCACGCGATATGCTCAAGGCTTACTTACAAGTCTTCGATCCCACAGGTCATCAGTTGACGTGGAATAACTCGACAGGGGCTCCTAAAGAAGCACTTGATGTCTCCTGGGCTGAGTTGCTCGATGAGTACTTACGTCCACATGTAAAGATACATTTGGAAGAGAACTTACAGCATTCAGTTATGCTACCATGCATACAGAGTTGCGTATTCAGAACAAACAGCGGAGAGAAAGGGTTATGCCCGGCACCGGCACGCAGAGGTGATCGAGTGGTGATATTGTATGGAGGGGCAGTGCCATTTCTACTTAGGCCGACAGATTCCCCAAGTTTTTATACATTTGTAGGAGAATGTTACCTTGAAGGTTTCATGAAAGGCGAGGCATTTGCTTCAGAAGACCATGCCTTCGAAGAGGATGTTTTCAGACTAGTCTGAGGGGACTAATCTGATTCTATACGCTGGCCAGCCTAGGCGACCTGGCATCGACATACAAGAATCAAGGCCAATGGAAGGAGGCGGATGAGCTCGAGCTGCAAGTTACGGAAGTATTCGAGAGGGTGCTTGGGGAGAACTAGAGGCGGCTTTTCATCACCACGCAAATTTGCTGACCTCTTCTAGTCATGTTTGGAAAATCATTAGGGTTTCTTGTCTACCCTGATCATACATCGCTACGTCTCACACCGTCATACCCCTGCGTCTCTCCGCTCTTCCCATGTACAGATTCCCTCACATAGTCTTCTTCGATCGTCATGTCCACAGTCTTTGTGATACCGTCCACACCTAATATCGATTCCTCACTCGTATTGCGCGTACCGCCTACCGGTACCTTGCTAGTCCTGTTGCCCCCACCAAACGAGTAGAGCTCCATTTGTCCGTTCGAACGTGTTCTAGCTGTGCGACTAAACATCTTGCTGTTTTGGCCGCCATGTCCGTAAGAAGCTGGGTAGCCTGGGCCGGAGCGGTCGTGCGAGGACGAAGTAAAGGCTTTGTTGAGGAGTGGGCGGAGGGCGGGTGCTGAAGCGGATATAATAGCAGCGTTTATCTCGATTTGGGAGAGAAGGAGGATGAATATGTCGTCGTAAGGTGGGTCGTCTGTTACAGCGTATACCCAGAGGGCGTAGAGACGAACGATAGACGCGATGACTGCTATACCTCCGACCATGAAGACACCGAAGAGCGCAATACGCTTTGTTCGTTGGAGTTTTAGCTGCCCAAAAGCTCGCATTGGCATGGCTAGGATAAAAATGTCTGTGAGGATGTTGACAGAGGCCATCGAGAAATACGTCTTGGGAAGGTCGTTGCATCCTTTGGGAAAGGTAGGGACCCATGCTCTCCATGGCTCTTTCGCGCCGCATTCGAAAGCCTGGATCAGTCAGCTTCGAGTTCGAGGAAATGCTGGGGTTTCGCGTATGACATACGTTGACGAAGGTGACTACGATGGTCTGAACAGTGACGAACACACTAACGGCGTATACGGCGTAGCGAAAATTCGTTTGCGTGAAGATCCGGTAGTAGAGTGCCAGTATGCTAGCTTTGACGAATAACAACGCCCAAGGGTAAACTAGCTGATATGCATACCAGTGTTTGAACGTAGGGACCATAATGATCGAATGATCCAAATCGGCATTGTGTCGCCTTCGTCTTCCGTCAGCCGCTGTCAGTCTTTCTACCACATGTACACATACCCAGTTCCCCAACTGACAAGAAAACCATTCTGAATACCGAGTGAGATGGCGACCACCCACGCACAAATCATGAACTTGTCGTCTAATCCTACATATCGTATGAAGGTGAGGCGACAGTACAGCCTAGCAGATAGTGAGCAGGTCTTGCGGTGAGTAAACGAATCAAGGTTTCTAAAGGTCGTACCTTAGCGCTACAGCGATTGTCGAGAAGAATAGGAGAACTCCAGTAACGATCAGAAACATAGGTTGTCGCGAACCATTGTCCCAGGTGATACCATAGCCACCCGTGCTGCTTCTCATACTGTCGGAATACACTCACATCAGGATCACAAGGGATTCACAAAGAGATCATGGCAACATCTTAGCTATGAATGATTCTTGCTCCTCCTTGAAGCTTGACCACCCGCGCCGCATAGCATCATGATCCAGCACTTTGGGCAGCTTCATCTTGTGAATCCTTCTTGTTATTATCCTGCCGTGTGTCCAACAGGACCGCAAATGCGTGGGTAAAGTCTCCTGTGGACGGCTGGCATCTCCGAGCCATCATTGGATAACCAACACGGGCTAAACGCTGAGGAAGGGCGAAGGATTCGCGCGTTCGGTGCAGTCGTCCTGGTTGGGTCGCGAAGTGTTGGAGTTGGTGCGGCTCTTCGCTTTAAGTAGTCTAGTTTCCCTCGGTTATCGCTTGGACGGCTCGACAACTCCCCCGTTCCCCAGCCGAGCCGACACCCGGACGGAAAAGCAAGCTCCTAGACTCGATCTTTCGCGCGAAGATAGGAGAGACTCCTTTGAGGTCTTGAGTGGTAAGTCGTATCTGCGTTGTCACATGACCATACTATAGGATGCTGGAAATCAGAGTATGCCCTCGCTGTCATGCGCACACATGAAGAATGAAAATTCGGTAAACCGACAGCTCCGCAATAAAAGAACGCTCTGGTGTCCACTACGCCATGACCCCGCAGGAGCTATGTGCCGTGTTTGCCTCTCTTCCCATCTCATCTTATTCGCCACAGTTGACCCTGTGTTTTCCCGTCAATCGCTGGTTTAGACCATCAGGAACACGTCCCAGGAACCAGCAGGATCTTAGCGCGAAAGCGGGTCAACCTGTCCCGCAAGCTCTCCCGTCCCCACGACAAACATCTCACAGCCTCACCTTCTGCATCGCCGACCACAGCGGCGTGGGGGAGTTCTATTTCGGTCGTTCAGATTTCATGGTCATTGCGACGCGTCACTCACGATGAATGAATGAAGGAAGCGCATATGAGAGGTAACATTTACATGCCATGCTCTAGGATCGCGGGCAATCCATTCTTAGCCATGCAAGGTAAATCCTACAGGAATCTCTAGACCGGCCCACCGGGCGCAATCATCCGAAATCATCCTATCCTCTAATCACCAGCCATGCGAAAATTGTGCAGGCTATTGCTACGGAGATCTATACGCGTTTGGTCATATCATCACCGTGGCACAGCAGAATACGCAGGTAAGCATGCAAGGAGAACTTCGGTACGAATTAGCTTCATGCGCATGGAATACTCGCAGACCAATTACCGTTGCATGTGCGCCACATAGAAGCCATGGCTTATTACCAAAATCGCCGGTAAGCCTGCGTCTACCGGAATATGCATACAGAAGCGCTTCGCACGTGTTGCATCCCCCGAACTCGATCCTTCGGACTCAAGGCTCCTCGAAAGACCATGCAGCTGTGCCACACGACCGCATCTCTCCTGAATCGCCATGCATACAAGCTTTTCCCAGACCTGTATCTCGCCCCAAATACTACGGCAAGTGGTCTAATGCCTCAACACTTATTTCCGTTCGTTACTCATTCCTTCGTGGCTCGGACTTTAGTTGCATGGTCATCTTTCGATGAGGCTCAGACGGGTAAAGTGGGTATGACAAGGCCTGTAGTGAGGCACACATAAAGCTTGATGCCTTCCACAGTCACAATCACCAGCCAGGGACAATAAGCTTTCGCCTTCAATCAATCCGAAACACAAAGCTGCCAAACTCATCTTTAGCCGCCAAAATGGTCAACCTTTCCATTCTCGTTTCCTCGCTCTGCTTGGCTTCGTCAGCAGTAGCCGCGGCTCTCCCTGCCTCTGCACCAAAGACGTGCAAGAACCCCATTGTACGAAAAGAATGGTGAGTCTATCACACAAATGAATCATCATCTCGGACTCTGCTGACCATTTTCCTTCTGCAGGAAGCAACTCTCTATTCCCCAGAAGAGAGCGTATATTGATGCAGTCCTCTGCCTAGCATCAAAGCCAGCCATCTCTGGCATCGAGGGAGCCATAAACCGTTTCGACGACTTCCAAGCCGTGCACAGCAGCCAAACTCCCGATATCCACTGGGTCGGTCACTTCACCCTCTGGCACCGCTATTTCGTCTATACCTATGAAAAGGCTCTTAGGGAAGAGTGCGGTTACACTGGTGCTCAACCCTACTGGAACTGGTCTCTAGATGCTGAACCTCAAAATCCCACCTCAACACGCATCTTCGACTCTGAGATCTGGCAAGCAGACACTGGATTCGGTGGCAACGGCAACAAGGTTGAGCCAACTAATGAGACAAACCCCTTCGGCATCGTTGGTGGAACAGGAGGTGGCTGCGTGCAAAATGGTCCCTTCACAGCGGACAAGTTCTCAGTCAACTTCCCCACTCCCCACTGTCTCAAGCGCGATTTCGTCCCTACTCTGATCAACGTCTGGGCCGATCAGAAGCTCGTCAACAACGTCCTCGCCCAGAAGGACTACACTGGCTTTGCCAGGGCTGTTGAAGGCGAGGCCAGCTTCGCCGTTCCCAACATCCACGGAAGCGGTCACTTTGGTGTCGGAGGTGCTCTCGGACAGGCTGGTGATGCAAACAACAGCCCCGGTGAGCCGGTATTCTACCTCCACCATGGCAACATCGACCACATCTTCTGGATGTGGCAACAGAAGGATCTCAAAACCCGCCTGCACCAGGTCGGTGGCCCGATCATTCCTTTCGACTACAGTGGTAAAAATGTCACCCTTGACTTTGAAGTTGGCCTTGGTAAGCTTGCGCCTACTGTTCAGCTCAAGGATTTGTTGGATACTCAGGGAAGCACCCTGTGCTACACCTACTAGAAAGGTGCATATATCTTGCATCCGTCTTAATAAACCTTAATGTTCACACGTATGTGTCTATCTTCCTCCCTAGTGAAGACGTCGTCGATTGAAACCAGCTACGCCAGATTCAGCTTACCCTCGCGCTCATAGATCTCGGCTACCATATCTTCCCACCATGGCTCAGCATTGGGATCAATTTTCGTAATGTCAGACACGTCCAAACCCGCTGCTTCTGATGACCCGTGGCGTGCATCAAGCCAGTTCCATATATGCTGTACAGTACGCCATACTGGCGGAACGTTCTAGTGACGTCAGTTTGTGCGATATAGAAGCCATCTTAATTGACGTGACTCACTCCTCTAGTCCCATGACAGAGCTCTTCAAACCAAGTCCGGACTATATCACGATGTCGTGGTTCCACTGCAACTATTGCGGCCACGAACACGCGCCCTTGCGCATGATTTCGAGTAAAGAAAGGGCCAGAAGTAGACATACGACTAACAATCTGTAGAAGTTGGTCGACAATCAGCTGAACGTGTGGATGTCTTCTGGGTTTCCTCATGAGACGACAGTAAAGGTAGATCTGCGCCGCTGCCACATAACTCTCCGCTAGGAGCTCGGTCGTCTTGACAGCGGTGGAGACCTTGCCGTTCTCATCCAGTTCGCAGGAATCTAGAAGAGCTTGACGGTTGGGGTAGCCTTCTGACAGATCGGAGTGGTGCTGGAAGTTCTGCAGGCGCTCTCCAATAACCCTGCCCAGATTGCGCGCTGCAATCCTATTCGGATCCTATGGAGTATATATTAGTCTACCGAGGAACACGATCAAGTGAGTTGTGTACCTTGTATAGCTTGGTGGAGAGATGAGTTATTTGCGCAAAAGTGTGCAGGAGCTTCGGACTAAGTGCGGTACTGCCTACAATCTTGTGCTGCTCACGTTCATCTCCCTCTAGCAGCCAAGTAAAAGAGCACTTCGCCTGGAACTGATCTAGTGGACAAGCTATAGCGCTCATGATGTTGTATTGAGCGAGCCTGTTCCCCAGCGTAATGCGAGCTCTGGCGCACTGTACATTGCTAGCTGAATGGTAATTGTAAAGTGGATCTGACATCTCCAGAACCTGTTCCGCAAGCTGAGTAGCTTTGTACCAGGGTGGGCACTCGTTACCGGAGTTAGTAGCCTCCCAGTTGACATTCTGTCAAATGTCAGGTGTCTTTGTTCTTAGTGTCATGAGGAATAACCAACCTCGTTGTGGCCGAACAAAAGCATGGCGGCGATGACTGCGTTCTCTTTGCCGGGCTTGCATCTTTCCGTATCGTGGAGTTCTTTGTCGAGTTGAAGTACCGCTCGTTTCCAGTGCAGATTCGCCGATTCCTTCACTTTCTCCTCCCCCGAGTAGTCCAGTATGTAGGTTGCCGCCAGTGCCAGGATTGCATGCTTCACACAGTCACTCTTGACTGCTATTGGGATGATCTCATGAAGATAACAGTTGTCGGCCGGGATAACGGTGGTAGCTCCACAAATGGCGATGCGGACTGCTGTGTATCAGCGGAGCTCCATATGAATGTTGACTACCTTACAGAATTCGAACAGCTTCTCGTCTATTCCAGCAAGCTTTAGTCCCCGTCCGAAATCTGGGGGTAGACGCGCTAATCCATCTCTTATGTCTTGGTCGATCAAAGGCACTGCATGTTTTGGTTTCTTCCAAGGAAATTTTTGCATACGTGCAGCAGGGAACTTCTGTTGATATCTGCTTAGATTCAAGCGAACTTTGATCAGGCCATTGAGTAATCCATCTTCTGGTATAGCTACTGGCGCTGCATAACGCCGGAGCCGGGGATGGAGAATAGTCGCAGGATCATTGAATGGATTGACGATTATCGGCGCGCATGAACGTGCGGGTAATTGGAGTATGTCGGGACCGAGCTCAGGGAAATTGTTCAGAAGCCATTGCGGGTCGCTCGCCTCACCAAGCGGCGACAGCCATGCTATGAGGGCGTCAGTGATTTGTTAGACATAGCGGTAACTATGTTTCGCAGTATTCGTGATGTTTCCGTGTGCGAAGGATGCAGCTCTGTCCAGATGGAGGGGTTCTTACGTCGCTTGCGTGATGCGGCAGAAGGATTCTCATCACTGTTAACATGTGAGTCTTCAATGAACACGGGAATAAAGACATCCTGCCACTGATCATCCTGGAATAGACCGGGCTGATCTTGACGTCCACCGTCGATATTGGTGTTGGTGTAGGCAAGGGTGGGAACGGCTGAAGCGCGGGAAGGGAGAGCGACGCCGGACACTAACGTTAGCGCACTATCGGCGCGAAGGCGCTTAGAACGTGGAAGATCAGGCGACATGTTATCCATCATCAATGAACCTTTTGTAGTATCGTGCGATTGCGACGTTATGCTAGCGACAGTAGTAAAGTGGATCTTTCGAGTTCTCGGGGCCGGCTGACAGCGGGCAAGCTTGGTATAACTTCTGGGTAATTCTCTTCTCTCGTTTTCTCAGCCTTGTTGGCCGAAGCTCCCACCTGCAGCCGCTCGAATCGAATCAGATGACAGCCATGCGCTGAGCCGCCATGCATGCATCCTCACCGGAATCGTCCAATGAAGAGCGATGAGAAAACGAGAAATGGGAAAACAACGCTAGCAATGAGGAGACAGGCGCAGCGCAACTTCTGCATCGCTCAGAGCTGAACGCTAATCGCCCCGCCAGCATGGATGCCTCAACGCGCCAGTTCTTCGAGAATATCCGCCTGGAGCCAAACTGGATCGATCAACACCTGATGTCCAACTTCTCTGGGCTGACCACAACAGGTGGGTGGCCTGTCAGCCCGTCGGGTTGCCCGTTAACAGACATCGGCAATTACCTTTTGCGGGTGCTTCATGTCCTTGCCACTTTCTCGGAAAGCTTAGTGATGGGAGATGTTATCTCAAAACACATAGATGAACAAACAGGGGAACTGGAAGCGGAGGTTGATTGCCACACTGCGAATTTGCTAGATGACAAGCATAAAGCGTTGAGGTAGTGCGCTGCGTATAAACTCCCAAAGCCAGGAATGGACACTGACAATCATCGAGGAATATCAAGGATAATCTTTCCAACACTTTGCAAGGCAAGTCCATCTTATACCCTATCGATCAGTGTGGATCAGGCCCGCGTGGGTGGCGTGGTAATGATGAGCATAAATAACTAGGCGTTTAGCTAACGCGTTCGAGCAGATTGTCAGGCCGAGTGGATACTGTTCTCAATTACGCCATCTCCGGTTCTCGTTCCTTCTGTGCCAATCGAGTCTCCTGAAACACATATCGTTTCCCCTACATCAGAGGACTATTTCATGGCAACTATGTCATCCGAGGCTACTGACTATCGTACGTACGTCGAAGCACCTGAAGGTTCTGCAGAAGCAAGTCACGACCGTGCCTCTTCGAACGATTGGCAGGACATTCATAAACTCTCACCTCGTAATACTGAAGAGCAAACCACAGAAGTGCCTTCGATAGAACAACTCAAAGCTCGTGGTAAAGGTCACTACACCTGTCCGCATGGTACTGCATGCGACAAAGGCGGTGTTCAACCAGATGGGCAACTGACTGTCTACGAAAGAAATTCTGCTTTTAGGTACGTTCCGAATACCACCTGAAAAGATATCCCGCCGCTTTATTGTAAAACTGCGCCAAATTGAGCAGCATCCCGCATCCTCGTCTTCCATTCGCTTGCAGCAGGAAATGTCTAGTCCTCACATGGTACGCTAGCTAAATCTCGATAAAGGGCACATTGGCAGCTGCATGAGCGTATGTTCAAATGCGACATCCCAGGCTGTACCAATACAAAGGGTTTCGCGCGTATCGACCAGCTTGAACGGCATAAAGCCAAAACACGACATACAGCACCGGAAAGTTTATCTAGTTACACCTCCTCAGTCTGATATTTATGCTCGTGGGTTTACTGGTTTATTGGTACACTTGTTGTATTCACAAGATGATCAACAAATCACTCGGTCTAAATATTGATCTAATACCACTCATATCTCCTGCCGAGAAAACTAAAAATCCCGCTCAACGCGCGCTACATGAATTCAGAATCTCCTAGTTCCATACAAGTAGTATGAGCATAGAAATTATACCGCAAGGTAGATACCTCTCCTACGTTCTTCTCTCCAAGCCATCGATGATGCTTTGTAGACGTTTACAAACGCATTGCAGCTCGCCTACCGCACCACGCAACTCAGGTTCCAGCACTTGGTACAACCTAGACCTATGTGGATCATCGTTCGTCGTCCTAGACGCTGTTAGCAACAATGAGGACCGTGATCCTCCTATATTGACTTACTGCAGTTGATCCAAGTGGCACCACGCTCCGACTTCAGTCAGATCCAGCTCGCGTGCTTCCTCACAATACGGTTGATTCTTACTGGAGTTTCGCATCGATGATCTTTGTTCCCGGGAACTAGACGGGGCCAAACCGTGATTCGAGTTTGCAGACAGCATGACGTGTCTTCCCACTACGCGATCGCCTTCCGTATCATCCATCCATCTCCGGATCGCGAAGGAACCATCTATGTTCCTTGTAGCGCCGCTCGCATAAGTCTTTGAACACGACAACGGTGAAGAGGTAGTCGAAGTAGGCATATTCAGCAGCAGGTTACTGAACCTTGTTAGCAAGACTAGAAGACGATGGAATGACTCGATAGAAACTTTGAGCGGAGGCTTCTGTCGCACCTATAAATCGTCTACAACCCTACTTCGTCACTCTCTGAAACATGACATGTATCTGGTGTACTGTAGCACACGAGTCCGCCTCACAACTAGTTTTCTCATTTTTTATCATCCTATCGCTTACTTGAACCAGCCACCCTGTCAGATTCTTAAATCAACTCAGCTTCAAACTTGGTGCACGGAGGCCTGGTAAGTACTGAAGTAGGGCGCGTGCCGGGACTGAGAAGTACAGACGTGGCAGTGGCTTTTCCAGGTGCGTTGCTTTTGGTGTTCCGGGATTCACGTCGAACGGGACGATGACCGGTAAGCCGCACCGAAACGCCTTGACTTCACTTCCCGATCGAAATCTGTCGTTAGATGCGATATCGATTTCGGGAAGTGAGACCCTAATGTGCTTGTGCTAATCCTCAACCTGTAACCCTCCATCGATAGACCAGACCTTGCTTGCAAGGTAGTACTCATGACAAAGCGCTCATTTGTTGTATTTAAGATTAATGGACAGCCACATAGGACGACCTTCGATCGAAGTGATTATCCCAAGAAAAAACTTACTCTTGGGCTCGCGATGCGAAGCATGTTAACCTGATTGTAGGCAACAAAACGCACATGGGGAGCATCAAGTGCTCAGATCTACGACAGTGCCCTCGAGCTTGACGATGCTGACGATGTTGAGCGGTTGCGGCTGAAAACGAGGGTACGTAAACGGTAAGCGTACTTCTCTCATTTACATCTACAATCGGGTAGACGTATGCCAGGGCAGAGTCACTACATGTGTGAGTGTCTTACATTTCGCCGGAGGTGCTATTGGCTGGCGCATTATCTGTCATTAAGGCTGATGGGGGATAAGGAAAGCAAGCGGGGAACCCTGTCGTTGAATGAGAGAACTGGCAAGCGACCGTGGCGGCAACCTACATGGCCATCACGGCTGCGCCTGCATGCATTAGCATTGAGGAAAGAACGCTAGTCGCTTTTATCATAGCAGCGATCACGACTTCTCGGCCTGAGCGCAATGCGCCGTCAGGACAAAGCTATAACTATGCAGCCTTCAGGTTCGTGTTGACAGCCTCATGATTGCCTTATCCAAGGTAGCCAAGCCCTCGATTTCGTCACACCAAAACCTCTCTCGCTTCGCCCCGTTCCACCCATTCAGCCACCAACATCGGGCTGGGCAACGACCTCCAGAACCACCACACGCAATGAGCTCACAGCCATCTTATCTGATCATTGGGGCTGGAGTATTTGGTGTTTCCACTGCCTATCATTTGATCAAGAAATACCCCGAAGCTTCCGTACATCTAGTGGACCGAACACCGTACCCCTGCCAACTCGCCGCATCTTGGGACTGGAACAAAGTCGTCCGTGCTGACTATGGGGATCTCTTCTACATGGAGAAAGCATTGGAGGCTATACAGTTATGGCGAGAAGACCCACTCTTTAAACCGTTCTATTACCAGAGCGGCATAATCAAAATCAACAATTCCGATCTGGGCAGAAACACATTGGAAAACTACAAGAAGCTTGGTGTGAAGGTCAATGCAAAGATCGTCAGCCCAGATCGCTTCAAGGAGGAGTACGGTTCTTTTTTCGAGCATACCGACTTCTCGGAGGCCAAGGATGTGTTTGTGAATGAAGACAGCGGATGGGCTGAAGCTGCCAAGGCACTTACCGCTTATACTGATGCAGCAATAAATTCTGGTGTCAAATACACTGCAAAGGAGATCGATGTCTTGACGTTCGGTACTGACGGCGGATGCACTGGAGTTCTAACCAAGGATGGTACCAACATTACAGCAGACCGCGTCGTCCTAGCCACTGGTGCAGGAACAGCAAAACTGCTCGCCGACAGTGCGCCTAGCAGAAAGGAGTTGCAAGTTAACGGCCGCCTCGTTGCTGGAGCCGTGATCACTGGTATCGTCAACCTCGATCCAAAAAACGGCCAACAGTATACCAAAATACCAGTGACTGTACATGGTGTCCCACCCACACGTGGTAAGACACCTGAAACTCTCACATAGCATGATGCTGACGACTTCCAGGAGAGGTAATGCCATTGACAGCACCTTTATCCGAGAGAGAGCCATATACAGTCAAATTTTGCAGAGACGAAGCCTACAAAAACACAATCAAACACGAAGCATCGGGCCAAGAGTTCTCTTCTCCACCGAGTGAGCCTAACCAGGCACAAAGGCGACCAAACGAAGGTCTAAAGAAACGTCTCGATCTCGTTAAAGACGGTATACTGGGCGAGCCAGGGAAGGAAGTCAAGTTTGACGAACATCGTGTCTGTTGGTAAGTTGCACCTCTTTCCAACGTTTCACCCCGTGACGATCTCGGGACCGTCCTTCCCGCGCAACCACGTTCTTCGCAATACGACAGACTAACCCATCTAGGGATGCTGTAACCCCTACCCAAGACTTCATCATCACTCCACAACCACACTGTCAGGGTCTCTATCTAGCAACTGGAGGTTCATTCCATGGTTGGAAATTTATGCCTACAATCGGCCGCTATGTTGTCGCGATGCTGGACGGTACGCTGGACCCTTCTCTCGCAAAGCGGTGGGCGTGGGATCGCGAAAACAATGGAGGAGGTGCACATTCACACTTGCTACCAAACATTGAGATGCGTGATTTGTGAGGAGTTCAGTAAGCCGAGGTCGGGACAGGGACTCACATAGCGACATGGCGAGAATATTAGTTTTGGCGTCTATGACGTCGATATCTGAAGTCTGTTCAGATTCAAGCAAACAATGAACAAGCCATGCCTGACAGCCATAACAGAGTCAGAAATTCAAAACATGGCTGCGCATGCTCGCATTGATGACTCGCTTCGATCACGGGCGTATATGAGCTGAGTGTAGGTGGCGATGACGCGTGCCCCTGTCATCGCGCTAGTCCCCTCAACGCGTCGCTGTCGCGTCACCAAGGCACCAACTTCCCTACCTTATCGATACTCCACTCACAATGACTCCACGGACGCGTTCGAGCAACAGAGATGCCGACTACAAAGTCTACTACTCGAAGAAAGTGCCGCAGCAGGTTCAATTTCCACACAAGCGCAAAATAGTGCGCCGGCCGTCGTCGCCAGTTCGAGATGACGCAAAGCGGCAAATGATCTTTTTGCCAGAGAAGATGAAAGCAAGGAATATTCCTGTAGTCGCAGACTCAGATGAGGACAGTGATGAAGGTTTGGAAGAAGACCTAGAGGATGGAGGAGTTCCAATCGAGCCGCAGGTGAAAGAGGAAGAAGAGCAGCCCTCGGCAAGAAAGACGAAGGGGAGGAGCAAGAAAAGGAGTAGCGATGTATTGCCGCAAGGTAGTGATGGAGACAAAGGGCCGGTTGGACCTACGTCAAAGCGCAGACGAACAGTTGTCTCGCCCAAGAATCATCGTCGCTCGAAACGCGTGGCAATCGATGCTGATGATGCGAACGATGCGACAGCGATCAAAACCAATCGAGAACGTACTTTGCGTCGGCAATCTACAATGACACAGCTGGTAGATGGGAGGAAGCCACTGCCAGACTCTGAGGGACCTGAATTCAAGCCTGTCAAACAGAGCTCGCGCTTGAGCTGGGGACGTGGAAAAAGCGAAAACGACAGGAAGCAGCGCACGTTGACGCAGATGATACCGCGCATGCGAGCACAAGAACTCATGTCGGATGAGGACTTGGATGAGGCATCGAGCGATGATGAGGCTGAACAGCGGGATAGTCAGACCTACGGGGATGCGGTAGCGCAGCGACTTGCACAACAAGGACTTCATCGTATCGAAGGCAATAGCGTCAAAGGACAGGAGGCTGCAGATAATATTGTAGGGGATATACAACAGGATTCGGAAGATCAATATATCAAGAAAGAGCCTACAGCAGACTCGCAAGACACTCCTGACGTGGTGGTACAGTCAGTGGAAGATGAGATGGGTGAAGACTGCGAAGACAGCTACAAACCGACCCAGTTTATCGAGGCTCCTGTCACACGAACAACTCGAGCAACTAGACATGGAAATTCACCGCGAGCCACGGCGACCGGAGACGCTTCGTACGGCCCGCAGAAGCAGCACAAGACTCGCAAGGCCCGTTTCAGCCTTCTATCAACTCCAGAAAAGCGACGTGTTCGCGTGATTCCTTCTTCCCAATCGCCAGCTGATTCACCCCTGTCGACTCAAGTTTCCCCACAGAAACTACATCGATCACCCCTCAAGGCATGCTCGAGCAACCCGATATTAGCACCGGACACGCCCTCGAAACGCAAGCAGGTGACATTCAAAATGCCGTCAAAGACGCCGATACCTCCGCCGACACTGAGGAAGTTTGAAAGCACGATCCAAGACTCTGAAGACGAGGACGAGGGCTTGATTGAGGAAGATTTACCTACGAACAAACATCGCAAGGATGAGGGTGCGCGATCGTTCTCTAGCCGGCCCGAGACTGCGTCTGGCAAGCTTATTGGCGCGGATACTCAAGCAATGCTTAATCAGATCGATCAGGCATGTGCTGATGCAGATGAGGAGGATGTCATGGGCGAATCTAGGTCATCACAGGAATTGGATGATCTGCCCGCGCTAAGAGGTCACAACCAACCTTCTCCTGAGCTCGGTGAGCCAAACAAATCCTCAACTGGAAGAAGCTCGTCGCACTCCATGGAGCCAGTTACTGTCAAGCAAGAACTTGAGTATGACGACGATGTCGATGAAGATGAAGATGCGACAATACTACCCACAACCCAGTCAAACCTACCAAATGACGAAAGCCGAATCGCAAGCGACATTACCACGAGTACTGAAGGAGGACTACCTCAGGAAACAGAGCAGCTCCGATCGACGCCTCCAGTCCTCGAAGGATACCCCCAATACACGTGTCCATCTACACCCATGGTCATCAACGATGATTCATCGTGGGAGGAACCCTATACATCACCCAATCCAACGCCACCGCAATCAAGCAGGCGACAACTACCACCACCTCCCTCAACTTCAATCCAGCCGTCAGCCGATCTCGACGACCCAGCCATCCAAGTCCCTCGTTCTCCCGAACATGAAACGCAAGAGTCGCATTCCAGCAAAGCAGAGCAACAGCTCCAAAACGAATGGTTCTCCTACTCGCAATACGTGCACGCACGCCCGCCTGAATCGTCCAGTGTGCGCGCAGCACCCGATGCATTGAGTTACAACGCGACGCCTCGGCTTCCCCATCAAACTCAGACCACAGCGCCCCCTTCCCGTCAACATCAACCATCGGCATACCACCCCAGCCAAGCAACTACCGTCGACGAAATCACACAACGCACTCATACCACACCCCGTCATAAGCGCACTCAGCAGTTTGGTAGCACGCATACAACGCCCCATCGCATACCGAGCTCTCAACCTGCGCTTTTTTCGTCGCCGAATAAGCCGCCCCCGCTATTTATACCGAGCAGTTTTCCTAGTCCGGAGAAGGCGTGGGGGAGTAGTAGCCCGTTGTTGGATGGGGGTGTCGGGATGACGCAGGCGACAGGTGTTGGGAGTGGATGGGGGAAGAGTAGTCAGTGGGCTAGTTTAGAGGATTTTAGCATTCCAGCGATGCCGCCGGGTGTTGATGAGGAGCAGGAGGAAGAGGAGGATGAATAGATGGACGGTGGTGGTGGTGGTGAAAAAGACTTGGATATCGGATAGAGTGTTTCCCATTCTCGTTTGCTTTGGTGACTATGTACTGAGTATTGGTGTATAAGAGAGGGTGTGAACGGTAAGTAGTACGTTCGCTGGCTGATCTATGAACTGAATGATGAGAGGTTAGTTGAGCCAGAAAGGCGATCAATTGTTCTGTGAACGATCAAGGTGGTTGAAAACATCGGGCAGCCGAACTTGAAAGTCGAGTTGACTTCAAGTCCGGCTGCAAAGCCCGGTGTTGGGAACGTTCGGCGTGTATCCTTGGTGTCACTATGGCATGCGTCGCGCGACGCTGTATAGTGTAGGTTGTCTTTACAAGGGAATGAGAGAGGGTGGGCTAGGGGAATTGCTGGTGTGTGAAGCTTCGAAGGTTCGGCTAAGTTGGCGTGCGGGGCTGATTCAGAGATGATTAAGCGGAGCTACTAGCGGAGTATTGCTTCTATGTTGGGATGACACTGTCGAATTCTCTCACTTTTGTTCTTTTCACTTTCTTTCCCCTGCGCTTACTGTCGTATATATCATTTATCGGAGGGTCTAGAGCAAGGGAAAGAAAGTTGAGATACTTCTAATAAGTGTAGCAAAACGGCCCTTCTTGAATATGCATCAAATCTTTCAATTTCCTGCTGGGTGCCAGCTTTCCAATGTTGATCTCAAAATCCAGCGTAACGTTCTTGCCAAGGTAGTCCTCCGCGACGATAGGTCCACCTACCTCCCGAAGTCGAGTCTCCAAATCCTGCTGCTGCCATCTCCAGTAGATGCGATCTAGATTGGCGTGATGCAGATAAAACAATGGCTCTCCAGGAGAGTTGGCAGGGTCACCAGCCTGTCCTAATACGCCGCCAACACCAAAATGACCACTGCCGTGAATATTTGGAGCAAAGACGGTTTTCGAGCCTTGCATTGTGCGGTCGAAGGTTACAAAATCTGGTGCTTCAAGTTGCGCCTTCTCTAGTTGTGGATCTGCCCAGGTGTTGAGGAGAGGAGGCATGAAGTCGCGTCGCAGGCAGGACGGTGGGCCAGGATAGTTCACCATGAACTTATCGGGGGTAAAAGGGCCAGTCTGAACGCAGCCCCCGCCAGTTCCTCCAGTAAGGTTCAGAAAGTTCTGCTCAGGGGTAGGCTCGACCTTGACACCATTACCGCCAAAACCGGTATCTGGTTCGAAGATTTCAGATTCGTAGATGCGGGTAGAGCTAGGGTTCTGGGGATCTGCGTCCAACGTGTAGTCCCAGTACGGCTGACCGCCCGTGTAGCCACACTCGCGAAGAGCTTTCTCGTATGTGTCGACAAAGTAACGATGCCATAGCAAGAAGTGTCCTACGAAATGAATGCTGTCACTCTGACTGACATGTACAGCGTGATGATCATCGAATCGGTTGATAGTTCCTGGGATTTTCGACTTGGCCTTCTTAGTCGCTAAGCATAGGACGGCATGATGTAGCTGCGTTTCTGCGGGTCTGACAACTGTCTCCTGTGATGACATCTTGATTAGCGAGTAGCGATCGTGTGTCAAAACTGGGATACCTTACCATTCCAGCCGCTTAATAGGGTTTTTGCACACGGCTGAATCGGTCGCAGGAAGCGCAGCTGCAAATGGAAGTGATGCCAAGCAAAGCCACGAAATGATGAGCTGAAGCTGGACCATGGTGCCTGGTGGAGTTGCTATATCAATCGAAACCACTAGCTATAGGCGAGGCGAGCAGAGTGATTATCCACGATCATGTAAAGAACGATGGGCTTCGAGCTTCTTATGCGTCCGTCCATCGATCCAATAATGCTGCTCAACGTGCATCCAGCCTCTTCCAGGCCTTGGAACACGACAAGCTAATGTACGACGCTGCGATGTGGGCATAAGTGCGACAAGCATAGGATTTGTCTTGGATTTAGACGTTCGCACTGTGGTGGGAATACTAGGGTCCGGGGGACTCCACGTCTGTACAGCGATTCAGGTCTATGCGCCAATGTGGCACAGCACATGTTGAGTCCAAGGGGTGCAATTTGGACACCGGGATATAGGAACCGACAATTTGCATGATTCATCAAACACGTGGTAATTCGAACTGCGATACCGAACCTGAGAATGCGTCGCATGCTGCTCTCCCTTACGCAAAGAGAAGTGTCATGCCGAGGTTGCTTGTCGTCCACTATACGGTCCACCTCCAAGCTGGACGTCTCCTGCCTGATTGGATCTTCGAGAACGGGACGAATTTAGTCGCATGTAATCGGCCGGCAAAAGCAAGGGATGCAAGCAACTGCATCCTGCAGGATGTCAGGCGTCACCGGAGCCGGTATCTCCTCAGGCCATATGTGCCGATGCCGCGCATGTGGCAAAAGAAAGTTATGAAACTCGCGACTGACTGGAACGGCTGAATAAAGAACACGTGCTGAATGTCTTAGATATCTTAATTGATACCAAAGAGCGGCTATACATTTGCGGGGCGAAACAAAGGTGATACTCCACCAGATCGCTCGATAAACTGGGGTCGCCCGCTCTCGCAGTGACTCGTTCAACTCGGTCGTCACAGATAAAATCAGCGGATGGATGAGAGCTTCTAGCAATTGATGGCTAGAGCGTTAACTGATGAGATCGTTCGACAACAGACAGGAAATGGGTGTCGATGGGAAATCTGATTATGCGCTACGATGGGGGAGGGGAAGGCAAGGCTTTAGGGCGGTTCGCGTTACCCAATTAGGACTAGACCATGTGGATAGCGTTGGCAGATATCCCTTCCTCTTCGATCAGGTCTGCGAAGACGCCCACAGTCAACACCGCTCGATTCATTCTAGATGACTGAGCGGCATATTCGTCTCAGTAAAACTATCCATATCTCCGCCAATGTGTTATGTCCTTGATCACCATGCATCGTGTTATGGGCGCCAGACACCTTGAAACCTCGGGAAGTTCGCAGAGCAAGCATCTGACAACAAATAACCTTTACGGCGTGGCAGCTCGCAGAGCCCTACGGCTGCCATCGATGCAAGCTGTGGCCTAAGCCGCAGATCATGGCTGTCGCAACGTGATAAGATTGGTTCATCGCTCATCTCGTTAGATCGATCTCCTTTCGCTTCCGTTCTCATGGAACGCGCACGACTCACGGTAGACAAGGCCATTTGCGGCGCAGTTGACAATCCATTGTGTCTTATAACCAAATGCCTGGCGATTTTTCTAGTCGTACTACCCAGATAGACGTGCACAATAGACCTCGCCATGGGAGCTGACGGTACCCATATCACGGGGGATGGTGGTTCACGCCAGCTACCAGTACTCATCACTATCACTGTGCTCCTCTTCTTCTCGTTGATAGCAATTTCACTCAGGTTGTATTGCCGCGCGATACTAGTCCGCCATGTGGGTTTGGACGATTACTTTATGTTGGCCGCTCTGGTAGTCACTGTTGGGCTCAGCATTCAGAGTGGCCTCCAAATTAGTTATGGCACTGGGTAAGTCACAGTTGATCATGTTTTCTGAATCACCAAATTCTGACATAGACAGACGGAAAAGCAAAGATCTCAACCTTGATGAAGCTTTAATACCGACCCTCAAACACTGGTAAGAACAATTATGCTACTACTCGCTGCCCGGGTACACTAATCTTACTTCTGAACAGGTACGTGTACCAGCTATTCTATCCATGGGCCCTCTTCTTCGTCAAAGCCAGCATCCTGGCTCTCTACCACCGCATCTTCACACATCACAATTTTCGACGCTGGGTGTATTGTGCGGCAGGCTTCATCGTCATACAAACTGTCACCGTTACCTTCGTTAATATATTCGAATGTGGTGCCGACCCGTCACGAGCGTGGGACAGCAAGTTTCCAAAGGGCTGCATCAACATGTCAAAGATGTACTTCGCCAACGCATCTGTAAATATCGTCACCGACGTGGTCATCTTAGTGATGCCGCTAAAAGTGTTCAAACAATTGAACATGAACCTACGAAAGCGTCGTACGTGAACCTGTACGAACTTGATTGACGGAAACGAGTAGCTGCTAACCATGAGATAAAGTCGCGCTCATGGGCATCTTCATGGTAGGATGCGTGGCCGCATTAGCCTCCATCCTGCGTCTCTATGCTCTCTATAACTATACCGTGACTGAAGATGCTGGATACGATGGCATCTTTGTGAGTCTCATCTGGATCATGCCATCATCATCGACGATTGACTAACACCATCTCAGATCCTGCTCCTTTCTCAAATCGAAGCAAACGTCGCCATGATGTCTGCCTGCGCCCCAGCCTACCGTCCACTCTTTGTGAAGCTTTTCTCGTCGTCGTCCTCCGCCCCGTCAAACCAAATTACAGAAGGGTATCCCACATTCAATAGCGGCGGCGGCATGTACGCTAGAAAGAAAACCACGCGCGACGAGATAGAATTATTCTCTATCCTGTCAACAGGAAAGAGGACAAGTCGGAGTCACCTCAGTCCTTGCGGAGCTAGAAATTCGAGTGAAGAAAACATCTTGGGCTATGGACGAATTAGAAAGACAACGGAAATTAGTGTTGCAGAGGCGGAGTAAAAAGGCAGTGGATGCGGTCGAGAAATGACACAAAGAATGGGTATGATCCGGTGGATCGGAAGGAGTTTGGTGTTTGACAAGATTCACGACGGTGTGAGCAAAGACAACACTCCTCAACGGATGTTTCATTTATCGTTCATCGAGTTAGCCTGGGTGGCTTTGTTTTGTACCATTTGGAACATGTTAAAATCATCATCGTATCTCAATACACACTACTTCGAAACCGAAAGGCATATGGTCATGACCTATGTGTACAGCGGCGCGGTGGCTAAACTTCGGTGACATGATGTTAACTCGGGGATGTAAAACAAGCATGTTCTGACCATTTACGAATGTTCAGGCGTTGCAGACATGCATTCACAGTACACAAAGGGTGGAGCGGCCGCTCAATCGCCTGCCGTCAAGACACCTTGACATCAGCAAAGAGGTTTAGGCTTTTGGATCTCAACACAACATGACATTGCCGGATGAGGTCTTCGGTGAGCTTGAAAGCGAATGTGTATAGAAAGAAGATCTTGCAGAGTGCAATGAGCTTTTATACACACCTCCACGTGCTCGCCCGCAGAATCTGCTAGCGGTACATGCCTTCTTGGCTGTATCAATTTGAAGAAGCCACCAAATTTCTGTTCAGTGCTCACATGGAGCGCTTCGTTGAACATTGCATATACACAAAGCTGATCTGACTCTCATGAGTTCTTGAATACATGCTTTTGACCCACACCCAAGGCGAAAGAGGTTAACCAGTTTGCCAGCGAAACACACGGACATAGTCTGAACATTGTGGGCTTTCAAACCACATATTACCTCTGGGGGTAAATTTTGGCGGCACAGCGAAGACCGATGATGTAAAAGAAGACAAAGCTGGAAGATCAGCTTTTATACACGTCTCCCACCGTCAGCACCTCCGACAAGCGAGCACACTATGTGCAGCTCGTCGCAAGGATTCGAGAATGTGCTCTCAGTCGAGCGGTTCTCACACAGACCAGCGGCATGGGCGTTTTCTTTGTCTTTTTTCAATATCTGCTCATATGTTGCTTGTTCAATGTATTCGATAGGAGTTTGAGCATGTCAGGGAGAAACCAACATCCACCACCGCCTCATGTTTTTGAATTCAGACAGCTGAACAAATCCCGGCAGAAACATCCATAGATCGTCCCGTTAGGGTTTTGGGGAACAGCAGGCACCATGGCATGTGTGCCACCGTTTTTGGAGAAGGTGAATGGATAGTCGAGTGTGGAAAAAAGAAGTCAACCCTCCCGGCAACAGGCTTTTATATGCAATGCAGAATACGTGGTTGTTCCTCCTGGCAGTTCCGTCAAGCCAAAAGCGCCATGAGGTTCTTCAGTACCGGATTGAGAATGTAATATCAAACCGACAGACTGCATGTTGGATGCGAGGGCATATTTTTCGCTCTTGCAAGGGAGGCGAGCACACGTCTCTCTCATCGAGCAGAGATGAGTATCTTTTGTTGTCGCGCAGGGCTTGGTTTCATCGGCTTGGTCTCTTTTTGATAAGGCTGGGCAAGGAAAAGCAGCGGAGCTCATGAGCTCTGGAATAGTGTTTTTCGTAAGACAGCAGGCGCCATCAACCGTATACTTGTCGGATTTTGGAGGCGAGCAGGAGAGAGAAGCGGAACCATGCACCGCTATGAAGGTATTTTCGGAAAAGACCCAGCACCATCGGCACTTGTCTCAGCGTTTTTGGAGAAAATAGGAAAGGCCGTTGAGTGTAAGAGGATAAACCGCAATGCTCAAGAAGTAGGCTTTTATATGGACTCCACTCCGGCCATTGCCCTTGTCCTTGCTTTTCTTTGACAGCAGATCCAGCAAGCCAGCGGCTCATGAAAGTGTGGGTTGATCCATTTGCAAGAGCCGAAATCGATGGGTGATATCCGTCTTTAAGTCGATGGCGTTGGAAAAAACAGCAACGGCGGAACCCATGTGGGATTGTCCAAGGTTTTTTTTTTTGGAAACGAGCAAACCCCATAGCTCGTCTTTATCTGGATTCGAAGTCATCCAGCAAGAATGGGGAGCTCAGTAGATTCTAGGAAATGGGTTTGGAAGAGGATATTGGGTGAAGCTCGACGACACACGAGAGCAAGCACCATGGATTGAAGCTTGTTGTGTTTTGGAAAAGAAGCAGACACCATCCGGAATCGTGCAACCATTTTTGGAGAATGTAAAGACAGACTGTGGGATATACGAATCTCCCAATAGCCGCCCGAAAGTCATTCCTTTATACCCATCCTCCCAGCGCACGTCCCACATCGCCTTTCCTCAGTATCTCAAAAAGCCACATGCACCAAACCCATGACGATCAAAATATGAGAAAAAGTGTTACTTTCATTGACCATACAACCTAGAAGGAAGCTGAGATTGTCTGAACCACAAAGCACCAACCAAACAACAACCCCTTCCCCCCCTCTCTCAAGAATCGATTTGCCAGACCAGTGTATTCCACATAGCCATCTTTCGTAGTCGTCATAAACGCCAATATGCCTTCCCCCTTGCTTTGCAATATCCATCATCGTCATGATTTACGAGCTAGCCTAGAAGCAATAGCTCAACGAGTGACTGGGCCGTACAGAAGATTGAAAAACACAAAAACATGAAAAAAGAACCCATCCCCCCAAACTCCTTCCTGACCTCTCTTCAGTCCCTTCCCTTCCTAAAACAGGTGTGGTGTTATAAATACGCCTTATAATCGCCATATATCCCGATGATGCAAGGTGAATATCCCGCGAGAAGGAAGAGCGCAAATTTTATCCGAGGAGCTTATCTTTCGGTAAACGCTTAAGCGCTGCCTCAACATCCTTGTGATCCACCACGACGCCGCTCTCAGAACAACGAGCCTTGGCACGCAGCTCCGAGCACAAGTTGTCAATGTCAATGGTGCCATCCTTGAAATCCGGTCGACTAGACAATTTGTCCCTATTACACACACACACACGTTAGCAACCCAAATCTCCTCTCAAACGTTTCCTTCTTCGTGCCATGTACGTACCAGATCTTATGGCAATTCAGCAGAGAATTGACATCCTCGCCTGGGACAACCTCGTCCTCCCCATCTTGTATGCGTTCAATCTCCTCGAGCGGATTTGTCTTCTGCACAGCCGGTGTATCGCCAAAGTGGAAGGGAGAACCGTATCCAGTGTTGAGAAAAGCATCGTTGAAGAAGCCATTCGTAAAGTCGTTGCCGTCCCCAACGATTGCATTCTGCGTATCGCGGTATTCTCCAAAGAGCATCGGATCGAATTGTCCGCCGTTTTGGTTCGCAAAGTAATCGATGCCGTTGAGCGCCGCCGATGCGGGTGTGGGAGATTTATTGTTGTTGTTGTTGGCGTTGGAGAGGGTAGGTGAGAAGACTGCAGGAGAAGGTTTGTCGTCAGATGTGGACATCGCACGGGGCATGGGATTACGAGGGTTGCCGCAGGCCATGTTGAGCTTTTCGCAGAAGAGAACCTCACCTTCGGAGTTTCCGTGACACACATATCCGTCCTTGATTGTGTCCGCCTGCTGATTCGGCGAGGTATGACTTGGCTCTGGGGTCGTTCCACACGACGAGTCCTGATTGGTGGGTGATGTAGAGGAGTTGGATGGAGAATCTGAATGGCTGGATGAGCCGCTGTTGAACTGGAAGACGCGTGATTGTGAACTAGTAGAGCTCTCGGTGTTGCTGCGAGGAGTGTCATTGTTGTTCGATTTGCTGCTGTCGAAACCGAAGAAGCCGTTCAGACTGCCAGAACGCTGCCCATTGCCTGTCATAGCGCCTGGAGAGTTTGTGAGCTGTCCATTAGCCTTGCTGGTTGGACTAAGCGCAGGTCCAGTGCTGTTGTGCCGACTTGACGCATTTGTCGACACTGATGCGTTCTTCTTGGCCAAAGGACCGTTGTCTAGGAGCTGGGCGCCAGGGAGTCCGCCAAAACGCGGGAACTCGAAAGAGAAGTTGTTGTTGCTGCTATTGTTGTTCAGCATCGAGCTAAAGCCTCCAGCGAGTGGTGGAGTGCGTGTCACTCCGGTGCTATTCATCGAGAGTCGTTTGCGGTATTCGCGGAGTTCCATCTGCAACCGTTGCACTTGAGCCCGCAAGAGCCCATTCTCGTGGTTTGTGGCATCGGAAGCTTTTTCGAGCTCTTGTACCTTGGTCTCCAAGTCCTTGAGGTGCTTTTCCTTACGTTCTCGGAAAGCTCGTTGGGCCGCGCGGTTCTGGGCTTTCCTCTTCTATAGCTGTTGTCAGTTTATACCAAGTGAGCATCCTCTATTTCACCTACAGTTGTAGGCTCCGAAGTCAGCGGCTTACGCCCCGGCTTCTTCGCTTGCTTGTCTTCACCTTCTCTTCGCTTGCCGCCGCCCTCGTCATCGTCGTCGCCCTCGTCACCCGGGCTCTTCCGCTTTTCGCTTGAATCGGCGGGCGTGTCTCCGGGCAGCGACCCAATCATGTCGCCCTCTGCGTTGTCGAAGTCGAAGCTATTGTCTCCATCGAGGTAGTCGACAAAGGGGCTCTCGTCGATGTTGTTGTTGAAGTTGTTCGCGGGCGCCTGCTGTTGCGGCGAGGTGAAGTATGCGGGATCGAGGCTATCGAGGGGATACTGAAACTGCGAATTGCTCATAGACTGCTTGTTGCTAGAGCCGTTGTCGAAGCCAGCGGAAAAGAGGTCGTTTGGGTTCTGGTTGTTCGAGGCCAAAGCTGCAAGGAGGAGATCCTGCTGCGTCGCATCGAGGTAGAAGGGCGCACCGTTCTGGAAGTCGTTGGTAGTTCCTGCCATTGCAATTGCACTTGCGGGGTTGCGGGAACTGTGGTGTTGTGTGTAGCCCCGAGCAGAGCTTATGGGTGGTGTCGCTCGTCTGAGCCGCGCAGTGATGCGGAAGTTCGGAGGGGCTGGCGCTATCGGTCAAACACGTGCGATAACCGTTTTCGCCACCCTAGGGCCGCAAAATGTGGAGGACGCGGGCACGCTGGGGTATACAAAGCTGGTATTGGTGACGCAAGACGTTTGACGTAGACGCGAAGAGTCTACAGTGGGCGGTCCGACACAGGCCAGCGGGCGGACGAATGTTTTGCGGGTCTGGGGATGGGGGGCCTGTACCAGGCCAGAGCAGTCCAAGAGTGTAGCGCACTCACTCTGACGACGGCGGAGGGGAATGCGAGCAGGTGGTAGGCAACGTAGACAATTTGAGTGAAAGGTGGTCAGATGGTGAAGGAGGAATGGCGTAACAGATCAATTCGCAGCCTCACAGCCTGGACGCCGGGTCTAATGCGGCACCCTAGCAGCTCGGTTCGGGCGACTTTTCGGAGCGACAATGCTGGGCCTGTCATAAAGCGGCCGACAGGAGATGAACGGGTGAGCGACGTCACTGATAGGTTGGATCAAAAGGTGTGACTGTTCTCGCAGAAGCACGGCGTTAGAGAAGGGCGCAGCTGCACGTCAGGTTCAGCATGAGGTTCCCTGTGAGGTGATTGATAAGCACAAAGCTTGGTGGGGTAGGAGAAGAACGCCATCGAAGACAGTCAGAACAGACCAGCACTTGCAGATCACCGCTTCCTGTTCCTGGCAAGGCAGCCAATATGGCTTCTCAAAACTACCTCAAATACTGTCTTCGCATCTGGGCACATTAATGTGCTAACCCATATCATAGGCACACGTTGTGGCTTGTACTGTTTCGTTTCGATTTGGACAACTGCCGTAGCCTCCGTGGCTACTCTTCCAGTGGCGGCCACACTTTGGAGACGTGCTCCATCATATTATGATTGTGGTCAAGTCATGTTCAACGCACAGAAACATCAAGGGAGATGTCGATCCATGTTTGCTCATTTGGAAACGTTGCCCTCTACGGAAGTCCACTGCGAGAGGCGTACAGATGCTTCCAAGGTTCTGATTCAGCATTACGCATGATGCGTCATTGTCAACTGCCTCAGAAGTCTGGCACAGGGAATATCCAAGTCTCTTCGCACTTCGAAACTCTTTTCCTAATAGACACGGCTTCTTTGTAGGGATGCTCCGTCCACTAGCGTTGATAAAGTCGCACGAAATGGTGCCAAGACATCTGTTTCTCAAGGATGCCAAGAACCATGTTAAGGTAGAGAGACCACCATACACGCGACGGACATCCGCATGATTCGTGCGTGTCAAGATGACACGCTTGGAAATGTAGCCAGGTGGCGAAGTGGGAGGTGACGGTTCATTACTGCATTGAAACGCGCTCAATCACTAGTAGGGCTGAAGCGCGGAGAAAAAAGGGTCTAGGCTATGTGGGTCGATGCCAAGTCCAGCGTCACTGCCAGTCGCGACTTCCTCAATCGCAGGCGCGAGTTACAACGACTTAACCCTACAACAACAACACACCCACCAGACTCCACGACAATATGGCGGACCAAATCAAGCAGACAAAGAATGCCATCAATGCCAAGAGGCAGGCAATCGCCGAAGAGGAGGGACTCCGCGCAGGATGGGCTGAGAGTGTGAGTTGCGCGCCACCAGGCTGTCGCATTGACTTGGCTAATATTGCATAGCTCGCAGAGATGGACAAGCTGATTGCCAGCACTGGCAGTTCCGACGAAATGACAGTCATGCGCACAGACATGCTGAACGAAATCGCCAAACACGATGCTAAACTTGAGCGATTGCGTCCTGAGCTCGTCGCTCTCGAAGCTCAGCTCCCCCAGTCGCCCGCCGAGCCCGCAGGTCCCAAATTTGACCCTGAAAAGCACCCCGTTCTGCGCAAGGCCATGGAGAAGCAGGAGCCCGAGAAGGCAGTCTCATTTAGCATTGGCGACATCTGCGAGGCCCAGTGGACTGACAGGTCTTGGTACAAGGCCAAGATCCAGAGTATCCTCGGCTCCGTCTCAGCACCCAAGTATCTTGTTCGCTTCCTCGAATACGATGATACACTGACCGTCGATCGCACCGCCGTACGTCCTCTTGCGAACAAGCGCAAGCGAGATGCCGAGCCTGCTTCTGTTGCAACTCCGCCCGCGCCTGTTATCTCGAGCGCCCACGTCATCTCAGGACCTGCTAGCATGAACCCGAATGCGCACACTGGCAAGAACGCTACTCTAGAGGTAAACGAGGACAAGAAGCCTAGTCGCATAGCTAACAAGGGCATCTTGAAGAAGCGGCAGTCGAATTGGGCCGATTTCCAGAGCAAGGGTGCTAAGAAGGGCGTTGTCAAGAAGGAGTCCATGTTTCGCACTAGTACCGACGCTGGCAGCCGAGGTGAGCAACCGTTTTCATCCTTGTTTGTACCCTCCCACTAACATGCCACAGTCGGCTTCACAGGCTCTGGCAAGGGCATGACCGAGACCCACAAGCGTCAGCGTTACGACCACAAGGGTGATGCCGAGAAAGACGAAGAGTATTCTGCCGACCGCAAGCGCTTTTGAGCATACTGAAAGACGGCCAACGGACACTTTGTGGTATGTGATTGTGAAATTAAATCATCATGATACTTGAACCTCTTGCTTACGTTGCCCTTGGGCCAACCCTAGACCTAGGCATACGCGGTCATACAGCTATGTGGAGTGATCCATGGCTGACCAAGAATCAAAGCTACTTTTCAGAAGAACACGGAGCTGATCTGATACAGGTTTTCTCTCATACCACGGCTTGTCACGACAACCTACACGTGTCTCAACGAAGTTTACGGCATTTGCATATTTTCGGTATGACTCTTGGGTGCACATCTCCGTCTATTGAGCCATCTCACTAAGCACGACCGCTCTACAGGCGCTCTATACCCATTTCATCTGACATTGCTCGCCAAGCATCTTTCATGGCTATGGCCGGACATGGTGTCAGGTAAGACATGCTGTTCTTCACATTCCCTTGCATGTGGGCGGATGTTAGCCACCTGTTTTATGCACCATGGTGGCGTGGTGTGTTAGGTAGTCCATTACACATTTCGTGCTGGAAAATCTTCTGTAGGAATGAAACACGTGAAAAAGCAATGTGTGACTGCATAATTTTGTGACCGTAAAGTGTGCTGCGAGACTACAAACCTGTCGGCATGCTGCCGTGTCTTCCAGCGTGGTGGGTGCGGCTCTGTTCCCGAATGCCCCGCGGTCCCACCAAGACACACGTTCGCGTCTCTTAGCTCCGACCTCACCCCACGCCGCAAGACCTCAGCTACCGCGACGCGCCGGCCAACAGACAAGCACAAGGCATGTCGGAGTTGCTCGGTCGAGCTACTGAACTGCATTACGCGACTGAAGTATGGAGGCGGACTGGGATGAGGTATGCCTCCGTTTGTGCTCAAAATTATGCATACCGCGACTAACGATTGCACAGCTAGCCATTGCTCAGCTGCCGCCCCCAGGACCACATCTTCCTAATGTGCCCATATCTACATTCGCATTTGACACGACGCAAGAACTGCTATGGACGGGAAATAACCAAGTGAGTACGTTCACACATTATCCGTGCCGAGTGCAGCGGGACTTACAAGTCTACAGGGGCGCGTCACGTCCTTCTTCGGCCCTCATCTCGAACGATATACCTCATACCGCGGACACGCAACATCTGATGGCCCAGTCAAACAATTCCTCTTCACCGACAAGGGCGTGCTCTCAATCTCTAGGAACAGCGTCCACTATTCCCATCGCCGCGGGCTCACACAATGGCATCTGACGTACGTTGGCTACAGAAGGGGAATCAATGGCGCACACGGGCAGCGGCTGACTATCAGCATATAGGAGCGCCGAGTTCAAGGACATGAAATGTATGAACTTTACTTCCAAAGGTACGCGCGAGATCCTCGTCGCAGGATGTCAAGAGCAAATGTTCAAAGTGGATGTGGAAAAGGGCTTGATTACACATACGGTATGTCGTGTTCCTTGGAGAAGCTGACATCCGCTGACCAGTAGAAGCTCCCTGCCGAAGCACAGTATACCATTATGAAGCGCGCTGGACAGTACCTTTGTGCCGCTACTAAGAACGGCGGCATTCACATCTTGGACTCGAACTCGCTCTCCGTCATCAAAGTCTTTGAAGGACACACTGGTAGCATCAGCGATATGGACGCTAAGGGCGACTTCCTCGCAACATGTGGCTGGTCTCCTCGACAACAGTATGCGTACATGCTCGACCCGTTCACCAATGTCTTTTCCTTGAAGACGCTCAAACAGCTGCCTCCGATTCCGTTTCACACGGGTGCAGCCTTTGTACGCATGCACCCCCGCATGTCCACCACGGCTTTTATAGCATCTCAAAACGGCCAGATGCAGGTCATTGATCTCATGAATCCGGACTCGGCCAACCTCCGGCAGCTGAACTTTTATGAGTCTTACCTTACTGGCTTCGAGATGGCACCATCTGGCGAGGCTATTGCGCTGGCAGACTCCAACTCTCAGATCCACCTGTGGGGTTCTCCTACCAAGGTGCATTTTCCAGAATACAGTAACCCTACAGAGACCGCCGACCACAATACTCAACCGCCGCCGCAAATGGACTGGAGCCCAGACACGTAGGTTTTGTCTGGCATGACGTTATGCAGATCGCTGATATTTCCTAGGCCTTTGAGCACTGTTGGAATGCCATATTACAAGGAACAGCTGCTCTCGAGCTGGCCTAGTCATCTGGTCTTTGAAGTCGGCGCCCCTCCACCCAAGATTGATAGCGCGATACTCAACAACATGACTCGCACCGAGATCGGCTTCTTTGCCAAGAATCCCAGAACAAAACGCAGGAATCAGGCTGAAGCAACACGGCAGGTGGATAGAGTAAGCGAGTCGTTGTCGGCGCCCAAGTTCTTAAGCGAGAAGACTCGAGCCTCGCAATCTTTCACCGAACCAGATGCCATGGCGTCGGAGACCATGGAGACTCTGACTGATCTGCACCTCGACGACGTCACGCGCAAAGATGTTCCTGCCATGTATGGCAACGTAGAAATCAAGTACAGCAAGTTTGGTGTTGACGATTTCGACTTTGCGTATGTGTTCAGGTACACACTGATTACACTTGCACTGACTTGGTACCAGATACTATAATCAGACACCGTACTCCGGACTGGAGACGCACATCACTAACTCCTACGCCAACCCTCTTTTGCAGCTCTTCCGCTTCACACCGTTGCTGCGTAATCTTGCACTACAGCACACTGCTTCACCGTGTCTCTTCGAGTCATGCCTCCTTTGCGAGCTAGGCTTCCTCATCGACATGCTTGAAAAGGCGGCTGGTCTCAATTGCCAGGCATCTAATTTCCTGAAGACTTTCAGTGGCCTCTCAAATGCAGTCTCACTGAATCTTCTCGAAGAGTTCGCGCCTAATGTTGCGCTCACCAGTATGATCCAGAATCTCAATCGATTCTTACTCGAGAAGGTTTCGGAAGAGTTTCGGCAGATGCTACCAGGTCATACCGGTCCATCAGCCATGGACCAAGTTCTGGAAACCCAGGCGAAAGCAAGCATGAGATGTGCACAATGCAACAACGAGACCATTCGTGGAGGCAAGAACTTTGTGAACGAGCTCGTGTACCCGGCGAAGCACGTTATGAAGAACACACGGATACCACGTCCCACCTTCTCACAAATCCTGAAGGCAAGTGTCGAGCGGCAAGACCAGACTAGAGGCTGGTGCACAAAGTGCAACCGGTACCAACAGATGGTGCAGCGGAAGACGATTCAGTCAGTTCCTGGAGTACTAATGCTCAACGCTGCTATACAAAGTCACGAAGCGAAACTATTGTGGTCTATACCCAATTGGCTTCCACAAGAGATCGGAATCATAGTTGATCAAGGTCAGTTCTACTGCTTTGAGGGCCAAGATCTGAAGCTACACTTGCAACGTGGAGTACACCAGATCATGGTGTACGAGCTTGTCGGGATAGTTGCCGACATCAATAGCGGCGAGCATCAGAAGCCCCATCTCATTGCGACCATCAACACCGCACCCTCTTCTCGAGAAGAAGATCTGGAAGACAGATGGCACCTTTTCAATGACTTCCTAGTCCGGCCCATCCCCAAAGAAGAAGCCCTTCGTTTCGAACCAAGTTGGAAACTGCCCTCTGTGTTGACCTTCCAGTTGAAATCCGCGCGCAACAAGATTGACGACTCCTGGAAAGAGAACCTAGACACTTCCATCCTATACAGATGGTGGTCGTCCAACCCACCACCCCCGGACACGAAATTCAAGCTTTTACATTCCGAAGCCGAGAAACCGCGGCCGGGTTACCCTGTTGCGATCGATGCCGAATTCATCCGCCTTCAGGCTGAGGAAATTGAGATGAAAGCTGACGGTACTCGACAAACTATTCGTCCGGACCGAAAAGGTCTTGCCCGTGTATCTGTCTGCCGTGGCGAGGGCGAACAAGCAGGCCTGCCCTTCATCGACGACTACATCGCCGTCACCGAAACAGTGGTCGACTATCTGACTGAATGGTCTGGCATCTCGCCTGGAGATCTCAGCAGAGAGACTTCCCCGCACGCCCCGGTGTCACTCAAACACGCGTACAAGAAGTTGTGGCTGTTGTTGAATCTCGGCTGTGTCTTTGTAGGACACTCCCTTGCCAACGATTTTCGAACCATTAATATCCATGTGCCAAAGGTGCAGGTCGTTGATACGAGTCAGCTGTGGTTCAAACCGGATTTCAAGAGGAAGTTGAATTTGAAGTTTTTGGCGTGGTGTGTACTGAAGGTATGTTTTTATATGGCTTTTTATCAAACCGCAATTTGTTTGTGTTAAAACGTACGAGGCTGACTTGTTTTTCTTCTTTTTTTTCGCAGGAGAGTATTCAGCAGGAGACGCATGATTCGATCGAGGACGCGGTAACGGCGTTGAAGCTTTGGAGAAAGTGGCAGGAGTATGAGGATGCGGGGGTTGTGGAGACGATGTTGAATGATGTTTATAGTAGAGGTAGTATGGTGGGATTCAAGGCGCCAGGAAGTGGGGGGCGTATTGGAGGAGGGGGGAGCAGGGTGGTCAGCGGGAATTTTGGTGGTGGTGGTGTGCAGGGTGTGCAGGGCGGTGGAGAAGTGAATGATCCGTTGACGACACCGAAGAAAGGGGGGAGTCAGTTTGGTAGTATGGGATTCAGGAGTCCGCTCAGGCGGTGATGGTGCGCCGGGTGGACGGATAGGCTTGACAATGTGACTGGGAGGTAGAAAGTAGTGATTATCAAGCTGTCCGAAGCCTTTAGTGCGCCGAGAATAGGAGTTGAAGTGGATCAGTTGTATTGTGTTATGGAGGATACATCTAAAGAACGATGATAACAGACTCTATTTTCAGAGATCGACTTGCTTGCGACTTTGGTCGTGGCTAGGTATGACGTAGATGATGTCATTCTGACCAAAAAGACTGTGACCCGGAGTTGATGAAATCGACCAAGACGACGATAAGGCGCATAGTCAACTACAGTTTTCCTGATGTGACGTGCTTACTCGACGAGTCGACGTTGTGTTTGCTAGTGCGGTTGTGGCAACATGTCAAGTCTAACCTATTTAGGCTGGAAGGCGTATCTGCATCATGATACATGCGACTACTTAAGGTTGCGTCAACTCAACTCTAGATCCAACAACCACGACGACTTTCATCTTTCCTGTTCATCCGCACTTCAAAGCTCTGTCTAAATATTATACTATGTCGGACGAAATCGGATCTTACGGCTGGACTGCCGTCCCAAGAGACCGTTCCAACGTCCCTTCTGCCGAGAAAGCTGCTGCTCCCCAAACCAACGCGGCCGCGGTCGACATCACAGGCATCTGGCCAGACAACGAGTTGACGGAAAAAGCGCGTGAATACGCAAAGCGCGAGTTGCCTACCGAGACGTACAACCACAGTCTCCGAGTTTACGCCTACGGTAAGCCACTCTACCCAATCTCATGCGGCTTCAGAAAAAAGAACAACACCTTTTTCGCCGTACTAACAACAGAAAATTGTCACTGACACGCCCTCTATCCAAACTGAAACTAACACACCGCAAACCAGGTCACCAGATTGTCACGCAGTACTTGCCCGACTGGAAGTCGAGCACCTTTTTCGAAACGTGGGCATTGACATGCCTCTTCCACGATATCGGCACTACAGCGCAGAACATGTCGTCTACGCACATGTCGTTTGATTTCCAGGGCGGCTTCATCGCTCTGGCCAAGTTGCAGGAGCTTGGTGCGCCAAAGATACAGGCGGAGAGTGTTGCTGAAGCTATTATTCGGCACCAGGATCCTGGTGAGACTGGCACGATTAGTGCCATGGGACAGCTGATACAGGTTGCAACTGAGTTTGGTATGTATAAGTACTATTGCTGCTTCTGACAGTTTTTTCTTTCTTTTCTTTTTTCCCCGTTGAAGAGTTTGTTGTTGTTTCTGAACGATAAATACACCTTAACTAACTTGAAACTCAAAGATAACATGGGTTGGCAACCCCATCTCATAAGCCGTGAGGTGATTGAGGCGGTAACACGACAACTACCCAGACTGGGCTGGTCGACTTGCTTCTCGCAACAGATTCGCAAGGAGATTGAGCAGAAGCCCTGGTGCCATTCGACAGCGATTCCGGGGTTTGCGGAGGCTGTGGCTGGCAACGAGCTTATGAAGCCGTATGAATAAGGCTGGGGGGCGTTGGCATGAATGGGGAATTGGAGACTGTGATGGATAAGAAGAGCTATGCACAGGTACAGAGTTGTCAGAATATTATGATTGACTGAACATTAACGAAAGACCTCGACACTGCAGCTGATGTTTATGTTGATTTCCCTAGCTACTTTTGACACGCCACGCTCTCAGGCTAAGCCACCACGTTCGGTTCCATCATTGCTATCAACGTCTTGCTCTGAGACCGCCGCGTGGTCGAAGCCCTAGTTGCCAATTGAGGTGCGGCTCGAAGCGGGCGGGAGATCATACAAGATGGCTCCTGAAAGGGGTGCTTGAATTCCCTCCAGAATCAACATTGCTCACGGATGAGAGGGCAGGTACAATAAGAGCAAAAGTACCCTGGTAAACACAGGAAATCTCAAGGGAATTCGACCTTATAGTCCGTAGCACGAAACGTGCACGGACACTTCATCGGGGAGTTCCAACGCATTGAGCGCACAGACAGAGAACCAACGCAGGGTAAACGCCAAACTACTAGTTACGCCACTATTCCGCCCTAACATGACAGCATAAATGCCGAGAATATAGTTTCGCCGGTTTCAACCATCAAATATCTGAGTGGGAAAGCAGCCCAGGAATAGTCTAGCTAGGCGCCAAGCAGAGTCAGCTGTTCTAGAAGATGATTACAGTACACCAAGACAGCTACTACGGTAACACCAGGTCAAGCGGAACCTGCCGTGTGTGCAAGATCTGTCTAGATCTTGATGTATCCTTGATCCATCAAGACCAACTGAGCTACGGTGTTCAAGATGTAGTACGCTAGATTGCTGTTTGTTCTTTGCGTGATCAAAGCATTTTGTATTGGCTTTCACTTGCTACTGGATGCCAAGAGAAGTATTGCATGCCATCCGTAGATGGATTGACCGCTCTCGCATTCGCAGTGTTCGAGGTCGTAAGATACCAAGTGTTGTAGTAATTTCTCAAGGAGAATGCTCAAGTATATAACTTCTATGCTGTCCTACTTGAAGATATCATCAGCTCCATCAGCATCTTCACCAGCACCTTCACCAGCATCTTCACATTCGTTACAGTCCAAGTCTCTCAAGTCTTCATACCATCATTACAGCCCCATCGCTCAAATACTCCACTGTCATCCATCTCTTCATTTTCTAGACAGCCCAACCTTCTTCCACCATGCAGTTCACTTCCTTCACGCTTGCCGCTCTCGCCGCTTCGCTAGCTTCTGCTCAAGTCCTCAATGTCCCTGCCAGAGTCGGTACTGTCCAGCGTGCTTCCAACGCTCGCATCTCTGTAAGCAGAGATTTCGGCATGGCGGAGTATGACAGCGGCATCACCTGCGATGACGAGACGAACGGACCGCCAGTCTTCATTCTCGACGATGGCGTGACCATCTCGAACTTGATTATCGGTCCCAACCAGATCGACGGCAAGATTCTTCCGACCTCACTTCCAGAAGAAGTTTACTAACTTTGTGCAGGCATCCATTGCCGTGGGCGTTGTACCTTGAAGAACGTTTGGTTCAGGAACGTCTGCGAAGGTGCGATAGTCTTCTCATCCACAACGAAAGCATGACAACTAATATCCTGCAGATGCCGTCACAGCTCTTGGACCAGGCGATGTTCTCATCGAAGGCGGCGGTGCCACAGGCGCCAACGACAAAGTCATCCAGCACAACGGCAAGGGCCGCGTAACCATTCGAAACTATACCGTCACAAATTCGGGAAAGCTCTACCGTAGCTGCGGTAACTGCTCCAACAACCGTGCAAACAGTCCTCGTCAAGTCGTGATTGAAAATGTTCGCGCCAGCGGTATGACATCGGATCTTGTTGCTATCAACAACAACTTTGGCGACACGGCTGTTATTACTGGTACCTGTGGTAGCAATAACAAAGACGTTTGCATGAACTACTTGGGCGTTGAGAAGGAGGCGGGGAGAGACGGTCCTCCAATGAAGAATAACAATGGTTGCTCTGGTCAAGGAAGTGTTGACTCCCTTCCTGTCTGCAGATGAGCAGAGATATAGCTCGTGGGAAAGCACAGCGTGATGGTATGTATAAATTGAGACATCTGTTACTCGGCTGGAGATCGGCATGTTGTACCTAGTAATGAAAAAAAGACGAAGATCGAAATTTGCTCGAACGTATCACTGTGTTAGTTCTTTGACTTTCTTTGTTTTCAATATGCAAGTGCTCTGCTATCTATTCACCCATGCCATGATCTACCTATTTTTTTCAGAAAAATATACTTTGCGCATCACAAGTATCATTTGAGCATGTTCACGCACGCGCCAAGATAGAACAGCAGAGAAGGAATCTGTGGATGAGGGATGACGAGCGTGTGATGGCCTTGTTTGTCAGCAACAGCAGGTAGCTAACGGCAAGGCTCGTTCGCGCACGCTACGTTGCTTCTCGATCGTTTGTGATTAACCATCACTTCCAACGCCCCTCTCAAACACTCCTGATACCATCTATCAGTTCTCGCACATATTTGAATTCCTCCCCTTCTTAAGCCAGCATCTGATTTCCATATATATCGAATAGATCTTCTTGTACTCACCCGTCGGCCTAACAGCAATGTCCGAAACATCTACCCCAGAACCGTGCTCGCTAGGGACATTCATCGTAGAGAATCCCAATACAGCTGTTGTGCAGCCTGATACCCCGGAGGAGGAAAAGGATAATGAAGTAATTGAGCGTGGTGTATCTGGGAAGAGTGATAATGGCAGGTCTGAGGGTGGTGAGGAGACGGTGACGATTACGACAACAACAGTGGTCATAAAACGTAAGGACTGATGCAAAGACCTAGGCTTGCAATATGGTAGTACCTCGTTCTACGATTGCGACAACTGTACACTTACTGCTTGAAAGTAGTTGTCTGGGCAATGATATGTTGGAATTTATGCATGCTGGAGCTTGTTATCGCGTGACTTCCTTCTACAAATACTCAAGTTTGGATGAATAGACATACGTGAAATGAAGAAAAAGAGCACAGACAGTAATGAATTCCTCATAACGGTGAATTTGCTCAACCGCAGCCCATTCATCGAGGGTATTTCAGACTTGTTGTTGTTCGAATCCTAATCGCTTGCCTCAGCATACGAGTCGGGCTGACCGACGACTAAGAACGCCTGGGCTTCATCCCTTAAGAACCTGGTCGATCTCCGTGGTACGCCTGCATAACTATTATCTCGTTCCAGCAGGTTAGCAAGCGAAGCTGGGTCTACCGGCAAAACAAGTTTGAACCTTAAGCCCAATGCTATGCGAATTGCCAGATATGCGAATAGTGTTCAGGAAAGATTGCTAAACGCCTATCGGAAGGCTGCTCGCAATTCAAGAAAGCCGAAAGCCATGGTGTACCATGCCTGCAAGGGTATTGAGCAATATAAGCCAGTCATGCACAGTCAGAGGGGGCGTTCGCTTCCAGCACCAACCAGCGATCTGGGCGAGATTCCTGCCTCGCAGCTGATGCCTAGAGTCATGCACAATCATGCAACTGCGACATGAGCTGAGATGACGCAGCAACGAGGAATGCTGATTTGCCTTTCTGACCTTGCCAGGCCTCTTGGTCGGCCTAAGATACTGGGAGCGCTTCCCCTAAGGCCCAACTCAAGATATCAGCGACCAAGGAGATCTTTCAGACCGGCGGTTGTAACTACAATGGCATCTACGCCCGGTGAGCCAAAACAGCGTAGATGAGGCTAAAATCATCAAAATCATCCTAAGAAAGTGCTGTGCAGATTGCGCGCTCAACTAAGGTGGCGCAGCGTCCACACCGGTCGCCGGCCAACATGGAACGATGTATATATATGTGCGGGGTAAAATACTTGCGTCTTGATTCCATACCAATCTTACGTCTCCAAACCTGCCTGCAATTCACGCACAACAATAAATGGCCGCACCCCCACAGTTGCAACCATGGACACTAGATGTCAGTTCGCTTATCGTCCTGATCAGTGAAGACGAGGAGCGGAATTACCGACTGAGCCGGCGATCACTTCTCCAATGCCTCGTGGCTGCTCCAGTTGTCGGTCTCCAGAATTATGTTCGATCCTACGACATGTTACTCGACACGAGCGCCGAAACATACTTTTCACCGTACGGAGTCAAAAGTGCCCCGCTGCGCAACATCCAACTCTCGAATGCTTTGAAGATAAACAAAATTTTGGAAGATGGGCGATATACCGTATACAAGATACCGAGCGATAGTTCCAAGTCAAAGAGTGTCAACAGGAAGAGCCAGACCTTTCTGGCACTTTGGACGTGTGCCACGTGGGCCTTCTTCGCCGGTTTGATTTTCGGTATATGCAAAAGTGACCAGACGACCTGGGTCTCGCTCGCGACTTGCATCACGTTCACTGGTTGGTCTGTCATGATCCGCCTCATTGAGCACGTCAATGTTGTTCCATCAACGAATGGCCTAGATCATGTCAACGATCCGAACGCGCTTGACGCTGTATTCATCATGGGCCGTAGTAACTCAGCATTTGTTCTGGAAGGAAGTCGCAAAGATGTGAAGAGCTGGACTAGCAGTGGCCTTATTTACCGAGAATGTCCGCTAGGGCTTCCAGCCTCAGTTTGGCAGCTTTTCACCAGGATAGGCAGCCTCATGGTTCTGCTCTCATTTCTCACGAGTATACCCAATGGAAGCACGGCAGACCAGGTCGCTTTTGTCATTCTCAATATCGTAGCGCAGGCTAATGTTCTTGTTGGTCAGTGGGCGAATAGCCGGTGCGTGCTGTCGAAGTTATCCATGATCGAGAGTATCAACGATCCTCAAAACCTTACAAGAACGCACATATACGCAGAACTCATAAGACGGTTTTGTCAAGCTGAAGATGTGCACGAATGGGTAGAAGCATCGAACATGCTTCCAAGAACGGAGGTCTGGGACAGGTGGAAAGTGCAGATTAAGGAAGACGCTCAAAAGGATCCCAAAAAGCTTTACCGGGAAATCTCCAAAGACTTCGAAGATTCGCGGAGAGCTGCGGTCTCCAAGCAAGACACATACACATCAACGGAAAGCGCTTGATACAAGAACGTCAAGAAATGATATTGATAGGCAAGAAATGGCTCCTCCCCTCGACAACAAGGCATTGAGAAACTGGTGTCTCCTCGCAGGAATCTTGTTGGATGAAGCCTTCCAGTATACAGCGCATTCGGACTGATCATTGGAGATAGACGTTTGTTACACTTGGGGTACAACATAACGTCATCTAAGCTCGAAAATTCGATCTTCTGCACTCCCTTCCTTGTAGAATTTAGCACGCAATGCTTCCCCGTCCATGAAACCATGGACATAGCTTTCACCCTTGAAGATATAGTATCTGTTAGCATCGAGGTTTGGATCGTCTTCCGCAGACGCATCATGGTTCAAGCTGACTTCGAGATTAAGCGGTACGTGTTCGGACAGACTGGCTAGCGTGGTTATGACGACGGGCGCAAGGGTAGCGGCCCAGTTAGGGAGGTCGAAATATCTTGATGCGAAATAGATGGCACAGGAGATGATGATCCAGACCATGTCCACGAAGAGATGAAGGAATCTAGTCACCACGGAAACATCGGTCTCCTGCTTAGTATCCAGCTTTTTTTTCTTGCTTTGTTCATCCTCTTCTCTGTCCCGCTCGCTGACTATGACCTTCTCTTTCCCTTTAAGCTCGGCCCTGATCACTCCCCTGGTAATGGCCCTGTCCCTCTGTCGTTCCTGGTCTTCTTCGGAGTATCGTGTCAACAAATCCAGTTCATTGTTGAGCCTTTCAGTACTTGATTTGACCTGCGCCTCCCACATTGGATTCTTCGACTTCTTCTTGTTATACCGATATCTTCGCACCATGATTCTCTCCAACCTTTCGTAGCAAGATTTGAATGCCTCAAAATGGTCCTCGAATTCATCCTGCTTTCTCTGTGCAGGTTCTTTGTGTTGAATGCTCAAGATGACTGGCACTGTACATCCATAGAGAATGCAAATCTTGTCACCAACCTTCACGTCACTACATGCGATCCCAAGTTTTCCAGATTCAGTTCTGAACATGGATCGACCCCATATGACAGCATGTACCCTTCGGCAAAATTCTGCGATAATGGAATTGCGTTCGTTGTTGATGAGAGCTGTGGTATCGACCCTGCCACTCGCAATGCCTCCTCTGCTCACTGATTCTCGACAAGCTCTGGCATAATAGTTGGGCGGATTTCGATTGTCATTGCCTCTATCAGCGACAAGCGTTCTCCAGAGCTCGCCCGGTGGATCGTTGTCATATGGTGATTCCCAACCGCCCAAATCGAGCCAAGATCTAGGAATATTTCCTCCCTGTGAGGCTTGTACTACTGTTTTCACTGCATCGATGACGAACCCCCGAACATAGAGGCTATAGTGACCTGCGCATGGCCTTTTCCGAAATTTGAAGCCCTCGGAAGATTTGAGCGTCAAGCCTTTCGTTTGTGCAGCGCTGTAGTTTCGATGACCATCTGTTGGTTCTCCAACTAGGGGGTTTGCATTGGCTCTTCCAGTCTTCTTGATGTGCATACCGGGATGTGGATAGAGCTCGAATGGCGCCTTTTTGGCGCGACAAACCCACGAAGGCAAGTCTATGTCGCGGTCGATGTTTTCCGGTGATATTTTCCTCGCCGGTCCTCGTTTGGCTGACACCGCAACGAGCGCTTCGACCTTGTTCCACTCCTCAGGCTTCTTCCACGTAACTTTACGGGACGTGAGAATAGTGTGTGTCCAGGAAGTATATGTCCAGGATTCTGTCATATCTCCTATTTCCTTCTTCCTATTTTCTTCCCAGTATTCTTCCATCTCACGGTCGTCTTCGACCCAATCATGGCTCTCGATCTTTGTAGGCTTATCATACGTCCACTCGGGCTTTTCTGGTGACCATTCCGGCTGCCTTGGTTTCCACTTCACTTGGCAAAGTAGTCGTTTCCATGGTACCTTGCGTTCAGGTTTCAGGCGCTCCTGTCCTCGGTTTCTGGTCGAGCGTTCTGGTGACAGACGTATAGATCTACCTTGTGGCGGTTCCAATGCCCAGGGGCGACAAAGAATATCCAGTGCCTGCACTGGTTCACGCGCATGCGTGCGCTGGATGCAAAACTCGACAAAATCTCGGCAAACATCTGAGTATGGTCGGGCGTAGTCGACTCGGAATGGCTTTTCCGCGAGGAAAGAATCGAAGAGTGTCATTGTAAGTGATACATCATCATAAGACCGGTCCGGATCTGCGAACGGTGCAGCATCTCTGGCTATAGCCAACATGGAGTAGATCGAGTCTCGACATTCGGTCGCTCTGAAAATGAACATGGTCGTGACGAGGTACTCCAAGCTGAGAAGGCTTCTTCGGTCAAGTGGATCAATCGTATGTACCTCCTTCATCCACGCCACCATATCTTCAGGGGTTTCGTCATCGCCGTGATCATCATCCATTGGGGTTTTGTGGGTACGAAAGATCTTGCCTGTTGCCCCTACAAGAAGACTGGCTCCAAGTTCGGAAACGTATTCGAACATACCAGGTACATGCAGAAACTTCTTGTCCTTCCACATCACTTCTGACAATCGATGCGTAGCGGTCTCGACCTCCACGAATAGTTCTACAGCAACTGCGAACTCTTTCCAGGGGATGGAGTATGGGCCGCAGTAGATTCGAGCGTTCTTGGCGAGGGAAATCTCTTGAACGACCCAGCGACGGGAAAACCATTCCTTCTGCATCAGCTTCATCAATGCGTGCCACCTCTCACTATAGATTTCGTTGGAACTAATTGTATCGAAGTCCTTCAGATGCGTGATCTTCTCACGTATAAATTTGATCGCAAGCTCGTCTGCATGATCATCGCTGTCTTCCCCAAGCCATATGCAAACGTTCGATGATCTCGTGTAAATCCTTGACATCATTTGCACCTGCTGATTGCGTTCTTCGGAATTAGCCTGATCAATACATATGGCGTCTATCCAAAGTGTTCTGTAGACGCAAAGGTACAGTGTTAGCGAAAATTACATATGCAGTTCATGCAATGGCGACCGACCTTGTCTTTTCAGGATGACGGAGATATTTTAAAGCTAGCGCCAAGTCTTTCCTCACCCTCATCTTGTAAGAGGTTCCAGCTTTGTTTATGATTACAGCATGCTTTGGGTCGTCTCTGCCCCAACACCATGATAAAGCTTCATACTTCATTCTGTTCTCTTTCACCCATTCATATTCTCTTTTAAGCCTCTTTTCCGAGTTTCTGATTTGCTGAAGTTCACTACGGTAGCGCTGAAAGGCTGCAAAACTTTCATCGATGGCTCTGGTAGGGATATGGAAGGTGTTGTCGTAATCGGCTTCGATGAGTTCACAGTATATGGACGGGCAGTAAAGTGTGTCGCCATTGAGCTGCAACAAACGAATTCTCTTCTTGGCTGGGGGCAAAGGATCAAAGACGTAAGGTTTGATCTTATCATAGGCTTTGTGATCATACTCCAGAATCTCGGAGCGTATGGTCCTATGCGACAGGTTAGGGAGGATGTACACTCAGATTTTGACTCGATCCCAGGATTCAAACCTCTCAGGAAGGGATTCGTCAAGTTTAGCCATGTGATCGCGTGAAACAGGCGATTCTTGCTACTCCGCCTCGGTAGGGCTACAAAGAGACGTATGGTAGACGGCGCTTCGAAAAACGAGGTATTATGTAGGAACGCTTGCGCACCGGCTAAATCACATGGATAGCCTGGTACCTTTTTATAATGACAGCTGCGATAGGGATTATCGCTTGCGGCAGACAAGCCATACTCTGTCTTCGCCGCCACCATAGCCGCCACTACTTCCATCATCACAAGGCTGAACTGATTCGTTGCCGGTCACGGAAAGGCTCCTTCTTTCCGCAAATGTAGTACCAAAGGTAACATGTTGTGAATCATCTTCAGCATCAGCAAATCTCAATGTTCGCAGTGACGGACGGGGAAGGTAGCTTCTACGTCGATGCAGAGCGTTCAACAGCAGTTTGCGGGCTGTGTGTTGAGACGATGGGGGTCGAGCGACGGCAGTTCGCATGGCCTGGGTAAATCAGAGGTCGTCTTTACCAGACCAACCACGCAGAAGGACGAACGCCATGGGCGCCAAAGGATGATCCTCGAAGACTGAACAAAAAACCAGCTGGTGTTGCAGCTAGTCATCTGATGCAAGGTCCCCAGCTGGCCGATGCGAGGAGGGGTGGGGCGCGTCCCGCTCGTTGGTCAAATCCTGTGTGTACGCGTGCAGTGGGCTGATCCTTTCGCTGCAATCGATGTAGAAAGCAATACTCTCTGCAGAGGGCGAGCTTCAAGCTGACCCATCAGGAAACCAATCGGCTGGGTGTCGCGGGATCGGCGCAGGCCGTCTTGCGATCAGCTTTGGCGGAAGGGATCGTCACCGGGCCGCGCGGGGAAGCCGCACAGGCACGCGTAAGGGGTGTTGGAAATTGGGGCAAGGCCAAACGTTTCGAACACAACCTTTTATCTCGAACACACGCGATCACCACTCGACTCAAGACACGATCAGATGAGTCTTATCAACGGTCGAACACACAGGGCTGACGACACGACTGTATAGCCTTGTAGGCACCAGCTGTGTTCAGCCCCGGTGGCTTGCAGTGGCTTACCAAATCCATGCACTTAGCAATCCGCCAGCTCTTGCAGCTTCCATTGCCCCATCCCTCATAGCCATTCGCAAGATACCGCTTATTGCATCCTGATTCGGTTCACAAGCGGCTAATGAGTCTTCCTGGAATCGTTGTTGACGAACTCTTTGCTCTAATTTGAAAACAACGGCGGCTGATCACGCCTTATATGGGAAGTCTTGTAAGTCTCATTTGCCCGTCCCGTGCAGCAACAATTTGATGTTCTGGCCCCATCCTGACGTCGGAAAGCTCTCGCAAATCCTCAACGAACACAAATCATACTGCGAGCCGCGAGTCGCATTTAGTTGAGATGACTTCGGTGTTATCTTTGTACGAGTCTACCAACGGCCTGTATTCACATTTGGAAGGGACCGGCCCAGTCCGTCTTATCAGCCTCCTCGCAGGACGCCCGAGCGATAAAATACACGTCAAGCTTGTGTCGACCAATCTGGTCGATGCCGCCAATACGTACGAAGCAACATCATACACGTGGGGCGACCCCACGATCACCCATATCATCTCATGCAACGGTCGCAACTTCACGGTAACGATCAGTGCATACCAGTTTCTGTGGAGACTCCGTCTCGAAGATGAAGATCGACTTCTCTGGATGGATTCCATTTGCATAAACCAAGCAAATCATGAGGAAAAGGCCCAGCAGGTTCCCATGATGGGGGATATCTATCAAAAAGCACGTAGAGTCGTGGTTTGGCTTGGTGAAGCCTGTAATGATAGCGACTCGGCTATGGATTTTGCGGCGAACCTCGAAATCTCGAAGTCTTTAGAAGAGTTCGAATACTCGAGCAGGATTTCCTCTAATCATCCTTCCTATACCCGAAACACTTATCTTCTCAACGAAGCAATTCCATCAATCGATAGACGCGAGCTAATACAGAGTCTATGTTCTCTGGTGCAGCGGCCGTGGACAAGACGTGCTTGGGTTCAACAAGAGGCCGCTTTGTGTAAGGATACTGTTGTCATGTGCGGCAGTCGTTCAGTACCATGGGATCACTTCTTCGCCGTCAGCTGGATGCTCACAGCCCCCAAGGCTTGGCAGATACCTGATTGGATCGAATACGACTCGATGGTAAATTCTCTGCGAGCTCTGAGCCATATCCAAAGTACTCGTCAGGCTATCTCTGGCGGAAGAAGTACTACCATATGGGGAACCTTGTCGATGATGTCGGCGTGCCTGGCCACCGATCCTCGCGACAAAATATTTGCTACTTATGGATTGTTACAGCAGTCACTCTTGAGATCTGGAGGTTCCCTTGCGCACAAATTACCCAAAGTCGATTACTCGCTGCCTTGGCAAGTCGTCTACACCCAGTGCGCGAAATTACTTTGCGAGAACGTACTATTCGATTGGAATCAAATGCTTCTACGTGCAGGAAGAGCCAAACAACGCGACATGTCCTTACCTTCATGGGTGCCTGACTGGCGTTACACAACAGAGCTACGCCTTTTTCTTGATCACCATTATAGTGCTGGGGGACCGCAGGTGGAATACCATCCGTACACCTTGAAATTTGCCCAGACGCCACGCCGGTTGCGAACTGATAACGACTTGTACACTTATTTTACTCCGAGCGGAAAGCGTAAAACCTTACCCATCCAGTCGCTTGCGTTACAGTTCATTATGCAGGATGTCGTCATCTATACCAGTGGATGCTTGAATTCAGAGCAGCGTGGTAGTGACTTTCATTGCGAGTTGGCAGAATTTGTGAAGTCAACAGAACAGCGATTACTTGCTCTTTCGCCTTCTACATACATTAATGGCGAGACTATTCTAGAAGCTTTGGCAAAGACCCTTCTCTGTAGTCGAGACTACCAGGAGCTTCTGATAGAACCGGAAATCAAGCTAGAAGCCGAGTACCAGAAATATCTGCAGAGCTTTCTGGCTGGCGTGGTCAACCACGAGCTTCCTTACGCAAGAGACTTTCGCTTATCCTCAGCTCTCGTTGAAACTCAACTATGCATCACTGCCAGAGGATACATGTGTCTGGTTCCAAAAGAGATCCAAAATGGCGACTACATCGGAGTTGCTTGTGGATTACAGATGCCATTGGCATTCCGAAGAGTTGGCCAAGATGCCAAGGGGCAGCTGCAGTATGAGCTTTACAGCGAAGTATATGTACATGGCATGATGTGTAGCCAAACATGGAACTTGATGGAGGATTTCAGACCAAAGCTTAGCGCTGAGGAATATGCTTTTCTAAACAGCGAACCGCCGTCCAAAGTTATTCAGAGCCCCGGAACCTACAAAAAGCGCGAAAACTTCGAGTCAGCCCTTGATATCGGGTACGAACAAGTGCTGGCCACAATAGGAAAAAGAACTATTGTCTTCATTTGACGCACTGTGACGCTTAAACAAAGTATCGTGGCGTCTAGATCGAGTGTAACGAACAACCTCTGGACATAACTCCGTCGGAGATACGAATACGTCACACCTCCGTTGGATGGATACGTGCATGGGGTGCTTATCGACCCAGAGAATTGCAAACACAACCCTGAACAGCTTGTTGGGAGCCAGGTCAAGTGCGATGGAGAGACTGCTGTCGAATTTACATCGCGAATGGTTGATGTTGTACGCCAGATCAGGGAAGGTCCGAAAAGTCCCCTTGGTGCCAAGGTCTGGCATGGTCTTGCACCTGGCGCGAGTTACTTGTCCACGTCAAACATAAGCATATACCCTGATGGCGTAAGATCGATAAACCAAATGGCCACTAGTTCGCGATGCACTCCTTCCACCTAGAACTAGTTCTTCTGCAGTCTAACGAGAACGCTACTTCGCGATGTGGACACCGGCCTTCTACGAGTGGCAGTGGTCTATGGAGGCTGAAACAGTCAAATCGGCTGCTGTCCGCCATTCGGGTGTTGAGATGATAACCTGGCATGGTCTCGCTGATGCCATCGTTCCCTACAAGTATAGCTCGTATATCGAGAATGGGTGGAGCACAGGATGGGAGGTGTTGGAGAAGATGACAAGTCCTACCGAGCGTTCTTAGCGCCTGGCGTTGCTCATGTCTTTGGGGACACTGGTCCAGTCCCCATCGATCCCATGGTTGCCGTAGTCGATTGGGTTGAGAAAAGTAAAGCGCCTGACAGCATCGACAGCGCCACAAGGGATGAGGCTAATGAGAGAACCACACGAAAGCTCTGCAAATGGCCTGCAAGAGCTGGGTGCAATGGTACAGTCAATCCAAAAACCGCGGCCAGTTGGTTATATTCCAGCAGCAATAGAGGGTCGGCCAAAGTTGGACATGCTGAATGTCAGTGGCGCGATGAACTGTGATCGTGCATCTGCTCTTCTGCCCAAGGGAGGTACACGCCACGAGTAAACCGCCCTATCTGGAAGAGATGTAAAACAAAAAAGAAAAAACATACAGCAGCGGGAATTCGCTAGTGGTCACCCACCTAATTACTGATCCGCCGGTACACTTCTTGTATATGGCTGAGCGGACGGGAAGCCTAATTTTCAGTGTCCTATGGTCGTATGTAGCAGTTTGAACAGAACATACATCTATAACCTATTGATCAAAAAGCTGGCGCGCTAGTATGCCACTGCGATATCATGTAGGTGGAACGTGATATAAATAATGTCAATCCCTGCAAATACATAGTCTCTCTAGATTAGCTCTTACTCCAGCAATAAGCAATAAGCAAAAGGCGATAAGCAAGTTGCATGCCAGGAAGTCAATTGATATAGTCTGACTGTATCCAAGCGTCGAGTCTCTCCGCACAATGCATCATTACGGCAACTCCGCAACTCCAGGTGCAAAGCGACGATTGTTGAGCTCGTATTGCGCATCAAGACGCACGCCATCTTCAGCCTTGTGGGGATGCGATAGCCTTGGCGGTTTTAATTATAGCCTAGCGTTGTTTTGATCAGGTCTAGCCCAAGAGAACTCTAACACCACTTTCGCTTCACGAGTCAGCCCATGCTTGGAAGTCTCCTATTCACGATGTAATATATTCTGGTCGCTCCCGTTCACGAATGTCGTAACGCGTCCCCATTCGCCGACCGTTTCTTAACCCAAGTCACTCGTTCCGACGGTTTTTCTACACAATGCGTTCTTCGATGTTATTGGCCGTTCCGGCCCTTCTATTCCTTAATGTTAATGCGTTGCGCGTCAGCACCTCGAGTGTTTGCGGTAAACAGTCCTGGAACACGCTTACTTGCAAGAATTCGTCTTGGGGAAACTGTTGTTCTAAGAATGGACGTTGTGGTTCCACACCACAACATTGCGGAACTGGATGCCAGGCTAAATTTGGGGACTGCAAATCGCCGGTATCTTCAGCGCCAGCGGTTATCGTTTCCACAACACCTGCGGCGTCATCGAAAACACTTGCAGTATCCTCGACGAAACTCGTAGTATCGTCTGCAGTACCCGCAGTCTCATCAGCAGCACCCGTACCATCGTCCGCAGTACCCACAGTATCATCGAAAGTACCCGTAGCATCAGCGGCCCCGGTTGCTGGCGGAAAGATCTCCACTGATGGGACTTGCGGCGGAACTTCTGGCTTCACCTGCTCCGGCTCTTCGTTTGGCACTTGCTGTAGCGCCTATGGATGGTGTGGAACGTCCGCCGACCATTGCGGCACTAACTGCAATGCAGCCTTTGGGATTTGCGGAGCGGCGTCATCTTCACCGATCTTGTCCACGACTGCAGTTCCGACTGCGACTTCGTCAGTTGCACCAGCACCCACCCAAAAGATCTCCGTCGACGGAAGTTGTGGCAACGGAGTGACATGCCTGGGTTCTTCATTCGGTGATTGCTGCAGTGCCTACGGATGGTGGTAAGTTCTCAATCTTCTCTGACTCTCTTCTCATACTAATATCAACCCGCAGTGGAAGCACCGCCGCATTCTGTGCAACAGGCTGTCAATCCGGGTTCGGAAAGTGCGATACTCCTTCCACCAGTCCAGCTCCAACCACCACCTGTGGCGTCGAAGGCTTCGCTAATGTCGAGGCATACTACGCTTCTTCGTTCAACTTGATCGATGCGACGGATGTCTCGACTTGTGCGACGCTATGTTTGGCCGAAGCGGAATGCAAGAGTTATTTGTTCAACCCGAAGCTTGGAAATTGCGCATATCTTAAGGATTCGCTCGAGCAGGGAGAGTTCATTGCTACAAGTGGCACGGATCAGCTTTTCTGGGAGAGGGCTTGCGCTGAGGCCAAGTAGACTTTGGGGCAAAAATGCTGGAGCTGTAGTTGAGGGGTTCTCCAAATATGAGAGATAGTTCATGCGCGTTACATTCGGGGACATTATGCAAGGTAATGAATCCAAGACAGCAGCTGGTCATAGCTCCTACCGTACCGCCTTCCGCGTTCTTGGGCGGGCCGTGCACGGTAGCATCTTGGCCTCAAGGCCCGCTCCAGCACTGCTATTCATTCTCGTACCTATCACCTCTTATCTTAAAAACCACCACCCTTGACATATCTTTGAGAAACCTATCCGTGCTTGATCATAGAGTTTGAGGTTGTTCCTATGCGGTCGCTCTTTCGAATCGGGCAGGTTTTGAAGGGGCGTGCTAGCCAATACACGATCACGAACGAGATCCAAGATACTGTGTGGTTCGCCAAGTACACGGTATACATCCAATATTCATAGCAGATTCTCATCATTGCCAGAAACCATTTGCGAGAGCTTGTGGTGATCAAGAGCGTTCTCGACCACCCGCGAGTGCAGAATGAAAGAGATGTACTCAAAAGATTTCAGCACCGCGCTCCGTACCTCCGACCTTTGATCGATGAAATCGACGAGCCGACTCTTCCTGTGACCATCGCTCTTAAGTACTTGCAAGGAGATTTTTTAGAGGCGTCCATTGCAAGAACTTTGAATAGACGAGAATTGAAACACGTCTCGCGATGCGTACTAGAGGCATTGAAGACCTTACATGAGGACGGTTTTGTGCACACAGGTACATTGCTACCTTGGATAAACAATAAATTCTTTGTAACTGACAGACGGCATAGATGTCAAGCCAAACAACGTGTTCGTCAATCTGCAAGAAGGCGACGTTCGATTTTCCGACGTCCAACTAGGCGACTTAGGTGGATGCTACCCGGCAGACTCAGAATGGGCTACATCAGGTACCGTAGTAGGAACACCTATGTGGACAAGCCCAGAGATTCTTATGGAATTACCCTGGAACACCGCAGCTGACATATGGTCTTTCGGTGCTATGGTCGGTCAGCATTGCACTAGAAACATAAGTATAAATGGAAGCTAACTTCTTTACAGCTTATCAGTCTTATCTACGGTGGAAATTTCAACCTTTTTCTGCCGAAAGGACTGACACGTGAAGACGAAGAGTATGTGGTTGGGGTTGTTGTAGAGCAATTCAAATACTTCGGACCTTTTCCAGCCAAAATTGAAGAGATCGCACACCCAGAAACGGTCCAATCTATCATTTTGCTCATGGAAAATATCCCAAAAGAGAAGACGACGCCGTTTCGGCGAACAACCGAGAGAGAAGTAAGCCGGAAGGACAACATCTTCATATCAAAGATGATGAAACTCGATTGGAGAGACCGCCCAACTGCAAAAGAGTTACTGGAAGACGAATGGTGGGACAGCGACGAGGAATAGCATCATCTACTGCACCATTGAGTAAGACGAAGTCGCTTGTAGTGGGGTGACAACGATAAAAGACGACAGCAACGGTAAGGACTATCGAGATAGATAGCATCAAAGCAATTTATTTGACCAACACATGAATGTCCAGCATATGGACATAAGTCATGAACCGAGTAACTCACTAAGGCCAGCGACCCTCTCTCCAAGGCGCTATTGTCTTGACTAGAATCGAAATTAGTTTGGTTCTTCACCCGGCTATTGTTACCTGAATGGTCTGGAGAAGATACTGTGGGCTCTGTTGTGAAGGACCATTGAGATACGATCCTTTCGAGAACACCAACATGCACGGCTAGGCGTAGCAAATTAGAGAAGTAACCAGGAAGAAGAGAGACGGAGTGCAGGGTCATGAACTGAGCTAGGATGTTTTGGGGCCAGAGCCTCGGATTGGTATTGCTGAAATCAATGTCCTCAACGAGCCTGAAGGTGGGACGTGGTAGATCGACATGAACCAAAAAATGTGACCGAAGACCGATGTGCAGCCAGCTCCGATGGCTCACACTATCACTGTGGATTTGTTACCTCCAAAAGATGATCGCTTGGCCTATTTCACTCCAGTGTCAAGAACTCTTTGGCCAACTTCGACAGCTCTTTACTGACGGGATCATCCGAGATGTCAACAACACTTGGAATCCATGCTGAATGAACCTCACTGATAAGTCCGGGGCTTTCGTCGGCCTCGACTCTCGCATCCTCAGTGCCTTGTAGTAATTTTGCCTCTTCCGGTCGAATCTGATTTCTGATGATATAGTATGCTGTCCTGGTGATGTAATAGTTGCGGCCCTGTTCCCTCAACCCCTGGAGAGCAAGAACCAGACTTGATCGGAGATAATGAATATCTTGTGGACTCGTCGTATCGTTGATTCGTTGCAAAGACATGAAGCCTAGCTTCGCAAGTGGATTCGAGAGCCATGAATCTGCGCCTGAAAAGCTGTGACGGATATAGTACAAGCGCAGGACAATGTTGATGTCGCGTTCACATTGACTGACGATGCTCAGAAAGTTTAAACCTTCTACTTCAGCTTCCTGAATAAAAGGCTGACAAATTGTCATGAGGACAATATAGTAATCGAGACTAACGGGGTCAGTAATCCTATTTCTGATTTTAGTCAACAAACTTACTGCAACAGAAAATGAGCTGGGAGCACAATGTGCTTTGGTGAGAGGACCATAGGGAGAAGTTCAAACCATCTTAACAACCGACGAGCATATGTTCTTGTCTCATGTATCGAGAGTCCTGATTCATTCCCAAATGATCTAGAACCGATTGCATTGAGAATAACGATGTATGCAGATTTCGCTTTGAAGAATTGCGGAAACTGTGTTGACAAGATTGTAGAGCTTAAGGGGTATCTGTGCCACGATTCGCCGAACCAGGCCGGATCTGTTGATGGGTCAGGGAGAGTAACTATAGGTGGTTCACTTAGGAAAGACGGATGGAAAAAATGCCACTTCAAATGCCTGATGTTCTCAAGTCAGTCTCATGTGTTTTGGGGGTCCTTTCAACATACGTATCCATGTTAAAAAGACACCACGCGGTAAAATCTCTTGCGTGTCGATCCCGTTTCGGGGTTATATGCTGGCTGCCACTAAAGAGACCCATATCTTTGGCGATAGCAAGGCCTTGCAATCCATATAAATCACCTTGCTTGTCGAGACCGTGGAGGTTCAACACGACGTTGATGATCATTACTGCCTGAACTGACACAAGTTTGGGTCGGTTACCATCAGTTGTCTGAACTTCCCAGAGCCTCTTAGCTTCAGCAAGGAATCTGTAGCCGAGACTGTCGGGATCCCAATATCTAAAGCGATCGCCGAATCGGCTTGAACAGTACTGTGTAACGATATTAGCATAAATCCTTCCCTTTCAGCGTATTGACCTACGCATCCATATGCTAGTACGGCATTCACCAGCAACGCTGAGCAGAACCGAATATCGCGCTTGTTTGTTCGTGGAGACTGCATATCTTCAAAGAAGTAGTCTAGATGAAAAACAGGAAAGGTGTGGTATTCATGCATGAAATATGCTGTGAGTATGTCCCGCAAGAGTCCATCGTCCTTGCAGACAGATGTCCATTCTGATGGCTTCACCCTGTCCAGTCGTGGCTCAACGAGTACTGCCGCATGGTACGGTTTGACATACTGAGCTTGATTGGCTAATGGTACAGAGGTCGTGGAAGCACGCTCATGTTCTGTAACTGGAATTCCGTGCTCTTGTGTGTGTATTGAGTGCTGAGAGGTAGACTCGTAGATGGGCGATGTAAGGTAAGGGCTCCCGGAGGCTAACAAGACCGCCGGGAAGTTCACAGAATACGGCAAATCGTATTTGAGGCGAGTCTCCGGTACCAGGTGCATCTGTAACAACAGATCGCCGTCTCTAAAGCGACTCAATGTTGTCGCAAGGTCATCCCCAGACCTTACGCGGCGAAAAAGCTCAAGGGCATCGCTTTCGGGTAGCGATTTCAGAAGGCTGACCAGTTCCTCATGATTTGACCGGCTAGCTTGTAGGTCTTTGTATCTTTGCGTCGCCTGACGTGCTACTGTTGCAACATACCTGCAATGAGTCCGGCGCGTCAGGCACGCTCCGCATGTGGGCAGGCCACCATCACACTACAAATGGTGAACATTGCATTGCAATAGATGTTAAGAACTCCCTGACCTTGGTCTTAGATCGCCGACAACTTTCGCATGCCTGTGGCTTTGGCTTTGCTTTCTGCACCGATCCCGCTGGCGGGCCTCTGTCTTGTTTTGTGGTTTCCGGTAACAAAGGACGCAAGGGACGGCTCATCGAGTATAATGCTTGCAATGTTTGTGATAGCTCAAACAATCGGTCTTGGAGGACAGAGAGAGGACACATTCGTGTGAGCATGATTTCGCAATGACGAAAGGATGAGCTAGTTATCGGAGCAGGTGGCCGGACCAATGCCATACCCTGCCGAGATGGTCCGAGGACTTTCTCGCGGGTTGTGCTTGCAGGGATCGAACAGATGACACCAACATTTTTACAAGCTGTATACCGAGCACAGGGAACGCTGCTCCGGCCTCGTGTCGTTCTTGAAATGAATGACCAACAAGTTCCCGACGAAATCGATACTTGGGCAGTAATGGCTAATGTAAGCGTGCATGCATCGACTGCAACAAGTAACGACTACTTTCAGACTCCGCGGAAACAATTCATCGATGTTTGGTCGTAGCTGAAGATACCAGCATTATGCGGGTGAGGGACTGGTGGAGTGGCGAACCTGCAACAGGCTCATCTGAGGCTTGACATCTGCGGAGCGAAGACGCGAGCTAGCAGCCAATCTCACGTCGTGTTGCGCCAGCAGCGGAACCTTTTGACAGGGTTATCCCTGTTGCTAATTGAAATCCAGCCTAGCACAACCAAAGCACCCACAGTTACACCGTATCTCAGAGCGCGAGACTGGTACCCGTCACAATGTAGATTCCATGCTTTAGCATTCCACAAAGGCGACATCTCTGTCTTCACTGACGCGCGGCAATGACGCCGTTATGCGTGGACCTCGGGAAGGCAGCCTGTCACGCTAACCGATCTAGACATATCGCGTGTCGATATACAGGCTCGCAATTCTTCGACGGATTCTCAACTATGGACTACAGCAAACCTCGTATATCTTGACCAAGGTATACTTCATTCGTATGTTGCTGCTGAGGCTTCATCTAGACATGGCTGCATATTCGTGCACATGTGGATACGAGGCGGATGCGACGGCACAAGCCAAGAAAAGAATGGAAATGATGGAAGGCCTCATATGAGCAACTCACCCTCAAGAGTCAGACTGAGCTGGCACACGAACGGGAGTCTCTAGGTTAATCCTTTCACTTACAAGCCAGCTATGAATAAATATTCGCTTCTGCCCTGCCATTCCCGAGACGCAAAAATCCGTGCTACCCTCTTACGTATATCCTATCGTATTACTACTCTGCTCTCGCGCTCTCCAATCTGCATGGACATCTCAAGTCAATCGAGATCAGCGAAAGCACGATACACCTAATTCTGCGTCATAAGTCCTTGTCCAACCACCACTATGTTCTCCCCACTCCTCATCATCTCTCTCACAGCCATGGCGGCCGCCGATTTCACGACCACAATGGACTTCAGAGACTGGCTCCTCGGCGAAGATAGCATCGGCCATGCGACCGAACACCCCTTTGGCTTCCGCGGTTCAATCGTAAACATTGACCAGAATAAAACAACCATACACGCGCAATTCGATCAGGACAGCGGCGACCTATCTAGCAAGTACCATGTCGCAAACAACACAAACTCGTTCACATTCACCTTTGCGCCCGACTACATCTCCGCGCAAATGGCGAAACCCGAGTGGTGGCAGACGACGTACAATGTAGACTGTTCAGGACCAGGCAGTCGTGCTACCGAATACATTGATGTAGCAGCAAACACATGCACAGTTTCGCTATGGGGCGCAGCGTTTTCGTCAAGCCAGTGCAGGGATGGGGCGTGGGGGATAAGACAATCGACGCGCTCGAGTTGGTTTTGTGATGAAAATGGGGTGCAGAGTGCTACTTGGAGACAAAAGAGTCTGGAAGACTATACCACGCAAAGGAAACAAATTGTTCTCACGGCGGGGTTGGAGAAATTGGGTGCGGAAGCTACGGAGGCTACGGTCACGCCTACGGCTACTGCGAGTGCGAGTGCGAGTCCGACTATTAGTGGGCCGGCGCGGGAGACTGGCGGGGCCGGCGCGGTACGGGCGGCTGATATCGCAATGGCCTGTGTTGGTGCTGCTGTAGCTGTGGGCATGTCGTAAGACAGAGAAATTTAGGTACAGTTCCAGTGTCCGTGGCAATCATTGAGGAAATGGCTACGCGCCCACGCTACAGCTGTGTTACCGTGTTAGCGCTTGGGCGACCAATCGATTTCTTCAGATCTAAACCCACACCCAATCTTACACCGATCATATTCTCTACACCCTCAGTCGGTGTTGCAGCAAACCTTCATGGCAAGGTGCAGATTCAGGTCCCATGTAGCTCGGGAGTTCGTCTATTTACTCTACAAGCGCCCAGTAGGCACGGCTCTAGCGGATTGCACCTAGAACCTCATCAGATCCATGCTTCGTTCGGTCTCCAGCTCCGGTCCGTGCTGCAATACGTACGGCGACTGTTAGCTTGGCACAAGCCACAGAGGCTCATCATGTTTCAGAACGTTGAGGTATGTGCTCGGCAGTGCTGGTCGTTTATGAAGCTGCTTGATGCAAACAACAGTATTTTGAGGAACACAGTGCGACCGAGTATACTTCGTTTTATCATTCCAACCACCTCATAGCTTCGAGCCAGCCTTCTAGAGTCCCCCCAAATCCTGCACATTCTGCTAGTTTGCCAAAAGTCTCGACAACAAAAATCTCCGCATCCAGATGTCTCTGGCTGGCTAGTCACGTTCTATATCCTTTTCTACATCCATATACTAGCTCTTACAGACCAATCGGTCACCTCTGAGAACGACGATCTCAACGAAATAAGAGCTGGATTGTGATACAGGTGAAATATGCGGTCTAATGGAGTGTCCAATCACCTGGAGCGTCCATGGAGATCTTCCGCGCTTCGACGTAGAACTTCCATAGCCTACGCCATACTGTTCGCCATCCTGATCGCGATCTCCACAATCCTGTACTACATGTGCCAACGGAATTCGGGCCTGTCAACGCCTTCAAAAAGCTTTAGGTATCTCTGGATTTATTCGCCGTCTGCGATATTCGTCGCCATCTCGGGTTACTGGTACCTAAGAGAAGCCAATGCTAAGATTGCAGCACCGTGGTGTATCCTTGCGACACCGCCTACAGATGCTACAGAGCGATTGCAGCTCGATTATGTTTCGCAATCCCGCTACGCGTCGCTTCTTCAATCACTCAAGCTCAAAGACTGGAATGTGTCTTTAGCTGTGACAGGAAGCTGCTTTCTGAATCTCCTGGTCGCTATCTCTACTGGACTCTTCACCTTGAGGCCCATGGTATCGTTAGACACCAGATCGATACTCCCACTCGCCACCAGATTGGATAGGAACGCTACGAAAGTCGACTTTTCAGTTGACTCAATGAACACTGCATATGGAGTCCGCGAATATGGTCTCCAGTTTCCGATAGGAACAACCTCGAAGATGGCTTATCAGTCTCCAGGGATTATGTCGCTTTCTTCCAATTCAGAGGTTCTGGCAATTGTGGATGCTCTCTATCCTCAAGTTTCATGTGAGATAGCAAGCACAAATTGGACATATGGAGTTGTGCAAGATCCAAACAATTACCTCAACACCACGCGCCGTGGACCTGGAGCTCATTTCCAAATTAACACACCATCTTGTAGATACCAGTCAGCTTGGATGTTCCCAGATTCAGGATCGGCCTTCGAAGCTACTGCTGATGGCTTTGAAACCTTTGCCCTGACGATAGTACTGCCTGAATGTGACGAGGCTCAGCAATATGGATCCGCACGCATCATCATTTCAGCTAGCATGATGACGCTCCATGACAAAAATATGGATGAAACTATGCCCAAGTTTTCGAACATCACAACACATTCAGACGCCGGCGATTATTGGAAGCTTTTCGGTGCTCTGCCTTCGAAGATGTCTTCGTCAAATTCTGCAGCTGTCGCATGCAGAATAGACCCAATAGCTGCTAAGGCTCGGCTGAAGGTCACAAGGAAGTCTGTCCAGGCAGAACTATTGCCAGGACACCAATCTAACGATCAGATGAACGATACCATTGGGTCGCAATTGCTGAGCGTGATTTCTTTACTTCCGACCTCCACCTCGCAGTTTCTGTCTGGATACAACTTTACCATATATCGTGGCCGTGACCATAGCATAGAGAAATACGGTGGTGGCTTAGCACCTTTCTTCCAGTTGATGAACAGCACAAATACGCGAGATAATATTAGAGCATTTGTGGACTCTGGATATCTCATGGACACAGCTGGGCCGACAATGGAACTTATCGCAGCACAACTTGTAGCGAACTCGCTCTTCCAACCGACCAACGGATCTGTCACAGCTATTCTTCGCAAGAGCCAAGATAGGCTTTCCATGAACTCGCTTGCTTTTGGAATCATCGTAGGGACACTTGGGTTTATGATCTGCATTGCGATTCTGTCTGCTTCCCAACAGCAAGTGCAAATCTCGATGGACCCCGGGACGTTGCTCAATACGACTATATTACTTGCTCGCGAACCTTGGATAATGGAACGCTTGCAACGTATGGAAAAAGAACAGGACAAGGATGAACAGCACAAGGATGAACAGCACGTTCATTCATATCCTAGCCTTCTCCAGATGCTCATTCGTATATTTCCGACCTACTCACGACGACATTGGAACAAAACGGAGGGCACATTGAGTTTAAAGCAGTCTAGAGAATGCCGGAAAGATGTGTGGACATGGTGGCAGCCATGGAATCTATCGCTATCGCATTCTTGTTTGAGGCTTGTGCTTCCCATACTCGGAATTGCTGTACTTGAGGCGTTACTTCGACGATCGGAACGACTTGATGGACTTGCAGCCGTCTCTTCGAACGAGTACTTACGATACCTGTGGGTATATATTCCGGTGCTCACTATCTTCGCCTTGAACCTCCTCTTCGATGCGACCAGTTTCTCAGACAGGATCGTCCAACCTTATTTAGCCATGGCTATCACACCAGTATCCGCAAGTCGATCGATATCGATGGATTTTGTGAACAGGACAACAGTGTCTGCCATGGTTGCAGCTATCCATCGCAGCCAATACAGAGTTGCTTCCGCTATAGTAGCTACTCTTGTCGGTGCGGCCTTACCGATTGCTTCAAGTGGTCTATTCCAAGCGCACAACACCCTTCAAGTAATCAGTGCCAGCTTAAACCAAGTTACCTACTTCGATCCCTTGCTATCCATCGTGGAGCCGGAGCCTTATCCTCTTAGCTTACCTTTGCCTGGATTGATTCATTATAACAATCTTACTTATCCGGCCTGGACTCATGGAAAATACGCATTGCCGCAGTTAGCCACACCAGATACTGTCCGGCTTAGTGATATTTCGACTAAGAAGGCATTGCTTGTAGATGTTCCTGCTATATATGGAGTTGCAAATTGCACTCCAGTACCTAAAGTGGATATCTCTTTCAGTGTCGATTTCACCAGGGCTGATGAAGTTAAGCCGGCAAGTGAAGCAAGTACTGACCCTGATGGAGTTCTCAGACCGGCGATGTATGTTGAGAGCAGGACACCTCCAGGATGTCCCCGCATGCGATGTACTACGTTCCCATCGGTTCCGTCTTTCTACGAGGCAATGTGGATGAGTGCAGACCAGACTATGCATTGGAATACGAACGAAACAAGCCTACCACACCATGAATCGGTCAATAGCAGTTCTGCAGGTTTTCACGGCGGGTTCAAGCTGCCACCTCATTGCCCGCTTTCCATGATGTGCATCAACAAGGGCGAACTTCCAATCACCCACCTAGGTGATGCCATTGGGGATTGGAATCACACTCATGCTGTTTCCATGGATTATGTCAATGTCCTGCATTGCTCCCCTTACGTGGCCGAAGAGATAGTTACGCTCAATCTGAGTCTATCTAGGCTTGGAATGAATATCCAAGAGGCACCGAAACCACAACTCGGTAGTCGCGCATTCTTCTCCCAAGCAGAATTGATCAACACAGTGGATTTACGAAATTTCCTTCCTCCGTACGTGTCTATAGAAGCCGGCAATGGAACTTTCATAAACGCAGATGCTTTCTTTAGTGCTGTTTTCAGTGGAACAGACGCTTTCAGCCCAATGGATCTTTTGAAAGACGATGTCTCAACTGACAGCCTTCTGAGTCGTATCGATGAAATTTATGGTCTGATAGTATCACAAACATACGGCAAATTGCGACGCTTTCCCTCTGATGCCAGCGATCCAAGACACATTCACAAAGCCACGCTCATCGATCCTGTGGCTCGTGTACGCCAGGACATCGTTTCGACTCGTATAGTTCAAGTGCTGCTTGGCATCATGTTCCTTTGCACACTCGTGTCGATGTTCTACATGAATAAAGAACGCATCTTGCCAGAGAGACCTTATAGTCTGGCTACGAGAGCTAGGCTTATTGAAAGATCAAATATGTTCAGTGAGACTATAGCGTCTTTTGATCAGGATGCTCGTATCGCAGAAGGAACGCAGAATGTCAGAATTCTAAGAGATGGAATGTTTAGTATCGGTTGGTGGGGGAACAAAGGCGATAGATGGTACGGCATTGATTGCGGTACGGCTGAGAGGGAGGAATGAGTAGGGAAGACGATTCCAGGATTTATATCTTGCCACTTCCTTCTCGAGTTCTGTTCTTGCAAATACTGGAGGCACTGATGGTCTTGTGTACGACGGCTCATACATATGAGAGCGAACGGGTTGGATAGATAGCGTAGATTCAGAGTCAAGACCTCAGGTCGCCGTATCTGCTAGATTACAGGCCTGGGAGTATGAGAGTATCCTAGAGCATATCTCTCGCCTGACTAACTTGCTGTCGTGGTACCGTTCCGAGGATGCCGTTATGTGCCTTCCTCCAACGGAAGCTAGTTATTAAAATCCTGCTGTAAACTCTTCGTGTTTAAGACGCCCTGCTTTGATGTTCGTCACGTGATGTCGGAGGTCGGAGTGCTGGGCGGCCGGTAGGTGGGAGCACGGCCGACCTCCGTGATTACCGTAATCACAGCTAGCCAATCACAGACGTTTCTGGTTCAACCAACCACATTTCACGCTTTCATCCCATCTATCACGACCTTAGAGGCCCTGCAAGCAGGGCAATTACACCCGCCAAAACGGACAGGGCTGATATCATGCCAGGGCGATAGCGTCAGGTGACCTGCTATCCTAGGACGATTAAATTACACTTATCGTCTAAGAGTGTAAAAGCTGCTTTAAAGACTTCTTTGAGAGCTACACGACAATGGATACCTTAGGCAATAGCTGTACAAAGAGGCTGAGATACAGACCCGACTTTGAATTAACGCTATTCTTTCGTAGATGATACGTCCAAACCAAGGTCTCCTATTTAAGTAAGCAATTTGGCGTCGGAAATGGGAACAGATTCGATTTTAGTTTGACTAATAGCTTCATGCTGTGATACATCATCGCAACAGGGTCAGGTGAACATCATGGCCAGAATCAAGGAGCAGTATATTGGGTTGAGCATGATCACAACCTTGCACTCGACTAATCCTCGAGATCCTTTCTCTCGTGGAGCATGTGGCGCAAGTTCTAGGGGCGTCATGTCAGTGACCCACTTTCAACATGGATGTATTTGCACATGTACTGCGTACCTCTAGGGAAAAGCCATTAGACAATAACGTGGAGGAAAGCAGCTTCTTCCGGTCTTGGATCTTGAGAACTTGCTATATGATGATGGATCAGCTCACGTCAGAGATCGCGGTGGGAAGTAGTCGAAGACCGCTCATTATGAATCTGAGGCTGGTTACGTACCTCTTCGAAGGAATCTTCCATAAAGTAGCGTATGGTTGTCACGGGACGAGTTTGTCCTATCCGATGGACTCGTGCAAGTGCTTGATCTTCGAGAGACGGGTTCCATTGGGGTTCTAGAAGGTGTACCGTCGAAGCTGCTGTTAAATCCAGACTGCGCATCCTGTCAGCGAATGCAACCTGACATCGATCATCAATTCCATGAACATACCCACATGCACCGCAATTGATTGTGATCAGTATAACGCGTATTTGAGGGTCATCATGGAGTTTTTGTATGACATGACTGCGTATCCTCGGGTGCACCTTGCCGTCGATCCGAACTGATGGGATAACGTGATCTGGATCACGTTGGAGTGCCGCTTCTACCATATCAAGACTCGATGTCCAAAAGGAGAACACAACACTAGCAGGAAATTAAAATCGCAACGTTTCAGGATATCCTGAAGACTCACTGCTTTTCCTGTGGACGCAACATAATCTGTGAGATTAGCGCGGATACTTTGCTTGAAACATTACTAGTATGATCCAGGCCCATTGAGGAAGGCGAGATCACGTCAGTGGGCGTTAGCCTAGGAGTTGGTAGGATGGACGCGAGAGGACGGAGCTGACAGGACTGCGACTGCCCTGTACATGCGCATGGGTCAGGTGAGCGACAACCAAAGCCCTCGGCACATGTAGCGCAGTAGAATTTGCTGCAAGCAGAGTAGTAGACCTGCGCTTGCGTCATGTCCCTGAGGAGACCACTGTCCATTGATGATGTTTCGATCTCTTGTGAGCAATTTTCACATAACCCACCGGCAATTGAATAGCGGGCGCTCATGACAGAAGCCTCCTCTCCAACGCTTTCGAGTTCAGAACAGCTGCCGAAAACCCCTAGGTTGCAAACAAGACGAAGTTTGTTTATTTGTTGGATAGCGGTCGTCCAGGGTACATGAGCGTGACCACCACCTTCTGTTTTGCGGTCGAGCATGTCGACAACAGGTCGCTCGATCTGGCGGTAATAATGCCGCTCTTTATAATTGAATGTAACTTTAATCACTTGGTCATCCACACTAGGCAAATCCAGCATAGCCTTTGTTCGGCGAATCATGAAGCACGACAGCAGTCTCTTGAACGTATCGGTGGCTTCATCGATCGGTTTGACGCGCCATATGTTTGAGATGTCGTTGTCGAAGGCCTTTTGCTCGTCGTAAGGAGAAAAGTGGAGGAATTTGAAGAGACCATGGAGGTCAAGGAGGCTGTTCTGGATCGGGGTTCCTGAGACTGCCCACCTCGATGTTGCTCGTAGGGCAGCAATTGCTTGCGAAGTCGAGGTATTGTGATTGCGAATTGTATGTGCTAAAGAGAAATAGAATCAGTAATGCAATCCAAGATTTGTGACAAGTTTTTGAACCTACCCTCGTCAAGTATAATGCGTCTCCAGTGATGAGATAGAATGGAGTGAGCGTGCTTTCGATGCTCTCTCTCAAGAGTTTGGTAAGTAGTGAACACTATATCTAGTTTTGAACTTGTGTCAGTATGCGCGTCGTATGCAGCTCTCGTCAACCAGACGTACCAGGGGGGCATCTGTTCTTTTCAAGCTTGAATTTCTGTTTACCATGGTGCGTGAACCATTTCAACTTGCCATCTTGCAAATGGCTGATGATGGTCAGCAAGCACAAGCTTCATCATTCGTGACGACATACAGTTTCAGTTGTGATTTCCAGACGTCGAATACTGCAAAAGCAACATCAGTATTTGCAGAGCTGTAGGATGCACGAATTCTTACAGGCTGGCGGCACCACTATGAGAGTTGAGCATGTAGAAGTTCCGGGTATTAAACGACCATTGGTTGGTTTGTTGCTCGAATCATAGTCTTGATCAGAAGCGACTAGGGCGATCATGGTTAATGTCTTCCCAAGACCCATCTCGTCGGCAAGCAGTCCACCACGCCATAGAGGGCCTGCAGTCGACTGAGCTTCATCCGTCACGGCATTCACAAAACTAACAAGCATCAAAGCTTAGTGATACAACTTGAAAGTATGTCTCGGGAGAACTCACGTGGTATGGCCGTTGGTCGTTTTCCGCAACCATATACCCAAACCATCCTCGGACGGATGTTTACCTTTCTCTCGTCTCAGAAGGAAAGTAAGTGCCTGTCTTTGATGGCTTCATCGCCGGTGTTAGTATATTCCGTCGTTCATGGCAAACCACGTACATCTGAAGTTTGGTACGTAGAGCTGTCGGGGTATCCGATAAGTCGAGATCCTCAGTTGTCTCAAAACCCGACAGGATATCGCGGGAGGCTTGCGCAGAGTTCTCGACAAGTGAATGTCGCAGCTTCGACAGCTCGAAAGTCATCGATGGTTCTTCGTGGAGGCTACAGAGATATTGAGGGTTCATGTAAGGAACATTGCGGTCACAACCAACAGGATCATCCAAGTAACAACCAGCCTGGGTCATGAAGTCGCCCACATGACTGAAACGTTTTTTAGGGCCATATATTATGGCCCCAAGGGACAGTGCATCCTTCAGGATCCTCCTTCCCGTTGTGGGGGTGATTGAAGTCGGCAGTATTACGAATTGTAAGATGAGCTCGTTGTCGGCATCCAGCTTACTTAGCAGCTTGCCTCCATAGTTGTCTAGCTGTCCGGTCGGTGAATCGCTGACACCAAAGCGTATCGTACGAGGAGGTTCGAAGCGAATTGGACTCTGGGTCGAGATAGGGGAGGCGATGTGATGGGAAGGTACGTTCACTGCGAAATGAGACAACTGGGCGACGTAAGCATTGGCCATCATGATGAGCAAAATGTGACACACCATGCCATAACAAACCAAATCATCGTGACATATGCGTTCTACAGTTTTGCAGATCGACGGTATGGGTGTTGTTGGCGGCGAGAGTCCATACTCGAATGTATTGCAAGCGCTCTGGGTTGCGACGCCCCTCGCAAGTGGGGTATCCAATCGCCGTCGTTTTGAAGCTGGAGCAGCAACATCTTCGATAATGATTTGGGGAGGATATTCCGGCATACCGTAAATTGGCTGAGGATGCGGATATTCCCATCTTGCGTATCGCTATGAAGCACATCCACAAGCTCGAGAAGCTGGCCCATTGCGCACGGACACAGCTGAGGCTGAGCAAGGCAGCGACCCCCAAGGCTGTGCAGATACCTTGTCAGCCTCGGAGTCACTGCTAGCAAGCTTCATTTTGTCGCCTCTCGAGCCGCTATATATCGGTCGCGTTCAAGAAGGGAAGTCTCCGTCGCGATCGAACCGTCAGCTTCTGCTCCGCTTTTCGTCGTGCTCCCGCGCTCTATCCACACGGCCCGATGGCAACGGCGCCATCACTGGCGGCCCCTTCCGCCCAAGCTAGTCACACGCTTCGAGACGCATTCGAACGGTTCGCTTTATCCGTGTCACAAGATGACCAGCGGCTCTTTCATAACACAGAGCTTAAAGATGTACGGGATGAGGCTTTGCAGATCGAGAAGAAGCTCCGCAAGAACCGTATACAGAAGAACATAGCCCGGCTTAATCCATTGCTGCTGGGCATGGAGCATTACTCCAAGGTAGTGGAAGTTTTGTGCAACGGAACACCTTATCTTTCATGGATTTGGGCACCAATGAAACTGATGCTTATGGTGAGTCATGTTCCTTTGCAAAACTCGGATCACTTATCGCGAGCAACAGATCACGGTTGATTCGCTCAGTGCTTTCGAGAAGCTGATCGATGCCTATGGAAAGATTGGTGATATGCTCCCTCGCCTGGATCGTCTCAGTGACGCGCTTATTGGCGATCAGAACTTCCAGAAAGTGCTAGCTTTGGTATTCTCCGACATCGTAGAGTTCCATCGACGAGCTTACAAGTTCGTGCGACGAAAATGTAAGACTGCCACTGACGTCATGATATATCTTTCTCATCACTCATAGCATGGACCATATTCTTCGGCTCTATGTGGGCGGGGTTTGAAACTCGTTTCAACGGGATCCTGAAGGACCTGGCGTACCATAGCGAGCTGGTCGATAAGGAGGCCTCAGCAGCGGACATAGCTGAAGCCTTCAGGCGTAGCAAAGTAGACGACGAGAAGTGGAAGCAGCAAGAGGATGAATGGAACCATGTCAGTATATACTAGTATGAATACTCTATGAACACGGAGACTGACTTTTCATCTCGAGCACAGGCTAAGGTACAGAAAGTCCTGGGCTGGCTTGAGACGAATGATACTCTGCCAGCCGATATACTCGAACAGAAACTCCAAGATTACTTGCGAAACAGCTGCGATTGGTTTTTACAACACAAAGCAACGCAGATATGGCTCGAGGACAACGCGAAGAATCCCTTTCTGTGGCTATACGGAAAGCCGGGGGCGGGTATGTTCATCTATCGTCGTGACTTGTCATCCGCTTATCTACTCGAAGGTAAATCCATGATATGCTCTGCTCTTGTGAAACATGCAAAACAAAATTCCGTTAATATGTTCTACTACTTCTGCAGTTCTATCCTAAGCAATGCCGATGGTCAGACTCGCCGTCCGAATCGTTTACTGCGTTCAATCATCTCGCAGGTGATTGAAGGACACCAGGACCTCGCAATATATATTCACGACGTCTACTTCATAGCTCATCCGGTGCCAACGAAGAAAGCATTACTGAGTCTTCTTCCCGAACTCCTTCGCGGAACGGGCTCTGTGCGGCTCATCATAGATGGTATCGACGAGTGGGTCTCACAGGATCAAAGGGACGTTTTGAACGATCTTTCGCAGATAGTCTCGACTGACAAGACTTCCCATCTATGCAAGATCTTGATTGCTAGCAGAGAGACTTTCGAGATCTCGAGGTCTATGCTCAAAAAGAACAAATCGACAACGACAATTTCTCTCAGCAATGACGACGAAGGTCTCGCAATCTCCCGCTCAATCGCTCATTTCGTCGATATCAAGCTATCTGATCTTCCTGACCACTTTGACCAACTCGACCCTGATGGGTCGATCATGGCCCATGTCAAAAAGACTCTTATCGAGAAGTCTCACGGTAATCTTCGTCTAAACTACTCACTAACAATTTATGTTCTAAAACAAGCACAGGTATGTTCCTGTGGGTCAGTCTTGTATTGGATCTGCTCGACAGGGTGTATAGTCCTGAGGAGCTACGCACTATCGTCGACGATCTTCCCTCTGATCTTGAGAAGCTTTACGAAAAGCTTTTCACTCGTCTTTGTAGCGCTCCAGGTGCCCGTAGTCATGGAGGGGTATCTCGTATCATGGGCTTGATATGTTCCGCACGAAGGCCTTTGCACAAGTTGGAGCTACTCCAAGCGTTGTCCATCTCGCCACACGACATTGGCTCTCAACTGCGGAGTATACCTGTCGCTGCTATACTCGACCATTGTAAGCCACTCGTCGAAGAATTACCGGATTCTACAATAGTTCCAGTACACTTCTCGGTGAAAGAGTACGTATATCAAGCATGCTAATGAGACAATCGTATGGTGTGTAACGGTCCAACAGGTATTTCTTCAAGTCTCATAAACCGCAAATTATGCCAGCGATCGATCCAGCGCTCGACATATTGTCCGCTTGCGCTGTGGTAATCACACGAAGTCTCGATCTTGTGTGTCTGGACAGCGGTTCCGTTGATTACCTCGTCAGAATCGTGAGTGGCCATCATAGACTCTTACCGTACGCTCTAGAGTTCTGGATTGAGCACTGCTTAGATTACGCATCGAGCAGAGGGAATTTAAGCCCTGATGGACACTTCCAGTATCATCTTTCGCGAATTCACGAGAAGCATGAAGAATGCCTAGATGCACTTGGGCGTGCTACGGTCCAGGTCGGGACGCAAACAGCAGCTGAGGCTAGTGACGCAGACGAAAGGCTTGAGCAGTTGTCCAGCATGCCGGTTCACAAGCTGATGGCAGATGTGCAACATCTCCGACTATTAGCCAGCCAAAGCGATAGCAACGACCGTTCAGGTAGGTCTGAACTCGATTTATCATTCCACTAAAACGTCCTCCGTAAGCTCACAAAGACTCTTCTAGATATCGAAACTTACGTCAACAACAACGATCGAACACTCTTCAGCAGGCTTTCGCGCGATTACGAGAGTGCAATCGTACATCTTCTATCTCAACGCGAAGTGGAAGGCATTCCGTCAGCAATACGTCGAGAATTCCGAGAGTCATATGCTTCAACAGCTTTTCGTTGCCGTTACCCACACTGTGACAGGCTATCTCTGGGCTTCGCCACTCCAGAATTTCGACAAGAACATGAAAACTCGCACATGCGACGCGTGTACTGTCAGACATTATCCTGTCAGTATAGCCGCATCGGATTTGACAACAAAGTCGCACTCAAAACGCACACACGCAAGAATCACACCGAGTCAAGGATTGTACTCATTCCCGCAAAATTGCAGCGCACGAGAGATGAATCTCCGCCACCCAACTTCCTCCCCCCCATTCAACTTGCACCACCAATGCCGAAAACCCTCTTTAACTCAGAGCCTTGGACACCTTCTTTCTGGACTCAGAAAGAGAAAGATAGTTTTGAGGAGAACATCGAACGCTTCGGTACAGATTGGACGGCCTTCGCAAACGACATGGGCACTAAGACGCCTGAAATGGTTAAGCGCTTTTATGATCAGCTCGTACAGGGAGGCAACAGAAAAGTAGAGCAGGTGAAGTCCCCGGTGCTCGAAAACCATGTGAAACATACGCTGACTTTATTCATTGACATCCTAGTCCGCAAAAGCTGCAGACTCTCAAGCGAAGACGCGAGAACTATTCGCAATCCTCGCGAAACGCTAGCTATCGGCCAAGAAGTGACTCTTTAATTTACTAAAATTTTGACATTTCAGTTAGCTTAGCTGCACCTAACCACACTACTTGACTAGCTACCAGCGTAACTACCATAGTAGCTAGAATAAAAGAGATCGTGCGATCCACCCTCTATATATCTTTTCCGTTTTCTATTCAACAAACACATACAACGATGATCTTCATAACGAACCAAATCCTTAGAGGCAAGCCAAGTAGCCGAACACGAGTTTTTGAGAAAACGAAGCGCGTATATGTCTTACGGGAGCGAGGGATCCAAGTATCCATGGCAATGAGGCAAGTTGACGAGCTTTTGCGGTTGATACGCGACTTCGCGTTGACTCTCGCAATCTGCGCATTCTCAATGTTCGTTTAGAATATCCCTGGAGGATTTCCGGACGAGAGTACCTCCATCATCGTCGCCTCACTAAACTGAGATGGTCGAAGACATAGTTTCCTAGCTCGTGATACAGTCCCAACTCAACAGATCCTTATAATCACCAACCCCCTTATACACATTCCTCGCCGGCCACTTACAATGCCTCCTCTTATAATCCACACCACTCCCAGCCGTTCCATTCTTATATCTAGTCCCCACAACGACTTCTGGCGCAACACCCTCCTCCACCCACCTTACCATCGCCATGAGGACATTCTCCTCCGGATCCAAGCCCGCCGCGTTCCTAGCTTGATTCCCAATACGACTCGCGCCCGGTCCACCACCGCAGTGCGCCATACCCGAGATACGGAAGAAGCGGTAAAAGTCGTCCAGCTGAGCAGGCGCCTGCTGCATCGTCTTGGAAACATGTTCATAGTACCGCGGCGAGTTTTCACTCGTGATGACGCCGTCTACGAGACCGTGGTAATGCAGTAGTTTTCCACCCGTTGCTTTGAACGCCGAGAGGTCGCCGTCCCACGTCTCGATGTCGGCTAGGTTGAGATGTGCAGAGAGACGCATGTCGGCTAGAGAGAGTGTGCTAGGATCCCATGAGGAGTCGTTTAGAACGGCGTATTTGAACCAATCCGAGGCGCCAAATACGCGGCCAGTGAATAGTGTGAAGGGCGCTTCTGTGCCCTCGGCACCAGGCTGTAGACGTGGGTAGATTAGACTGCCGTCGGCGTCGAGGAGAGGCGCGTAAGACCTGCGGACTGTCTGTACCTGAGCCGCGGTAAGACATGTCGTGTTTCGACCCGATGTGCAGAGCAGGCCGACCGGGTCGTAATGACACAGATCGGGCGATTCGAGGATACCGTCTGCCACGCCGTCGAGCATGTCGCATTGCGCCAGCACGTCCTGATGAATAATGGGCCACATTTCGAGAGGAACAAAGGTCGCAGACTCTGAACTCCCGGTAAGAGGTAGGAAGCCAGAACTCCAGGAGGTAAGATTGTTGAAGGAGAATGCAGGCGCGCCAGCGACGACGCCGTCAAAGTCGTTGGGGAACGACTGGACGGCTTTGAAACCTTGTCTTCCGCCCGTGGAACAGCCTAGATAGTAGCTCTTCGAGTGTGTCTTGCCATAAAAGGTTTCGCTGACATGCTTCCCAACGACCACACCAGTGTGCACAGCACGGTACGCAAAATCCTCAATCACACCAGTGTTGTTGAGAAACGACTCGCCCGTCATCCCTTCGTGTCCATTATTCGTGCCCACCGAAGCGAAGCCTAGTGACGCTGCATAGTCAAGATCCTCGTACTGGATACACCCACCAAGGCCCCCGTTGCCGGTGCTCAAGAAGCGACCAGTCCAGTTCTGGGGAAGCCAGACTTCCATTCTGATGCCAGAGGTAACCGAGGTTTTGACGCTCAAGCCGACGCGGCACATGTTGGCTGAGACTGCTTGTGAGGGACGAGTGCATGATGGGTCGGCGTTGGGAAATTGTAGCGTCGTGTTGGCAGCGACAAACTCGGTGAATGAGATGTTCGCCTGCGGAATGTGGAGTTTGGTAGCTATGGAAGTGCATTGCTCGGAGAAGCCATTCGAGGCACGAGATTGATTGGTGGGGAATCCAAGAGAAACGAGGTTGAGAGCAGAACCGATGAGGAAGAAGCTGAGAGAGACCATGGTGCCACGCATGGAAATGAATCTAGAAGAGCACTGAAGAGCTGTGCTGGCCTACTGGTTAATGTAGCAGAGCGATTCATCGCTGCTACTTATGACAGCACGCCTGCTGTATCACCATAATGAACCGGCACGAGCAGACACCAAACGGTGTTTCCCACTGGTCGATCGCGCTGTGCATACAAGCCCGGATTGAACAAGAAATGGCCCGTACACTGTCAGCAACTCGCATATCTGTGCAGATCAAAAGCTATGGCTTTTACAAGGTAGCGTTTCAAGAACGTCTCTCCCAACTGCGGAGAAGCTGCCTGTTTAGTCCGCCCTCCTCATTGCTTGACTCGGTCGTCATCATCCCGAGGTTTTGCCAAATCCTTTTGCCACCAACCTGCAAGTCGGCTCTATTTCCATATGCCCTATGCGTGCCTCTTTCCCTGCAGATTGTCGATGGAAGACTCGCCTCAAGAGCGTTCAATCGTACGTCGGCGCGTCTGGCGGTTTAATGTCTGGCACATGCATGTGTAGTGCTGTAGCCGGTTAGGAGTGGTGAAATTACAGTGCTGACATCGCCTGCCTGCGCGGGTACTGCCGCCATTCCGAACGACAACAACAAAGCTCCTTCCCTTTCGAGAAACTCGGTGCAATGATACCCACCTCGGGCTTTTCTGGTGGGTAACCTAAATGACACTCTCACCACCAGAATCTCCATGGTAGTGTCACAAAGAAGATGGACATGATTTCAAAATGTTTAGAAATTAATATATTAAACCACGTACACACTTCCAAGTACGCATCGCTAACATGCAACACCTCGAAGATATCTCTCTACCACTGAACAAATGAAACTCTTTCTAACCACTACTTTTCTCTCCTCACCATCCAAACAAACGAAAAAGTTGCCCTATAGTCTCTGTCTATTCAGCCCTCCGCCCAAAAGGCCTAGGCCCCCCCAACCTCGGTCCGACAATCTGCCTCTTCCCTGCGCCAATACCTCCAAGTCTGTTCTGATTGTCACCACCCATGTACCCATACTGATTCACATCCCAACTTTGGCCTCCTCCTGTGCCTGCATTGGGATCTTTGGCCGCCTCCTGCAGCGCGCGTTGACTCTCCTCCCACTCCTTTTGTCTCTCTCTCTCGCGCTCCATTTCACGCTCGAGCAGAGATTTACTCGCCCATCCCGCGTTCTTAGTCTTCTGCTGTGCGGCGGCGCGACGTGAGTCTTCGCCACGTTGCTCGGAGGTCGAAGTTAGTTCGGGGGGAATGTACGTCTGCGGCTTAGGTGCTGTAGGAGGAGGGTTTGATGCAAGGTAGCGGTCCGTTCGGCTTTGCTTCTGCTGTGTGTATGTGGCTGGGTCGGGAAGCGGACGCGTCGTTGTTGGCTCTGGAAGTGGGCGGGTGGGAAGGGATGGTGGTGTGGGTTCGGGCAGGGGACGCGCGGGTTGCCGTTGTGTCTGATCCCATTGTTTGCGTAGATATTCACGGTCGTCTGCTTGCGCCCAGGATACATTACTATCTTGCGGACTTGGGGCGCGCGGTGGAGGTTGTGGACGGGCTCGACTCTTGGACCGCTCGCGCGTACGGCTCTTACTTCTCGATCGCACTTTCTTGTCTTGGAGACGTCCTTCGCGCTCGGCTTGGTATTGGCGCTCGCGCTCTTTGGCTTCTTCAAGCTGGCGTTCCAACTCTCGTATGCGTTCGCGCTCGGCGTTGGGCTCCTCGCTGCTTCCCCGTCGACTGCGCGGTGACCTGACTTGTTCGGCTTGGTACTGGCTTAGGTACTGTCCCTTGAGTCTGGCGTCGCTCCCAGCACGCTTCCGTCGCGTCTCAGCCTCTATCCGCTCTTGTTGTTCTCGTTCTTCTCGCTGGCGGAGTTCTTCATCTAACTTCCATTGGCGCTCCTGCTCTTCCCACTCGCGCTTCTGCTGGTCGAGGCGCGCTTGCTTGGCCTCTTGCTGCCTGCGTGTCTCTTCTTCCCACTTCTGCTCTTCCTCGAGGCGTATGCGTTCTTCTTCAGCCTCGCGCTCGATGCGGCGTTTGTTTTCGGCCTCCTCGGCTAGTAATCGTAGCCTCTCTTCCTCGGCCGCCTTCTCACGTCGCAGGCGCTCCTTCTCAGCCATGTTCGGCACGTGCGGACCTGCGCTCGTGATCTGCCGGCGTGCGCCGAATGCGATGCCCTGGTTGCCCTGACTCGCGCCACCCATGTAGCCGTACTGGTGAATGTTCCATGCCGGTGCTGTGCTCCCTTCGTCAACCTTCTTGCTCCAGCTACTAACTCCGCCCGGAGGTGACTTGGGGAGACCATTGGAAGTGTAGGATGCGTCTGAGCCTCCGGTACGCGCCGCACTCAGTGTCCTCTCAGCAGGCGGCCGCGCCAGGGGATTGAATGTACTAGAGCCGCTGGTATTGCTGGCTGTGCTGGGCCCTCGGCTACGTGTATAGCCGGGAGACGGCGGTGGCATGCCAGGACTTGTCATGCCTCCTCCGGTCGCTGAGGGGCTCAACGCACCAGCTCCGCCGCGCTTAGGGCCGATGGTGGTAGGAAAGTTGGAGGGATTTCTTGAATTGGCGACACGGCTGAATGCGCTGAGACATTGCAGCACCTGGGCTGGGTCTTTGGACTCGTACAGGTCGACAGTGAGGAAGCGGTCGTGTGCGGGCATGTTCAGCGGCGGCTGTTCGCAGGCTCGGAGGAAGTGGGAGATGTTCTCCATCTGTATAAAAGGCATGGCCGACTTTTTGAACCTCACGGGAGTGGGTATGGCGAGATTGACGAGTCTGTCATGGTTAGCTGGACTGGCCCGGCTGTTTGGTCACCCGCCGGGTATCACTGTACCTGCATAATACGGTCCCGTCCTTGAGCGCATCCAGCAGATCTCCCGCCGGCAGTCGCTCTCCCAGTGTGCCTTCTATCCAGCTGCGGACCTCGTTGGCCGCCTGGGGAGTATATCTGTCCATGCGCAGCTTTCGCATGTCCTGATCTAGAGACGTTACAGACGCCATGGCAGGCGGTTTGGGCGCAAATCAGGTTTGTTTGGGTTGGGCACGAGGGTGGGTGTCGTTGTTACTGTGGATGGAAGGTGCACGAGTTGCAGTAGGATATGATGTGATAATGTATATATCGCTATGTAACAAGCTCGACTGCTATGTGTTGTTGTGATGTCGAGGCATGTGTGTGTTGGTGTGTGTGGAGAAGACTTGTGGTGGTGGGGGAATGCTTGCTGGCTTGCACATGTGCTTACGCACCAGCCACCCGCGGCCAACGTCACCGCTGCGCGTCAGAGTCGCCTCCAAGCAAAAGTCTCTCCTCTGGAAATTATTCTGTGGCAACACGAGACTCAGCATGGCGGGCGCACCAGGCCCAATTCGAAGAGCATGGTACCAATGGAAGATGAAGCGCTTTCCATGGCGCAAGAAGTGGCTTGTGGGTGAGTGCCGGCCTCGACACAGGCTCGACATAGGTCTCTGGCGTATCCTTGCTTCACGCCTCTAACAACATCACAGGCTTCGATCTCCAGGGCAACACCTTCTGGGAGTTCAAGGACGCACTGCACGCACTGCGCAACCGGAGAATAGCAAAATACAGCCGTAGCACACATTATGGCGACGTGCAGATATCGCGTTTGTGCCCTCCACATGTCGTCGTGCATGGAAACTGACTGTGGCAGCGTCATGGATGCAATGGCTGCGGCATACGCGCTACGAACCGCCCACTGTCGCCGAACAACACCAGGACATGATGAGGATAGAGCGCATGAAGCAGCTTGCCGCGCAAGCGGATGCGAGATGGGCAGAAAAGCCCTCAGCGCTGGATGCGCCGGATAAGCAACAACCTGTGCAGATGCTGCAGTCGAGAGACCCGGACAGCGGCGTCACGCAGATGAATGCCGCCCAAGAGGTAAGGGACACCATAGAACCGCCTCGCCCACTCGAACAGGAAGCTGCAAGACCAGCGCCAGTAGAGCCCGAGCATTCTGCAGAGCCTCAGCAGATGCCACGCGACCCACCAGCACCGGCCGCCCAAGACGACACGCCTGCCTTTACAGCGAAGAAGAAAATGAAGAAGGAACCCAAGGACTCGCCATGGAAGCACGCGGTTCAGAGTCAAGAGTGGCAACCCCAAGGTTGGAGCCCTGCGCCGGCCAAACGACGTTGATGATGATGAAGAGATAGCGACTGTACGAATACTTGTTTCAATACTGGTAAACATCAGCAAACCATGTGTTTATATTGAAGTCTAACCAACAGCCTGTGGTTCACCGTCAGCATCGTGATTGCAGTACCACGGTTGCGAAGGACGACTAACGATCACGGCGCGCACAATGTCGGACGTGCTGTGCTCGCTTGTTCCTTGTCATGTCCCGTTGCAAAGATTATTCAGAGTCAATTCCAGGTCCATTGTTTTAAAATATGGTGTCCCTTTCGCAACATGAAGACGACACGTGCCCCCCCCAACACTCCCAACGAACTGGTTCCCTCATCGATTTCCAACTCCATGGCACTTGTTCCATCAGCCCAGATGACTTTTCAGGTGGTTGCCGCACACCTACCCATAGAACTCCTCCTCATGGTACTGAAGGAATGGATTGGTGCGCAGCGTGTCGTGGTAGGCAATGATGGTAGGTTAGATTATACCTTGTCCTACAGCAACCCCGACAACCCTAGCCTCCTTTTCACCATCCCCAAAGCCCTTCTCAAAGATTATATCCGCGAAAGAGTTCATGCCTGGTCAACAGACACCAAGGAATTTGACGACCCACAAACCTTCTACCTAAGCCATCTCCTGATATCCTTGAAAATGCCAGACAACCGTCTAGCCTCCTATGACCTATCCTCGCACCCTCTCAACCCCATATCACGGGATCCCAACCTCACACTCTCAACAACATTCCCCATCAATAACAATCACAAGCTCCGAAACATACTTTTCCCTTGCCTACCTCCTACTCACGGCTTCGAAAAGATAAAACTAGACTTCACAGCTGAACAGTACTTTGCGCTCTTCGACGTGCAGGTACCGCCATTCCACTACCGCGACGACACAGTCACAGGCGACAACCTCTACCGCGACGACCACTGCCACTCCGCTGGCCTCCTCCTCGCACACACGCATGCCCTCGAGCTGCGTTCCGGCTCAGCCTACAAGTCCAGCAACCCCTGGTACAACGTCACGGAGCCCGCATGGTGCGCCCCAAATCCAGCTTGGTCCTACGTCGAGGCTAGACTCCGCCCTCATGTCTGCGATAGCGGCATGGTTGTCGACTGGATACTCGAGTATGCGTGGTATGCTGGGTACCTTCAACGTATACGGGATATCAAGTTGAGCGGGGATGTGCAGGGATGGGTCAAGGAGAAGTGGTATGATATTTTTCGACGGCACGCTGATTACGTTGAAGCGCATCCGGGAGAGCATGTTGGTATTTTCGCTGTACATAGGCCTGATCCTATAGAGTTGGAGATGATTGGTATGACTGATGATGGCGGGGAGGATAAGGAGGACGAGGAGGACGAGGCATGGATGCCGAGAAATCACTATCCGCCGCCATGTACATGTGAGGTGGGTTGCTGGCGTCTGCAAAATGGCAAGATCGAGGAAGAGATAAAGGCGAAGACTTGGGAAGATTTTGAGCAGTATGAGACGGAGGTGGTGTGTGACTGGATGGTTGGTGTTGAGCTGGGACCTGTTGTGGACTGAGGAGCTCTTTCTTTCTGAGTTGTAGGCAGAGATGTTCTATTCTCATCCCACCACATGTAAATTCTATGCCATACCACCAAGTGACGTTCCCCATATCGTCGGAGGGGCGAATAAACTTATGTTAGAGAAGTCCAGACGAACCTACAAGTCTGCCACGCTTCCAGTACTCACTCGCATCCACCCAAAGTAACACTTTTTAATGATAATAGTCATAAGGGGTACGAAGAAAGTCGTTCTAATGTCTAGTGTAACACACAAGCCCGCAGGTAGCCAGCGTACCAGTTTTCATCGTCGGAACCATTTCCGACCATGACGTCACAATTCAGTCCATCAACCGACCAACACCTTTCATAACCTAGATAACACTGCGACCACAACTATCACCATCACAAGACATAGCAACACGCATCTCTTTCTGCACCGGATTTCCCCAGCTTTTGACAAATACCGGCAGAAATACTGCCCCTGCCGAGTTGTGCGTCAATGATCGTCCCGCGTGGGTCTAGAGGCTGTCGATCTGGTGTCATTCGTCCGAGTAGTGGCTGATCATCATGAGTCGCAGCCTCTTCCGTCGTTGGACCACGTCGACTACGCGGGACTATGTTGTGACTACGCCAGCGACGTGACGCTATGAAAAAGGCTCCGAGGCATCTTCTCCAGAACTAGGGGGAGGAGAGAGGGGTCAACGAGTTTCGGGCAATGGTTGTTGGACCATTGGTGCCAAAACCTTGGAATGTCTTAAGGACAGGATGGTGGCACCCTTTGGTGGTGGGTTGTGCACTTGCATCTCGTTTCCGCTCGAGACATTGTTGTTATTTGAGTGAAAGGAAAATATACGCTCGTTCTTCAAAATGCGTTCTACATTCGCCATCTCATTGCTCGCTGGAGTTGTTGTATCAGCAGAAGGCCTCCTAGATCTTCCACTCGACATCGCCGGTTTACTTGCTTCGCTCGGCCCAGCGCCTCCAACGGACCCTCGGTGGACAGACTGGCATCCAGCAGGAAGCAGCGATGGTACATACACCCCTGCTATCCACGTTCTCCACCAATTTCACTAACGATCCTAACCCCAACAGTACGCTCTCCCTGCCCAGCCCTAAACAGCCTTGCCAACCACGACTTCATCCACCGCGACGGCCGCAACATGACCATCCCGCACCTCATCTCCGGCCTCGCTGCAGGCCTCAACATCGGCGCCGACTTCACCACTGCCATCAGCGGCGCCGGCTTGCTCTCCTCTCCCAATCCGCTCGGCGGCTCCTTCGACCTCGATGACTTGAGCCAGCATAACTTCCCCATTGAGCACGACGCCAGCATGTCGCGTCAAGACGCCGCATTGGGTAACCCACAGCCATTTTACAATCCAAACTGGCAGCAGTACATTTCCTTTTTCGACGGCAAGGACCAAACAGATGTGCCTACGGCCGCCAAGGCAAAGTACGCCAGGACGCAAGATAGTCAGAAGCGGAATCCAGAATTCGTGTATGGGTTGCGAGAAGCGGTGTTTAGTTATGGCGAGAATGCGCTTTATTTGCAGACTATGGGGTCTGATCCGTTGTCAGGAAAGGCCAAGGTAGAGTATGTGAGGAGCTTGTTTGAGCAGGAAAAGTTGCCGTTTGAGCTGGGTTGGAGGCCGAGTGTTCTGCCTATTACGCTGCCTAGTTTGGGAGCCATGGTTGTGGAGTTGCAGGCGAGCAGCCCGGAGCCTCTGCTTGAGGGCGCGAAGATTGTGGCGGACTCGTACAAGGATGTTTTTATTGCTGTGGCTGGTGGGTCGAATATTCTGGGGAATCTTACTGCGGGAATCAGTGAGGCGTTGGGTTTGTGAGGGCGTACGGGGTAAGGTATAGGATTGTGTTGATGGTAACAGAGGGGAACATGTCTAGTTTCCATCGTTGTTATCACCTTGTTTCTATTCTAATCGAGTCATCGCCATGTTCGAACTTCGTCTCTATTTCTCAACACCGTCAATCCTCATTCTCCGATTCTAGACAGGCGCGTATGCGATAAGTTCTAAAGACCAAGCCGTGATCGTCCACTTGCAACGTTGTATCCACAGCCTTGATTGCATCACCCCGGACTACTCTTGAATCTTCCCTCATCCCTTCTCCCGCTCACTCGCTTCTTCACGGTCTAGTCTACAACCCTCAAACGACTCTTAAATATTCCTCTGTCAAGGCCATGGTGTTCAACCCGCATGTCACAATCTCCAGTCACTCAGATAGTCTCCTCCATTGCTTAAAAGCTGCAGTGGACGCAAATATGGTGTTGGAGGTGGTCGAGAAGGCACCTCATTGGATGCTTGTCCTGGAAGCTGTATGCACTGCTCCGTATAAAGCTCTCCATGCAGAATATTCAGCTCAGGGATATAAAACTCAAGAAATTGTTGCTCCTGGTGCCACTGTAGTGCTTGAGTTTGCGGCAGACTCCGGTAGCGTGGTGCGTAATGGCCCTCCATGTACTGACGGTGGTAGACATGAGCGTAGATTTGCCAAGTATCCTGCTGGTTCTGCTGATACTGGTGGATATCTTGCTGTATCCAGGTTACTTCAGACGTCTCATATCCGGCAGTATTTATCGGTTCATTGACGGTAGACGGTTCGACTAGTTCCTCGAGGTCAGCAGCTATATTATGTTTGCGTTGCGGCTACGGTTCGTAGAGGGGTGGATCAGCATCATACGAGTTGTAGTATACTCCGGCTTCCAGGAAATCTGTATGCGTGCCAACTGGGCTGACTTCAACGGGTGTACAGAGCTTTGTATCCTGAATTAAAGATCTACCTTTTGCGACGTCAGGCAACAGCTCGGTTTGCGTCACGGATTCCTCCTGTGAAATATGCGATGGACATTCGCTGAACGTCCCGAAAAGTAAACAGCTGATATATTGTTCGATGCTCGACCCAGCGTTGGGAAAGTAGCGGGCGCGAAAGCCAGGATGCTGCCGCCAGAACCTCCCCGTTTTGGACGCCTTTTCTCTCAGGTCCCACTTTTCTCTTCGTTTCAGGTTTTTGAACCACCTTTCGACGTCCTTTTTCGGCGATTTGGCAAGCATCTCCAAGAAATTCTCATGGTCGTAGGCCGCATGGAAGTCTTCCTGGCTAAAGTAGTCTGGTGGTTCTGGGTAATGCTCCTCGAACGGCGTTGAGAGCTCACCCTGTGATATGCGAGCGTCGATTTCGTTCATGATACCTTTTATCGCGGTTCTTTGAGAGGCATGATAATTCTGTAAACGTATAGCATTCTGATCGGTATCAGGATCAGTTGCATCGCCTCTGATAATCCCAGATCCTGATAGAGGACCACGAAGCTGAAAATTTGACAACACGGATGTCATATAAGGCATATTTAAACCGAAGTGGGTCATTTTCTCAAGAGTATGAGTGAGGTAGAGGTGCGGGTAGCAGAGGTAGAATTCAGCTTGCGAAATGTAGTCAGGATGTAAAGTTGTGCGGACCTTGAGCCGGAAGCGTCAAATGCGGGATGGAAATCCCAATAGAGATTGAATTTCACCATCGGTGCTGAAAATCGTTTTATACACATAGCGCGTACAGAGGATAATCCGCTTCTCTTCCCACAGTTCAGTTGCGATCCATGAACCAATGAAGGGTAGTCTTTTGAACTTCTTCTATGAAGCGAGGATTCTACCATGGAACAATTGTACTGTGAACCGGTCCTGGTACCCATAGTGGGCAGATAACCGAATCGTAAGCTTTTAAACGTCACCTGAATAAGGAAGAAAATAACGTGGTACATTTAGGTGAGGCTAGAAACTATGGGTCGAGGTGCGATTCACAACGGACTTGTAGAGCTGACGACAAATGATGACGCCACGTTTGGATATCTCATAGATCAGAACGGAATCTTCGGTCATGCGCATCGGCAACGATGCGATACTCTTAAATGCGGCGACACTGCCTGGGAAAACCTCGAAACTTTCACATGGTGGTCAACGGCTCTACCTAGAGTTCACGAAAGAATTTGAGAGAACCGTTGATTTCGTAAATATGAAGCGAGACTTATGTTCTACGCAAGTATTGGCACAGCCAACGACAAGAAACACTCAATCCAGTTTCACACAGTCTGACTACAGAGTCCGGTCTCGCTTCGCCAGGTGCGTGATTTATCTTCGATCGCCACCTGTCCTTTTGTGTTTTCAGAGAGCCAGCCAAGGCACGCTGAGATGGATGGCTGGATAACTCGTTTCCCGAACGTCATCTCGTCCTTTACAAAGAGGACCATGAAATTGATGTCCCATACATAAACTGCCGGTATAAGCCTACACCGTATCCTGTCGATCTGGTCCTGCGCATACGAAGCCGTGTGTTCCTTCATCTCTGCTATTCCACTCTTGAGATGAATCTGTTTGCTGCTTTCATCGCACTCCGCAACCGCTAGTCGCAATTCCGGGTATCCGATCGCTTTCCAGACACCCCTCGAGAAGTCTGGGCAGCCCAGCATGCTTTGTTCCAGTTCGTAAAGTTCGCGTACTTCTTCGATGAGACCTTCCTCCACCATCTGATCTACCCGTTTGTCCAGCCGAGGTTTCAAAAGCGACATGTCAGAATCGAGAAAGATGACCGATAGATCGCTGCGCTGGATGAAAGGGTGCGAGAGGAGGGGCTCCGTCAACGAGATGGATCCACCGACCAGCAGAGGGATCTTGCCGCCGTCCTGGATTCGCTGGATTCTTAAGATAGCAAGGTCAACAAAGGCAGATGGTTCTTGGTCGGGCTGCAGATAGTCTATCAGATGGTGCTTGACACCGTCCATTTCCTGGGTAGTAGGCTTTGCCGTCATAATACCCCCATGTCGATATGTTTGCAGACTGTCCACGGAGATGACCTCGCCGTTCATGGCTTTAGCGAGTGCGATTCCAAGCTTCGTCTTCCCAACGCCTGTGGGACCGACAATCGCAATGATGGGTCTGCCACCCATGGTATAGATGGTTCAGATACAGAGAAATTGGATGAGATGTGTATGATGCGGTAGAACTTGCGAAGAGAAGAAAGTTTGATAAATTTGAAGTGATTAGGAGAATGATGCGCGATGAGGAAGTTTCTTAAATAGGGGAGTTGCAGCTCATGGAGTTCAGACAAGTCGGCTCGATATGATGTCACACATCAGGCCAGGAAGATGCATGCAAAAATGATTCTAGACTCATGCTTTGTAGAATATGTCCTGTGTATCACTTTCAAGATAAAGTTGATTCAGATTGGACGTGTTGATGCTGAGGCAGGGCAACACAACGCCGTCAACTAACTCAATATAGTGATCTGAGTGCTGATTTATTCCCCAAATACCCAGTGTTGTATCATCGTAGCTGTAATCACCGAAAAGCTCTTGCTGGAACCTTTTCCATGGATCGCATGCTTGAGGTATTGTCGTGGACTTCCCTTGCCAGGCAAACCCTTCTTAGGATAAACTCAACTCTCTTGTCGCCCCGTGAAGATGTGATACTAAAACTTACCATTGTTTCGTGTTGCACAAATGAAATGCTACGTCACCTACAGAGATCAGAGTGAGATATGTTTAAGGCCGATCCCAGTAGTACCTGAGTACTTTTGTTTCATGCCTAACTCCAAGAGGTAAAAGAAGCTTGAAGAAGAGACCGATTAGCATCTCGCTTTGATTACGGCTAGACCAGTGAACCGAGAGGTACTACAGGAATGCGAAGGCCTCTTACTTGGAGACTGGAATACACAGTAGTGTTACCAAGATATCGGTGTTGCCGGAATATGGAAAGCTTTTAACAACCGAATCGCACGATCTGCTGCTAGACAAGAACAATCCGGCGATCATGAAGCATGGGCCAAGCCTCCTGTTTCGGGCTTGCAATGTCTTGTTGGCAGCGGCGAGTGTTGATTTAAACCATTTACCCGTAGAGCCGAACCTTATTTACAGCTTCAGGCTCATACTTGGCGTGAATTGGCACGATGGTGCCAAGGCACAACATCTTCCTAGTACTGAAATAGCGTACAGGGCAGTGCCGTAAGCAGGGAAGCCTAACTTTAGCGAGGGGTAGCACAGAACCTAGGTTAAAAAAGGAAGATGTGTAAGACAGTACTTTATGGGGTGCAGTTTGACTAGTAGACCACCCTTGTTGTCCTTCAGCTTATGGGGAGAAATTGCTACGATAATCTGCTTAGTGTAACATGTATAAATAATGCAAGACGAACTCCAAAAGACAGTATCATCACTCGACTGTCTTACGGCTCGACCATCCTATCTCTTGTTCTGCTTAGGACTATCTCGGTGCTCAAACAAGAATCAGTAAACCATGGGGGTGGCGCAAGTACACACAGAGCCAACAAATGGCACGGGTTCAAAACCATTTACACTGTGTGTGTTCTGTGGTATGTCCCTATGAGCACGTAGGAGTGAACGCGTACTGATCAATGGCAGGATCAAGTGAAGGAAACAATCCCAGATTCCGCGATGCTGCCAGAGCGCTAGCAAAATTGATGGCGAAGAGATCATGGTCACTAGTGTACGGGGGCGGGACCATAGGGCTGATGGGAGTACTTGCTGGAGAGGTAGTGACTTTGCAGGGGCCTGATGCGGTGCACGGCATTATTCCACGGGCGCTTCTGCAAGGCGGATCGGCGCCGGCGTTTGACCAGTTCGGGCGCACAACAGTGGTGGCTAGCATGCACGAGCGAAAGCGGATGATGGCAGAGGAGGCAGATGCCTTCGTGGCATTACCTGGTGGGTTCGGAATGCTTGAGGAGTTACTCGAAATGACGACATGGAGTCAGCTGGGTATTCATGCGAAACCAGTGGTTGTATTCAACGTATCCGGCTTTTTCGACGGTGTGTTCGAGTGGATGCAGACTGCGATCAGGTTCGGGTTCATCTCTGACGCTCAACTGGGGTTGATTGGACAGGCACGCACAGTCGAGGAGTTGGCGACGATTGTTACCATCCGAGATGTTGCTCCGGGACGATATACGTTCCTGGACTGGTCGTAGGACCGTTACCACAGCGGTAGCCGGACGAAAGGGACCATTATAGATCCGGAGACTGTAAACAATGCTTAGCGTTGGTATTGTAGTATCTAGAGGTCAAAAGACAGCCAAAATTTCCGAGTACACAAGCGTGCAACACCACTCGCTTTGATGGTTTCTATCCCGAGGGGAAATGTGGACTGTATTTGGTTGCAAGTTCAGTGGTCGCTTCACTCCGGGATTGGTGATGCAGTGTTCGTCGACATAGGCTCTACCATAGCGTAGCAGTATGTACGGGTAGGTAGAGCGTCCTGCTATGTTTCTCATCTTCGGGCGTCGGTCGAATCTCGAATCAGGCGTGCTGAGTGCAAATTCAGAAACGAAGTAACTCTCTAGACTGCGAGAAGCGCTAGCCCGGTCATCAAAGTGGCGGCCTGATATTAAGACAACGCAAGTACGCTAATTGCATGTTGTAGGGTCCATCAATCATGTTACTGCCCCCTACTACATCACAAACGAGCGCAAAGCCGCCATGATATCCATTGCGAGCTGTCTGGTCACAGTGACGTGCAACACAACCATCCATCTTCACAATTCCTCATGGGACATCTGACGGAATTAAAGACGCAAGAAGCTGACTTCAAGTCAGGGCTCGTTTCCGCACACCCCTGTGACGATTACTGACATATAGCCTCAGAGATCGAGTAAGAAAAACTTTCTCCCACATAGGGTCTTTCCTCATTCCGGTTTCGTAGTTCATAGAGCCATGAACATATGCGTCTCCAAGTAGTTCAAAGGTTCGATGGTTGCTAAAGCATCGCATCTTGTGCCCCGTCTCGTGCCCCGTCGACACAAGTACCTCAAGCTCTTCACCGTGACAGATACTGTTTCTTGCTACTCGCCGAAGAAACAGAGGCACTCTGCTTCCCAACAAGACAAAGACCCAATCCCCGTTGGTGAGCGTGTCGGGTCTAACCCCCCATTTAATCCTTAGAAGTAATGAAATATTTCCTACCCTTACTGGCGCATTCGACAGCATAGTGAAAGGCGTTTCTGTCCTCATTCCGCTCGCCCATCTGGAAGGTTTCTCGCAGACCCCCATTCTTGGTAGTGCGGCGCCAGGTATCAAGCAGCGGATCGCTCCAACTCACATAGCTTGATCTTCCTGCAGATGTGGATCTTTGAAAGGTTCTTCCTGCCTCATCTTGCGTCGAGTAGAGTATATCGGCATAAAGCGTCCTCTAGGATGTATCCAGTCGACTCCCGCCTGATATGTAGTCCTCAGTTGTATCTACTCCAACTTGTCGTCTCCACTTGGATGTTGTAAGACGCATATGGTTGATTTGACCTTCTAACGGATTCTCGTCATGCCACTGTATTTGATCGATGCAAAACCCCTGAACCTCCAATAGTGATCTGTTTTGTAACCGGACAAGATCTCGCGAACGACCCGAGGCATCATACAATGTGAGTCGAGACAGTCTTTCGGGCTCATGAGGTTGTGGAGAGGCGTTCCAATCCGTAATCCAAGATGCGTATCTCTTTAGGTCCCCAGTGGCTTGATGAGTCCCCGCGAGAACATCCAAACTGCCCGAGCTTTTGATTATATTCTTGGTAACTTTGAACCAGACTTCTCCTGGCTGGAGGGTGTAATCGGCCCGTAATGGTCCATTTGGTCCCCAGTGGCGAACGAGGTCTAGTAGAGCGAATACTTTATGCCTCTCGTCTGATGCCTTTCTGGAGCGAAACTTGCGCAAAAGGCTAAGAAGCGAAGTTGGTTGGTACTGCAGCCACTCTTGCCTCGTAGAATCAATGCTGATAACGATGCGATGGAAGTTCGCTAACGGGTCTCGAGTACGGTGAATCATTGTGGAGTCGAGATTATCCTTAAGACGGCTCCGAATGTAGTTCGTGGCAGCATGCGAGAACATTGTCCAAGGCGTTGAGATGTTGCTGTAGCGGATTGTTGCCTTTTGCGCAACTACTGTTTCCTGTACCACCCAGGTCCTGTGCCACTAGATATGGCGACAACTTGTTAGCGAAACTCATACATTATGAACTAAGACTAGAATGCATGGAAATTAAGGAAAATACTCATTACCCACGTTTCACCCATCAACGCCTTGATTCCTGACAGAACGTCTGTTGTTAGATGCAGGTCCTTTAAGAAGTGTATGTCTACTGGTGTCATGCCCTGCGATAAAAGGTGGATGGTACAGAAGGCTCCATATACTTCCTCCGCACTGGTAGACAAAAACATAGAAGTATTTTCGAACGCCTGAGAATACGGATCTACCTTTGCTGAATCCCTCTCATCATCCTACCACTCTATAACGCGAGCTCTTTTCGTGAGCTTCGGTGGTTGCTGACCCTGACTCCGCCCCCGTTTTTCATATGGGTAATTCTTGCTGCCTTCCCCCAGCCAGATGACCACTTCGCGGCTCTTCTCGTAAATATCTCTCATCATCGCAACCTGCAATGATCGTTCCACAATATCTTGCTGGTTTATGCACAGAAATTCAACCCAGATAACGACCGGGACTTGAACATTACGCAACTGCCTTGAAGCATGGAAAAGATTGGCGCTGATCTCTACATCCACATCATTGCATGATATCGTTGCATCAGGTTCCTTCTAGTCCAAACGCCACGCATATGAAAGGGCCTTGTAAGGCATTATCGTCCCCAACGAAATTTCGAAAATTTCGCAGACTATGTCTTCATCCCAACCCCCAGAAAGAACCTTCACCAGCCGTATCACACCCGATTCAGGGAGAGCAGAATACAAGGCTTCATTGCGACAGCCCACGCTCTGTACCAGGCTCCGACCGATACCCCAAGTGTACATATCGCAGGCGTCCTTCATCTGGAATGATAATTGAATTGATAATTACGCTGACAGTTCAGGCTCTATCGGTCGCGATGTGCTCGAGAAGTACGAGGACGTGGTGGGTCGGATGGAGGGATCGACGGCGGGTTCGCGAAGCTGGAGGGCGGTGCGACCCTTTCTCTCTAAGGCATAGAGCGCTTGCGCTAGATGTAGCCATACATTTCAATGTGTCTCGTAGTCGTACAATGGCTGCCTCGGAAGCTGATTGCGGTTTCGATGCGGAGTGTGTTCGTTGACATGATCTATACACCAGGGCCTCCAGCCTCGCTCTGCCCTCAGTCCCAGCCAGTCTGCCGGTGTCCTGAAACACTTGGCATAGGCGCTGTACAACCACATAGCCACTTATCCAGCGTTAGTGCTTGTCGCAACAATGCGCAGCGAAGCCACGTTGGAGTTTGAACGTGTGTTGATGACGTCATGCGAGCGAGCGCCCGCATCACCCGTCGCTGGAGGTTCAGTGATCCAAACACATACTCTCCATGCTTACAGCGCCCCTGTGGTCACGAAAGAATCACCGTGCCGTAATGACTGCAGCGATCAGGTCACTTTTCTATTTGCGCTGCGCAGCTTCAGAAGTTCACTTGATGCATATCGTGGGCAAGGCTTCCATGAGTCCTGCAGTCTGCTTTCACGGTTCGCTGGATCTCCATAATGCCCAGAATGTTTGTTGTCGCATCCTTCCGGCGGGATAGTGCGTCCCCATGTCAGCTCATTCAACGCATGCGTCAAGCTATGCAGATGGCGCCGCCACAGAAGCCTGGATGCAAAGGAAAACAACCCATGTCTCGCCGCATGGGTATTTGCTTAAATAGCTCATGTCCAACGTAAAGTGCTGCTGTACATGGCTTCTACGCAACTAGGCTTGTCCGCCTCTTCAGCTCTGGAAAGGAATAGCCCGCACGATGCCAGACGATACCAACGCTGGAGACAGCCTTCCGAGCGGCTCACATCCCTCTGCACAGCCCGAGCCCGCCGCAAGGTTCCAGTCATACTCAGAGTATCTGGCGCGTCTAGATCGGTTGGATGGATCTTCTTCCCGGTGCTTCTTAGAGCCTTCTGAGCAACGACTGTGGCTAGCAAGCTTCACCGACGACGGTCGCTATATCAAACGATACACCTGCAACTTTCAACCTCTCAACACGCCAACGAATCCACCAGCCGTAGACGCGGAAGGTATCAGGCCTGACACCACAGCCCTGTTGCCTTCTGACTTTCGAACCTTGCTGCAAACGACGGACGAGAACGTGCATTACAGGATAGTCATAGCAGTGACAAACTTTGGAGTACCTTCCCGCAGTATGCAAACTGTCCTCGGTCTTGGCCTGGATCTAGAGCCGGAGATTTTCGATTACGTATTGAGTACTCTAAAGGTCCCAAAGAGCATGCCAGCGAACATGTTTCCTCTACCGTGGGTCAAAGATGCCCCTGCTTTACGTATAGGCAGCGATGTTTTGTGCATCTTGAGGAACACACCGAAGAGAACATCAAAGACTGGTACATATAAAGATATACCTTCCACAATTCGACTCGCTGATCATGTGAATAGCAATCATATTTCTGGAAGACAATGACTATTCAGAACTCCCACCACGAAACTCCCTCGGGTCCACGATGTTTTCGTCCAAGAGACCGTCACAAATGGAAGAGAGATCCGATCAGGGTTCTAATCGTCGTCCCCGTTACTATCGTAAATCGCTCGTTGAGCGATATATCAATGAAGCGATAGAGTCGAAATCCCAATTCGGATCCGGTAATTTCCTTTATGTCTGCCTAGCTGCCTTGCTAGAGCTTCATCTTTCTACTGCGCCCACGAATATTTTTCAGTTCGGAAACTTTCATTGGCATCGGGGAGTGATGTGTAAATACCGTAGAAATCATGTAGCGGTGCCCAATGAGCCTCTTGCTGTCGGTGATTTTCCAGACATGGGGTGGAGCAAGTTGAGAACGGAGCTCGACCATCAGCGACATACACTCCGATGGATGACTCGCTTCTTCAAAAAACACCTCGATTACAAGAACAGAGATCTTCAAGCAGCATTCAAAGAGATGAGGGAACGCTTCAAGCTTCGAGTACAAGATCTTGAGCAAGCTGAATCACAGCTCAGAGATGAGCTAGCGAGTGAAGGCATAGATAGGAGTATCCGCATGGCAGAGATGAGCATCCGCGAGAGTAAAAGGGTTATGCTATGTATGTTACTAGTGATACCTTTCTCATTGTTCCTGCTAACTGCATCAAAGTGACGGCCCTGGCATTCATTTTTCTACCGATATCGCTCGCTTCTTCGGTATATGGAATGGTAAGATCACACTGTCACCTTGTAGGATGCATTCTAACCGGCCATACTTCCAGAACGTACAGCAGATAAACGGTACCGGTCATTCGATCAGAGCATTTGTGATCACAGCATTTGCAATGTGTGCGTCTGCAGTAGTGCTATGGGCGTTCATCGCTCTCTTCCAATCTCGCAGAGCCCGGTTGAAAAAAGGATATGATTTGAATCGCGGCGCATATAGCAGATGGAAGTGGTACGATTGGTTGATCATGATGACCGTTCTTGATACATGGAAGTCGTTATGGTCCTACCTGAAAACATCATGGTACAGATACAGGGCACAGCGCTACTTACGCCGGTAAACAGGTCTAGTATGCCTAGCGATAGGTATGATTTAGGTTGTGTTTGCACGGACCTCAGTGCAGGATTGGAAACGTCGATTTCAATGCTCAGTCTCTCCATGCTCTTGCATACTTGGTACTTCACTCGTAATAGTATCTGCAATGGTGCGCGTTGTACGTATCCATCCGCCATTTCGATGCAGCTGCAACATAATCGCTCCGATCTGCGACTTCGAAGATATGGGAAAGCTATCATCGAGAATCAAGGCTCAATTCGTTCCGGGAGGGCGCTGTGCCGCAGACGTTATCCGTTCTATATTTGTGAAGTGCGATTGCAGAAGCAAGTGGAAACCATGTCGGATTTTAGAGATCTACAATTGTTGCCTTGAGTGCCTTGCGTGCGTAACGAGCTAGTTCGCGTTTAGGGCGTTAAGCCACACTAAATCGAGCAAGCAAGCAAGTTCGCCCAACGAGATATTCTTTCATAACCTGCACTATGGTTAGTAATCAGTGAGTATTCCATGTGACAGATCGCATGTGTACATATCTGGCCATCTCCTAGATTCTCCAGCACTCTTTGCCAGCTATAGATGTTTAGCGGGAAATGCTACTTGGCCGGGTAACCACACAGCGAAGCTCAAATAGTCGCTTGCAGCACATACTCACCAAAGTGCTCTCTTCACCCTACATTTCGACGCCTCAAATCTTCATTCTCCCATTCCCACACACTCGACACTCAAGCTTCAGAGTCAAATCACTAAATTCGAAACCCTCAATGGCGACTTCAAATCAATCTTCCCCTCTGCCGCCAAGTTCTCAAGCGTCAGACTGGGACTCTTTCTGGGCAGACAAAAAACAACCTGGAATTGCGGAGGCTCTAATCCCGCATTCATCGATTTTCTGCGCGCCCCATCTAACCCTCCAATCTCACCCAACGCCAATCCTACGCCTGGTGCGCCGGAATCCGGTGTCTATGAACACACGGAGGACGTACAATTGCCAGCACCAGTCAAAGAGGACGATACTGGGCGGAAGGCGCTAGTACCTGAGTGTGGGACGGGGCACGATGTAGCGCTGTTGGCGAGTTGGGGGTATGACGCGTATGGTTTGGAAATCTCAAGGCATGCGGTTGACGAGGCGAATGCGTATTTGAGGCATTGGAGGGAAAGGATGTAGAAGGGGAGTACAAAGTCAAGGACGAGAAGATTGGGGAGGTAACGTGCAGTGTTTGCCTGGTGATTATTTCGATGATGCGTGGATGCGCGAAGCTGGCGGTGTAGAAGGATTCGACCTCATCTATGATCATACGGTAGGCCGTCTACACGTCGAACTGCTCAGTCTAGAGCGTATGCTGATGACTTGTCTAGTTCTTGTGTGCCCTCCCGCCGTCACTTCGACTACGCTGGGCAGCACGAACAAAGTCTTTACTTTCCCCTACTGGTATCCTCGTCTGCATGGAATTTCCCACGCACAAGCCTGCATCTGCGGGTGGCCCGCCATGGTCGCTCCCGCCTACCGTTCATGTGGAGCTGCTCAAGCGACCAGAAGAGGAATCGACGTATGACCACGATGGCGTGGTAGCCACCACAGGTAGAGACGAGAGCGAAGATGCTCTGTTGCGGATTGCACACTGGACGCCGAAGAGGTCACATACTGTAATAGAAGGTATCGTCAGATGCTGTGTAAGCGTGTGGCGGCACAAGACAAAGGCTTAGACTCTATTGAAGCCGCATCCTAAGCTAGGCTTGTGGAGAGCATTCTCAGCATTTCTTTCAAATAAAATCACTCTGCTCCGAGAAGTCCGCTCACAGCTCCGCCACTGAGACTGCTCAGAGAGCTCAGTCAGCCACGAAGGCGGAGTCGGGGCCACGTACTTCCGTGGTGTATCCTCGTTGACAGGCGATGACACGCCAAGTGTCCCCTGCCACGCTGTACTCGGTCAACAGCACACGGTGTGAGACTCGGGCTTATTACATGGCAGCCGGGCGCATGCGGTGAGGCTGTTCGGGATGAGCGACAAAGACTGGGCAACAAAGACTGGGCGAAAAACACTGAGGGCGGCGCAGTGGTGTTGTTATCAACCTTGGAACAAATTCATAGCGCACTTGGCAAGTCAATGTTGGCCTCAGGCTAGGACATGTGAAGCGCTCAAGACGACCTTGTTTGATTAAGCAGCGGGTCGGTGGATGATCTGCAAGTGGTTGTTTTGACGCGCATGGACCACTCCAGACTCAGATTTGACTTGGCGGGCAGGCGCGATTGGAACATGACATCATCAGCCTTGCAAGCTGTGAAGACGACAGCCACGATGCGCGCTGCATACAGAGCCGGCAAAAAGATGAATTTGCTGTCGCGAGCCGAGTATCTTGCAGTCGTGAGACAGCGTGGCGATACGTGAGGGAAATATGTGACGATATGCTCCACTTCCCCTGGGCTTCCCTGGCAGTTCCCGAGCTAATCCATGCGCGGTGTCCCGCTTGGCGTCTACACAGCCTACTTTACCAACCACCTCGTCATCTCGACCAGACGCACGAGAGAAGCAAGCCAGCACTGCCCTCTTCCCCCTCTCGATAACTAAACCTCTTTCGCCGGGCTCTCGCTGCGATACTCTACCCTCCCATCATTTGCCAATTCCTCTAGCCTGCATCCTGCCAATTGCAGAGCTTGCCTCAGCAGCTACCGAACAGACCAGAGAGCTTGGCTTGCCCAGGTCATAATATACTGCTAGTTCTCCCGCGCCGTGCGCATCTGACTCTTCTCCAAAACAGCAATGAGTGAGTAGCCCTTTGATTCATTTTCCCGCACGCGGCAGTTAGCCGGCCTTGTCGTAGTCGCTTCGCAGTCTTGGTATTGCGCATCGTCTTTCAACACCATCGTTGTTCGGCTTTCCTGACCAAACATTCCATTGCCCGCCGACGGTCCGGGGGCGCAGCACAACATCATCAGCAACCCGCATCACGCATCTCGACTACGGATATATAGCTAACCTGTGCGCTTGGCAGAAAACATCAAGCAGTCTTTTCACCGTCACGGTCGAGCAGGCAGTTATCACCACAACCAGCAGAGAGAGATGCCGCAGCCCGCCAACGGCAGGCTCCATGACGAGCACACCCCGCTCATCGGCCGCACTCAGAACTACGAGGATGAGTCGCGCGTCAAGACTATCCCCAAGCACGTCTTGCATCTCATCTATGCGACACTCGCTAGCAACTATGTCAACGTCTTCCTCGTCTTCGTACCGCTCGGCATCATCGCTGGCGCATTGCACTGGAACCCGACCGTCGTCTTCGTCCTCAACTTCATCGCCATCATTCCTCTTGCAGCACTCTTGAGTTTTGCGACCGAGGAGCTCTCCGCTAAGCTTGGTCAAACTCTAGGAGGGTTGATGAACGCGACCTTTGGAAATGCCGTCGAACTTATTGTAAGCTTACATCTGCACACGTGCGCTAGAACTTGCTAATCTCGCGATAGGTCTCTATCGTTGCGCTCAAGCAGGGCGAAATCAGAATCGTCCAAGCCAGTATGCTGGGCAGTATTCTGTCCAACATCCTTCTCGTAAGCTCAGATGCTGCGACTACTCACACTCCAGCGCGCTGACCATAACAGGTGCTCGGATGCTGCTTCCTTGCTGCTGGTCTCACCCAGCACGAAAGCCGTTTCAACGAGACCGTCGCATCTACCATGTCTTCACTCATGGCCGTCGCATCCGCCTCGCTCATCGTCCCTGCTACCCTCTACGCAGTTATGCACGGCGACAACAAGAAGGACAACCTCGAGACTGACAAGAACATTCTTGTTCTCTCCCACGGCACTGCCATCATCCTGCTCATTCTCTACATCCTATACCTTTACTTCCAGCTCTACTCGCACCACAGCCTTTTTGCCGACGTCGAGAACCAAGAAGGTGGCGACAACGAGGAGGAAGCCCAGATCTTGTCGCCCGTCGCTGCTGGTGTCGCATTGGTCATTGTAACCGTCCTCGTCGCCGTCTGCGCCGAATTCCTTGTCGACAGCATCGATTCCATTGTCGAATCCGCACACATCAGCAAAACATTTGTCGGTCTGGTCCTGATCCCTATTGTCGGAAATGCTGCCGAGCATGTCACCGCCGTCATCGTCGCATACAAGGGCAAGATGGATCTCGCTATTAACGTCGCCATCGGATCTTCTCTGCAGATCGCGCTCTTCGTCACTCCTTTCCTCGTCATCCTCGGCTGGATCATGGGACAACCCATGACTCTCCACTTCCAGGGCTTCGAGACTATGATCTTCTTCATCTCCGTGTTGATTGTCAACTACTTGATCCAGGACGGAAAGAGCAACTATCTCGAGGGCGCCATGTGCATTGGTATCTACGCTATCATCGCGCTCGCGTTTTACATCTACCCTGACAATGCGGCTGGTGATATCACCGTCGATGTTGTCAAGCGTTTCTTCGCTGTCAACTAAGCGCGCGCAGTTGTCACATGTGCAAACCATTCGCGCTCGTTGAGCGGGCGCTACAGGAGAGAGTTCTATTTTCCTATGTATAAAACTATTCTTTACCTTAATATACTTTTGGTACAGAAGGGAAGGATATCTGTTTTCTTAATTGTTGTGTTTCCTTTGTGTCTGTTGAGGTTACCCATTGTACGAGTATTCTATCTGTGGGGCGGTGCAGCTTGCCTTGGCGTTATATCTACTTGTGGCAGTGCATTCGGAACGAGCGGCAGCCGAAAAGTGGAGTGTGGCTTGACGATCTAAGGGGTCTGAGCTTGGTCGGCCGACCTCATATGCTTTTATGAAGTCCTGGATACGTTTTTATTTTGCGTCTAAGGGCTTCCGCTTTTGTAACCATGCTTTTAGTACGCTGAATAAAAATGTATTTAAGATCTCATTAAAGCGCATGAGGTTCACTGACTGAGCTCGGATCCCTCGATAAGTTCTCATGTAGTAAGGGAGGAGCAGTTCATAGGGCAAGATTTGTATATGTAGGAATTGAATCAAATGGTAAAAAGTCGACATGTTCGTTTCTATATGGGCGAAAAGGCTGGGTGCCATAGGTGTCAATGCTGATTCCAAAATAGGGTAGTAGTACGCAAAGAGAGAGAAATACGATTTCTCACTTCACTCAACTCCATCTCTATCTCCATATCAATTTCATCTTACTGCCCCCATTGCCCATGCTAGACCATCCATCAATCTTCTTCATCACCCGTTTCTTCATCTCCCCGCTTTGGCAAACTCGCCCAACGCCGCCGCCCAAACAAGATACAAGGTCCGACTCGCCCCGCCATCAATCCACCGCTCATCCCAAAACCCATCGATGCCATCTCTGAAAAAGGTATAACTCGCCTTTGCATCGATGAGTGCGAGGTTGGCGTAGAGGGTACCGCGCCAGCCGCCTTCGACATTTGCTCGGCCCTAAGATGATGAGGTTGGTAAGGGCAGCGGTGGGGGCGGGGCGAAGAAGAGGGAGGAGCAAGGATGAGAAGATGAGTGTGTGTGTGTTTTTTTTTTTTAATTTAGGTTTCTTACCTCTGTGAAGAAAGTCTCCCATTCTTCTTTTACGAAGCTGCGGGGCCGGATGAGCGATGTGGATGGGTTGATGGGAACCATGTGGATTCCGTGAATTAAAGCTGGGGCAAGGGAGAAGTAGGCTATTTTTCTCACCATGTCAGTTATGATGTTTCGCTTTTAAACCTTGCTTTACCTCATTCCTCCAATCTCTGTGTATCGCCATGGGGGATTTTCTTCCTTGGAATTTGGCCTCGAGTTTACAGCTCTGGTTTCCCTCTGACATCTTGCAATGGCTTGGCGTTGTGAAAGAGAGACAACCCTGCGGTTTCCCGTGGCAAGTTTACTGCGTCAAAGACCAAGGACTATGACGGCTATACGTACTCGCGTGATCGACTTTATTCTCAAATAGTACCCCCGCGACTTTGTTCTGCGTGTATCGCAACGGATGGTTTATGTTGGTGGAACGAATATACATGTAATGATTGAAGGAGCGGGCTTGGATCGCGAGTTGGAGATTCCCTGTTGGCATAGGTTTGTCAGCCATCATCAGCATCTTCCAAATCCTCTACTCAATCCAACGTAGGAGTTTGCGCTTTTCCGACATTCGTCCTCAACTGCTCGCTTTTCGTTCAACACACACATACCTCTCTTCTCCATGTCCGCATCGCCCACCACCTTTCCCCACATCTTCACCGCATAACTCGCAAACGCATCTTCCCCAGTACTCTCCATATCCTTGCCGTCGGCTGCTTCGAAGAGCCCTTTCGCCCAACTATGTCCATGCCACCAATCAAAGCTGCGCGAAAAAGGGTAGTCTCTGCCGTTATAATCGCTCTCCGCAAAGTCCTTGACAAGCATATTCGTCCAGCTCTTGTTATCGCCCTGCGTCAGCCACGCAGGATCCAAGGCACCAATGACCGAGGCCGTGTAAACAAAGTACGCGTATTGAAGGTGATGATCGTTGTAATACGTGTTTCCAAAATCGGCGCCTGGGTCCGAGAAGCCGGCCGAGGACACGACGCCTTTCCAGCTGTCGTCGTAGTAGAGTGGATGGCGTTGCGCATTGTCTACATACCTGGCAAGCTCGACTTTCAACTTTTCGAGCCCCGCGGTGGCAATGGCGTCGTGGTTCAGGACGTCCTTGATGATCCATACGATTGTGGCGAATCTTGCTAGGGACTTGCCGGCAAAGTACAGAGAGTCTCGGGGTATGCGTTCGGTCATTGCGCGGCGGAGGTCGCGCTCTGCGACTGCGGCGATGAAGGCGAAGACTTCGGGGGCATACCGGATCTTAGCGTTTGCATTCATGGTTGGGTTCCAAGGGGAGAAGTGCATGGTCAAGGGGAGGTTTGGTTCGATGAAGGTGAGTTTGTCACCCCAGATGGCTGTTGCCATACCCTTGGTGGTGGTGCGTAGACAAAGGTTCGTGACCTGATTCCTCATTTCTGGGTCGAGGGACTGGATGTGGTGCGGCAGTGCGAACATGAGTAGCGGCGAAGTACCGATCTTGGTGTAGCGGAAAGTGTAGATGCCTTTGCCGTCTGGGACTACAGCTGTGAGTTTGGCTTCGCATACAAAGGCGCCGGAGGCTCTGTCGTAGATTACTTCGCCTTCTGGACCGAGCGGGTTCTTGGCTACTTGAATTGTGCCTTTGAAGGCGGGAGGACCGAGGAGTGTGTTGGAGTTTAGTCGGACGAAGCGCATGGCATCGTAATCGAGACTTGCCACTGGATTGACGTACACAATCCAACACCTGTCGGCTTTGTCTTTGAGGCGATACTTGACTGTGCGTGGTGATATGACGATTGGCCCGGCCAAGTCCACAAAGCCGCGACCGCCTGTCTGTATCATGGGCGTTGCACCTCGGTAGCCAGCCGTGATGAAGCTCATGCCTTGCACAACAGGAAATGTAATCTTCGGTTCCCGGGCCTCAGGATGTGGTTTGAGGTTGATGTTGACGGAGAACGGAAGATGAGTGTCTGTAGTGAGAGTCGTTCGCGCATCGAGCTCGACGGCGCTGAGGACGAGATGCTGCTTGTGGAGCGGATTGATATAACCTTTGGCTGGATCTCCAGGTTCAAACACCAGGTCCTTCTCTTCGATATGGCTTATGCACATGCCCCATGTCTGTACCATGCCCACGTCTAGTGTTCCTTTACCCCACCATATGGAGTAAGGGTGTGTCCAGATAGGTTGATTCTGTTGTCCTAAGAATGCATTGGCGTAGAAACTGTTGGTATGCATAGTGGTTCTGTCGTCATCTTCCACTCCCGTCCTAGGCACTGGGTGATGACGTCCAATTGGAATTTGCGGAAGGATATCATCTTGTTGTATAGGTGTGAAGATGTTGTCGGGAGGTATCTCGTCGGGAACGGTGGTGGCGCTGTAGCCGAGTGTGCTCTTGATACCCTGACGGGTTTCGCGCAATGATCCGAGCCAGCCATCCTTCTTGGTAGGTTTCGAAAGTGCGTGAGCGATGGGTAGGCGGGACTGCGCTGGACCCATGGGTGGTATCGCAGAGGTGTGCGAGAGGTTTGGAGCAGCTGTCTCAGTATAGGTGACCGAGTTGACTAAGAGTGAGTGTATGCTTGTAGGAGTGGTTATAACTCGTTTATGGATACGATCGGGGGCGCCCAAGAGGGTTGTGACTCTAGTATGAGCAGTGGCATATCGTTTGCAGCGATGGGGATCCCGATGCCGCTTCCGTGATGTTCATCGTGGAGAAGTGACGACTGCACAGTTTGCTCGATACCGCGAGGTTTGCGCAATTGCGCGGTCAAACGTCAGGGCCACACTGTGTCCCGCACAATGTTATAAAGTGTCACAAATGAAGTTGAAAGGATGAAGACGACGAAGAAGTAGAAATATGCGTGGTAGCAGCCGTAGAATGTAATTTTGGGACGAAGCTGTCAGAAAGTTGGGTGCCATAATCTACATGCACCTCGACCGCCATCGCGACTTCCCCAACAATGGTCAACGCACGCCATGTGGCAAACATGCCTAAAACAGATTTTCGCACACGTTCAATACGTGGCACAGATACTCGAGTTGAAACCTTCGATTCTCTCCCTATGCCAGCGGTTTCCTCAACGGGGCAATAACCCCCTGCTTAACAATAACCCTCGGCTTCGTAACATCCTGATGCGTCTTCTTGGTAACCCACTCCTTTCCCTTCGGCACCCTCAAACTCCTCTCGTACTGTTCCCTATTCTCAAATGGGAATGGCAGTTGACTAGCCATGTATTTGACAGTGGGCTTCATTCTCTTTTCGTTGATGATGACCTTGTCCATCTTCTTGTCTTTCCGTTTGTTGGCGTCGATACCAGGTTTCTGAACGACGGTTTTGAGTCCAACGTTGCGTTTCTTCTCGGCCTTGGACATGCCGTCGCCGGTCCAGGAGCCCCAGCCAGGAAGGACCGACACCTCTTCCGTAGCCTCTTCATCCGCAATCGTAGCCTTCTTCTCAGCGGCGAAATCAGCTTCTACATCGTCGCCAGCGAAGGCTTTGGCAGTGAGAGACTGGTTGTGCGTGATGACGTCAAGGTCGATACGCTCATCTTCGATACCTTCTTCGTCGTCGTCCTGGCCACCTAGTACAGTCGCCCAGCCATCGTCGTCGGCTACAGTGACGCGCTGCTTCAGGAAGTCGTCGACTTGTGTTTCTTGCGGTTTCGTTTCTTGCTTCGATTTCTTCTGGGCCTTGGGCTTGGACGTGGGCTTAGGTTGAATGACGGCCTTCTCTTGGGTAGAAGAGTTTGCAGCGCCTGTTACGGGGAACAGCTCAGGCTCCTTTACGGCTTTTTTCTCCTTCTTTGCCTTGGTCAAGAAAGGGTTAGACACCTCATTCTCTTCAGGTAGGGGTACAGCAGCCTTGCGCTCTTTCCGAGCGCCGTTGGAGAGACCGTTCATGCCGTTCTTCTTCTGAGCAGGCGCTCGAGCCGACGATGCATCTGCACCAGGCTCGCCTTCTTCGGCAGAGTTGGCATCATTTTCTACGTCAGATCCCTCGTGCTCCTCGAACTCATTGCGCATCTGTATAGCCGGAGCAGCAACGTTGGCATTAGGACCGTATTTTCTCCGACCTGCTTTGGTAGCGTTCTCATCAAGCTCAGCGTTATCGCTGTCCTCTCCAGCAAGTTCACGTCTGAGTTGTTCGACAGCTTCGTCATTTTGTGCGCGCCGCGCGGCTTCTGACTTTTGCATAAAGGCCATCTGGCCAAGCTTTGACTCCTTGGTCGAGAAGGGGTTCTGCTTGAGCTTGCCAAGTGACTGTTGCAAAGCGTCATTGTCCGATTGTTCGTCGTCATCGTCGCTCTCCTCTTCCTCACTTGGTACATCAGAAGCTTCCTCGTCGTCATCGCGGATAGTCTTGCCCTCGACACGACGACGAAGCTCCTCGTTCCGTTTTGCCATCTCAGTTACACCGTCAAGAGCATCCTGGTCCCAGTTCGCTCGCCCAGTAGCCTTGATGCCCTTGGCCCACTTGCTCTCTCGGTGCTTAGCACCCATACGTTCCTCTGCTCTCCGGCGATCATTGTATTCGCGTTCCTCTTCGGATAGATCAACGCCATCAGCCTTGAGCTGCTCACGTTCCTTCTCCAATAACTTCTCACGCTCCTTTCGGTGCACTCGTCGATATGCCTTACTCTTGATTTTCTTGATACGCTTAGCGCGAACCTCTTCGCGGAACAGCAACTCTCGTTGCATACGCAATTCGGCACGTCGCTTGAGCACCTCCTCGACAGGGAGTTTGTTTGTTTGAAGCTCTTCCCACTTCGCAATCTTCTCCTCGTCTTCCTTGCCGTTCGAGAGACCGCTCTGTTGGAGGATAGATTGGATGGTGCTCTCGAGGTCGTTGGTAGGCGCGGCAGTCGTCGTAGGTAGGAGTGTTTTCTCACCCATTGGCTCGCCTCCACTCGCGTTCTGCAGAGGGAACATCAGGTGTTCAGCGCGGCGATTACGCTTGATGGTGTCCGTCCACCTCTCAAGAGTCTCGTTCGCTTTGGCGTTCGCTGCAGCGCGGTCGAGTTTGTCTTGTTGTCGCTTTGGCAGGGGAGCGTCTAGCTTCCTGGCGATGTCGTTACGTTTCGAAGACTTGTCGTCTTGGAGCAACTTGAGCGCCTTCTTCTTTTCTGCGTCGGCAACTTTGGGCTTGAAGCTGAGTAGATCGACTTTCCTGGAAACACCAAACTCATCTGGTGCAGCGGACTCGTGGACGTCCACTCTCCTGCCCTTGGGTTTGTCGTCTTCCCGTGAGGCCAAAGAAGAGATCAGGTTCTGCAATTGTGTCTGGCGATCTTCCTCGTCGTCTTCCTCGTCGGATGAAAGGTCAGATGCGCCGTCTGCCCCCATGTCTTCACCCTCGCTCGGTTCCTCGTCGCTGTCGTCGAATGCGGAAGCCTGTTTCTTCTTCTTCTTCTCTTTTCGCTCTTCAGCCTCGTCCTCCTCGTATTGATCCAAGGCGGTAGCCAGATCGATGGCGTCTTCGCCGAGATCGTCATCCTCTTCCTCCTCTCCGTCTGCGCTGTCGCCCTCGTCAAGGTCGATATCGCCATCCTCGTCCTCTATGTGTCGTTCCCGTTTCGACTTTTTCGCTTTTCCCTTTTGGTTCTTCGAGCTGCCTCTGAACGTGTAGCCCTCGAAGCGTTCTTCGTCGCTCTCCCCAAACGCTTCGTCCGAGTCGATGCTCTCGTCGTCGTCATCGTTGTCTACGTGACCCATCTGCCAAGTGTTGCCCTCCGAGTCGCTTCCTTCATCGAAGCTCTCGTCGCCGGACCTTCTCTTGCGTCTCTTAGGCCCATCGTCCTCGTCCTCGTCCTCTTCGTCTTCTTCGTCGTCGTCATCGCGCGCGCGCTTGCGGTTGAACGCCGGGTCGAATTCGCCTAACCGGTTCTTGCGCACTTTGGCATCGTCTGGGTTCTCGTGCTGCGCAATGGAGAAGGCGTCGAGGGCGCGCTTCTGCGCTTTCTTTGGGTTTCGGTGTTTCGATTGCCCCTTGGAAGACGAGGCGCCGCCAGTCTGTATCGAGCTGCGTGCTACTCGAGGCGGCATCTTGGGCGATGTTGGTTGAAAGGATAATTGTGGCGGTGCGACAATCTCGACTTTGAAAGTTCGCACTTTTTTGCCGCACGGGCCACTGCACCTCCGCTCCAAACTCCGCAAACTCCTCGAAGATTGATTGTCGCTATACGACGTCGTCGCATCGCCCGCTACAGTCAAAGCACGCAACCGGATCGCCGCCATGAGACCCACGCTCGCTCTCCAGGGCAATCTGCGGCGCCTGCCGCTCTCCCCCAAGCAGGCGGGCAAGGAATACTACAAGGGAAACCGCGTAGGCTCAATGGGCACAATCAACAGATTCGGAAACTTCACACCAGACTGGAGCAAAATACGGACATTCGTATACCCGGTTCACGGTACCAAGAATAGCGAGGTGCGTACCATGCTTCATAGTCCAAGAAGACTGCGACGGGCTAGATTGATGATAGAAGCTCAATCAAGACTAATGCACCCCACAGTTGACACCCTTCGTCGACGCCAGTCTAGAAAAAGTACGCGAAATTGACGCCGGCAAGCTTGAGAACTACGAGAAGCGTTTTACAGGCGAGGACTACCTGAGGGCGTGGAAGATGGCAGGTGGACACGATATCGTGGAGACGGGAAGTGGCGCGGTCGATTCGGGCAGGAATATTCCAACGCCGTTTGAGGAGAGGCCTGCAACGAAGTCATGATAAATGTGGAGGACGGGAAGAGGAAACTTCCGACAGATACGATACCAAGCCGGTGATAGGGTGATGTCAAGAGCATCCTGACCAGGATATGGTTCAGTGTGATCACCTGGTGCTGTATCGCCATGGACACAAGAGAGCGTTGGGCATGTATGATGCTACTATGGCGGAACAGGAGGTTTCGGCACAAGACGGCGCAGACATACCGCCAAGCGGCTTATGATGTTGTATATACTGTACATTAGGGTATCATATGGTCCCATCTATTCATAACACATGCCGACCCCTCATTCAGTTTCCTCATACCATTCAGCTCTCTCTCCTGACGCCAAAAAAGTAGTTGCCCCACCCCTCACTCCCTGCCACCTCCTTCCACCCCAACCCGGGCACGTAAACCGTACCCATGACCTTGACGCTCCCCCAGCCAGGCTGTTTCCCAAACCAAGCTCTCAACTCTTCCTCATTGACATACTTGCTCCACTCATGTGTCCCCTTGGGCACAATCCCCAACACATCCTCGGCAACGACATTCGTAACAACCCAACTCGTCCACGTCCTCGCAATCGTGCTCATAATCAGCCAACCACCGGGTTTCACATGTGGTAAAACGTGTTCGAGGAACGGGCCGGGCGCATTGACGTGCTCGATGACTTCGAATAGCGTTACGACGTCGAAGGCTTCGGAGGGCGAGGCAGGCTGCGGCAGCTGTTCGATTGATGTATTCAAGTACGTGAGTTTCCCCGGCGAGGTCAAGGTGGGATCTCGCCTTTTGTGTGCTTCGGCAATGGACAGGACCTGCGGTGTGGGGTCGATGGCTGTGACAGATGTAGTCGTGGGAAGGCGCGCGGCAGATTCAGCAAAGATGCCGCCGCCACAACCAATGTCTAGGTATCGTAGCTTTTCCTGTGGGTTGGGAGCAGAGGTGGAGGAGCGGCATTGGGAGATGAAGGTGTGGCGTAGCGGGTTCATGAGGTGGAGTAGGCGTGAAGGGCCGTGGGGGTCCCACCATGATGAGGCGAGGGCGTTGAAGTGCGATACTTCTGTTGGGTCGACCGTCGAAGTGGAATTCGGGGTGGGGTTGTGGTGTCGTGACGCGGTGGTGGACAAGCCTCGTGAGGGTCGTGGTATCCGGAGTGGCGATTGTGCGGCAGCTACATAGCTTTTTTGGGGTTGCGGGAGGCTTCTCCGTATTGAGCGTAATGCGCGGGCTGTATTTTGTGGCTTCATCACGGCTCTCAACGTTTGGGTTGGTGTTCGTGCTTGGGAGACGCGGCGCACGTTGATGTCACCAAAAGTTTGGAACTGCAGCCGAGGCCGTTTTGATCTTAGTCATCTGCTCCATACTCCAAAAGATGCCCATCCCCACTCACCAACACCACACCAACATGGCCAAGTATCCTAATCTCGTGGCTGTTTACACGCGATGCTCTTCAAGTCGAAGGTAAGCCCATGTTGCTACCCTACAATTTCATGCGATAGCACTTTCGCTATGTCGCGCAGCTGTGCCAGTCAGCAGCAGTCTCGCTCCCTTATTTTTATATCATAGATTTCTCCACCTGCTATCTGAATCATCACCTCTGTCTACGCGCCCAGAAAACTGGCCAACCCCATGGACATACAGCCCGAAACATACAGAATGAAAACTTTATTAAGAATCTGACCAAACATTGGTGTGTCCAAGCACAATGACTTTTCCAGTCATTTACCTCTAAGGTGTCTTAGCAAGTCATTGTAAAAGGTACCGATTGCCGGGATTGACGAGGCTCGGATCACAATGTCGCTATGCTAGTGCGCCCACTTCAACGTTAGGATCCTGTCCGGAGCGAGTGCGACCCTGCTTCGTTACGCCCGTAGCGCTGGACCGATCTTTCCGCAACTGGGCTTCGGCCAACTCTGCCGCTACGTAGTAGGGCCTCGACACTCCGAACATCGATTGTTGTCGCTCGGTCCCATGTTTTACGTCCGTAATCTCGGGCCGAAGGTACTCAAAGTCGGCTGCCTCAACAATAACCTTGTATTCTCTAGATTATCGTCTGCTTATCTTTGAAGCCTTCGACCAGGTGGAGCGGCTTTCGTCGCAACTCCAAGCTCGGCGGCAATTTACTAGAAACCTACGTGGACAAGCCAAGGTATTGTGAATTGCTGGCCATATCAACACCGAAATAATAGTGCCGAAGAAGCAGTCCGTTCAACTTGGTTCAATAATGGCTTACAAGTCGTACGCGTCCATCATAGATTCAGTGTCAGAACGATGCATGGACAAGGTACCTGCTCAGGTATATAGGTGTGCTCTGTCCTCTATCCTCTTGAAACATAATCCTGTTGTTTCGAGAACACGAACAATTCTTTAACGGGTCGTCGAACATTGCCCGATTCATTACTGCCCGCTGTATCTTACAAAGCATACCGTTTTTTAACATGACCGAAACTATCTCCCCCGACTACCTCGTCGTCGGTGCAGGTGCTGCAGGCATGGCCTTCGTTGACACTTTGATCACCTCCAACATCAAAGCCACAGTAGCCATTGTCGACAGCTATTCCCGCCCAGGAGGTCACTGGACAATCGCCTATCCACATGTTACCCTCCACCAGCCGTCCAAGGTCTATGGCGTGGACTCCCGAAAGCTTGGAGACGAGAAGATTGACCAGATTGGTATGAACAAGGGCTTTTTGGAATTAGCAACAGGTGACGAGATTGTTGCGTATTACAGCAGAGTCATGAGAAGTACCTTTCTTCCGTCTGGTCGGGTTGCGTATTACCCATTGCACAACTATACTACCGAAGGAGAGTTTGAGTCGATTGCCACGGGAAAGCGTTACCAAGTAGGACCCAACACTCGTATCGTAGACGCTACGTATTCCAAGATCACAGTTCCAGCCATGGGCCCACCGTCTTACGAAGTCTCAGACCAGGTCAGCCTCGTTACGCCTAACGCTTTGGCAACTCTTAAACGACCTTATGGCGGCTATACTTTGGTTGGGGCTGGAAAAACCGCAGTCGACGCGTGCGTGTGGCTATTATCTCAAGGCATCCCTGCACAGCAGATTTCCTGGATCATGCCCCGCGACTCTTGGTTCCTCGAACGCGGTACACTCCAGGCACCAGAAAGCACACCCAACCCTGAACAGCAGTTGAAAGAAAAGGCCGATGCACTCATGGGAGCCACGACATCTGATGAACTTTTTCTGCGCATGGAGACATACGGACATGCGCATCGTGTAAACAAGAGCGTGAAACCAGCCATGATCAAGGCAGCGATTGTCTCAAAGCCAGAGCTTGAAGAGATCAAGCGGGTCGAAAATATTATACGCCAGGGACGAGTCAAACGCATCGATTCAGACAAGGTGACTTTGGAGCAGGGCACGTACAGATCGGTGCCCGATACTCTCTACATTGACTGTACTGCGACTGGTTATCCATACCGACCCGTTGTTCCCATCTGGAAAGGCAGACACATAACGATCCAGATGGTAAAGTTCGTCCAGCCTACTTTCAGCGCCGCCCTCCTTGCACACGTCGAAGCTACCTACAACAGTGAGGAAAAGAAGAACGCATTATGCAAGCCTCTTCCTTCCATGAGTAAACCAGCGGATTGGTCCACTACGCTTCTCGTTTCTATGCAGAATAGGTTGAGGTGGATCGAGGAGCCGAAGATTACTGCTTGGCTTGAAAAGTCGAGGCTGGAAGCTCCGGTTTTGGGGCCGCCGCCGAGGGATCCGGAGGAGGCTGCGAGACATAATGCTAGTATTCCGCATCAGATTAGGGCGATGTGCGATAAGTTGGAGGAGATTGTTAGGAATGATACTGCACTTGCAGCCGGTCCCTAGTCGTGATCTTGTTCATCTTGGAACGATGTTTCATAGACGGCTGGCAATCTCTTTGTTGAACTGGGTTTCGTTCTCTGATTAGTTTTGATCGGCTTTACCAAGTGGTATGTAGCAATTCAACTATACTATTCGTTTATCGCCATACCTGGGCTCCATTGACAGCGTTAGCTTGCTTCGAGTAGTGTCCATCTGTTTCAACTCGTGTAGGGCCACTTCCTAGGCCCTTTGTATACATCTCCAGACAACCGGAAGAAAGATGCATAGACCATTATTACGGTCGTAGCGACTAACGAGGCTGAATTCGAAGCTCCAAGCGGCAAACAAAGATAGATGTGCCTGGTTGACCACTTTGCGAAAACCCTCCATACACGTCGTTGACACAATAAATCGGACACCTGGTTTGCGACTAGCGCAGGCAAATTGTCCGATTCATTGAAACACCCCGGTGCATATAAGATTTGACACTTCTAGATCTTCAGAGATCATAGGTACCGAGGTTGAGACGAGATCTGCAACTGGACGCCTAACCCGAAATCGACTTGCCTAAGTACTGTCAGGGGTGAGGACGCTAAGCCTGGAGTATGTGCTATAGTCACAGTCAATCGTTGCTCGGCAGCAATTCGTCCAGGTGCAGATATACTCTGACCCAAGTTCCATGGCTAAACAACGCATGTATCCCGTTCTACCTACTATACTCCAACAGGTACGACTGTCAGTGCCTGCGAAACACTGCAGCCAATCATGCAGTCTGAAGTTGAAATTGTGGAATAGCGGAGTATCCGGAAGTAGCTCGTGAGATATCGAGCGGTGTACACGACGCGGCTTGCAAGTACTTGCGCGCCGCTGCATCTGGATTAACAACTAAGTTGGGGTGTGCCCATGTGATGGTGTTGAGCGGTCCAGCCTCGTTTAGCCTTGTCTTGCCACCACGCTACCAGGGGTGTACGTACCTGATGGATCCACACAGCGATCGACACATCCCCAGTTCTCCGCAATTACTCTAAGCGATTCAGCTCCCAGGAAACGCGCTAGATTACGCCTTTTTCGAGTTTCGTCGTGGACGTGGCCCCCTTCGGCGATTGTGCTGTTCTTTTTGGTGAATTTTTGCTTACTAGGAGGAGCGACCATATCTGCTTTGAGACAAAATGTTCAGCTGGGAGAGCGTTGACAATACCGCCATGCATGGAAGATTTTGACTGGACTATGTATAAATCTGTTTGTCCAAGCAGGAACAGCGTTCTATCGCACGACCCATCGTCACTGCGCCATAATTTTGAACACTTCCATCTGGTCCCTTCGTCATGCGTCTCTCATCATTCATCGCGGTCGCTGGAGTCTTCAGCATCTCTGCAGTCTCAGCCGAACCCACCACACCTAAATTGCAAAAAGGTGTCGATTGCAAAGCTGTCAATTTAGCACTTACGGTGCTCAAGGGACTGGGGCCCCCGGCTACGTCTTTCTGTAGTTCCTATTTGAAGGTCCCTGCCACCAGCACAGTGTCCATAACAACAACTACACCAATAACGTAAGTGACGAAAGAAATATCGAGTTGATTTCATGCATTGACGATACGATCTTATAGTACCTTGACAACCTCCACATCAACCGTCACTGTCACAAGCTCTGTCTGCGAAGCGCCAAAGCGCCGCAGCCCTGGCCAATTGAGCAACGATCGAAGTAGCGATGTGCAGACAGAAGAATTAGACGCAGAACCTGTCAAGCGTCACAACATCCCTGCTCTTTCAGTCTTTGCTGCTGCAAAACTATCATCGGGTTGCAGTTGCCTCAGCCTCATGCCGAAGACTTCAGTCACCGCGACTGTCACGGCGCCAGCCTCTGTAAGCCATCCGTGTGCTCTTCACATATGAATTTCTTCATACTGATGACTTACAATAGACTGTCAATGTTGTTGCTACAACAACAGCATGTGTTATGCCGGTATGCACGCCGAGCGGTGGACGCTGTGATTTGTCAGACCCAGGAGCGTGCTGCAATCAAATTTGCTTCAATTCGAGTCCCTTTCCCTACTGTGGCTAATTCTCATGTTCAAACATGGTGTCGATAAACAGTGGGTTGTTGAAAAAATAAAATTTTCTGGTGCTTGTAGCCGAACTGCAACGACATTTTGGATGCTTCTCTGCCAGTGCTCGATACCCTGTGGTGCCTGTTGAGAAGACATTCTGATACTGTCTATTTTGCTCTTTCAATGAAGTGACACATATCCCCAATCTCCTTGCTTGGAGAAAAGGAGAAGAGAAGAGACGGACTATCTTGCCGGCGAGATTATACCATCGATGAAGAGAGGTTGCGATATTGTGTCTCTTCCTGATCTTTGCAAAGAATTGCCGTTGTACGTGTAAAGGTTCTATCAATGCCTCAAAGGCTTTGAAAAAACTCGTAGAGATGCTCGTTGACTTGATCCGCCTGTTCAATATGAAGAAAATGTCCAGAATCCACAGACCTAATCTTTATTCTCGGAGCATAGGGCAAAGTCGCCATCAGCTGGCGTGCCGGAAGACCAACAGGATCCCTGTCGGCCCCGATGAAAAGTGATGGTTGCTCAATTATTCCTGACATCGGTCGAACTTCGTCTTCGTCTTCCGAGTTGATACCTCGCAAAAGCGCTTTGTACCATCTCTGAGCTGCCTCAACACCACCCTGTGCTCGGGTAATGGTTTTCCATTGCTCTCGAGTAGAGTTAGTGATGTAATCGTTGCCGTATTCTGCCATTCTATTCCCTGCTAGCCATTCTTGGGATGCGCCAATTTTGGCGATATTCTCAATCCAATCTGTCGGTGTGTTGGAAGAGTAATGAAGGGAGTAGAAGGAATCCAACTTCGTCATTGTCAGCTTATACGAAAACTAGGTCGAGATGAAGCACTTACATGTTCGTCCATGAGGACGTGCCCATCTGGTTGGTTATAGTAGTACCAGTACCCGAGAGCGGGGTAGCCGACTTCGTTTTGTGAGATGTTGTTGTAAGTCTCGACGTAGGTCATGTTGACATCGACGCCGGGAGCAAAGTATCCGATATCCAAGAACGCAAGAGCTGAAAGGTACTTCGATTGATACGTGTGAAATCGCGAAAGTAGGAAAGATCCTCTGAGGCACTTCAGTACGAAATTTCTGGAAGGGATAGGCGTCACCGTGGCTATGCTTACAAGTCATGCGAGACTGCGACTACGTTCTCGATGCCCTCACAATCGAGCAGTTCAGCAACTTCAGATGCCATCGTCTTCAGACCATAAGCTTCCAGTTCCACGGGCTTGTCTGTGCCACCAGTACCCAGAAGGTCTGGAGCTATAATGCCATAACCACGTCTGGTGAAGTATTCGATCTGATTGACCCAACTGTACGAAGACTCTGGGAAGCCATGAAGGAACAAGAGGTATGGTTTGCCACTATCGCTAGGAGAGTTGATGGCGTAGCGATATGTTGTTCCAGAGGTAGGAAGTTTGACGCTCTTCATCATACGCACATAACTAGTGTTTGCGATGTCCGCCTCATAAGACTCAGCTTCCGATACTGTTCTGGAAACCTAGTAGACGTACCGTTTCAAGGTTTAGATTGAACTGACATGTCGAATTCTGGCATAATGTTAGCATTACGTTCCAACTACAGCTCATGTTGGATTCATCGGTACCCCTGCGCGACGTTGTAGTGTTGGCGTTGCCTCTGATGAGATTAAGAGACTACTTATCAATAGGAGAGCTTTGAGCGAAGAAAACATCGCTAAAGTCAAGAGGCAGAATACGTCCTTGATCTTGGAAGTTGTCAGTCATCATGGAAGGATCAAGGGTTGTTTATGTACATGACCAATTGCACATGCAGCCAGCTCATGCTAGCCTCAATTTTGCGAACAAGAGGTGCCAAGAGAAAAATTCATTTGGTTTAGCAGATCGAGGTGATTGTTCATCAAGAACCATCAGATTAGTAAATCGTGCCAGATGTTCCGAGATTGTTGCGCAAAACGACCGTTACGGCCGAGTGCGGCTAAATTTGCCCCGTCACATTTTCCACATATGTGCTTCGCTCGATTCAACCTTCTCATTCATTCAAAGAGTGCTAAATGTTTTAATTGCATTACGTATGATCGCCTCGCCGGGATGATTGGCAGAGACGAAGTGGTGTGGTCGTCTGTCAGCTCTGACTTTATTGCTCCACTACATAAAGGAGAGAAACCAAACATCTTGTTACAGCAGAGTACTTCTTCCTACTACAACAAATCGTATTAGAGCTGAATAAGAATGTATAGAAAATCTAGAAGTCTATAATACTATTAATATCTATAATCTCTGTCGTTACAAGCTAATGTAAGCTGTAAGGTAGAGCTTCTTATCTGTACCTGCTCGACTTTTCTCTTGTGTAGGGTGGCTCTTTAAGATCGACCTGCGAAGCAGCTCGTTCATGGCAACTTGATTTATTGTGTATCTCGGAACGTTAGAACTGGGTAAAATCAACTTGGCCGTGTCCTCAAAGACTCGTACATCACCTGACCATTTGGATACATCTCGTTACTGTACACATTCCCACGCCTCGAAGGGTACACATGAATAGTCCCAACAGAGAACGGCCACTAATATTGCTTGAAGAGAATGTAGGGTTTGATATTGGGCGCCCAGACTGCTTCGACATTGACTGTGACATCATGACCATACGAAAACCCCTAGCGTAGGAAGGCACTGACAGCTACAGAGCCACAACTGCAGACGCAGACTCCACCCCAATCGTGATGTTGCCTCCAACAATGGCCAGGAGCTTGCTGGATTCGGGAGATGAGCCCTTCCGAAACATTCAGCCATACTGATAAGAAATAAAGCTACCAGAAAATGAAGGAAATGAACGTAGTGTAATCACCATTCCAGTTCGGATGCGGGTTCTGCGATCTGTTGACAGCAGCGGCAAAGAGTTGCGTTCGACACCTAAGTGTAGCTTGAGCATCATAAGAGACACCGAGAAGGGGTGATCAGACACCACAAGCCCCAAGTATGAAGCAGATTTGCTCCATAGTGTCAATCTACCAGGCATCTCTGTGCAACTCCGTGGTCTCGCTCCACAACATGGCCAGTTGTTGTGTGCCCGATGCACCTTCAGATGACGTTTCTGAGCGATGTTTCGCGTCGTATTTGAACAGCAATGTCCCACGCGGTGTATATCTTAGTGTGCGTTTGTTGGATGTGGGCACATATGCCTGTTCTACCCACCGATCTGATTGACCAAGCTTTGGGATGTGAGTAACTGCTTCGGCCTTCATCCGGTCCCAGTACCCACGGTAGTCACCGTTTTCTTCCCAGTTTGAAGACGGATGAACGAGATATGCCTTGATGTGGTCGTCGTCGAGCTTAGGTGCAGCTAGCCGCAAAGAGTCTTGTTGTTTGTTTTCGCCACTTCCTTTACCGTTTCTCATGCCCTTGATGACCGTTTCCTCGAAAATCTTGTCTTGGTCTTTCTTATATCTTTCCCAAAACTGATTAGTTTTGTCTATAGAGAACGCTATATTCTCCCAGAAATGCCCGATCCATATACCCTTGCGGCTGATGATAGCCAGCATAGTACATCCTGTCAAATGCGTAGCACTAAGACTCAAGCCATCATCATTCTGGTAGAATTTGTATTCCTCGAATAACGAGGTGTTGACGTCGTACTCAGTCTTCGCCGCATTTGTATCCCTCACGCCCCAAACTACTGGCTCGGCTTCATTAGTCTCATCCCTGATATATTTGGCTATGTTCTCAGGTGTGGGTAGTTTCATGCGTCGGTCGATGGTAGAGTTGTCGAAGGAGACCACCAGACTCCTCTCTGCGATGCCGGGGCCTCTCTTGGGCGCACTGCATTTCGAACGACCGTCACGGCTGTTGAGCTTTCTTTCGAAAAGGGAGTGCTTGCTAATACCGTAATTGACCACACGAGCATTCTTCTGGGAGAACTCATCGGCACTGTTTGAATATCCTTGGCGACCATCAACAAGAAGTCAGGAACATAACAGAGATTGCAGTACTTACGCAAGATGACGTTCGCAGTTGAACAGTAGATGGCTAACAGAACCGTGAAGAGAACAATATTCATATCTTCCACTCTTGCAGGTCGTGAATATTTAGTATTCTTCTTGAAATATTATGCGCTCACCAGTTTTGATGGTCACACCGAAGAGTCGTTTTCCGGCACGCAGATGTGTGTGTTCGCCATCAGTTGAAAGCCAGAATGACTTGGAATAGATACCGGCTTCATGAATTTGGTTATCTGCAAGTGTCGTATCATGAAAGTGGCGCAAACAGGAGACGTAGGCTGAAGCCGTGCCTCAACCGGGCGTCGTAGGTACATAGCGTATGGAACGATGCCCGCGCTATCGACCGTGCCAGAAGGTCTCATCACCTGCAAGGACATAGATGATGCTGAGACTCAGGCTAACAAAGGTGTTGTCCTTTGAAACCCGAGGCCGTGTGCGAACTGGGGACCATCGCAAGCGGTTAGTGTCTTGGCATGACGCAAGTTATCTTACAATCACTCGAAAGTCATTACCGCCTGGCCCGCACACAACTGTGCCGCATGTTTCGAGTATAACATACCCATCAACCCCGCCCCAGAACAATGGTGCCGCACACCAAATCACTCGGGCATCCTTTACTGGCGACATGGACAACGCACCTCGGGAAATACGGGAGGCCATCGACTCTGATGACACTGACAAGCTCCTGAAACTGCTTCGCGTGCATCCAGAACGAAGCTACGAAGAACTGCAAGACTCTCTAACCATAGCGATATCGACTGGCTCTCTGCGTACGATCGAAATTCTCCTCGATCACGGAGCTACACTCAAATACTCTTCATACGATGAATTGTTTATCAGAGAAGAGCCTGCTGTATTTAAGCAACTCATCGATCACGGTTGGGATATCAATAGCACGGAATTCGAGAGGCCGCCTGTACAGTGAGTACCTACTTCAGTTCACTTACGGTCTTACTCACACGGTCATAGCCAAGCGCTGCATAACAAAAGCCTATTACGTTGGCTACTTGATAACGGCGCGGATCCGAACATCGAATCCGTGAGGCGTAGGTCTTGTCTACGAACTGGCACTGCGCTCGCCGCAGCGGCACAATTCAAAGACCCAACGGCGCTGCAAGTTCTGTTGTCTTATGGGGCCGAGATGGATCCGTTGGCATTGTTTGACGCCATAAAAGTCCGCGGCCACAGGAACGGCACTGCTACGATGGCTGTCCTGATTGATCATGGCGCTGACGTCAACTACATGAGCAAGAACTCGACTACGCCGCTCCTTCACTCCGTTCATTACAGGTCTAAGGAGAAAACGTTGTATCTGCTGAAACATGGTGCAGACCCCACTATTAGAGACAGGGTAGGCAAGGACACGCCAGCCGAGTGTGCGCAACGTCGTGGCGATCAAGAGTTGTTTGAGATCCTAAAGGCAGCAGAAGCGGAGCATATGTCATAGCAGACGAGCTGGACCCATCACCTTTTTTCTGATGCAATTTCGAATCGATCCTTTCGTCTTAATTCTGGCAATAGATGTTGATCCAATGCTGTGTTTACAAAGTGGTCCTGCATAGTTCATGGTATCTGGACAGTAATCTGAAACATCATGACCTTTCATGTTGCCATCGAGGACATACTTCTTGACCATTTCTTACGTCAGGGTCAGTCAATGGGGGCAGAATTGAACGGCGCAGTTGACTACTTGAGTTACAGTGATAGGAAGAGTACGGAGTGCCACGCGTCGGTTTCATACGACTATGGTCATGCTACCAGCAACCGCATCCAGGAGGGTGCTTCCGCCCCCCACTCCCTCCAAGATCAAGGATCTCTTATACGCCGACAAGATGCAGAAATTGGCACAGAACTAGATGCAGGAGGAGGCGCGTTTCAATTAAGTGAACGAATAATCAGAGGGCCGAAACGCAAGCAGGTCTTGACACTTTTTGGTATCACTTTTCGGAACGATCAACGGAAAATCAAACTGCTCGAGGTGGTTGTAGGTATATAAACTGCTGCTAAGACAGCTACAAACATGCCAGACATCAACATAGCACTGTCAATAATATATCCCACCCTTCATTCCTACTTTATCCCACATCATGGTTCGACACTTTACTTTGATCGCTTTGTTCGTATTACCATCAATCTTGATGGCTGAGATCTTCACACTCACCTTGGGTGATATCGATCAATACTCGGCAACTCTGGTACACAACCAACACTGCTGAAATACCGTTTCCTGATCACTGACGATATGCAGGCTACTACACCAACTCTCACTGGATCACGTATCGTATTTACCGATCCACCAAGTCCGAAAGATGGTTTCGACCTCATTTTGTCTGAGGAGTTGCGCGGGAAAATCGAAACTGCTTTAGACGATGCATGTGCCAACATTGACGACACATGTCTCGAGACTATCAATAACATTCTTGTCAGTCCCCAAACTGAGCTAGAAGCACGACAGATCTTGATCGCTGGATATTCTCTGGCGTTCTTGGCAGCGCTCTACTTTCCGATAGCGAACAAGCTCATCAATTCGAAACTCGTGCCGGTTGCTATTCATGCTCCCTTCAACCAAGTAGGTCCTATAGCTTCCGCAGCGCAGGCATCCACGCTTGCCTTCGCTACCGGAACTGGGACAGCAATGGTTACGATCACGCGGAAGCCTGATGTAGCCTCAACCACGGCGTAGGTACTCGTGTCTTTATCCTTGATCGGCGTACTAACCATACTCAGCTCCAACACACCGCATCAATCAACGTTCAGCAGTTCGGTAGGCCAAAACCTGCCAGGAGACATCGAGATCTATATTCCTGAGGCTCTCGGACAGCGGATGACTGAACTTATCGACAGAAGCCAGAAATGTACAATCGACGATAGCTTTTCCGGTTCTCGAAAAGCCCGTAGTCTGGACTTCAATGAGCACTTGACTGGAGCAATATGCGCTACCAAGCAGGTCGTTCTCAATGCCTCACCCGGTGCTGCTTTCGAAGATCTTGGCTCTTTGGCGACAACTTCAAGTTGGATACCATCTTGGACGATACCAGAAGTGCAAGAAGCAATGGAAGTGGTGATGCAATTCGCCGAGATCTCGTACCAATTCATCAACATGAATCCGTCAGTAGCACTGACTATGGCCGCCTTCGTATTCATGTTAATCTACGAGAGATCGATAACTGGTAACTCTATATATCCTTCGATCCGCATTCCTGGCACTGAGCTTCAAGGAAAGGCGACGATATCGGTAACGCCCTCGATAACATCATTTAGCTCAACAATGTCGGCAACCTCTACTGTTAGTAGCTCGAGCTCTTCTAGTACGCAGGAGTGTTCGGCATATTGCCGTATGGCTGGTGCGATCAAGAGATGCACTACGCAATGTCCAACGATGACCGGTCTACCAACTGCGGTTCCAACCGAGTATGATGTGAGAACGATGACCGTGGAACCTTGGGTCGTTCCAATCCAGCCTCAAATTCCAATCACAGACTTGCTCAGCTACTGTATGCCTAATGAGGATACCATGTTTCCAAGCTCAGCATTCAATGCGACTTACACCAACTTCTGCGAGAAAGCAGACGGCTCAGCCGAAGACGTTACCTGGATGGTCAACGCTAAGGGTGAGCAAGTGCAGTTCAAACGTCGGCGTTTCTGGATACGGGAAAGCTCGAACACTTTTAGCGACTACAAGTTCGCCTTGTGGTGGAGACCCCAAACTGGAGAAAATGCCACCGACTGTGCTTTCTCATGCGAAGAGGCATTCGAAATCTTTGTGGAGAATAAATCTTGCCAAGTAGGCGATGAGGGTGGCTTCATGGCAGGTAATGGAGGCATCGACATCGGCTGTGGCACTTATTCCTTCACTATTCACCATCAAATCCAGTCTACCGTCGAGTGTTTGAACCACCCACTTGATGCACCGAAGAGAGACGATGTAGCTTCTGGGGGTACGAGCGTTGAATCGGCTAATCAAACGTGGTGTGGCGATAACGATGGCCATCAGTTTCCCTCCAACTCGATCTCAGATAACGTGTACTGGCGTTGGGGTATCACCCAACTCGACGTCCCCGATCGCCGCTCATTCTGGCTTCGCGCCAAGCCACATGGCGACAGTCAGCAAGCATCGTTCGTAAAAGACGAATGCATCGCTGCCCTTGAGGAAGGTCTGAGCAAGTGCGATCCAGACTCTGATACGTCGCACGGCTTCACCGCTACCGTTGGGACTATCGACTACAGCCTTGATCTAAGCGGCGTCACGAAGGGCGATAGTCCTCCTTGGGACGAACATCCATCTTTTCCTGCACCAGAACAATTGACCGCGAAAGGCAGTAGCAAGCCCCAGTCACCCAGATGTTGGGATGAAACCAAGTACGCTACTGGCAGGGAGCTTTCTCCGGACAATCTCGAACAAGCAATTGACGCTTGGTGTATCAATGATGCGGAGATCAAAGGCTTCGGTCAGTATGGCGACCAAGGATGGGAATTTCCGCCAAATGGTCAGCCAGGGTTTTATCCTGAGAGTCGAAATCCACAGTATCTGCATCTCGGCATGGAGACAGTTGAGAACGGAGCGCCGAAACCGTATGACGATATGGAGTGGTGCGAGTGAGTCTCTTACGTTCCTATCACACGTGTTCAGCATGACTAATGGTATTGCAGGGGCTACAACTGGCGCATGGGAAGAGATGATTGTCGGTACGCACTACGCAGGTTGTTCAAGGATTGCAACAACATACCTGACGAGTTCCGTGGTGGTGAGTACACGTATCGGTGCGTCACTTACCGGGTGTTTTCGTTCAATGAGTGATATTCGCGATATTCTTCGATGAACACCACCGCTTAGAATCAACCAGTATTTGCCTCGCAGTCTATGAGTTGTTCTTGCATTTGCGATACATGCAAGTAACGGAGTCGAAGTCTCTCATTTGTACTTATCATGCTGTATAGAGTCTTATACTCTTTACGTAGAGGCGTTTCCGATCTCTTAGCAGAGCGTCATCTATTTTGTATTTTATTAATTGCATTTATTCTATTTATTTTAACTAATAATACCTAAGTATATATTTACTAAAAGCTATCTAATCTATTTTATAACTAATTATATTATAACTTTAAGAACTTCTAAGCGTACTTTAATACTTTATTTATATAAGTAATATTTTTATTTTTAAATAAAGGCTTTATAAAAGTAATTTTATTACTTAGTATTTTTTATTTAGCTAAAGACTTCTTCTTTAACTATATTAATATAGTTATTTATTACTTAAGATAAAACTACGTATTACTTATATTTCTTTTATTATTCTTAATATTCTTAATAAGAATTACGTAAGTATACTTTAAAAATTAAAAAGCTTTAAAAAAAGTAGTATTAATTTAAGTATTATTTTTATTAACTTTAATTTTTATAAGATTAATATTATTAGTAAAGAAAAGCTTATTTAACTTAGTAGTTATAAGCTTCTTCTTTTACTTTAAGTTATTAACTAGTTCTTTAATATATAGTTTAGAATTTATAATTTTATTTTACTATAGTATAGCTAAAAAAAAATAATAAATAAAAATAAAGTAAATTTAAAGAGAGAAATAGTAATATTACTATTCTAAAAGTTATAGCTATTTTAAGTACTTATTTTAAAGCTTTAAAGTTAGTAATATCTATAATAGCTAAAAAAGTACTTACTTAAAATTTTAGTAGTACTATTAAGTATAAAAACAAAGTAAAGCTTAGTAGCGCTTTTTATTATAAAGTATATTTATAGTTTTCTTTTTTAGTACTTAGTACTAAAGTAACTTTATTATAACTATAGTTATAATCTTAATAAGCCTCTACTAATTAGTAGTTAGTAATACTAACTAAGTATTATTTAGTATTTTAATATATTTTTAAATTATATTTTTATTAGCCTTATTAGACTAAAACTATTACTTTAGCTATTTATAACTATAAGAAGGTAAGAGCTTACTAAATTTATAATATTATTTATATGTAAAGTACTTAAGTATAGTAGCTAGCGGCTATTAGCCGCCTAAAATTAATAATACTCTTTACGTAATCCTTTAAATTTCTACTTACACCATACTATATCTATAAACTTTGACTACGACTGGTCCAATATACCTTGTGATGACTTAGGTTGATACCCACAATCATCCTCTATTGCTGCCTAGATCGTCACCACAGTGGTGGGACGCGCTACGGGAGTGCCGAGTGGGGTAATGACACTTGCTACTGTTCACAGTCAGGAGAGAAGGAAGGAGAACAGCCAGTCGAGTCAAAATATCTTTCAAAGCCTTCATTGTGGTATCGACATGCTATTAACTATTGCGAAAGCTCTGCCTCCAGTTCCTTGATCAAGATATCATCGGCCAACCAATTGAGACGATTTTTCCTCGACAAGTACTCAACAATTCGTGAGTATGACTGAACTTGAACTCCCAAGAAAGATCTCCATACAGCGGCATGCAAGAAGCAGTCTGCAGGATCCGGCTTTGTAGACCTCTTAACACAATTCGATGATAGATGCAGCGTTTGAAGCGAAGACCATCTACGCTACGGGGAGTGCAAACAAGACAGAAACGTGCATACTTGTTCAATGGGCTTGGCTGTCATTCTTTGCTAGTTTGGTACTTTTGACCGTGGTATTTCTAAGCTTGACGGTCTGGAAGACACGAGGCGCTCACGGGCTTGAGGCTGCCAAAGGTGTTTGGAAATCATCCGTTTTAGCAGTACTCTTTAGTGGCTTCAACGAGAGCGAGATGATACAATGCGCCGAAGGTACCAAGGTGGCCTTGAATCCTACCGAGCATGGTTGGCGGCTTACTCGAGGATAGCATAGATGGATCCCAATACATTATGAGCAACATTTGTAGTCAAAGTCGCTAAGCCATGAACAAGTCTAGGATGTGGTTTTGATATTGTATTTTGCTGATTGGCTAATAGAACTCATCGCCTCTAATCCATACCTTCAGTGAACAAAGAATCGTTCATGCTCTTTGCAATGTATAGTAAATCGTACGACAAGACAATCAAAAACTTATTTTCTTCTCGCATCAATAATACGGGTCGCAGTACCATGGTTGGAGTGGTTACGAACCACGGGATAGCTTCGCGATGCGCACTCAACTATATATATTGCAGATGACGACGAAACCTGAACATTCTTCTAGTTATCACTTAAGCCTACGTCTTCGTCAAGCAAACGTCTTACTCAGCCAAAGTTCTCCTTCCAGTCTTTGAAGTTAGCCACACCTGCGCATCAGGATGGCGCTGGCGATCCAGATCCAGAACGTACGCCCCGCTGGAGGCTTCGAACACCAAATCCGCCTGGTGAACCCAGTCATGGTCGCCCAGGAAGCCATTGAAAGGCTAGCAAGATCTTTTCGACAAATGCGCAATCCGTCAGATCGGTGTACCCTCAATCTTCCCCTAGAGATAATCTTGATGATTGCAACACATCTCGACGCATGCTCTCTGGTGTCCTTTGCGTTGACCTGTAAGAGTCTTCACAGTCTTTGGGAACCACGCAATCTTCCCCTGCAACTGGCAGAGAGAGAAAAGCTCTTACTTTTGCTCGAGAAAGATATCCCATTCCTTTATTATTGTCATCATTGTACGAAACTACATCGTTGGCATAGACGCTGGAGTAGAGCCATGATTCCGTGCGATGAAGAGAGTCTACCATGCAAGCGAAGTTTGGACAAGCACCTCTGGCTTCCACTTACTTGCCACATTTCTTACCACCATACGCGCTTGGTCATGAACCGGCACCTTTACGGCTCCAATCACGGCTTGCCCCTTCGCGTACTCAATCAACGAACCCGATCCTCTCATCACCCGAACGGAGTGGTAATCTCGGTCACCCAGCATGCACGCATCTCCAATGATCACCTTCTGGTACTGTCGGCAATATCATTAACTCATTCGCGAGGTGATTCGGTATCCCTCAGAAGATACATCGGCGATTTTGGTCACGCACTTTGCAGACATGTCAGCATTTGGCGAGATTTGCCCGATAGCTTCCCTATACAGCTTCGCGAGCTGGCCAAAAGAACCGGACAAAGCCAATTCCTAGCCTCTGGACCTGCATTCGGATCGTGTACTCTTTGTCCGACAGACTATACTATCACAATAAAATGGCAAGGTCCGAAAAAAGGGTTCAACATCGAGGTTCTCGTTTATCGCGGTCTGGGTGGTTGTCGCACGCCGTTCAGTTGGCATTGGCGTACAAACACATGGCTCTATCCACGTGAAGAGCTCAGGTCAGTTTATTCGCCAGATTGCAGACCTGGAAGTATCAGAGAGCAATGGGACGAGGCTGCCGATGTTGCATAGATTACTCAGCGTGCACATACTCAGGAACTTGCAAACATTGATTGGAGATTGCACCGTGTATCATGTAATGCAAGAAGATTTGTGATTGTTTTAAGAAATCATCTACATGATGCTCATCCTAGCTTCGCCTCTAATGAGGTTACTGAACCCCAGCACCGACGGTAAGGTGTGAGCATATCGCTGGGGAAGGCGAGCCCCGGAGCGTTTAATGCCTTCCTCAACTCCGCGACGTCGTCTCGTACTACCCGGAGGTCGCCTGACTCTCCTATGGTCCTGAGGACGGCCAGGATTTGGTCGAGGCGTGTTGTTAACGGATCACGCCTGCGAAACGTGGTAAAAACGGCGAGGAGAAAAGCGAATATAGTAAAAAGGACCCCGACTAGCGTGCAGGCTATCGGGAACCAGAAGGCAAAGGACGCGTCCTGGGCGATCGAAGTATTGGAAGAAGCTTTGCTCGAATTCATGGAAGAATCTTGCGAATAGGTCACAGTCCTGAGGAGAGAAGAGAAAACCAGCTGGCGAGGGCCGGGCATCGCTTTTGAGGTGGCAGCTTGGGACTGCAGTTGCCCTTCCTGTTGTCGTACGATTTACCTGACGGCAGGAGAGCATGCTACTTTGGCAGGCAGGTACAGTTGAGCTTCAACGAGGGGAGGTGTATCTAAGGTGGCAAGCAGGTGCAATTGCCTCCAGACGCGGGCAGTCGCAGTGCAGAAGATTGCGAAAGTGACAACTGCACATTGGTATTCAAGGAGTTGGAGAGAACTGGAAGTGGCATATGTAATTGGAAGATGTTTCTTATCGCTAGGCATGAGAAGTTGTCGTCCCAATATTAACAAGCGAATACACTGCAAATGTCAGAGTCTCACCATCATCTGGCACCCCTTGATGCATGGTATATCTTACGGTCTACGTCCTAGTAAGGATACTTACAAAGATTACTAGCATTGTAGTCTTCTAGGCTTTCTCTCTATATCTACATAGGTCTGATCCGCTTTGTTGTAGTAGGAAGAAGCACTCTGTCCCAAGAGGTGTTTGGTATCTCTCTTTGGTGTAGTGCCTTCGAGAGCCAATTCCAGCATGCGGCTCGCTTGCTGTTGACGACATCGTTGTCGTTGATCTTCAGTCAGATCTCAAGCATAGCTTCCACCACGATACGGCTCAAGTGGTTGCGGTATCCATCCTGGAAATGGTATATCGGCTTTCTCTTCGTCTAATTGTAACTCCAAGTTATCCCTGTTGGTGAGAATGTCCGCTTGTATCTTTCCAATCTTGTCGCATCAAACTGATGCGACTTCGCAGAAACAGACATTCATGCTGATGCACACCATGCGCCTGCTATTTTGGTGTCGGTAAGCAATTAGTGGTGAGCACAACTCTAAGGAAGGCACACCGAGTGTTTGTTGTCGTGGCTTAGCTGAGATCGCGCTGCCGCTAGTTCTGGGAGGCGACAGTTGCGTGTCTAAAGTTTCTACGCGTAACAGCTATCAGAGGTAGTTGTCCGGCTGGGTTTTGATGTAAGCGTGGATTGAAAACGTAATCTACGATGCGCTCTTTGTGATGCATTATTACTGAACCCCGAGTACCACCATAGCGATGAGCAGGCTGAGTGTATCAACCATGTACCCACCCACGCCTGCTGCAGCTGAAACGTCCAATCCTAGGGCATCCCAGCATACGAGACACACAAGACTCGCTATAGAGACCACAAATACTAGCGCAACTATATCGTGAGCCTTCCAACCTTCTTGGCCGTGTTCGCGGCTTCTTGAGTTCGCGCCTCACCTGCCTCCCGACAACACGCACGGAGAAGCTGCGGGTATGGCATTGTCGCCTCTAACGACCAACACCATGCAACTGCTGTACGGGTACTGGGATGTATGAAGGCCCTACCACGAGAATGTCGAAGCATCTCTTCAGCACGGCCAAGGGAAGAAGGATGTATTGGTGTTGTACAGCTGTATTTTCGTAACTGAAAGAGTGTAGTTTTGCCTCTGTCGGCTGCGAATATACAAGATAAAGTTTAAAAATTGATAATTGCATGTCGTGTCTAGTGTGTAGTACCCCCACTCAGGTGCACGAAAAGCACTGAGGATATCTATGACATGGCATGAGAGTCTCTTCAAACAAGCAAAGATCTTGATAACGGTTTGATACCGTCCGCTCCGCGCGATGGCGGGAACTACTGCTGCAAGCTTCTCGCGCACAATAGCGCGAAGACGCATCGCAGTTTCCGCACCTCCATCGTTGCTGTACAACTGGTCATGAGCCTTCCTCCATCCGTACTGACTAAGCATTCAGTGCACCGGCACACTGCCACCTCAGAACAATACCCGATTGACGAATTGCGTTCATCAATGGCATGTCGAGCACTGTGTAGGTAGTACTGCGCTTGTACTCGCGGCGAGTCTCAAGGACAATGTCGATCCACACGCAGGACGGTTGTAGAGCTTGCTTTCAAGACTTTGGCGAACGATACTGTATGTAAGCCAAGCCAACGGATGTTCTGGTCAACAACGGAGCCGGTGACTATCGTCACTTTCTCCGTCTGTGCAAGATGACGATCTAATGTGGCATGGTATCTTGGTGATCCAGCAGCACAGAAGAATATGTGCTTGCACTGTGCACTTGCCATGTGTAATTTGAGGTTTTCTGAAACGCAGTATGTCAGCCCACTGGTCGAATACAAATAGATGCAAGTATTACCACTTATTCTTACCGACACCTGATTCTCGTCACCCATATCCACAAAACCTTGAGTCGCAAAGCAAAGTCTTGGTCGACAAAAATGTGCTGCCGAAGTTGTTCTTGAAGCAAAGTCCGATCGTCGGCCAGCTGTCGGTTCTGTGGAAGTAAGTTTGACGCGTCTGCTCTTGCAATTGACCAGCTAGTAAATGCGGTTGGACGAACCAACAATCCCGCGAATGACGATGTTTGCAACAGGAATAGTCGACGGAGTAGGAGTGCGATAGTGGAACAACGACAGTGGTAGTGGGATAGTGGAAATGTGATAGTAGAAATGACATGGCGTTAGTGTAGGAGTGATAAATTGAATGCTATGGAGGATTTAGCTGTACAGGCAGTACGCTGACAGCTATGGAAGGTGCCAAATAACAACACATAGAAGTCCGCGACCACGATCCATGCTACAAACAAGGCTGCAGCTGTATTCCCCCACCCAACAATTCGGATTACAGCTTTGAGCCTGCCTTTGACCCTAGCGGTTGGCCAGTAGTGGCGCCCAAGACTCTGGTACACTTGCTGAAAGACCTAGGTATTGCAAATGAGGATCAGAACAACATCTTTTCTTTGGTACCCAAGCGCAAGGGTGAACAGTTGGTCGTAGCTCCAGGAAAACGATCCTTGGAAGGATGTGGTGAGGCGCGAACCCAAGACGCCGCGAACACGGCCATTGGCTTGACGTCATCAGCAGATAGAAGGACCGCGACACGACGTTAACCGATTCCTACATTTTGCCCAGGTCAGATGCGGACATCAAAGCACTACTAAAAAGGCCAAGATGTACGAGGATCTCTTGACACTCGTGTCGTTATGACGTCAAGCATACTCTCTGCTTTACTATCACGTATGGTGCATATACACAACGCTAATTCGGAATTCAACTACACATCCGGCATGATGCAGAGCGCGCTAGACCATGTGAAAGTTGAACAGTTCCAGTAAGAGTGATCTGGACTTTGAACGAAAGTATGTTGGCGTGGACTGGATTAGCAAGACTGCAGGGAAAGAGCCACAAAACTTTCAAAGCGACTAAGGATAGTTCTCGGTCATATTGGTAAGCTATCTTCGGCATCATCCAGAGCCTGCGGCGTATGCCGATGGTGATACATAACAAGTGCTGCGATGCTCTGAGGGTTGGCCACGATCAAATCAAACGCTTAGAGAGCACATCACGGTACTCTGGTTCACCTTAAGTGTCATGTCGCATCTTCAATACTACGCATACCCCGGCAAGGGCGAATCAGCGAAGAAGAACTTCAAGTACAGCCAAGCAGTGCGCGTCGGTGATCGCATCGAGTGTGCAGGTCAAGGTAACTCACATCACAATGCTACAGAATCTTTGGGTACTAATAATCGCCCTCCCAGGTGGATGGGATCCCCAACCCGGAGTCATACCCAAAGATATCAACGCGCAAATCGACCAAGCATTCGAGAATGTAGAGCTCGCCCTAAAGAATGCTGGGGGGAAGGGGTGGTCGCAAGTATCTCGCGTAAACTCGTACCACATCCCTATGGATGATGAGGCGCTGAGCGCTATGGTGCGGAACTTCAAGAAATGGGTGCCGGATCACGAACCTATTTGGACGTGTGTTGGTGTTGTGAAGTTGGGTGAAGACGCCATGCGGGTAGAGATCGAAGTATCAGCGCATGATGCCAATTAGGATGATGGTAGACTGATATCCGACAAGAGTATTTGGATGAGACTCGTGACGAGGAATCTACTGGATGGAGTCTGTTACAAGTCCTGACATTCAAAAGTGGTCTCTTGCATTGTGATCAGAAGCATGTAATGAATTCCCTATTCGAAAGTAAATGATCGATACAAAATGATGCAGAGGATGATATGATGCTGAAGAGGCGACTGCCTGGGCGCGATGTCTAAAAACGGGAGCACGTGAAAGGGTGGCTGCCAAGCCATCGGCGCAACCATGGCCGACGGTATTCTTCCAGTTCTAAGCTCTTGCGACGCGCCCAGCACTTCACGCGCAACTTCGCTGCCGACCCCATTACGACGAATTTCCCATCTCGGCGACTAGACGAATAATCCATACACGATGCCCAAGTTCTTCTGTGACTATTGCGATGTCTACCTCACGCACGATAGTATGAGCGTGCGCAAGGCCCATAACAACGGTCGCAACCACCTCCGCAACGTCCAGGCCTACTACGAGCAGATATCGAGCGACCAGACACAGCAAGTCATCAACAGTATCACCGACGCGTACAACACAGAAGGCCAGGCGAACCCCCTGTTCCAGCAGAACCTGGCTGGCGGCTTCCCCGGAGGACCAATGGCCGGAATGCCTCCCATGGGAATGCCACCCATGGGTATGCCTGGTTTCCCACCACCAGGTGAGTTGTATTGAGAGCTCCAAGTGACATCAGGAGTGCTAACCAGTGTAGGAATGCCGCCTATGGGTGGAATGCCACCGCAGTTCATGGGCCGCGGAGGTCGTAAGTCGCCTGATAGTTACCGCCTAACTGTTCTATGCTGACAGTGCTACAGCCCCAATGCCACCAAACGGAATGCCACCCTTCCCACCGCAAGGCATGCCCCCAGGTCCTGGCGGAATGCCGCCCAACATGCCGCCCTTCCCTCCACCACACATGGGCGGCGGCCCACCTCAAGGGATGCCTCCGTTCCCTTTCCCGCCACCAGGGAATGCAGGATCGCCTCCTGCCGGTATGCCGTACCCGCCACCTGGCGGTATGGGCATGCCACCTGGTGGACCTCCAGGCAGATATCCTCCTGGACCGCCGGGACGTTAGGACCGACCCGATGCACACAGGGGAATGATACCTGCTTTCAGTCACGACAACTACGGACTTGCGACTAGTCATCTAGGGATGAAGAGGAAGATTGAGGGCGACGAAGATATACCCGGCGTTTCTATGAGGGGCAGTGGCCGAGAAGGACATGGAGCAGCCACGGGCGCGAATGCTGTGGTTCCTACGCGGATAAACAGAGCATGATGCGGCGTACCGGATACCCTTAGCCACGAACAAAAATGGAGGTTGATGCAGATGCGAAGGCATTCGAGCTTCTTTGCGGCAACAAGTACGTTCCGCTCACAGGCTGTTGCGATACTATGAGCTCACGCCACGTAGTAATATTGGTCGAACAATCTATTCATAATCGTACGAAATGTACAGAAGTGGAAAACCATCAAGACACCATGCATGCTCATTTCCTGCAATCGCTAAACATTCTCTCATCCGCTAAACAAACCCCGAGCATACGTCTCTACGTTCGTCATCTCCATGCCCAGCGTCATATTCACCGTCTTATTCATGTCCCACCACACACCGTCCCTCGCGAACACCAGCCTATACTTTTTGATCCCATCATCCGGGTCCACCGCAAGTTCACTCTTTAAATACTCCATGCTCCACATCTCCCGTTTGACTTGCTTGCCAGATACCTTCTCGATGACATCGGCCAACTGCGCATAACTGACTGTATCCCCCGCTGCATATACCACACGATTCGTCGCCTCCACCGTCGAATCCGGTGCGAGGATCCTGGCCAGAACGTGTCCAATGTCATGGACGTCTGTAACGGTGACTCTATGCGTCCAGTCCCGGAGACAACGCACTATTACCTCTCCTTCCTCCTCCTTGCCCCCTTCTCGACTTCTATCCACCATCCCCCAGAACGGCTCGAAGAGGAAAGACATGAAGATGCCCGTACTAACAACCGTCCAGCACACGTTACTCTCCTGTGCTTTCTCCCTCAGCAAATTCCGCACATCGCGCTGCGCACCGAACAACGGCATCAGGCCTTGTCCGTCGCCGGTGACATCGTAGTCGACGCCCCATTGCCAGGGGAAGAACCACAATCTGGATTTACCCCGAGCGTGGCGGATCTGGCCTGCTAGAAGGGCTTCGTTGGCGAGTTTGAGGACGGAGCTGGGGTCTGCGCCGAAGCCGGTGCAGGATATTAGGATGTCGTATTCGGAAAACGTGTCTGCGAGGTCTTTGGAAGGAGATGCGAGGTCGATGGCTGTGAGGGAGAGGTTGGGGAATGTCAGGTCGGAGTACTTGGCGGGCGAGCGCACGCCGATTGTGGTGTGGGTGTTGGGGAGCTTGGTGAGGTGAGGGAGGAATGCTTTGCCTAGTTCGCCGGCGCCGAGGAGGAGGATGGACGTTGTGGATGGGGACATTTTTTAACAGGGTGTTTGTGGATTGGTGGGCGAGATGTTGTGGAATTGATTTCCCTGAAGCTTACATCGAGGGTTATTTCAGTGCATTCACGGCAGATGGAACTGGACTTGTCATATGTGCATATATATTCGCGTGTAGATCTGGATTTACAATTCAGGCGAAAGAGGAAATCTTGCGATTGGTTCTCATATATGAGTAATGTTGTCTGGTTGATGTGTATAAGCTTCTATGTGGTGGGGAAGGGAGCGGAGATAAGACTGGAGCGGAGTTAGACGGTCTTGTTGGAGGACAGACTGAAAGTGCAAAACTAGGGATATATTGAAGGGCATGGGTAGAGACATGGCGCTCAACATTGGTATGCATCTGCGACAAGACGGAAATGAGAGAGTCGAGCGATCTAGGAATGTTGTTGTTGATTATGAAGTGTGCTTCCTGGTGTCGACTGGTAGGGAGGTCTGACCAGTTGGAGTGATGGTCGATATGCTACGGGTAGGGTGCAAACACCACTGCCCATCAGACATCATACAGCACATCACTAGAGTTTATATGAAGTCATCTCCATTGGCGAAACTGGCAGCATCCCGGGTCGTGGTCGACTACGAAGGTAGGGCTGGCCGGCTCCGCGCTAGCGCCAACGCGGACTAGTGCCTCGCTTGAATTTTGAAGTCTTGCTGTGCGTCTCCTCGACGAACATCCTCAGGACTGTCCATTAACACCCGAGTGCGCCTACGTCCATCCTCACCACCACAATCATGGCCGAGCAACTCGTACTCCGTGGTACCCTCGAGGGCCACTCTGGCTGGGTCACCTCCCTTGCCACCTCTCTGGAGAAGTGCGTATACACGAGCGGGCGGAAATATGCAGAATGCGCAATACTGACATGCGACCAGCCCCAACATGCTCCTCTCCGGATCGCGCGACAAGACTCTGATCATCTGGAACCTGACCCGCGACGAGACCTCGTACGGTTACCCCAAGAGGAGCCTCCACGGCCACTCCCACATTGTCTCCGACTGTGTACGTTTGAATTCCGAAAAATGAAGCACAAGCAATTGGCTGGCTAGGAAGCGGGGACAGCTGAGCTGACAATTGCTGCACAGGTCATCTCCTCTGACGGCGCCTACGCTCTGTCCTCATCGTGGGACAAGACCCTCCGCCTCTGGGAGCTCTCCACCGGTGTCACCACCCGCCGCTTCGTCGGCCACACCAACGACGTTCTCTCCGTCTCCTTCTCCGCCGACAACCGCCAGATCGTCTCCGGATCGCGCGACCGAACCATCAAGCTCTGGAACACCCTCGGTGACTGCAAGTACACCATCACCGACAAGGGCCACACCGAGTGGGTCTCGTGCGTGCGCTTCTCCCCCAACCCCCAGAACCCCGTCATCGTCTCCGCTGGTTGGGACAAGCTCGTCAAGGTGCGTACTTTTGGTTCTGCAGCATTTTCACCACTCCCCCCTTCATATGATGATTTTCTATGTATTTGCTACTTCAGAGCTTCGGCTATGAGACAATTATCACCTAGTACTGATTTACACTCCCACAATCGACTTGTTTTGGATTTTTGGCGTGTCTCGAGACTGACATCATCCAGGTCTGGGAACTCGCTTCCTGCCGCATCCAGACCGACCACATCGGTCACACCGGATACATCAACACCGTCACCATCTCGCCCGATGGCTCCCTGTGCGCCTCCGGTGGTAAGGACGGAACCACCATGCTCTGGGACTTGAACGAGTCCAAGCACCTCTACTCTCTCTCCGCCGGTGACGAGATCCACGCCCTCGTCTTCTCCCCCAACCGCTACTGGCTGTGCGCTGCCACCGCCTCCAGCATCATCATCTTCGACCTCGAGAAGAAGAGCAAGGTTGACGAGCTGAAGCCCGAGTACTTGGAGGTTGGCAAGAAGAGCCGGGAGCCCGAGTGTGTCTCCTTGGCCTGGAGCGCCGACGGCCAGACCCTGTTTGCTGGATACACTGACAACAAGATCCGCTGCTGGGGTGTCATGGCACGGGGATAAACGGTAGTGCATAGTTGTGGGTAGTGCAAATGGTGGGGCGTAAACGGGAAAATCACGATTCCACATCTTCTGTAGCATGCCATGGGTTATGATTGATGCTCATGCGGGATGGGTTTGGGACTCTTCCGGCATTACCACGTCCAGGCGCTTAGAGTCAATGAAAATTCTCAAGTCCAACACTGGATTGCCGTGCGTGGTGTTGCTCATGTCGACTATGGAAGCTCTCATGATGCTTTTGGAGGCGTCGCTTATGATGCGTGCCATACAAGACATTACTCGGTTATGATACGTGGGTAAAAGTTAGGCTAAACTTTTGAAGTATTCTATCTGGTTTCCTTCTTGCAAGACATATACCTGATGATCATCTACAGCTTGCTGAACTTGGGTGTCGTCTTCTTCAACCCACTCAGCATGGCACCCTTAACATCCTCAGTCTGCAACATGGCCGCATTCCACACTGCTGTATAGTTCAGCCCCTCACTGATCGGCCTGTCCCTCGAATAATTGATAATCTCTTTCGTCCCTAGCACAGCCACTGGTGACTTCGATGCGATCAAGCTCGCCAACTCTAACGCCTTGCCTACCGCCTCCTTCTTGTCTTGATACACGCTCGACACGAGACCATGTTGGAGCGCCTCGTCGGAACCGAAGATACGTGCAGAATAAGCAATGTCTTTGACCCAAGACAAGTTCCCAACGGAGTGAGGTAAGCGGGATAAAGTGCCAATGTCTGCTGCAATGCCGATATCGACTTCTTTGACGGAGAACTTGGTCGTGGTGGTAGAGATGCGAATGTCACAAGCGAGAGACATGTCGAGGGCTAAACCAAAAGAAATCCCATGCAGCACGGCAATGACGGGCTTTTCGCACTTTTCGACGTCGGTGATGCAGGATTGGAATTCTAGAATGTGTCGGCGCACGGCGTTTGCTTTGCGCGCAGTGTCCTGGCCAGCTACGTCTGAGGAAGATAAGGGACCGGATTCTGAGGCGGCGGTTACGTCGAGACCCGCGGTGAAAGCGCGGTCTCCTGCGCCGGTTAGGACGACGGCGCGGACGGAGGGGTCGTGGGAGAGTTGGCGGAAGATGGCGGAGAGGTTGAGCCACATGCTAGCAGGTGTTAGTTGTGGTTGTGGCGAGTTGGTTGTGTGGTTGTGGGCAGGTATGATCGATTTATCGTATGCTGTGGAAATAGAGGCTGAGAATGTAACGGATGTCTTTGCTAAAAGACTTAAAACCGCATACTTCCATGACCAAACTGTATAACAGATATATCTCCTTCTCTTGCATTCAAACAGATGATGTTCACAGGTAGCCGGAGTCGTTGATCATCGGGTACGAAAGAAACAACATTCTATACTCACACTTCTTTAAACGCGTTCATCTTTTCCGGCCGGTTGATCTCAACGTGCGCAACATATTCCGCTGGGAACGAAACGTTGAAGAACTCTTTTTGGTATGCTTCCGCCATTGTTGCTGACTAGTCGCGTCCTGTCGTGCGCCGTCGTGTTTCCTTGCTCTTTCTCTTTGTAAGAAGTTATGGTAGCTGGCTGCTAGAAATAAGGGTCCACTGCTGGGACAAAGTATGGAAATGTATTGAAGAGTAAGAGAGAGACGTCGTCGGCTTTGATGACCTGGGCGGGCGAGTCGTTCGGCTGGGGTAGCTTGTGATGGGGTATCGAGCCGAGGTAGAGCACATGCGGTTAGCTGATTACCCGACGCGACACTCAGGCCGGTCGACCTTCAACGGCTGACACGCGCGCTGACACTGCGGGCATGGCATTGTCGCGTCCAACCACCAGCGACACTGAGATGTCAGGTCGACCATCAAACTTGATACTTGGGGGTGTCATCTTAAGTTCGCACACACCGCCGGGGTGGCTTACCGACGCCATCATGGTGAGCGCAACTCTTTCAGTTCCATTGTGAACAAATTCCTTCCAGATGGACGACTATCCAAGAAGGATTGACTAGTCGCATGCTAACCTACGCATGAAGACTGACGTTGAATCTCCGCACAAGACTGAATGTACTGCCTGTCAGCAAGGTTGTGGCTGTAGTCATCTGACGAGTCTTCAGCCTGATGCGGGCTGATATCCTTCTTCACATCTTGCTTCCATTTCGCATTCTTGCTTTATGAGCTGTGACTTATCCTATTGTCCCCTTCGTCATTCATCTCTACGAAGTCGAAATGTCGCATTGCGACATGACTGGAAACGAGGCACATACGGAAGGACATGAAATCAAGACGTCCGAGCCTACATTCCCCACTGAACAGACTTCTCTTCCTTCAACACAACCTTCCCGCCGAGGCAAAGTTCCAGCTGCTAGTGGAGACAAACAAGACTATGAACAAAGTTCCACCCCGCAGGAGTTCGATGAACCAATTCGATACTCCAAGGTACAGTCAGCTAGCAATGGGGGCTTTCAGTGGATCACCGGCAACAAACCTGGTGATTTTAAGACCAAACGCGTCATGCAAACTGTACGTCAGACTGCCATGCGCAGTTATTTGAAGGACGCAAGAAATATGGCCGAGTCGCGGACAAGTATCGGTAGCCAAGATGCTTTAGAACGTCGGTCTTTCCAGTCCTTGAAAGGCGAAGGTAAAAGAACGAGCGAAGTTCAGACGCCGAGCAAAGTTATCTGGAAGACAGCAAAACCGAGCGTAGAAGATGTGATCGATGGCTCATCTACAGTCTCTACAACATCCGATCCTATGGAATCTGTGTTCTCTGCAGAATCTTCAGGAACCTCAATGACGGTATCCTCTCGGAAGAGTACGAGTAGATTCTCACGCGAGCAGGTCCACGTCATGACACGAGTATTCGTATCTGTCATACAGTCAGACCAAGTACTGGGACCAATATACGAATCTGCCCGCAATGATCCCACTGTTGGGTCAGGATGGTTACGTGGATACATATGTGGAACTCTTAAATTGTATGCGGACAATCTCGAAAACGAGGCAAAAGACCGCCTGGAACATACTGCATCGAAGCTTGTGCATTTTCGAGCCAGTCACGTTGCTCAATGCGTCAGTAGTGACAACAGGTTCACACATGGAACAATGAAAGACTCGAACGACAGCTCCGATGACGAGGTTCAAGAACAGCCCATCGACGAGCGGCAGTTCAATGACGATCTAGATGCTTTCCGATCGTTTTTGACACAGAGCAATGCTTTTGCGATACTTCGAGATCAGACACAATCGCTCTATTCCTTTCAACCTATCACATCCGTCACCAAGAGTTCCAAAACCCACGTCAGAAAAGACACCCAAGAGCACACGGAAAGTGGTAGATCCGAAAAAGGTCTCGTACGTATGTTTAACGATACAGCTATCTTCATGATGACAAATCTCCTTGTTTCATTGGAATGTCTGGAACCTCCTTTGGAGACTGGTTGGACACGAATCAAGATCGAATGCCACGTGAGTCAATTTCTTGCATCTCGCAGGCTACTGGTCTCAAATTGATGACAGAAATTGACGTTAGTGCTAGAAATGTGGTGAACGCTCCTTTGACGATGTTCTAGAGCATCACGAAGGCGGTATAGCTCAGCTGAAACAATGGATGGAACGCGCCCTGAATGCCACGATCACCGTCGTCCACTCCAGTGAAAAGGCTACCTCCACCAGCGGTCGTTGGCACCCCCCTGCACTGGTACACAACATACTTCGCGGGCTGCAAAACATATCCAGATGGGGCAAATCCCCGAGAAGTTCGGTACTGCCTGAACATAACGGTCCACAGCTAGAAAGTGAGCCACGTAGAGCGAAATCGCCCTCACCCGAAAGATCGTCGCTCCGACTCATGTCCTGTGTGCATCGCAATTGGGAACATCGAATCTTGCTTCAAGATCGCGTAGACCACATCAAACCCGACCGCGAATTCTTCACATTCTTGAAGACGCAGGTGCAGAAACGGCGCTCTCGTGTGATGCGCATCTTGTCTTGCAGGAAGATTCAAGCGATTCACTTCAATATGGTCAGTTTGCAGCGGCTCAAAGACTAATCCAGTCAGCTAATACTGCGTCAGTTCAAACTTCGCATGGGTAACAGATTAGAAGTGCGTGATCACAGAGATTGCTGCAAAGCTAGCTGCAACTGCTTGCCTCCACGTGATCATCCAGATTACGACTTCGCATGCCCCCTGAACAGCACATATCCAGTAATACCACCAAGAGCGTTCGCACACATGCTAAAGCACACAAGACGAGACGTTCATGAGGATCAAACCCACATCTCTAGATGGGTACCAAAACGAAAAGGCACGACATTAGATGTTGATCCTGAGACAGAACTGGCAGATGCGTGGGGTCTCTACTTTGAGGAAGGTTGGGATCCGAACGATATCATGACGCTCTTCGGCCTGGTCTTCGTCGCCAGTTTGGTCTTCCTCGTATGCTGGTCAAAGTACACATCGGATGTCTCTGCTGCGTCGGGTGTCAGTTCTTACATGATCACTGTAGCTGGCATCGCGATCTCCCTACTTGTTATAAGAGCTGGTAATATGTAACAAGGGTGATTTAGGCCTGAATGATCAACGCAGGCTTACTTTCTCGGTACTTGAAAGATAGACTTAGTGTCAATACTATTGGCAGCGTATCGCATACGTCATTTCAATTTGGCAGACCGAGACTGGAGCAACGCACATCATTACATATCTTAGGCTTCAACGGTATCTCTCTGCCAACTTTCTTCCCTGAATGCATAGGCATCCACGAGGACGTTTGTAGCGTTCCAGATCGCAACGTGGTCGACCGATCACCCACGTTCTGCGAACGAGGATGCAACTATGACCCGTGGACCAGGGTATATGACCTGATAGTGCGCGGGGTAATCGCCATGGTTAAACTCCGTACGTGAATGAAGTAACGTTAATAATGCTTGCTTCTCGCTATACTCTGTGCATGACGTGTACGTCCTTCCAGGCACTACTCTCGAAAGGCGCTGAAGGAATGGCACTCTGGCCATCGCAGGGAAAATTTGTCGCATTACCATGCCAATTGCTGTGATTGATCCATAGTAATACTGGGCGCCTGAAGTACAACCTCTTGCCTGCCGTCTTGAAGCTAGCGCTTTCGCGGGAAGGAGCTCAAGCGGGAAACGCCTGCCGTCTGATAATGCACGACGCAGTATGCGTACGCCCGGCGGATGAATGTACAAAAGTGCCATGTTGCGTCGTCAAGAGAAATGCGCACTGCGCATTCATTCCTCCTCAAAACATATCACAAGATGGAGCGCAGCGCTGTTGATGGCGCCAGCGGACCGAGCCCCGCCCGCAGCGGCTACGCCAGCCTATTGACTATCGGCCTCCCAACCGTCTTACTCCTAGCATACATAGCGCGCGTCGCGTTGCAGTGGTACCGCCTATCGCACATCCCCGGGCCTTTTTTCGCGTCGATTTCTAGTCTTTGGATGGTGAAAGAGTCGCTCAGCGGCCGACTAGCATACTCAACGAAAGAATTGACAGACAAATATGGCCCGTTGGTGCGCGTCAGCCCAACCGAGCTGGTTACCAGCGACACAGACATCGTGCGCCGGACAACGGCGGTGCGATCGGAATACACACGAGGGCCATGGTACAATGCGATGAAATTCGAGCCCGGACGGAACAACTTGTTTTCGATGCGCGATGAGGTTGGGCATACGAAGCTGAGAGCTAAGATGGCCGCGGGGTACTCGGGAAAAGAGAATGAATCCATGGAGGGCACTGTTAATAAGCAGGTTGCTGCATTCATCGAACTGATTGATACAAAGTACATTTCTTCGGGTACTGAATACCGGCCCATGGATTTCTCACTCAAGGCGCAGTACTTCACTCTAGACGTCATCAGCGCATTGGCATTCGGAAAGCCATTTGGGTACCTAAAGCAAGATGAGGACCTTCACGATTACATCAAAATCACTACCGCGTATATTCCCTTCATGGTAACTCTCGGAAGTGTACCTTGGCTGGCTGATCTGTTGCATTCGCGGCTGATGAGGGGTCTCCTTCCGAAAGAGAGTGACAAGCTTGGTTTTGGAGCTTTCATCAATGTCGCAAAGAATGTAGTTGCGGAGAGATTTGCACCTGGGGCGAAGTCGCAATCCGACATGTTGGGGTCGTTCATCCGTCATGGTCTTACACCGGAAGAAGCGTCAAGCGAAGCGCTTCTTCAGATTGTCGCGGGGAGTGATACTTCAGCGTCTACGATCCGTGCTGTGATACTCTATCTGCTGGCAAATGCGTCTGCCTATAAAAAGCTACAAGCTGAGATCGACAACGGCATCGCTAATGGAACCATATCGTCACCAATCACCGACGCTGAGGCAAGACGTCTACCCTACCTTCAAGCATGTATCAAAGAAGGCTTGCGCATTCTACCCCCGGCCACCGGCGGAAATTTCAAATCTGTTCCTCCAGGTGGTGATGTCCTTGCAGGCAAATTCATCCCTGCAGGAACTCAGATCGGGTCTTCGCACCTTAGCATCCAGCATTCGACAGCCACATTTGGACCAGACGCCGAACTCTTTAGACCAGAGCGCTGGATCGAAGCCTCGGGGGATCCTGCACGTCTTGCAAACATGGCTAGTACAGTTGAGCTTGTCTTTCACAACGGAAGGTACAAGTGCTTGGGTCAAAATGTTGCATTGATGGAATTCAACAAGGTGTTTGTTGAGCTGCTGAGGAAGTTTGACTTCTCGACCGTGAAGCCACACATGGCGGCGAGGATGAGTTGTGCGGGAATATGGATCATGGAGGACTTTTTTGTAAGGGTTACACGACGTACAGAATGAGTTAGGATTGTATTCCAAGAACAGATTGCTTACGCTTACGCATCCAATTACAACAGCGCTGAACCGCCTGTCAAAATCTTGTTGCGGCTGACATCTCGCGAACGCTCAATCTGAAGCCAAAGAGACACGACTTTTCATGCGAAATAGAGCATTACCACGATGTTCATATGAGCCTGTACATCCGTGCGCTCAATTTCCTCGAGAGAGATGTACTCACACGGTCCTAGCTTGTGATCCAGATATAATGGACAGTAGCCATTTCACTTTCGATACCAACGCGACCGAAATTGCTTGAGCTAATCTGTATCGCTGGAGATTCATAGACTATCCACACTGTCGTCGTCGACATTTGGTGCAACTTCAAGTAGTCCACTATCCCTTCCAGTTCTACGTAACCACGTGTGGAAGCGCTTAGTCAAGACGGATGACGAAGCAATTCCAAGCGCATCAGCTGTCGATTCGAATCGATGCGCCGTCTGACAGCAGTAAGATACAATGAGAAGTCTACGTGCGAAAGCAATACCGTGCGCTTAGTCTATGACCGCTCTGTTTCTGAGAAAATGCTGTCGCATACCGAAACTGCTGATCAGAGCGCGGCAGTGAGAAGCATTTACCACCCTATATATCGACACGCGGCTCCTAGAACTCAGCATCGCAGCGCCAACCAAGACCGCTGATCGCAGCGTGGCAACGGAAAGAAGGAAACAACAACGTGTCAGAGACGGAAGAAGCATATGTTAGACTCGGCTTCTCGAAACCGGCCCAAGGCACCATCTGCAATGGCGCGGCAGCAAAGGAATGTGCTGGAGGTGTCAGAAACACTTCCTATACCCGGTTCCCAAAACACATCGTGAGTCGAATGTGATGACTTGGGATGCGTAGCGTGAGGAATAGATGAACAATCGCACAAAAGCATCATATGCTCGATCCGCCACGTGCGCGCATTGTGAGCACCACCCGTAGACCAGTATCTTGCATTGGTGTGACTTTCCTGATTGGCGACTTTGCGCTGATATGTTTTCCTTGTTGTGTACGACCAGAAAGGTAGCCATGAGGCTGAGACACGCCCTATCAGTAGCGCGAACATGCGTTCTACACATAGATTGACTTTCTTTTCTCTTGGTAACACATACCCGGCTGGGCGTTCATCCGCCGCCGTGCAGTAGGTGTATGCAGCTCTTGCCAACGCATCTGGCGGTGTAGAAGTATTGCACACGCGGGGTCAGTCTCGGTTACCCAAAAAGAAGGCACCGGATGGTTTCTGTCGAGCTCCATGGTGCTAAGCTCAGCCTTCTTCAGCCCTCCAGCAGTAGTGGTATTGATTTTCTCGTGTCGGAGGTGATTAGCGCCGCGTAGTTGGCGGGGTAGGCCGTATACCACTTTGGCTGGCTACCCTTCCAACATCATCACCAATCCTTCTTCGTACTGTGGAATTAATCGCTCGTACGACGGGAAGATGAGGCATGCAAAGTAGGAGTGGAGTTTGCGTCTCAAAATAGCGGGCTGATAGCCTGTGCGCTGGGAGATTGCGGTCATGGAAGTGCATGATAAGGTCGTGATAGCGGACATTTTTCGTGCGAGGTTATTCCCGTGTATGTGTGGAGCGATTTTGTACGACGATGCAAATGGTGGGTGCAAATCTAGCGAAGGAACAAAATGCATGTTGTCGATCCCCCTTTCATCCAGCACCGCCACCAGCCTCGTATCTTCAGCCATTTCCCACCATCACACGGCTGGAGAAAACGGTGTGAGCTTGTCCTACATAGGGGAATGCTAACACAGTAAATGTACGAAGATGACGAAGCCGTGGCGCCTTTGATGATGTGCCCACGCGCGATGTGACAATCTGCATGACAGTATTGGCACGTTGGCAGACGCCATCACCACCGGAACATTGTTAGGCACCGAAGGCGTTCCTGAGGCACTATTTTTGGATGGGAAGAACTTTGGAAGCGAAGAGAAAAACACGATGCGCCATCCAATCAGAACGACGCTGCCGTCCGGCAGTCGGCAGGTCCGCCTCGTGAACGCAGCGTGGGAAGCCCAGGAAAAAGACAAGCTCCACAGTAGTTCGTCTCAGCCCTTTGACAATTTCGCTCGACTCGGGTTCGTCTCGTACCAGTAAGCAGGTCCAAGAGCCATGGCAAGCAGCATCATCCCCGTGTGTAAACCAGCAAATACCGAGGAAGGCCTGACCTGGAAGTTCGGCTCTCTTTGATGAGCCACAGCGCAAAAGCAGTTTAGCTTTCCACTTATCATTTGTTCTTACCGTTGTAGCTCGCGCACGCTTACTTACTTTCCAATACAACGTTGCAGGCCTAGGCCGTATCGACACCCACGGTACATGCGCGCTTCGTATTTCCATGGCGGATGATCAGGTGTCGCTGGTGAGACGGCTCGTCGCGCGGACTGAGATTGATCTGCAGAACGAGGCGCAAGCTGCAGGCAATCCGGCGGTAAGGCTCGAGATGCAGGTCCCAGGTATAAGGATGTCTGGTAGTCCTGCATTGTCGGGACCTCTTCTTTCGTACAGCTCGCTCAACCATAACACTAAGCACCCGCATTCGTTCTTGGGTTGCTGTCCTTCGCTCTCTAACTACTGTCAATTGGGATCTTTCGTACTTTAATAATACCCTTATACCTTAATCATGCGTACCGCTTTCTTCTCTGCCGCTTTGGCTACCGTTGCCAGCGTTGCTGCGCTCCCATCTCCTCAAGAACTCCCTGCCACCAAGCTGATCAAGTCTCTTCCCCTCAACATCTTCGAAAGCACACCAAAATTCGTCCAGCCAATTCCTCTCGAGGATGCCAAGCGTATCTTCCAGGAGCACAACGCCACACAGCCAGAGGAGCAAGCACCCGAAGCCCAATCACTCCGCGTCACAACCTTCGCCGCTGCTGCAACATGCTCCAACGTCCGCACCCGCGTCGAGTGGGATTCCTTCCCTGACAGCAGCAAACAGGCGTTTGTTGATTCAGTCAAGTGCTTGATGGGTCGCGCCCCCTCAGGCCGGTTCCCCGCGTCCAAGAGTCGATACGAGGATCTCGTCGCGCTGCATCAGACTCTCACGCCCAATGTGCACGGAAACTCCAAGTTCTTGCTCTGGCACCGTTACTACCTCTGGACCTTCGAGGACGTCCTGCGCTCAGAGTGTGGCTTGAGCGTACCTCTTCCCTGGTTCGACGAGACGCGCTATCCTGGCAGGTTCTCGCAATCTTCCATCTTCTCTGCTAAGTGGTTGGGAGGCATCGCCCTTGGCGGTAACTGCGTAACCAATGGCGTAAGTACAAATCCTTGTCCGACGCGCCTCATGTGAACAACAAACTAACACGCTGCAGCAATTCGCCAACCTCGCCATCAACATTGGTCCTGGCTCAGGCAACCAGCCTCATTGTCTTGCCCGCAACGGTGACGGCGCAAAGACGCAATACTGCAACTCCGACTACGTTGCTCAGTGCAATGCTTACAACGACTTTGCTGGCATGGCTTCCTGCGCCGAGGGTGGTCCTCACGCTTGGGGCCACAACGGTATTGGAGCGGTCATGTCAGACACCTACGGTTCGCCCGCCGATCCCATCTTCTGGCTGCATCACGGTTTCGTCGACCGCAACTTCCGCATCTGGCAAAACAAGAACTCTGCCCGTTTGAGCAGCATCAACGGTAACGACGTTTCCGGTAACCCGCTTACCCTCGACACTAGCATCAACGTCTACGACATCAGGCCAACCGTCAAGATCAGGGATATCCTCGACACCACTGGATCGACCCTGTGCTACAAGTACAACTACTAGAACTTGTTTGACTTCTTGACTAGCATTGTTTGGCTAGTTCTGCCCGTTTTAGAGGCTTGGTGTGAGAAACCATTCTGTAAATACTCTAGTATAATACCATGTGTATCCAAGATATATTCTTCATTGATCGTAGGACTGTGAACATTGTCGCACTCGTGTCTCTATGCGCATCTGGAATGATTGGGTCATATCCCCGTCTGCATAGAGAAATTGGAGCAATCAACTCCTGACAGAGAACTACATGTGAGCATTGTAGATTCGTCGCGGCGCTGTGGTGATGCATTTGAGACCGACTAGGCTGCGCTACCTTCTCTCTCGGAATCAGTGTCAGACTCAGGATCGAAACCAGCATTATCGGCTGTTAACGAGCACCGCCCCCCGCTGACTAGATAGTCCGAGACTGCTGCAGCAAGCTCGTCGTCTTTTTCGTGTAATCTCCATCCGCGCATATGTCTGTTTTCACCAAGCTTTCCTGTTACAGTTGCATGGTCGAGACGCAAAGACTTTCTCATCTCTTGCAATACTCTCGGCCATGCACAGTGTCGAACGGACGCTGATGAAGCGTATTTCTGTTTTGGTTCGCCGCTTCTATCGCCATTATCCACTGTTAAGCTGATCTTGTGCAGTCCGAGGTCTCTCAATGTTGAGCTGTGTCTACTCAGAAATGACAACAGTGTATCCGGCGTCGCAGAGCAGTGACACAACAATACTTTCCTTAGCTTTGACCACGTATGCTTAGAGTCAAATACCTGATCGATGGATAGAATAACAACATGGGAATCTGGTCCTGCTTCCTCGAGATTGAGGTCGATTCGAAGATGACCAAGCTGTGTATGACGCGCCAGAAACCCCCTGAGACCGCCGATCATTAACGGCACCAAATGTGGGTTATTGTAGTAGCCGCAGAATGTCCGCGGGAAGATCGTGATATCCAAACTCGATAAGTTATCGAAATTCACCGATTCTGCGTGCCAAAGACACCTGAGGTGCACTGTATTCAGCGTGAGCTCTTTCAGAGAGGACCTGCAGTATTGCTGTGGAAACATGATAGTGTCGAGTCCAGGCACGTTGCGAAGGCTGTAGGTTTCTAATCCTCTACGGAATACGACTGGTTCGGGTGAAGCGCTCGGAAAGTCGTCCGCAACCTTTTGGAGACCACGGTGGGCCAAAAAGAGGTCGCCGTTGACAACGTGGATTGAATGTAGATTATAGAAGCGCTCCAATACTTGCAGGCTTTCCCGATCTATTCTTGCCTTTCTCTCATCCGCAATTCTATCAAGGTACGCTTCCCATTCTCGTCGGTTCTGCGATAGCTGAGTGTATCCTGATGGGTCGAAGTCGGCGTTGCGCATCCGGTCAAGCTGTTCTCCATGTGTGAAGTAACGCTCCCATCCGTGAAAGTCGCGTATACGACTCAAGCTCCACAGATTGACGTCCCAAAAGATGGTCTTCACTTGTCCTCGAAGACGTGGATTCCAACCAAGCCTTTTCAAACGATCAAAGCTCGCAGTACTGTAGTGGAAAACGATTGTGCTGAATAATTCCTCGGTGGCCATGTCGCACAGTTGTCTGTTTACGAGCCGGTAGTTTGGCAGATCTTCGCGATGGACGTATTCCGCGATAATGCGATGGATTTCTGCGGGCAGATACGGGATATACGCTGTCATTTTGGCGTTTTTGGAGGGTCCCTTAGAGCCCTGGGGTGATTATGCTTTGCAACTTCTTATCGCTGCCTGGAGGCTAGGAGCTGCGACGGTGAGTGTGTTTTTCAGGCACGCGCCCTGAAGCTAAGCGATTTCGACTTGTCGTTAGTGAGCGAACGCTGGGGTGCCGCGAGAGAGATGCGGGGCATGGAAGAACGCCAAGAGATGATACTAATCACGAAAGCACGTGAACCAAGAAGCGACATCCCTTGAGGTTGTTGCACAGCGTCCATAATATTACCGATAAATATGCTAGCAAGATCACACTTTGTCATTGCTTCAGGAAAGCTTCCAAGGATCGTCATGGATTATCAGAGAGTGGGACGCCGAACTCTCTGCACGAGCAGATCAAGCTAACCAAATTGCGCGACGAGACCCCCTTGTTCTTGCCCCCGCCCTTTCCAAGCAACTCTCCACAATCCCAGCGTCAACCACACCATCATCCGTTAGATACACTTCCCTTCTTTACACCAGTTCTTGCATCGAAAGGCAAACTTGTAAATACCCTCTGTACAGAAGAACGCCGAATTCCAAGCGCCAGGCGCGGCGGCGCAATTATCAGTCGGAAATGGCTGGCGCATGCATCCGTGGCAGCTGAGCGCGTCATCAGCGTACTGGTATTGACAGTAGTTGTGCAGAGTTGTCTGGCAATCTTGGCCTAGCAAAGATTAGCGCTGCGCTTCCAGCAGGATGTTGACATACCCCTTCCCCATACGACTTCGTCGAAGCAATAGGTGCGATTGGGATCATCGTCGCATGCGACCGTCTGTTGAGACGGAATGGGGCCTGTGAGAGCTTCTTGCCTCTTGCTAAAGCCTGGTGAAGGGGCCGCTGCGGTCAAGGCGGCGAGAGAGACAATTGCTGACAGAGGCTTCATTGTAATAATGCGGGTATGACTCCTGGAAAGGAACGACCAAAAGACGTATTGTTGAACAAACAGTATCAGTGTATGATGATGGCAAGAGATGGTTGAATGCGGCGGTGGTAATCTGGAAAGGCATATCGTATGCAAGAGAGCGTCGATATATACATATAGAACAAACCTCAGCTAACGCCATTGGAGTAGCAACATGTAAACAAGAAGCAGAATCGTTTGTTAGCAACCATCATCTGTCATCGCCGCCGCTTCGGCATCGATTTGCGACTATGTAGTACCACAACGTCGTCCAGAAGCACCGTCGTTACATTTGAACTCGATGGCGAGCACGTGTGTGACGCTACGTCGGCAAATCAGACAACGCCCAAGGAAGTCATATCCGTTCGGTGCTTAGCTGAGAAGAGTTATGAGTTACCAGAGACACTCACTTCGACACCATGCATTCGAAAGAGCTTAGGTATTCATGTACCAAATGTCACTTTCTGGTTGTTGCAACACTCAACAAGTCTGGCGTTGGGCGTGATGAGACTTGGTTGAGCATAGCATAGTGAGACAACCAAAGATAAGACTGAGGAAATGGCACAATATCAGAATTCATGGTAGTCGACGCACGACACAAGAAGATTCTTTTACCCAACAGAATCTTGTCGAGGAAGGGAGAACGAGATTGAGCCTAGACCCGGCATTATGGCGCAGCATTGGAAATTGACCTGTCTCACACAGTCGAAGTGTCAAATGTCATGAAAAATGATATGATTTCCCTAGCTCCAGCGCCTATGAACCCGAACACCATGATACGATCGTCCTACATTACACCTTCAAAATCCGCCAGACTCTGCTCTCCCGAATCCTGACCTTCGAATATCTTCTCCGTCGCCCTGCTCTTCGTCAAGCACTCAAGCGCCTCACCGACCTCCTTCAGCACCCCCTTGGCGACGTCGATCCACTCCGCAAAAGTAACAATCTCAATCCCAAGCTTTTTTCCTCCATCCTTGACAAAAGCCTGACATTTCCACTCCCTCAATGGCTCACCATGTGGATACGTTGTCTCGAATTTCGCCTCAACACCATTACCAAACGGCATCTCCTCGACCCAAGCAGGCGCCTGATGAACAACAGTGTCAAACCAGTTGACCTTCTTCGCATCCCAATTCGTGCAGTTCTCTACGATCTCAGTAAAGCCCATGGATTCGTAAGCCGCGGAAGTGATATGCTGGTGCTGCACAAAGTTTAACAGGTCGAGGTATGTCCAGCTGTTGTTGAAAGGCACGCGGAAGGGAATGTACTGCCACGTAGGTCCAAAGATACGATCAGCGTTCGAAGCGCCAATGTTCCTGCCTGAAACGACTTCGCCAAAGACTACGTCCTTGAGGCTGAGACGGCGCGCGAGAACAAGTGCCCATGCAGCTGTTGGCAGTGAACCAATGGTGATGTTTGCTGGACGCGCTGAGATGTCAAATTCCATGTATACATCTGCCGGTCCGCGATGTGTGAGCGGGATGTCAGGCTTCATGATAGACATCTGGGAGCCGGAGAGGAGGTTTTGCCAGTATGGAATGGCTTTTGGCATGTTGTCTAGCACCACGTAATTTACGTGTCTGCTGAATGGTATGGTCTCTGGTACCTCGGAGCCTGTGTATAGCGCCGAAAGCTGCTCGTACAGGATGGGTAGGCAGATCTCGTCATATTGGGCGTGGGAGATGCGGAAGACGAGGGTTGAAGCGCCGGACTTGGCATCGGTGAAGAGCATAAACGACACAAAGGATGAACCATGTGGCTTCGGTGCTTCGATGTCCTGTTGTATGTTTGCTTGGGCGAATGCATTAATGTCTTCACCGTCAGGTACTGCGATCTCGGTGTAGGGGACTCGTAGAGAAGACAGAACAACACCGAGCACCTTGTTCTCGTCTTTCACGAAGACAGTGCGCAAGACTTCGTTGCGTGCAACAAGCTTTTGGCAGGCTTGTTCCAGCTTTTCGCGGTTGACTGGTGCCGCGAACTTGATGAGCTCGTAACGCAGTGAGTAGCGTGGTAGGTCAACAGTACCCTCAACAGCAAGTTGCTGAAGTGGTCTTGTCGGATAGATGTCCGTAATCTCCCAAGTCTGATCCTGAAGATACGCGCCGATGCGGTCGGGACTGTAAAGTGACGCTTCCTTGCCAAGCGCAGCGTAAGGGGCGTTGGATTTGGTCTCAGTCTGCGACGAGCTTGTCTCTTGAGCTGATGAGGCGAGTTCCGAAAGTGATTGGCTTTGGAAGACCTGCGCGACGGTGATGTTGAGGCCTTGAGCGCGTGCATCAGAAACAAGGCGCATGGCGCCGATGGAATCTCCTCCTAGTTCGAAGAAGCTGTCACTGCCGTTGATCTCGCTCCTAGACATACCAAGAATGCGACTCAAGATGTCCAACAGCTTGTCCTCTTTCTCATTTCCAATTGAAGCCGCCAGCTCAGCCAAAGATTGGCTCTGGAAAACTTGAGCCACGGTAAGGGTCAAGCCTTGGACGCGTGCATCAGAAACAAGTCGCATGGCACCAATTGAGTCGCCACCTAGTTCAAAGAAGCTGTCGCTAGGCTTGATCTCCGTCTCAGGCATGCCCAAGATGCGGCCGAGGATACTACGCAGCTTCTCTTCGTTTGGCGACAACGCCTTGGTCGCAGCATCCAGCTTCGGGCTATCGACCGGCGACGTACCAATGCCGCTGTCACTCATGATATCTCGCGGTCTCATCGCCTCCGCATCTTGCGCTTCGGCAGGATCAAGTACAGCGACGTCGCCCAGCTTGCTTTCAGGGTTACCCAAGAACGCCGTGACGACACGGTTCATCACAACGAGCACCCTCTCCATAGCATCCTTGCTGATGCACTTCGAATCGAAACTGGCCATGATCAAGAAGCCATTCTCATCTAGTGTGCACACGAGCATGAGTGCATAGGTGTTGAACTTGAGTGCTTCGCGTGCGGCTTCCGCATCATCAGCAGGGAGAAACGTGTTAGCTGGTACAGTTTCCATATCGACTTCACCGACATCGTCCTCCCTAGGATGCAAGACAAGACCGGTGCGCAGGTCGCACGCTACACGGGCATCCTTACTCAATCGGCGGATGTTCTGCAACCCCAAGTGCTCGTGAGGAATCTGCTTCACGGTTTGCGCGTGAACGGATTGGAGATATTCAGAAATTGGCCGGTCAAGACTCAATCGAACGCGGATTGGAACAGTCGTGATCATAGGACCCTCAATCTCCTCAATTCCATTCACAGGCGCGGAACGACCTGTAAGCGTCTCACCGAAGACGACATCTGGATGGCCCATATACAATGACGATACCAGCGCCCAGGCTCCACGGATGATAGTCGCGAGAGTAAGTTTGTTGTGTGCCGTTGTTGGAACGGTAACGTAGTGCTCTAGCAACGAATCGGCTTGAGTGATGTACCCCTTCTGCGGCAGAGGAGGGAACTGATGCGGACTGACACCGTTCAACCGCTCCTTCCAATAATCTTGAGCCTCGGCTGGATCCAGGCTAGTGAGGTGCTTGATAAAGTGCTTGAAAGATACAGACCTTTCAGTCTGAAGACCGTTAAAAGCACGGTTGATGCGATCAAAGACCAGAGGCATTGACCAACCGTCGTAAACAGCATGGTGCATCGTGATGACAAAGTGGGTTTTGTCGCTGCCAGCTTCTTGACCCAAGCCATAGCGGAAAAGGGCAGTTCCCAGATCCATGGCTTCTTCGCGGTCGCGTCGGAGATATTCTGCGGGGTCAGCGCCATGCTCGCGCAGCAGCTGACCGTTTCTGAGGACAACCTGGAACAAGCCCCGACCAGCCACGTTGACGATTCTGGTACGTAAGATTGGCGATCCCTCTACGGCGGTATCAAAGGCTTCCTTCAGACGCTGAGCGGTCGCCGACGGTAAAGTTGCGATTCGCTGAGCGACATATGCATCCTGAAACTTGGCTGAGAGAGCCATGAGTCCTTCTTGAAGCGGTGTGCAAGGATAAACGTCCTCAACGTCGTCATCAGCAACACCACAGAGCCTGGCAGTCTCGGTCTTGGCTGACTGTTCATCCCAATCTTTGCCGACCATAGAGAAAGGTGGTACATCATTTGATGCTTCCTCTGACAAAGGCTTCGCCTTGGCAGCCATGGCTGATAGTGTTGGATTCAGCATGATATCCGGGACGATCAATATGAGTCCAGCCTCTCTCGCCGCAGCTACCAGCCTCATAGCCCTTAGTGAATCTCCACCCATGCTAAAGAAGTTGTCATTGGCACTGAAGTCTTCCTCACCACCAAGCAGCTTCCCCCATAGCGACCGCAACTTGAGCTCCATCTCAGTTGTAGGCTCTTTCTTCTCCGAGATGACCGAGTTGAAGCGTCTGAGATCTTGGCGTGTGACTGAAGTGCCGATTTCGCGGAGACGCTTTCTGTCGGTCTTGCAAGAAACAAGCAGCGGCATCTTCCAAAGCGGGATGTAAGCGCTCGGGACCATGTATCCGGGAAGGTCAATAGCGAGCTGTTTAGTCATAGCTTTGAGAGCTGCTTGGAACTTGGTGGTGAAGCTGCCGAAGACGTTTCCATCCAAATGTCGCATGCCGTTCTTTTTCTGTTCCACGAGGAAAGCAACTAGCGTCTGCTCACCACCCCCGCTGGGCTTGATGACTTCAACAGCGAGCTGGGTATCTGCCGGAAGATGCTTCTGCATATTGAACTCGATTTCGGCCAGCTCGATACGTTGGCCGCGGAGCTTGACTTGCTGGTCCTGCCGTCCGACAAAGATGGGCTCGCCGTTGCCGTCGGGATCGAAACGTACTAGATCACCAGTCTTGTAGATGCGTCCATGTCGACCTGGGTAGCTCCTACTTCCTTTAATCAAGAATTCAGGATCTTCAATGAAGACTTCCTTGGTCTTCGCCGGGTTGTTGAGATAACCGTTACCAACTATAGGGCCCTCAATGAGCAGTTCGCCAACTGCACCAGGAGGTACAAGCTTGTTGTGGTCTTCAGGTTCAGTGAGCCAGATCGCACAACCTTTACGCTTGCCCATGGTAATATATGGTTTGGCGGCCACATTATCATTGATGGTCGCGCCAACTGTAGCCTCAGATGGTCCATAGGCGTTAACAACCCTTGTCCTTTGACCCCACGACATCGCATCGCTAGTCGACACGCCTTCGCCACCTAGAGCGATAGATTCTAGATGATCTAGGATGTCTACGTCCAGCGTTCGAGCGACAGAAGGGGTCATGCCAGCGAAGGTCACGCGCATATCGCGCATCGCGCCACTCATGTCGTTCATACGGCGCTCATCGGAAGGTGTACAGAGCGTCGCGCCGTGAGCGAGTGTACATAACATAGAGTCGATGCATACGTCAAAGGCATAACTCGCGAAGTCCAACACGCGAGAATGCAATCGATAACCCACAGCATCAGCTCGTGGTATTGCACCGGACGTATACTGACTGTGCGTAAGAATGCATCCTTTTGGAAGACCAGTACTGCCACTAGTGAATTGGATGTACAAAGGCTGATCTGGTGAGACTGGTGGAAGATTTGTCTTTGGTTGCTGCGCAGCGCATGGAGAGTACACCTTGTCGAACTTGGATGCTGAGACTGGGATGATTGTTGCCGCGGGAGCGACACGTGCAGCTAGCGTAGCTTGAGCTTTGGATGAAATAAAGAGCTTAGCGCTGACTTGCTGTACTACTGCTCGTAGTCGCCCTTCAGGTTGTGCTGGATCAAGGAGTGCGAAGCATGCTCCGGCCTTCATAACTGCGAGTACCGCCACTGAAGTCCATCGGGATTTTTCGAAAAGTACCGGAATGATTTGGTTCGACGAATCGTCCAGTAATCGTAGAGTTTGAGCCAGATCGGTAGAGTAGTCTTCTACTTGACGATATGTCAAAGTGCCGTCCCATGCATCTATGGCGATCTTTTCCGGATGTAGCGCAGCTTGCTCGGAGACCTTCTCATGCATGCAGAATCTCAACTCTGGCTGTAGAGGACTATTCCAGCTCCACAACTCATCGAGCTCTTCTTCGGAAACATTGCCGAATGCGGCCGGCAGGCAATCAGGGTCGCTGAATAGGGTATCAAGAATTGAAACAAAGAAATGAAGTTCAGAGACGGCTTGATGGCGAGACATGGTATTCGTCTGCCATCTTGATGTGGCATGGAGAGAGTCTCCTTCCCTGTCAAGAGATACCTCGAAAGTCCACTGAATTATGTCAGTCTTGTAGTAGGTATGGATGAGTAAACTAATACCTCGTGTGTCGAACCGTCATTGAAAAAGAGAGTGACATCATGTGCATCGTACTCCTTCGATCGTACATTGCTGATTTGTGACCTCAAACTCGCGGCCGTCTTGTGGCTTGTCAAGTTGAGGTCAGCTGTGTTGATAGTTTGTGTCGCTCGACCATTGGCATTGACCACACCCCAAGAGAATTGATGGAAGACATCCCTTTGGTACCTGTGCATGAGTGCCACCCAAGCAGCAAGAACGGTGTCCAGCAGAGCATCCGGGGTTAGGTTATTTGGGATTTTTGCTCGAGCCTCGTTCGTCTTCGAGCTGTGGCCGTTCGTATTTAGGGCTTCATGATTGCCATTCTTGCTTGATGCGCCATTGCTTTGCACTTTTTTCGCGATATGCTCGTCTGGAGCGCCACTGAAGTGCGATGCATGCTCGCCGTTACGTAGATGCATCTTGCCGCCGTTCAAGCTGCTGTGTGGTCTCTTCATTTCAAAGTTAATATCTGTTTTCGAAGGAGAGGGGGATGAAGATATTTCCGAGCCGGATGATCCAACCCCCAGACACTGTTGTAGTAATGGCCAAGTGTCGCAAAGCCGCGAGTTCATCAACCTCCCCATCGAGCTTTCGCTTCACACACGGACTGAGCTCTCCACACATTGAGCTAGGACAAGGCTCCGGCACAAGCACACCAACCCACGCCGACTGATCCATCATCCTCGGTCGGACAGCCGTCGGCGTCATAGTTTTCTCTTACGACGTAGTAACAGGGTCCGCTTTTTCGCGCCATCGTGTCTTTCTCGATACAGGCTGTATTGCGCATCGCCTAACGTAAACGCGGAGGCGATGGTGGGATCGGGTAAGGTACCACGGTTTAGCCGTAAGAAAAACCCTCTTCGCCCTGCATGCTCATCCCCACACTTAGCGGATCAGATAATTCTAGAGGGAAAGGCGGCGTCATGGCCTTTCATCTGATAAATTTGATGGTGTGCTACCGATGCATGCACGGAATTGCCCGATGGAGTAGGAGTCATGCAGGGTTACGTCGCTGGCGCCGCAAATCGTTTTGATCTGATAACGGCCGATGTTCGGAGGAGTGCTGCCGACCAATAACAGCATCCATGCGCCATTCTTTGCATCGATCGACAACAGACGCCGGCTTTAGGTGTCGTGCATTTTGATTTAGGGATATTGCTGGTCGCACGAAGAAGGCCCGGAGCTGTAGAAATGCAACATACGCGAAATACGGTCATCCCACGCGTCAACTTGCCGCTACGGTACGTACACTGCCTTTCGACGCGCTGATCGCGGTTAATGATGAATATGCACACAGGCATAGAACTTTTTGCGCTATGAAATAATGCCGATATGATGTATCGTTCGACGGGAAAGCCTCGCTAAGAACGGATCAGATAACTTTAATCGGCACATGCGAGGGGGAGGCACAGTAGAAAAGACCGAGCGTCTCAATGGAGAAGGTCTGGTCGTCGTCGGTGGCGTGATGTGTTCGCTCCTAGACGTGTGGGTCTTGTATACTAGTTTTGCACCCTCTCCTCTAGCGTTGCGAAGCAGGCGGTTCCTTAGGCAGCCGAGAGATTGGCACAGCTATGGTGCGCATTCCTCCACCAGGTCGAACTCAAAGTATGCTGTATGCGTGACCGACGATCTCTCGACCAGGAAGCTGGGCATTTTGGGTGGATCGTGCGATTTTTGAGCATAGTGGGCGACAAAATGCTACCAAGTTCATGTCTCTGGGTCGAGCGTTTTACTGCAGCTGTCAAACGTTACCAAACCTTTCGTACCTTGAGTTGAACCCTCCACCAGCAAAAGGTCTAGATCCTTCCCCGCTGCTTAGGTCCTAGATCAAAATTCTACTAAGTGACGAGCCACTCAAAATGGGGTTCGTGATCCTTCCCGCGCTGGTACCGGACATTAGTGCCGTGTACGATGTATACTTCGCAGCCTTCAAGGACAACGCACTCACGCGCGCATTGTTCCCCTCGGCTACCGAGAAGGACTTGACGGACGCGAATTCGGAGTTTCGGTAAGTGCCCATCTTTGGTTTGGATCTACCGTTAGATGCCGTTGATCCATGGACTGACTAGTATGAAGGCAGGCTCACACCGCTCATGTCACGGAGTATTGGAAGACAAGTGCAACGCAATATACCTTCAAATGCATCGACACCGAGACCAACAAGATTGTTGGGATGGCTCTTTGTGACGTATACATTACGCCGAGTGATTGGAAGAAGGGTGAGATCGGATGGTTGGACGGGAAAGAACGAGAACGAGCCGAGGCCCTTGTTAAGCCACTTTGGGATACGAGGGAGAAGTTGTGGCTCAATGAGAGGTACATCTACTGTCACGTGATGGCTGTACATCCCGACTATCAACGCAAAGGCATCGGTGAGTTGTTATTCAAACGTGAGACGACCATCTCCCAGCAGACTGGTCTGCCCATGTATATAGAGAGCTCCAAGGAAGGCGTTAAGCTCTACGAGAGAATGGGAAGTCGAAGACTGAAGGAGAAGTTGGTCAAATCCAACGAGACCAATGGTGCAGGCGAGAACGAGGAATGCCCATTGTACGTCTGGTTACCGGAAGGCGGAGAGAAGAGATTACCAAAGTCTGTAGAGCTGGCATAATGCCAACATGGCTGAAGGCGAATTAAGAATGTCTATTAAACTGAACAAGACTCAACCCAGCATCTGGTGGAGAGCATTGACACGGTAACTCTCACTACGCTGCACCAATTCCTCGTGGCGTCCTTGATCTACTACCTTACCTGCTTCGACGAGGAAAATAACATCAGCTCTGGCGATCGTCCTCAGTCGATGGGCGATTGCAATAACGGTCACGCCGTGACCCTTGACAGCCCGCTCGAGACCTTGCTCTAAAGCCTTCTCGCTTTCTGCGTCGAGTGCGCTCGTACTCTCATCCAGTAGCAGCAACTTTGGCTTCCGTACAAGAGCTCGTGCGATAGATAACCGTTGCCGCTGACCACCAGACAGCTGGTTGCCGTTCGAGCCACACTCGGTATCGTAGCCTTGGGGAAGATCGACGATGGTATCATGTATATTTGCCAGTTTACAGGCTTCTTGAATCTCCTCGTCGGATGGTTCATGACCGGGTCTTGCTCCCAACCCGATGTTGAACTTGATGCTTCCTTGGAAGAGTACGTTCTCTTGGGGAACATAGGCGATATCATCTCGGAAAGACGCGCCATGGTGTCGTGATATATCGAACCCATTGATGGAGATGCTGCCTGAGGAAGGAGAGTAAAATCGCTCAAGAAGGGCCAGGACAGTACTCTTGCCTGCACCTGAAGGACCAACCAAGGCGCAGAATTGACCTGGCTGGATGGTCAATGAAAGCGATGTTAGCACTGGAACACCGGGACGCGCTGGATACGCGAAGCCGACATCTCGGAAGACAACTCTGGCACCACCTTGTGGGGAGGCGGGCAATGGCGATTCAGCATTTGCCTCAACATCGTCTTGTGCTTTTTCGGGTAGTGCCTTCTGGTGTCCTGTAGGTGGTGTGTCCTTGCCGAGCTCGATCAGTCCACAGATGCGCCCGATGGCGCTCTTAGCCTTGGCTATTTCAGGCGCGAGGGTGAATAGTTGACCCCACAACTGTGCGGAGACAAGCATGGCGATGAGAATGACGAAGAACTCGGTCTGGGTATATCTGCCTTCGATGATGTTCTTCGAGCCCCACCAGTAAGCAAAGGCGTAGATGAAGCTACCACAAGAATTGGCGACAGCTAACCAGACGTTGGTCTTGAAGCTTTGCTTCACCATCTCTTTGCGCGGAGCCTTCAACGATCTCCGGTAGGTTTGTATGATCTCTTCTTCAATCGACAATGCATGCACAGTCTTGATGTTCGAGACGGCTTCGATAGTAACACCAATGGAAGATGAGAACGCGCCGGCATGCTTTACAGCAAAGCGACCGATGGCGCGTAACTGCATGTAACCAGCACCCAAAAGTAGCGGTACGATAACGAGACATACGATCGCGATTCGCCAAGCGATGATGTGAGATAGGATAATAGCGGCCACGAAGTTAACAACGACGGAGAAAAGTGTGCCAATGATGGAACCGCTAAAGCCTGCCAACGAATTGCCGTCCTTGGTGATGAACTCAAGTAACATTGATGGGGTTCTCGCCTCGGATTCATGCCATTGCAGCGGCTGCTGGAGCAGCGTGTGCAGAGACAGATTGCGGACCTTGTAGATAAGTCGCTCAGACAAGAGACCGAATGATGCCCAGCTGGTGAAGTTGGCAAGGAAAGCAACACAGGCAAGCATGAACCACATTCCGGACAGCAACTCACCCCTAGACCGAATGTAGTCTGGAGAGTTGCAAGGGGACATGGTGCCCATGATGTTACCGAATAGGAGGCCAGACCCGCAGTATTGCCCTCCTACTATCAGTGCTCCGCAGAAAGCCAGCAACACGATGCCCATGTACGGTCGTGTTAATGGAAACATGGTCTTTCTGATGGAACCTGAGATAACGACTCCCTTGGTATGCTCAACGGGGTCAACGGTCTGCGCATCGCTTGCTGGTACTGCATCAGGCTCTTGAGCGCTCAGTGTCAACTTCTCATCAGTAATAGTGTCGCGCGAATCTAGACTGGTCCTTGAGCTTGACGGACCATCCTCGGTTTTGACAGATTGTAGGCGAATCATATCCGCGTATGATCCGTCCAATTCCATTAGCTGATCGTGAGTGCCCTGCTCGATGATGTCACCCTTCTTCATGACGATGATTTTCGAAGCAGCTTTGATGGTAGACAGTCGATGGGCGATCGAGACCACTGTTCGGCCTTGGGAAGCCCGGTCTATGGCAGCTTGGATACGTTGTTCGCTGGCAGAATCCAATGCAGCAGTGGCCTCGTCGAGGATCAAGATACGCGGGTCGCGGACAAGCGCTCGAGCAAGAGCAACACGTTGCTTCTGCCCACCACTGACAAGGCTGCCACTTGAACCAACTGAGGTCGCAAAACCGAATTCCAGGCGGTCAATAAATACAGCAACATCAGCAAGGTCTGCAGCCTGTCTCACCAGCTGAAGAATCTCTACCACTTCTGGGCCAGCGTTCTCGGCAACCCGATTGAGTTCTTGGCCGCCCCTAACGTCTTCTGCAACCTGAGCGAGGATGCCACTCAAAAGTGTCTTCTCGAGGTGGGCATGAGGTGGACTGTTGACTAGACCAAGAGCGATGTTCTCCAGGATAGAGCGGTCGAGGAGCGATGGTTCTTGTTGCACAAGGCTGATGAAGCCTCGGAGAGTCTTGATATTGATGTCTTTGACGTTGCGCCCATCCAGAAGTACGTCACCGGATTGCGGGTCATAGAAGCGGCTGATAAGGCTTGCGACGGTGGATTTGCCGCTACCAGAGAGACCAACAATGGCAGTCATTTTACCAGCTTCGCATGTCAAGTTGATACCATTCAGTACGGGATGGTCAGGCCTGGAAGAGTATGTGAACGCAACATTGCGGAACTCAACAGTACCCTCGACATCAGTAGGCTTTTCCGCAGATAACGACGTGTTATCGATGGTAGGCTGAGTTTCGATATCCTTGCGCAAGCGCCCAAATGCCGATATGGCACCACCGAACAGTGGCAACATGGGCGCGATCTGACTCAAAACAATAGCACCTGGTGGAAGCATATCAGCCAATGACCATGTACAGGCTAGAAGAGGTACTTACCATCTAGAAGAATGAAGGTGACAGTATAGATTTCTCCAATAGTGGCACTGCCCTTGCCCTCTAAAGAGTCTGCGACTCTGCGACTACCCTGCCAATAACCCAGGGCACTAGCTGAAAAGGCGATAAAGTAGAGAAGACCAGCTTGTACAGCAGCAGCCATGGATTTCTTGATGCCTGCTTCCCGAGCATTGCCTAGGTGGCTCTCGAACTTCTCTTCGAGTCTTGCATTCGCCCCGAGCGCGTGCACGAGACCAACGTGACTGAGAGCTTCAGACGCGATAGCGCTAGCAGACCCAAAGCATGAGCCGAGCCTGGCACTATAATTGCCAACAAAGTGACCACCAACCACTGCCATAAGCAGGAATGCAGGGATTAACGATACGAGCATGCCAGCTAACTCGGCGTTCTTGATGAAGCCAACGATATAGGCAGTAACACAGAAGGAGAGGCAAGTCAATGCCACACCGACCTTCTCGCCAGTTCCGCTCTCGATGGCTTGGATGTCGCCATTGAGTCGAGATGATACTTCTCCGGCTTGTAGGTTGTCGAAGAAGGCCATGTCTTGTCGTAGCAGGTTCCTAAGGTAGCGGTCTCGGATGCGTTGAGCTAGCCGCTGCGATGCCAAGTTCCAGCATACAAGATGTATGTAGATGCAAGCGAAGCTGCCGATAGCGATATAGACAAGCAACAGAATCTTGGGCGTGATATCGGCTTCTTCGTCCCCATTCGAGCCACCATCGCGGTTGTTGCATGTTGCTACATTGATCTCATCGACCAATTGACCAAAGACGATTCCAATGAGCGGGAACGGCACGCCTGCTGCGATGGCAGCTATAGCGCCAACAAATACCAGTATCTTGTCGAGCCATGTCGGGTCTGCGTAGAAGAGGAGATGGAGAAAGCTAAAGAACTGCCTGATAGAGGCCCCCGAGGGCTTGCTGAAAGGCATTGAGCCTATGAGATGTGTTTAGCAGCTTGAGAAAGAATATCCCTCGCTGTATGCTGTGATGAAGACGCGCGAAGACACCTGCATGAGGTTCGCCAGGGCGCTTTGGCCCCGCCAGGAGGCGACGGCCAGGATCGACATAGTGCAGCAGCAGGGCAATTTGCTAGCATAGCGTGAAGGGGTATAGCGTCACGTGAAGAAGGATGTGTAGTGGAAAGTAGTGTGGGTTGGTGGTTCGTGAGTGCAGGCCTGTGAGTGGAGAAAAGGACGTGTCACTTGCATTGTGGTCTGTGCTCAGCTTGCATCAGATTAGATAAAAATTTGCATCATCTAGCGCCTGAACCTTGGAAACAAGAACCCACACCTGCACACCATAACCCGCCCTATATCCTAGCCTGGACTTGTAGTCCGGCGCCATCCCGTACAGCATCAGACCCTGTCGATACCTTGCGCACGATCTCACCTGCCATCAAGGCGATGTCCTTGGCTAACGCACGTCCTCCCTCAGACTTTGAGGACACCAGCCACAAGCGGCAGCCCTCAGCGACGGCGCCACGTTTGAACTGCACTTCCTCCAGGCTATCTCCCTTTGGCCGACAACCCAAGATGAGCGTGTCGATGCTCTGGAACAGTGCGATGTTCGAGAGCGGGTTTGTTGTCGTATCCCTAATGATGAAGTCGGACTGTGAGCACGCGCCAGCGGCGTCTTTTCCAATGATGACGCGTAGTCTGTATTCGCCCTTGGATCGGACCTGCTTCTCGTACGCGCGGTCATAGATCTTCTGGACGAGCTCTGAGGCTTCTGTCACGGAGGCTGTCTGATTGCTGGTTGGCTTCGCCCAAATGGAGCAAAGTTGGGGTTGCGATGGCTTGTTGTCGTTGAGAACCGTCAATGGCGCCAACGACTCGTCTTCTGTAACGACTGTAATGTTGCCCAGGCGGGGGCACGACAACAAATCGTCGAGAATCTCCGTAGTCTTTTCGCCGGATCCGACGAGGGAAATGTTCAATGGTCGCTCGTTGGCACCTCGCAATTCGTTCCGCCTGCTGGGGTAGTCGTGCATCGATATTATTCGCTGTCCAGACAAGAAGTCGACGGTGGGCAACGGCTCCGCAGCTGGACTGCTCATTCTTGATGGTGAGGGAGCGACTATGCTTCGTGCTCGCACTACATGCGTCTTGCCGGCGCTGTCTTTGACAGCCACTTTCCAGCTTTGTACAGCATCCGAATCTACCTCTGGAGCTACGCCAACAACCTCGCTGCCATAGCGTACCTCATCCTTGAAGTGCTCGGCGCACCACCTCATGTAGTCCTCGAACTCTTCTCGCAGAGGGTTGAGTCTGTCTGAGTTTGCAAATTCGATGAGGCGCTTGCGAGCAAGCAGATAGTTGACATAACTGAAAGCAGTCCTTGGGTTGCGGAGTGTTGCGAGATCGTACATGAATGGGCTTTCCACTCGTGTTCTCGATATTTGCGAATCCGATGCCCATGAGAAGGAGGTCTTCTTCTCAACAAAGAGCATCTTCGAATGTTTGCTGGATTCGCGGTTGGCAATGGCTGTTGCCAATTGCGCTGCGCCAAAGCCGACGCATACGAGGTCGTAGTATGGCGATGAATCTGCCATGGGTGTAGGAGTTGTTCTCTCGGTTGAAGTCATTATGAATGAAGGATTGATTCGTTTGAAGCAGATGTCGATTATCGCCTTCTAGGTGCGTACATCAAGAAGGTGTTTCGACGCTAAAAATATAGTACTACAGCACCACAACACAACCGCACAACTCAGGCACAATTTGCAGACCCTGCACACCGGCCAGTATCAGCTAGATGTGTCGATGCCCACACTCAAAACAACGATGTCACCGATGGCTAGCGTCAGCGGCACAAGTGCGCGAATCTTTGCGTCCACATACGCCGGCGGCTTGCATGTGGGTGCTAGCCCAAGGCCCACATGGGGTGGCCAACCACCCAGTCGGAGCTTTCCTCACGCCACGTCCGCACGGCAGCCCTGTGACCAGTTTTTCTTGCCGGAGGATGGGTAACAAATCCACCATCGCCTAAGCCTGCGTAATGTGGTGGTCTAAACTATCCCGGATATTAGGGACGACCTCGGTTAAACGTTCACACGTTGGAGTCCTGAGCATCTTGAACGACCTCAAACAATTGGGTTATAGCTGCTCGCCCATTGCTGTCGCGCAACCAACTGCGTCTGCTATCTTCTGCTCATATCTTCTTCTTCATTATCCAACTTCACTATGGCGCAACAGGAAACGCAGGATACCGCGCAAGAGCCGCTCGTTCTCAAGCTTCCTCACCCATATCTAACCGCATACACTATCGTTAATGTGGCACCGAAAGGACAGCTCATAAGCTACCAAGTTCAGCTTTCTTCAGCAAACATCACAGGCAAGGAGGTTGCTCCGCCGGCAGTTCTACATAACGAAACTGTTTCATTCACCGACATTAGCACCTTGAGCCAAGATGCAGTACCAGCGAAGGGAGACAACAGTTCTTGGGCTCGCACTCGAAGATCCCCATATGTAACAGTCTCTTGGAACAAGGATCGGCCAACCGTCCCGCAACTTTGGCTCATTGCCTACGCGTTGGTCTCACTGCACCCGCTAGTTGAGAATTTCCGCGTGCTATTCTCTGGGAAAGACTCGCAGGAACTAGCCAATGAGCTTTATGCCACCGGCCTTTTCCACTCGCATCCAAAGGCTTCCAATGCTTCGGCGCCTCATGATGGTCACCTCCTCTTCCGAGGAACATTCTGGCAGGGCGCCGCATCTCCATTCGGTGCTCGTCCAGTCTGGGCACCGCACCTTCACGCCTCTGGAAAGCCGATCCAGAGACCATATCCTCCATTTCCGTTTCAGAATGCACCATCGACTCAGTTCCCGGCTGTACCACGGCATACGCAACATCCTGTCCGTGAACCAAAGCCCGAGCCTGGCTCGATCATTTACAGCCGATGGGTGCCACACCTGAAGGAGCATTTTACAATGGTGGCTCTTGACTACACCAATGATGAGCATCTCCGACTATTCAACAAGTGGCAAAACGACCCACGTGTCGCTGCAGGTTGGAACGAAACCGGCACTCTGGATCAACACCGTGAATATCTCCGAAAGCTGCATGAGGACCCCCACGTACTCACCATGTTCGCTGCTTTCGACGACATTCTGTTTGCCTACTTTGAGGTTTATTGGGCAATGGTAAGTCAAGATCGTGTCCGACCCAATGTAACCTTTCGACTAACACATGTCGCAGGAGGACCACATGGGTGCTCACTACCAGTCTTCGCCATATGACCGCGGCAGGCACTCACTCGTCGGCGACGTTCGATTCAGAGGGCCTTACCGCGTTTCTGCATGGTGGTCTGGCCTCATGCACTACATGTTCCTTGATGAGCCACGCACCTGGAACCTGGTAGGTGAACCAGCAGCAACAAGCAGCACTGTGCTAGCATATGACTTCGCCCACGGTTTCCACGTTGAGAAGATCATGGACCTTCCACACAAGCGCAGTGCTTTGATGATGGTTAATCGAGAGAAATTCTTCACATTAAGTCCTTTCACCTGGGACGGGGAGAAGAAAGTTCGCCCAAGCCTGGATGCAGGTGCCAAGTCAAAGTTGTAGACTGCCACCTCGCACTTTGTTTCTAATACCACGCAACTACAATTATTTCCATTAATGTAAATACGAACAAATTTTGACCATCAACTCAGCATGGCATGGATATTCTTCTGGCTATTTTGTGATTACTGATTGTCATCTACCTACAGATCAAGCTCCATCTCCCGAGATTCGCCTCGAGACGGCTGCAACATACCGCTAGTCATTAGACAGCTTCGGCATCGCTCTCAAAAGAACAATCGCTGCGTAGCGTTCTTCCGGTATGCTCGTATATCCCACGCTAACCGATGGCACGCACGTCACAAATGACATGACCTCGCACCCCAGCCGTCCAATGACGCCCGGAGCGACCCCGGCTCGTGTATGCAGGACGCGGATCTGATAATTAGCCGTACTCTTTTATCTGATCCGTCGTTGCATGGTGGGCGCAGAGGCCAGGCGCCCAGAACGGTGTGGAGTGTCAGTGCCTTCGTGCGACCTGAGGCGTATTCGATTGCGACTAGGATCGGTCACTTTGTGGAGATGCGTGTGTGGATGCAACACGTAACGGCGATGCAGCACTACGACTGGCGCAACCCTGGAAATAGTCCGCGGCATATCTTCTCGAATCAGATAGTATCGCTACGCGACTAGAAGAATTTTTATCAGATGCACCAGCATGACACCATGATGCCTGATGGGGCAGCTGCTACAAACCACGCAGCGGATGCAAGGAAATTTACGGGATAGTTATTGCCCAGGCGCTAGGATTCCTTCCCACCTCCACACCCATCTTGTTCCGACGCCTTACTCGCACTTCCATCTGATTAAATTTTCTTCTTGATCTGATAAAAATTTTGCAAGCCTGCATCAATGTCATGCACGCACCTCGTATACAACATACGACATGTGATGCACCGATATCGCAGCAGCGTCGACTGGTTTTGATGGCCGGTTTAATCTTATCAGATCAAGATTGAACGCCCGACCCCTGTCGGCTAACTACCCTGACCATGGTGGCTTCGCCGCTTGCTGTCATCGGTCCTGGGCTGCTCGTTCTCTACACTCCGGCGACCAGCCAGTGCCGATCTTCTCCCGCTGTGAGCACAAAAATTGTGTCCATCACTTGACGGTGTCTGCTAGACTTGCCATAGTACTGACCGCGGCGTTGCGCCCGGAAAGAGTAGGTAGAGCTACGCGCGGAGACCCAGCAAGCCAGCCATGTCATGGCCTGTTTCGTTTCAATTCCAAAGGACGAGAGATGACCCACTAAGTACGTCGCTCTCTATCTCCGGAAGACGGCAGGACTGGAGATCAAAGATAGCCTGGTCCTGCTGGTGCTTAAGCTTAGATCCGAGCCATCGGCGAAAAGCACCGTCATTATCGCTGTTGCTATCGCTATGGCCAGTGTTGGTACCTCGAAGATTCATCGTCAAGCGCTCGACTGTCTCTGGGTACTGCTGTATACCATCGCTTCACTATCGTTTTCTTTCTACGCTTTTCATCATCTAAGTCGCCAACTTATACCAATTACCACAAGATAGTGTGTCCATCGGGCGGCATACTGTATTCATTCAGTAACTTTTCGACGTTGGATCGCAAGATCTGATAACGAGATGGCGGAATTGTATGATCAATCGCGGAATGACGCCTTACAGCGTCTCAACCAAACACTCCTCCAGATCGACCCATATATCCTACCTCCATATCCCAACCTATCTATCGTCGCCGGGCCATTGGATCCCCCACTACTCCAGTTGACCCTGTCGCAACTGCTTCGGAAACAGGTCGATTGCTATCCGGAGAATGAAGCTGTTGTCATTCCCTGGACTGGCGCACGGTGGACGTACCAGCAGCTATGGGACGAGTCGAGCTTGCTAGCAAGAGCGTTGCTGAAAGAGGGTGTAAGACCGAGAGATAGGATAGGAATCATGAGCGGTAATTGCGAAAAGTATATTGCAATTTTCTTTGCATGCGCAAGGGTAGGGGGCATTTGTGTTACGCTCAACAACACGTATACGGCGACAGAGATGGAGTACGCGCTAAAACATACAAGTAAGTGTTCTTGACGGGTGGTATAAAATAGCGAAACTGACCAAGGTAGAATGTAGAGTACTCTTCACAACACCCACGATCGCGCGCTTCGACAACGGACCATTACTGCACAAGCTCAGCCAACCTGATGTCACGTCCACACTACCAGACCTCAAGACTGTATGTCTGATCCGCGGCCAACACGACAGCTTCATCAGCTACTCCTCCCTCATCGAAGAAGCCCAATATATCCCCGAGCATATCTTAGACATCTTCGACGGCATAATAAGTCCCTACGACGTCGCAAACCTCCAATTCACAAGTGGCAGCACCGGAAACCCAAAGGCTGCCATGTTGACACACCAGTAAGTGTCTCCTCTTCTATTCTACCAATACGCGTCTGACCTCGTTTAGCAATTTGATCAACAACTCGCGCTTCATAGGGGATCGCATGGATCTGACACCCAACGATACCCTCTGCTGCCCGCCGCCCCTCTTCCATTGCTTCGGTCTAACACTCGGTCTCCTCGCTTGCCTCACACACGGTGCCAAGATTGTCTTCCCAGCCGAATCCTTCGATCCCGTCGCTTGCATGCGTGCAATTGACGCAGAACGCTGCACAGCCCTACATGGTGTACCCGCCATGATGGAGTCTATAATGGATGTCCCACGGCCGGAAGGATGGACAAGTGATCTCAGAACGGGGATTGTGGCGGGCAGTCCAGTGCCAAAGTGGCTCATGGAGCGCATGGTCAATGAGCTCAACATGTCGGACTTTACATCTTCGTACGGGCTCACGGAAGCGAGCCCTACTGTGTTCAACGCGCACACAAACGACTCGCTGCATGCGCGGTTGACTACTGTTGGAACAGTAATGCCTCATGCGCGGGTAAAGATAGTGGACCATCAGGATCGCATCGTGCCAATCGGTGTAAGGGGCGAGCTCTGCGTCGCGGGATACCAAGTCTGTCGTGGATACTGGGAGAATGCTGAGAAGACGGCGGAACTTATCGTGCGCGACGAGTATGGCGAGCCTTGGCTACACACTGGTGACGAGGCAGTCTTGGATGTAGATGGATACTGTACCATCACCGGAAGGTTCAAAGATATCATCATCCGAGGTGGGTATTCCCCTACAATCAGTACATCTCCCATTGCTTCTGTACTAACAGCATACCAGGAGGCGAAAACATCTACCCCCTAGAAATCGAAGAACGTCTCGTCGCACACCCATCCATCACCCGCGCCATCGTTGTCGGCGTCTCACATCCCCGTTACGTCGAGGTACCTGCTGCCTTCCTCCTACACGAGCCGAATACAGACAAGCCAGATTTAGCAGAAGTGCAGGCATGGGTACGGAAAGTACTCGGCAGGCACAAAGCTCCTGTTCACATCTTCTGGCTAGGAGAGGACTGTGACGCTGAAGTGCCGTTGACAGGTAGCGGTAAGATCAAAAAGTTTGTGTTAAGAGATGTTGCAGAGGATTTGTTGAAAGGGCGATGATCACGAGGTCGGGATGTCACGTGCAGACGTGGCACGGTCGAAATTTAGCGTGTCAAACTTCAGCGCCCGCGGACAAGCTTTATCTATTTTATTGCGACGCCTTCATCGTTCTTGCATCAATTACATTTTTGTTGATCCGCATATCACTACGATGTCTCCGTGTCCTCTTGACCGTCTCCCGCCCACTCCGAGATGTCCCTGCCTTCGAACACTTGATGTTCCTCGGAGGACGCAAAGCACACGTCATGGCATCGTCAAAGCTACATCGCCAATGCTTCCTTCAGGCTCACGCGACGCGGTCAGCCAATGATCTTCCGGCTATCACATCAAACCGTCATGATTATCGACTTACAGGAATATACAGCACCATGGATCTCCACGTGCTCACTACCTACGCCTCTCCTCCCACCTGTCGTTAAGACATGTCATTGTCTGCCCCTCGTCTCCTTCATTCCAGTTTCCTACGAACCACCGCTCGTGTATCCACGATACGTCTAGCTTCATATAGCAGACTTGTGTCCCGCCTACAGCAAGTGCCGAACTACCAATTTGCGAGACAGCGAGCGAATATGGCGACCATGAGCCGTGACGCGTCAGTAGCTACGGCCAAGACGTCAGATCCAAAACACTTCATGTATACCAGTGGAGAGACTGATCCGGTATGGATACATCACCTGCCTTACAAGAACATTCCCAAGTTCCCCAAGCTTGATAAGGACCTTGAGACAGACGTCTGCATTGTTGGCGCTGGTATCTCTGGTGTCTCAGTGGCCTACGAGCTAGTAACTCGTGGGCTGAACGTCGTCTTGATCGAGGGCCGTGAGGTACTGTCAGGTGAAACTGGACGTACAAGCGGTCATCTCGCTAATGATCTTGACGATGGCTACACGGCGATCGCGAAGAAGCACGGAGACAAAGGCGCAAAAGCTGCCGCAGAATCACATACTTGGGCATTGAACCGCGTCGGCGAGATCTCAAAGCAGCTGGGCATTGAGTGCGAGTACCGCCATCTCCCCGGCTACGACTTCTCTCAATACCCAAAGGACTCGAAAGACCACGCGAGCGACATCAAGGAGTTGATTGAGGACGGCAACAAGGCGAAGGAGCTTGGCATTGTGACAGAGTACAAGGAGGGGTTCAAGCTCAAGGGCTGGGAGGGCAGCATTGATCAGAGCGACGCTGTTATCTACCCTCAGCAAGCGACATTCCACCCCACCAAGTACGTCGTCGGTGTTCTCGACTTCCTCAAGCAGCAGCCCAACTTCTCGTGTTACACAAACACTCGATGCATTGATGTGCAAGAGAAGGGTGTAGAGATCATGGGCCTGGGCCACAAAGACGTATACGTTAAGACCGCTAACGGAAACACGATCAAGTGTGCCGACGCCGTCGAAGCAACCTGCGTCCCACTACAGAAGTTATCCGTTATCGCCGAGGAGGAGTACTACCGCACCTACTGCATCGCCATCCGCGTACCCAAGGGCTCAGTCGAAGACGCCCTGATCTACGATTCGGCCGAAATCTACAAGTACATCCGCCTCACTGAGTGCGACTCAAACGATGACTACATGGTCGTAGGAGGCGGCGACCACAAAGTCGGCCAAGCTGACACTGTCGTACCCTTCAAAGAACTCGAAGAATGGACCCGCGCCCGCTTCCCGCAAGCAACCACAATTGACTACAAGTGGAGTGGTCAGGTCTTCGAGCCAGTCGATCACATGGCCTTCATCGGCAAGAACCAAGGCAACAAACATATCTACATCATCACCGGTGACTCGGGCAACGGTCTCACTCATGGTGTCCTGGCGGGTAAACTCATCGCGGATTCCATAACTGAGCAACCCAACGACTGGATCTCGGCTTACGATCCCAAGCGTCTTGCTTCCATTGCAAAATCTGCTACCAGTATGATAAGCCACGACCTGCAAATTAACGCACAGTACAAGCGCTTCGCCCAGTCAGATATTAAGGATATCGAAGATCTTGTACCTGGCGAGGGTGGTGTTCTCAACACCAATCCTACCAAGCCTCTGGCTGTATATAAGGACGAGGGCGGTCAGATACACAAATTCTCAGCGCTGTGTCCGCATCTCAAGGGTGTGGTATGCTGGAATACTACGGAAAAGAGTTGGGATTGCCCAGTGCATGGATCAAGATTTAGCAAGGACGGTGTGCAGCTTTGTGGACCGTCGAAAATGGGTCTGGAGCCTGCGGACGAGAGTGGGAAAATGGTGCAGGAAAAGGCTCTCAAGGTTTGAACGCGCCATGCTGGCAGTGTTAAATCATTGCAAAGTAGTACAATGATTATGCAAAAAACAACAAACTCGTTCCCCTCATCAGCTGCTCCGCCAGACTACACTCACTTCCTGTCGTGCCGACCACAGGTAACAATTAACATTTTCCACTTTCACTTTTACCTTCATCTTTCTTGCATCCTCCCACAATCATGTCATCATAAAATCTCACTCTCACCTATTCGAAGTACTCGCTGATCCAAGCCCATTCTACCACGCTGACCCTAACCCCACTTGCACAAACGACTCCATTGCCACCCTCTTCTGACTGACCTCAAATGGCGACCTCCACCTCCAATCGCCGCACCTCCCAACGCTCTGCCCGCGCCCAAAGTATCCAAAGCATACAATCTGACTCGTCCTTCACACCACGTCCAACGCCACCTCCACCACCACAGCGACTCAGTCGCGGCGTCCGCGCTAACAGTATCGTCAGTGAATTCGCCTCACCTTCTGTAGCAGACACAACAAACGAGATAGACGAAAAGAAATCTGGACTCAGGCTATTGCCAGCGCATTATCTTCTCCCACCGACACACCCCAGCCCGTACGAGGGAAGCTTGGAGAGGAGCTTAGATGCTATCCAAGACTGGGGACGCCTCCACATGTCCGTCAACGGGGTTACGCAAGGCAAGTCACCATCCCTCGTCTGCTACGAACTATATGTGAGGTGAGTACTAACCCTGGTCAATTGAACTCTTCAGGCATGCAAAACCTCATCGACACGCTCCTCAAGCCAGTGGATATGAAAACAAATTGGTGTGTAGTAGTCTATAGCATCCGCGATGGCCCATCGGAACATAGGCGTGACCTGATCGAAGAGCTGCTCTTCCTACTCACGCGCACCCTTCTACCAGAGCAGATCGTCGAGAATAGAGGGCTGATGGCGCGCCTTTACAACGCGAAGAAACAGCTCGCCATGCGCCTGGCATTGCGGTACGATATGTTGAGGGAATGGAAGATGGAAGCTGGGACGTATCATCGTGATCAAGCGGTCACTGTAGCATCGGAACCACCGCCAGAGCGAGTTGAATCATCAGCGCTCGCGGCCGTGAGCGAGGATGTGGAAAGAAGATTTCCCTTCCGACGTCCCCTCCTGCCGAATATCATACCCACCTTGATCGCAGCTCCGTCAGGCGGCTTCACGACACACGGCGTACGCGAGCGAATGAAACACCACGTCACGGACTTAGACGCCTACCTTCTGTTGGAAGACGAAGAGGTGGCAGGGTGGAGCGGCTTGAAGTTAACAACTACCATAATCCAAGTTCTTCTGCATTGGCAGTGGTTGAGGCAAAACAATGCAGTGCTGGATGAGATGGAGGTCCACGGATGGGAGGACTTGGAAGGCAAGGCCGATGAGTCGGAGTGGATCGCTGAGGATGTGAAGAGAAATATTGTGGGTGGAGGAAAGAGGGAGGGCGGTGGTTCGAGAGTAGGAATGATGAGATGAGGTTTGAACAAGGTAGGCTGGTGCGTCTAGACCGGGAACGACTCCACACCCGACAAAAAAAAAACGAGAAATTTGCCCACGATGCCGTCCACCACAACCACGGCAACCAGACCTGGACGGACGCAAAAAGTTGGACTTGCAGGGAATCGAACCCTGGACCACTCCCATGCTAAGGGAGTATTATACCACTAAACCACAGGCCCGATTTTGCTCTTGTGACTGGCTACGCATACATCTAATATATTTCGAAAGGACTGAAGAGAGGATGACGCACCCCACACTACAGACCGCCTTGTCGGTGTACGCTGCTATCCTTGCTCCAGCGACGGAACGTCTTGCCTTTCTTCCAGAACAGTATACCAAATAAGCACCATAGCGTGATCAAAGCCGCGTTCGTCATGATGGGTGAGATAAATCTAGTCTTGTTAACAGTGATCGGTTGCATGTAGAAAACCGTAGAACTTACCCAGCCTCCTCACTCCAAGGCGTGATGAACTTGCCAAAGCCATAGCCCCAAACATTCTTGTTTACAGTGACAGCAACCATCAAAGACCCAGCTACAGGCTTGTAGGAGTCGATGGCATATGTACTGACGATACCGGGTAGAGCTGCGACTTGGATTCCAGCACAGGTGTACCCGATAATAATGATGGCCTCCCAGGGCCACTTGCGCTCGTAGCCTATGGCTACGACAATGTTGCCAATAAGCATTATGATGACATAGGGTATCATGGCTGGCAAGCGCATCTCAGGCTCACGAATCCCATTGTTCTTCCGGGTACTTCTCGCAGATACCCAATCACTGAGTGGACCAGCTGTGAATAGTCCGATGAAGGCACCGACCATAACAGCAAAGTTGGTGAATCCGACAGTCATGGGCTTGAAGTTGTACGGTGGCAAGGACAGGACTTGACTCTGTGTAAGGTTGATTGTGAGAAAGCTGGAGCATGACCAACTGACAACAAAAGCGGCGAATTCGACAATGGGGAAGGCGAACAACTTCCAAGGAATCCAAAGGTCGAGAAAGATGGAACGGAACGGGTGGGCGTTCGGTTGGAACATCTTCCATTGCCATTTGCCAGGCTTGCCACGTCCCAGGAAGGGATCGCGCTGTGCAGTCTCGGACATTTCCAGGCCGGCAGTACTAGGAAGAACAGAGTTGGCGGTGTTGATGTGTTGGATTTGATTTGTCTCTTTCTCAGAATCAGAGTTGTTGACTTCTTCCCGGGTGGTCGCTTTCGTCTTCTCTTCAAGCGAGTTGGCTTGCTTCTGCCCAACGTGCTCAGGTAAAGCACGCTTGAACCTTGTTTCAGGAAACATGAACACTACCATCAAGAACGAAAGGACCAGGATGCCAGTGTTGAGCCACCAAAAACTGCGCCAGCCGACTGTTTCGGTCATCGATCCTGACACAATAGGACCAACCATGAGCGAGCCCATGTACACGACCCAGTACAGAGTGTTCCACTTTCCGCGGTCGTGCAAGAAAAAGACGTCGGCGATGACTTCCGGCATGATAGTCTCAGCCGGTCCAGCGCCGATACCATTAACAATGCAGGCGCCCATGAAGGAGTTGTAAGAGTTGGACTTGGCACGCCATATTGAGGTACCAATGTTGATAAGCTGGGACGCGAGATAGACGGGCCGACGACCGAAAGACGTGCTGATCGGTACCCTAGAGATTGCTTGTCAGCCTTTGAGTCTGAATGATACAATGTTCGTACCCACCAGATGAAGTTGCTGAATCCGAGTACCAAGATACACACGCCAGTGAATTGCACTGCTCCCGCCAGGTCGGTCTCGAAAGCTTCGATGAGTGCGGGAAACATAGGTGCAAGAGCTAACGGACCAAATCCTTGCGTAAACGTGACCATAGATGCTGAGATGATACATGCTAGCTTCCACCCAGTGCTCCAGTTCAGTGGGTCATTTGGATCATCACTAGGTTGTGGAACGAGGACCTCGCGATGTGTACCCTTGACGAAATGATGTGAGCCAACATCTGTCATAACCTCCGTGCCAGGAAGGATCTCCGTGTGAAGCTCCTCTTCGAGCTGTCGGCGTTCCTGCATTTCTTAGTACTGTCAAATGAAGATCAAGACAGAACCTTACATCTTCATTGTAGTCGTGAGCATTCATGGTGAGTCAAGCAACTACTCTGCGAGAGTAGCGAAGATGGTGATCAATTCCAGAACGCGGCAAAGTATATGTGTCGTCTGCAATAGCCGAAACCGCACAACCCAAAGCTCTCGAATTGCGTACTGGTGCTGCTACAACGTGACTTCTCACCTCATTCCGAGGTAGAGTTCAGCTGTGGCTTGTTATCGAGCGTCGAAAGTCGGTAGAATAGCGCCGCGAGCGGACACGATAATTCGGCAATTGTAGTCGGAGCCGTTTCCAAGGCGAAGAGCTGGCGTATACACAGCAATAAGGCCGACGCGTGGCTGAGCGTCTAGATATTTATGAGAAAGCTTGACACCCAGCCGCCAGGTTCTCCGCATCCTTCACACGTGGTGGGCGGTTGTGCCGTCTCATCCTTTGTAGCTAATCATCGACGGCTCATATCAGCGGATGCTGTCCATTCAGAGGCCTCGTATATGTGATAGCCTGATTTTAGCCCCAGCACATCGATACGTATCCATGCTCGCAGCTCTGCACGATTGGTGTTCCTACCCCGGATTCAGGATCGAGCGGAGGCGGATGAATTGTGCGGCAAATGAGCTGGTGTACAGTCGCAGTTCATCCAGCCATGCTGCCCAGGATTAGTTGAGATTGAGCCGACCGCACGGATACTTGATCAAAAGAGTGATGGTACGATCATGGTGAGTGAGGTTTGAGCGACTTGTGTAACTGCCGAGCCGCGCTATCTCGCGCTACGTCGTTAGTGTGATGCGGGGAAAACAGGGGAAGGCGCCACAAAAGGACCAGATCCAACAAGATCGTGGAGCTTACGACACCAGCATTAGCGGTCGGGCGTTGCGATGTCCACCCTGGTAAGATACCATGTAATTTGATATTAAGGCACAATTTAGTCACTATGCCACATTTGCCTCAGAAAACCCTTATGGTCACTGTCATGCCTCCCTGCCGTTGCATGAGACCACCATTGCTGTCTGTTTTCCGATAAAACCTCGCCCACAACTTCAGACTTAGCATCCATTACACCTTGCTCGCGCAAACGGACATTGTAATCTAGAATACGTTCACAGTCCTTCCAGATCCGCGCACGGTTTCGCATGCCCGGTATTGGGGTCGTATCAGGATTGGATAGGCGCCACAGACGTGCCCAGTCCAGATCATGTCCCATATGTTTCCCACCTAAAGGTAGACGACAGATTCATTCTGCTACGCCGTCGCGGAATGTTCGCCATTCTTGAAGCAAGTGCTTTGCACTTGCCCTATATGGAGCAAGGATGGCCTCACGACGTGATGAATTGGATGTCTTGACAGCATTTCCAAAACACTCCATTTCTGGGTCTTCTTCTATGATCTGCGCCCAGAGCGCATTCTCTTGTTCCTCAGTTTTCAGATCGTATGGCAGGTCAGGAACAACGAGGCCAGGGGGGTTGCAGGGATCCCATGACATTGGCCAGTCTGGTGAATTTGGGTATCGCTCGGCTTCAAACGCTTCCCATAACCAGCCCATGTGTTCAACGGCAAGAGCTCTGAAGAACGGTTGTGTATGGCAGCGGAGTTTGCTGCAAGTAGCTGCCACTGCACCCAACTCGTATTCCCCGAGGAATGATATGATATGGTCGATAAGCTCGGTTGGTAGCTCAAGAAGGTGTGCTTGGAGGTTTTGAACCGTACGTTCAAGTGTGTTGGAGGTAAAGCAACTTTCAACTAACCTGCAGGACTCCGGAATCTCTACGGGGTTTGCAGCCAACCACTCATCGCCCGGCTGATGGCACCATGGATTGCCCTCATCATGTCGCCCTCGAGCTACCTCCGGATAGGGAAGCACATCATCTCTGGTAAGACTGTATGACTCTGGATAGGACTGCATCTCCCGCCAATGCCAGATTCCGTCCAAGTCGACTCGCCCAAGTCGGCGGTAGGATGCCTTTGCAAATATATCAAGGCAATACGAATGGACAGGCAACGGCCGCCATCCATCAGAGTTCTGGATTGGTGTCAAAACTTGGAGCAAACAAGGAAGCAGAAAGCATATCTCACATACATTGCATCCGTCATTTATATACAGGGTCCAGCAGTTTACCTTGTCCACACCATAGCGTGGCGGGTAGACGTAAGGCGGCGCCACAGGCGACAAATAGGACCCGTTTGATTCGCCGGATAAAACGAACGAACTGCCACGTTCGAAGATATTATCGCTCTTATCGGCTTGCCAGTTCGGTGGCTTTGCTAACAGAAATCTATGGTTACGGCAGCCTTTCATTTGTTCTACGCTCAGGAAATGACCATTGATGCCTTGGAGACTTTGACAAGAAGGCGCCGCGATATGTTCCAGGGGCAGTCTATACGAGCCGCATGCTTGTTTTGGTAGAAGGTCTCCAAGGTACCGCGGCCCCTCCCACTCTCTGGTATACATGTAACCGTTGCGCAACGTACCGTGTGGAAGATGCCTTGGCTGTGGAGGCGCATGCAGCTCACGCAAAGCGCTACGTATGTTGTTATCAGTGTCCTCGCCATCTACACTCTCGTCGTCGCTTTGTGATATGTCTGAGGACTCCACAACACAATCGGCTTCGCTGTCATATTCCAGCATCTCCCCTCCCGCGTCCGAATCATCTTTCGGTAGCCATTCGCCATCTTCAGCGTCTTCATCTGGCCAGAGAGGGCCGCCAAAGATTGCGTTCTTGATGTCTTTGTCAAGGCTAGCTGGAGTTCGATCTAGGGTGGTACATTGTTCGCATTGTCGATCTGGGAAAGAATTTCCGTAAATGTCTCGGAACCTGTCAAAGCCCACATAACCGTGACCTTCATAATTCCAGGCCGCGTCGGGAGGGTCTTCTGGAGTCCGAATTCGTGCTATGGACATGGCCGCTGTGCATATCTGGCAATGATAGGAAGCCATGCTCGCTGGAATCGATAGCTAGTTGAGCGGAGATCCCTGCATGAATCAGTTTTTGACTTACACCCTACAAGACTGGCGCCAAAGCAGAACAGCCAAAGTGCACTCAAGGACCTGCTGGAGGAAAACGGCAGGCTGTGTAAAGGACAGACCCAGGAATACAGGTGCAATAAGGACAAAGCGGAAGACGCTTGCTGTGTCATTGGAAGGCGCCAGTCAATGCTTATGACGCTTACGGTGGGGTATGCAAGCTGCCCCGCACCACAAAGCTATGGAGTTATCACGAAAACGTGCAGGCGAGTTGAGAGCGATCAGCTTAGGCCGACTGCAGGCAGCTTTGCTTGTTGTGAATATATAGACATGTTGAACAATCTTCTTTTCATCAATCAGATCATCCGAATTAGTCCATCGGCTAGGATATCTCGCTTTCACCGAGAAGAGCCGGGTTCGATTCCCGGATTCGGAAATCATATTTTTGCTTTTCTTTTGCCTTTCTTTTGCCCTCAGGTGGGTGAGAGTGGTGAATCCCTTGGTGGCAGTGGCATCTGGTAGGAGCGTGACACCTCTTTTTTGGAACCTGTCTAGTTGTGGCACTCATCACTACCACCTGCAGGCTTTGGTGATGGTACAAAAGTCGTCTTCGTCTTCTCCTTGTGCTCTTGCTATGTGACAGTAATAATGTGTACACACGGACTAGGCGATGCACTTGAATACAAGATATCGCGTCTGGAAGCGCCGCCTTCCACGTGAATGCGCGCTTGAACGCAGCGGGGGACGCGCCTAAACACACTACTACTCCCCACACCACCACCATCAACTGTCGCGTCGCATTGATGGCAAGGCTCTCGACACCAGCCACCAAGTCCAAGACACCAAAGCCGTCCGCCAGTAATAATGGTCAACATGCGCCGTGTCCCGCGCACGAGGCAGCATTGAGGACTCTACCACGACAAGAACTACACCGGCCAACGAAGCAAGCGTCCTACGAGCTTGCCAACCACGCCAAAGCCTATCTTGAGGGTGGCCAATGTATATGAGACCAACGACTTCTGTACTATCAAGCTTACACTGACTGTAGACGCCAGCGGTTATGACTTCCTCCACAGCCTACTCGCAGCTGGCACCAGCATCTCGACGCCCGCAAAGCCATACATAGGCTTTCTCGCACCGCCTGCATACATCGCATTCGCCTCTTCCACAGTCGTCGATCCTAAATTCACCACCAAAGCGCAATCACAAGACGCTGTCAAAGGCTCCAATGCTGCGCTGCGATATCTGCAATGCGTACGCACGACGATAGACGGCCCCGCATACCCAACTATAAAGAAAGCTTTCACGTTCCCAGACGAGCGCAACAGAAGGCGTGCGCCAGCCAAAAGAACAGATGCCAGCTCGTCGCCTGAGCCGGCTGGCGACATCGAGCGAATAGCAGGCGAGGCTGCAAATCAGAAGAGCCTGTGGTATCGCGCAGACGACTTCTGGCATATCGTAGGATGGTCATTCAACTGCGCGATAATACACAAGAAACGGTGGAGTCGGTGGAAGCTATGGCTGGCAAACATGCTCGACTTTCTAGAGGCAGATTGGCATGTCTGCGTCAAGCAAAGCAAGCTGCTAGACGGGACGATCGATTCGGCAGCCCTACAACAGAGTCTAGTCTGGCACTACATTGTCGGACATGAGGGAGCTTCAATGAGCCGCTCCAGGAGGCGCCGAATGGTCAAGGCTATACTTGCGACGGCCACATCCGAATCGCTCAAAGAGTATCCGGAGATATGGGACAAGGAGACAGTAGAGCTGCGACGTAAGAAGGGTGAATGTCAGCCTGTGCGGGACATTGACTTTGAGACTGGGGAGCTGGCCGACTATGGCAGCGATGAAGACATGCAGGACGCACCGGAAGACAGCGACAGTGAGAGCACAGATGGCATCGTTGTAGACACCAGCGGACAGGCCGCAAGAAACACACGCGAAGCCATAGAGCACCTTGGCGGGCAAGACGCGATTGAGCTGCGCCAGCGTCTTATAGCACTCGTACGTATCTCCCCTACTCCAGCATGCACACCATCTGACAGACCTTCAGCTCGTCCGCGTAGCCGAAGCCTTACCAGCCCACTTCACACCCCTCTTCGACCTCTGCGACACCATCCTCGAAGACTTTAACGCTCTGCCGACCGTCATATTCCAAGTCCTGTTATCCACAATGACGCTACCGCATAAGATTCGTCTTGCGTTTACCGTCAACCTCCTTCATCCGCTGATCACAGGCAAACCACCCAACTACTTCATCCGCCAACCCACACAAGAGGACTTTGAAGAGATACTTTTACCCTTGAGAGGGACGACAAAGAGCTTTGCCGCGAACGCCAAGGTCTCCTTGATTCTAGAACAGGTAGTGCTGCGCACGATGGAACAGCAACTCCTCAAGCCCACAGATGCTCTGAGGGAAGCTATGGAGTCTGGTATCGATGCGCGGAACAAGGTGTTTGGGACGGGCAAGGGCAAGAGAGGGAACGCCGAAGAGGAGAATATAGCCAAGAAGCTCTTGCACACGTCTTCTGAGAGGCTGTTGGGGTTGCTCGAGGTGCTGGAGATGCAACATGGGAAGAAGCCAAGGCCCATGCAAGGTAATAAGCGCAGAGGCGGCGGAGAGAGAGACTTGATGGTTTCTTTTGGCTCGAATTTGTCGTCGCTTTCGAGTCCGCCTTCTTCGACTGAGAATGATACTGATGCTGAATGAGCTTTTTGGATTTAGTATTCTTTCTTTTTTCTTGTTTGGATTGGAGGCAACGACTGAATTAGAGAGGACTTATAGATAACTGACGGCCTGATTTGTAAGGATATCGCAATTTCTGTCCACTGCGGCGTTCATCTAGTCTTGCAGAGTTGTACCTATCGCTCTACCTATCCCTTTCTCGTCATATATACGAGTTTTGCTCTGGACTGTGGCTAAGCCGGCACTATGATGCAAGGTCGTATCCGGAAGACTTTCTCCATGGTCATTCTCTTTACGATACGACCGTCTCGTATCTGGAAGATCGGTGTCGCATCGACTTCGGCTTCTGGACAAAGGCCGTGAACGTCAAACTGCTAAAGAGTCAGACGAGATGTCGCGCTGGTACCGCAGCTTCAGCCTTCCACTTGTGTCGCCTCGAAGCATTCAGATTCATCGTATACGTCCAAGTCGTCAGTTCATATATACACGCGGATCCGTCGCTTGCGGTGTTGAATGGATGGGCATGGATATCGTTTCGTGTCAGACCAGTTCGTGAACTGGTCGTTTTCTTTTTTAAACTGGCGTGAGAGGATCTGAGATATGTACCTCGTATCCCATTTTCTGCTCATGTTAAGACTAACACGCGGGCGAAATGTGAGGAAGGGTTTGATTCCAGTAAGATGGTACAAGTACGAGGATAATATCAGGCGGGATAGCAATGACATCTCCTACATGCTGACAAGCACAAAGGATCACAGCATAAGAACGATTTTGAAAGCGTGAAACAATAGTATTATTTCAAATCACCTTAGCGATGAGGGTATCATGAATGACAAGTTAGAGAGTTAGACCGACGCTCCTTGCGAGAGTTGCGCTAAGCATCTCACAGAACCAACAAGGCAACCGTCTAAAAGACGGTACCCTTGGTCTGCTTGCCCTCCTCTTTCTCAAGCTTCTTGACGTTGGTGTTCTTCCAAACCCAGATACAAGCCAAGCACAGTGGCACAAAGCAAGCACCCGTGATGACCATCTTCCGCTGTACATCGGCGTAAGCACCAACAACGGCATCGCGCTCTGGGGTACCATCAGCGAACGAACTCTGAACTGTGATGTCGCCAAAGATAGTCCTGTAGTCCGCCTTGCTAGACTCGGGCAGACGCTGGAGCAATTGTCCAGGAAGAATGTTGTTCCACATGGCACCAGCGATGGCGTATCCGATGGAAGAACCGAAACTACCGAAAAGACCCCAAATAGCGTTGACTACGGCGATTTCCTGGTGAGTGACGGGAACCATGACGGCGAGTTGACCGCAGGTGGCGAAGAAGGCCGTTCCGAGACCAACAAGGATTTGAGTGAAAGCAAGGACACCAGGGTTGGTGGAGGGGTTTCGGAATGGAATCAACAGAGCGGTACCGAGCAGAACGATCGGTACACCAGTGGCGGCCGTCCACTTGAAGTTACCGGAATGATGGATCCACCACGCGATAAGCGGGCTGAACGTGGAAGAAGTGAGCGAGAAGGCGTTGAGAATGTATCCAGCGTTCGTAATGCTCTGCCTGTGCACGACGATCAGGTACGAATTGAAGTATCCATTCCAGCAGAAGACGGAAAGGAACATGGCACCATAAAGCAGGCAAGAGCCGATAATGGTGGGGTTCCTGAGGTAGTGCCAGGGCAGGAATTGGAATGGCGCGAACTTGGCTTCCCAGATGTAGAAGACAGGGAAAAGGCAGAGACCGAGGACGATGCAGGCGATGATGTAAGGGGTCTTCCAGCCTTGCGGAGCGTAGGTGACGAGACTGAAAGGCAACACAAAGAGGCACCATGCGCACATGAGGAGGATGATACCGAAGACTAGACAATGTGTTAGCTGATGTGCAACTTGATTCTGGATCAGCGTGTGACTTACTGTCAAACTGCACAAAGTAGAACCACAGTGATTGGAAAATATTGCGATCCGATGAGACCTTCTTGATCAAACCAGCTTTCTTGGCCCTGCGGTACATGACTATCATCAAGATCATCGCCGGAAGAGAGATGCCACAGAAGATGATGATAAAGGCACCGTATCCCCAACGCCAGTTAGGACTCTCCCAGAAGTTCTGGGCGATCCTAGGTCCGGCAAATGTAGCTGCAATGCGAGGGGTTCCGTTGATGGTGAAGATGATCATACGGTTCTTCAGCGTGGTGATATCGGCAGCCATGATGTCGCAAACGAACAGAACACCGATGTGACCCGCCCAGTAGAGAATGTGACCGGCGAAGTATGTTTGTACGTTGAGGCAAGCGGCTTTCATAGCCATACCGACGACAATGATGATGAGCATCACGAAGAAACCCTCCACGCGACCGAACACATCGATGACCTTGGCGATGACGAGGGGGATGCAACCACTGAGTGCAGTCGCCATGATGCTCATGACTGTCAGGAGACCGTGTTTGCCGAATGTCGAAGTGACGAAAGCGCCGAGCGATGTGTCCATGGCATTCTGTAGGAAAGCGACAAACTCGATGAGGTACAAGCTACACGAATAGGTCAGTCTTTGAATTTCACCAATCTAGACTTTGATGTTGCGACTTACAAGACAAACATGGTAATCAGGGTCTTCTTGTCCCAGATCTCTGTGATTGCGCGGACACGCTGAACACCGTTTTGGAAGGTTTCCGACTCGACAGACTTGGTTTCGGCATCGCTGCCAGCCTCGTGAGCCTGAGTATTGACACCTGTCTCATTCTTCTCCATATCGACAGTCAGTGAAGGGCGTCCAAAGCCCTCTACGGGCCGCACCACATCGGTTGCGAGCAAGTTCGACATGACAAGACAAGGATGCCGAGGAAATGCCGGGTAAGGCAGGGTATGAAATTGGGACGCAGGTGGGTGACGATCGCAACATAGGCAGTCCTTCCATTCTTAAGTATCCCCACGGCCCACTCTCCGAGAACCGGACAGGGAATGTAAGCTCAGTTACAGCGTTTGAAAATTTTGCCATGTGTATCCCACCCGGCACCCGGTGGCTTGGGATCATCTCCCACCGTCCAGGTATCTTGGGATGCCCAGAAAGCATTAGTAGCGGGCTAGATGATCAGATAAGTGCTAGATGATCAGATAAGATCCAATCTCGCCTTGAGTGAATACCTGGCTTGTCTTGGCTGTGCCGCAACTCTGCATGGCCAAGGTCTTGGCCCGTATTGCCAGTGGCGGTCGTAGCTCCCGGCTCATCGAATCGAGCAGTGTGCGCCGAAGCTTCTTTCCCGTGCGGACCAGCCTGAGGGCCTCGCCTGATGCTGGAACCACACCAGCTGCCAGGAAGAGCATCCTCGTTGAGCAAGCGCGCGGTGGTGTTGCATGATCGCGTGTACGGCCGTTCCTGGTGCCTTCTAGCTGGCTGCACGTATAGCCGGCGCGGAAACAACGTTGTGTTGGAGCCTGAGGCTGTCCACGGGCGTGGGCAGAAACTTCATCGCAGCTACTTGTACACCTGTGAGCTTCTTGATTGACACATGTGGCTTTTGGTAGTGTTGGTGCAAAGCCAGAGAGGTGGAGTGTTGGGAAAGCGTTCAGCCACGCGCGACGCGAAGTGCCCCTCATGACACCAAATGTCACCACTAGCCGGATTTGCTGGTCACGATGACATCTAATCTAATCAGATCATCGCATCAGACTCGGTCGAAGTGGCCAATTTGCGGGAACCGGTCATCCTCTGGGTTAGTTGGTGGGGGCATCAATCGAATGATGGGTCAGTTTCTGCAGGGTCGCGAGCGGTCGCGGTGGTATTAGGGAAGCAGCCACTATCACTATTGCCCCACCATTTCCTGGTCGCCACGATGTCCTGCCGCGACAAGCTTCTCAATTCTACATGCAGCCCGAAACGCCCCAAACTACACTCGAGATGGTGCGTCCCTGGAAGAAGGGTTTTCCTGTAGAACAGCGGGTACCTGGGGTCCATCTGGATCATGGTGCGGGTGTCCTCGGGTTGTTCCGGACGCGCATCGCTTCTCGTTCCTTTCATGTGACATTGACCGACCCTTCACCAATATGACAATACCGACCGGTTTGGGAATCATGGAAGAACCCACTTCCTTCGAGTTTCCGTAGGCAGCTTGTACGTTTCTCCTGAGTTGTGTCAAGGGAATACTGAAAATATAATGTCACCTGGTCCAAATGCGAGTTGCACACTGCACCACTTCGCCCAGGAAACGATACTTTTAGCGTTCGTTGATTACAGCTTTAGAACAGGAGAATTGTAAAGCGGAGAATAGAAGATCTGCTTTGTCACGCAACTGGATGTGAAAGTCATCCAGTCATGGTATTGATGCGACTGTAACCACAAAGGCCACATCGTGCTTTCATGATTTGCGGACGACTTGCTTTACTGGCAAGAATACCGAAGTGTGATAAATCTATGGAATTGTGTGTCGCAGTTTTTCCGAATGCACATCTCTGCTCTCATGTGAACTTTTGGGAGATATGGCCGACCTATAATCCACCTGGATACTCTGGCTATTGACTGTCGTTGCTGTTGCGTGGGATGACAGCCATCGGACCGTTTATGCAACGAATATTGAGTGTCCATTGTTGTGTCGTGGACAATACGCGTCATTCTTGCTTCGTGTCGAGTTGTTTCAGGGGTTGTGTATATGACACGCTGCCTTCACATCAGTATCAACTTGTGCTGTCTGACGATCCTCCTCAGAGCAACTAGATGGAGTTCATCTCTCTCCGTGATCATCACTTACTCGTCATGAGATGTAATAGTTTTTGGTAAAAGATGAGTCTAAATCTTGTAGCTATTGAAGGAGATTGAAGCTGAATGGTATGAGATCAGCCGGGAAGGCAGAGGGTCCGCTCACGTGCGCAATCATTGGCTTGGCAAATTTCGATGCCAATACTGAGCGACGCGTCGACCGCTCGTCTTCAACGTTCGCCAGATCGCACCGCCCACTTTCCCACGCGCCAACCGTTCGCTGTGTCCTTGTCTTTGGGTAGCGATAGCTCAAAGCTTACATCTGGTGCTATACACCCGCCTTCATGCAGTATCGTTGTTCCGCCTGTTAAACTCAGCCGAGAACATTCATCGGGCTGACATACGCATCGGCCCAGTCCTATCGCTGGATATTTCTTGAATTTTTGAATGCACGCAACAACTGAGGAGACTATGTCCAATGAAAACATCGACATTGAGATCCTTTATCGGCAATGTCCGACTCAATTTTTGCTATCTAATCCTGCAGTGTATCGATATGCTCCATTCAAAGCTCACATCTATAATCAACTCAGCTCCGGCAACTGCGTCGCTCACAGTAGTGCATAATTCGTCAACCAACTGGTAATGTGTGTCTCGTTGTTTACGTAAGAACGTTCAATATTGCTATTGCTGTCACTCAAACTGACAGACTCTTAGGTCTCCGTCAAAGACTTCATCAAAGGGTCTTGCCCATCCTTTCAACTTCTCTCCCTCCATCGGGCGATATCTCCGATCCAAAAGCGAATTCATTCCTCAACAGCCGAGAGAGATCTCAATTTACACCATGTGTCTTGTACTAGAAAGCTGGAGTTGACCAGAAGAACGTTGTGGTCACCGTCTACATTGTCATTGCAAGCCGCCTCCGCTTTCTCCCACTATACACACAGCTAAGCTGTTACACGATCTGAAACTCACTCTCACTTTTGCCAGTCGAGAAGCACTTACCGACGCCTACCACCATTCCTTCATAGTCTTTCTGCCTTGGCCAGTCAACGGTATAACCGACTCTCTCCCTGACCGCGTTACCAGCTGAACCATCTCCACCCACTCTGAGTTGATTATCTACGAGTTAATTCCTTCAATTCGCAGCCCTTGCGGTCGCAGTCACCATCAACGACTCTCAACTCAATTACGGTCCTTTTTGCGGCACTCCTTCTTTGGTTTACGATAACGGTACCAAAGCCACTAGTTGGGCGCAGTACTTTGGAGAGCTTGAAAAGACCTCTAGTAAGAACGGTCAGGACGCCACTGATGCCTGGAATGCTAACCCCGGACCGGTTCCTTGGCCGAGCAACTCAGAGAACAAGGTCGTCATCCCGTACTGCTTCACGCAGGAGTGGGATCGCAAAAGCATCCGCCATATCACCGAGAGCGGTATGAATCAATGGATCGAGTATGTAAAAGCTTAGTTGGTATGAGGTGCGATGATTGTTTAACGTCTTTCGTTGGGTATCATGGTGGCACTGCAGGCAAAGACTCAGGTCATGCTATCAGCTTCAAAGAGCGCCTAGATAGCGAGGGAAAGTCAATGTACTACGCACCCGTAAAGAAGTATCGCGACGGCTGGAACGCAGGTATACCCTATGAGACAGTGGCAATCGAGTTCATGGATGGTGGTGGCTGGGGCGGTTTAGTTGTATTGACGCAGAACGGCAAGCCCTGGCAGAATCTCGTCAGGCTTTCTGATGGCTTCACGCTTGGTGGCGTCCTGCATGAACTTGGCCACGTACTAGGTATAACGTCCTCGGCAAAGACTGCGGGTGATAATACTGACAGCTACTAGGCCAGGCGCATGAACACAACAGCGAAGATCGCGACACTTATGTCAAGTCCAGTACAAGCAACTTGCCGACTGGGAAGACGCAATTAGCACCCGCACGTGAAGAAAAGTCTCTCAAATACTAACATTGCCAACGCAGTGCTGGGCTCGCGCCCGCCAGAAGGAAGGCGACCGCATCACCGAAGATGGCCTTTGCCTGTTCATGTACCGCACTCTGAAGTATCAATGCGATTGCGCCTTCTTCATCAAGAACATGGTCGAGCCTGGTTAGCCGATCAAAGCAGATTTCGGGTACGACCTCGAAAGCATCATGCACTATCCTAGCATGAGTGGGTACGCGAAGCCAGACTATAACAACGATGGTGAAGACTGTCTTGTTCAGCAGTATATCGAACGGAATGATCATGGAAAGGGGACTACGCTATTGAATCGTGCGAGAGACGAGATGATCATTGCGACGCGTCTAGGCGCCATTGAGATGCTGCACAATGGCCAAAATGATTGTTGAGTGGAGACAGCCTCGGGAGGTATTACTAGCTTCCGTGCCGGAATAGTGGGTTTCACAGGTCTAGGGTCTAGATTGCCCTCTACAAGAAGAATGCGCAGATGGGTTTTCGAGCTAGATCTCTCTTCACCTTACAAAAGACTCACTCTCTGCTAACTAGCCCTCTTTAGTATCACTCTTGCAACACGCTCACCTGGGCAAACCACTTGATGGGTCCATCCTCTCTTCCAATATTTCACATCGACCACGAAGTTCACGCCACCGATGCACGTATCTTTCCCGACGTTTCTATAGAAGCAAGTCTATTGGTCTTCCGGTCCGGCCTCGTACCCGTTACCCGGTCATCCATCGACGCCACACCGTGGTCTCGATCTTTCAATCGTGGTTCGTCCCGCGCGTGCAGTATGCGAGCTATATTGGTGGATCCTGGAGGCGAATCATTAGACCGGCTGATGTCGTGCAGCAGGTGTGGCTTACATTGACTTCGAACAAGCTCCTGTCAGAAAAACATATTTGCCTGGTGGAAATTCGCTATATCAGTGGCTTGCGGACTTTCACAATGATCGGGCGTGGGTTGGTGAGTGCGATTGGTCGTCACTACTGCTGTGCTGCATACGGCGATGTCCGCTTATAGACAATGACCAGTGTGAGATATGTGGAAGGAAGAGCTGCGCACTGAAGTTCGATGATCCCATACGAAATGAGATGACTGATTATGAAATGTGGAGGCAACATCGCTCGAGAGGGATGAAAAGAGCGACTGGAAAGGTATATAAGACGCTTGCATCTGCTTGTTTTCATCCAGGTCATCCCACTTCATTCAGCGCAGCACTACATCTCGACTATCATCATGCTGTTCTCTACGTTTATAATTCTTCTTCTCTCTTCAAACTCGTTCGCCGCACCCGCCGATCTCCTACCTCGCGCCACTGCTCAATGCGGTCAGTACCAATCCCAAGCCTCCGGCCCATACACCCTTTACACCAATGGTTGGGGCTGGTCTTCTGGAACCGGATCTCAATGTTCACAAATCGACAGTCTGACTGGTACCACTCTGGCCTACTCAACAACGTGGTCCTGGTCCGGCACACCCAATCAAGTGAAGAGCTACACGAACGTCGAGACGACTTTCACGAAGAAACAGCTAAGTGCTTACACAAGCATGACGACGGCATGGAAGTGGAGCTATACTGGAACGGATCTGCGGGTCAACGGTATGCTTCTCGCGCGTTCTTCCTGATCTCTTTCGCGCGACTACAAGCTAATGTGGATGTAATATCTTGTAGTCGCTTACGATACCTTCCTCGGCGCATCAGCCAGTGGCGCAAATCTCTTCGAAGTCATGGTCTGGCTTGGTGTATTCGGCGGCGTATCACCCTTGTCTTCCAATGGATATCCCTTCACACCTATTGCCACCGTAACTGTCGGTGGCACGATTTTCGACCTCGCGTATGGTCTAAATAGCCCTGTCAAGGTATACAGCTTTGTCGCTCGCGGAGGTGCTGCGACGAACTTCAGCGCTGACTTGGTAAGTCGTTCGCGTGGAGTGTGTTGTAGATGCTGACCTTTGTGATGCAGAATCTGTTCTTCAAGTACTTGTTAGCCAACTACGCAAACAACGGATTTACGAATAGCTTGTACTTGCAGACCGTGCAGGCAGGAACGGAGGTGTTTACAGGTAGTAACGCGAAATTGACTACCAGTGCGTATTCTATCTCCATCACGTAGACTATGGAGTACTGTGTATGCAGCGGGGTTAAATTAGGTACTCTCAGTTGATTGCTGACTGCCATTCGGTCACGGTTTTGAATATGTCGATGATTTAGAACTTCATTTCTAGAAGTTCATTTCTCGTAATCGTAACAACCTTGTGGCATGAGAACGTCGTAACAAATAGCAAGACTCATTCCGTTTTCACGAGGAAGCAGTTTAATATCATGCGATTAAGACATTAAAAAAGAAGGTGGATAAGGCTATCCCTTAGCAAAGATACGCAGTTTAGCTAACGCTTACATTATGGAACCATTCAGCTCATCAACAAACATGAGCTCAGAGTTTTGTTTGAGCAAGGACTCCGACCTTGACCCACGCATCAAAAATAGCCTTCTGTACCGACTTATCGACAAATGTCTCTCCAGCGACATCCACTGTGACTTTCGCGAAAGTCTTGAAATCGCAGTTGGGTTTAATCTTACCCGAGGTCATGGTCTCGTACCACACCTTGCCAGCCGTTTCCCAGGAATACCCACCAAGAGATTTCGCAGCCAGATAGAAGGCATGATTCGGGATACCAGAGTTGATATGGACGCCTCGATTATCACCAGGTTCTTTGTTGATGTGGTCCATGTGCTTTGGCTGCGGGTCAGTTCCGAAGATAGGGTCTTTCGTATATGCTTTCCCAGCCTTGAAAGTTCGTAGAGCAGAACCTGTAAATGCCACAGGAAAAAGTGTCTGACCGAGAATCCAATCTGCATCATCCACGCTCTGCTTCATATACCATTGCTCGACCATGGAGCCAAAGATATCGGCACAAGACTCATTCAAGGCTCCTGACTGCCATTCATATTTGAGCGGTGAGGAGAATTGGACGAAGCCATGGCTCAGTTCGTGGGCGATGACATCCAGCGAGTCGGTGAGGTAGTCAAAGGTGATGTGGTCGCCATCGCCGAAAACCATTCGCTGCTCTTCACCATCCCAATAGGCATTGTTGTATCCTTTTGGCGTGCTTCCCGGTCTGTAATGGACGCTGCCGATAAGAGGCAACCCTTTGCCATCAAGGGAGTTACGCTTGAAGATCTCCGAAAAAAAGTTATACGTGATTCCAAATCCGTCGTAGACATTGGTGACTTGGCGGTCCTCAGTGCGGGCCCCTCCTTCTGATCTAGCAGGATCTCCAGGGAGATTGCCAGTTCTCTTACAATCGTAGATCTCTCTCTGCACGGAACCTGGCAGTGTAGCTCCTGCTGCCACCAGAGTTTGCTGGATTACTTAGACTCAGTGATTGCCTGCAGAACGTATATGGTGGTGAGGCCTCTTCCAGCATCTGGATGACTAACCTGAGTTCCAGTGCACAGCTTATGACGCTGAGTGATATAGGACTTTTCTTGATGTTCAAGCGTATCTTTGCAGGCAGCACCGGTATCTTTTCCGACAGGATCAGGTTTTGTGTCGGCAGACTTGGCTATGGCCGAGAGGATGTAAGGAGGTACAAATCCGCAGACAGGATACTGCTGGACCTTTTCCATCATGGAAGTTGAGCAGGACGTCGGAAAATGAAGTTTTCTAGTAAGAGTAGAGAATCGAAGCATTCGATCGTCTCTTGATGAAGGAGTATAACAATGTAGCCTAGGGCTAGCAGGACTTATATGCTACGGTTATCGGGAAGCTTTGACGTTTAGTAGATTGTAGACAGGGATTAGCTCTCAACTCTCATACCAGTGGTGTACTAGGTTGTTCCAGCTGAGCTGACTGCATATCGTTTAAGCACCACACTTTTGGCGATGCACGATCTGGAATATCTCCTCTTTCGCGCCCGACACAATTTATGTGTACTTCAACCAACAGGGCATTCGCCGGTCAGCAAAGCTGAAGGACAAAAAAGAAGGCGCATGAATGGCATGATCAAGCCATCTTGTTGCTAAAACTTCAGCTCTACCGTTATTGGTCTCCAAGACTTTGAGGGGGAACACCCCGCATCAGCCGACCAACCAACGGGCTGCATTGACGACTTGCAGCTACCACACAACACCATCTTTTGCACGAATAACTGCAAACATGCCTACGAGCTTGAACACTACCGGAGAATGTTCAGCTTCCGCCTTTTCAGCTGCGCTTGTCTTGCCTGACCAAAGTCTATATTGCTTGGCCAAACCTTGTGTGTTGAAATCTGAGGCAAGTAAGCTAAGCAAATCGCGGATCCACGGAATTATTTAGATGAGATACTTCCATTCTGTTGTGCTTCTAGTATCTCTTTACCCTGTATGGAATTAGCTTCCAAGGCGTTAATTGCTGACTCAAAACGAAACCAAAGTGTCAGGTCTAACCAAGAGGCTGGAATGGGGGGGAAACATCGGCGCCACATAGCATACTACCAACGCTTTTCCCATCCTATTGGTCATCACTTTTTTCACCTGATGTAGGAAATAGGACGCTGTTAAGGTTCACCACATACCTGGGCAATACGTCATAAAGATGACTGGCTAAGCACCCGTCAGCGTACCAAAGGTCTTTTCAGCCCATCGGTAATGATATTTCCACTGATTGGTTAAGAAAGACTTTCGCATGCTAGTAGCTCACTAACTAAACATCCTCAAAATGTGTTCTCCAAATATGGTCTATCGATTTTGGAAGTGTATAGCGACTGGATTACTTTCTGCGAAGTGCTGCGAGCTCCGATTTCTTGTTGGTGGAGATTACGCGACAACGTGTCACATTTGCCAGATATCAAGTACACCCGTTCGATAGAGCTCATTGTAACGCACACGACACATATATGAGACAAAGAAATCAGAACTGTTCGCCACAGTTGCAGGTAGACTTGGTGGTGTGAAAGTTAAATTCACTGGAAGGGTATCGCCTCATGCGAACTTTCTTCTGTCAGATGACCCTCATCGGGAGCTTAAGACCACTAGTTCTTGCGAAGATCGAAATCTTACTGCGTCAAGCTGATACATAGGCTTTCACGGATAGGGCAATTGGTAGGCACATCTTGGAGTCGAGAAGGGATTGAAGAATTCAACTGGTCGAATGATATATCTCGATTCTCCGGAGCTGAGCTTTCGTGTCATACCTGTATTACGAAGCTAAACAAGACAATTGCAAGACATCGCAGCCGCAGTTGCAAGAAGCTGGACCATCAGCTGCGGGGTTGAATTGCTTTTACATATCGGTGGGAACTCGATGTCTATAAGTGCCAGTCATACCAACGCACTTTTCTATCATCTGCAGATACACGCAATACCAGACTCCCACTTTCCCTCACTTCCTTTTCTTGAAACATATTGACACTATACCGACGGGAACCGATCATCTTTCCAATAATCGCAAACACCCCATCACTAACGCAGCTCCACACAGCGAAGACTATACGCTCACTCACTGCTATATCCATACACCGAAATGGATGGTAACAACACCTTTTTCGGAGCTGCTGCTATACCAGCAGGCGATCTATCAGAAATAGCAAGCCATAATGCCCTCGACGGGGCTGGTGGCGCCGAATGCGCTACAACCGGGATCCGGGAGGCGACGCCCGTACCAATAACACCTACTGATGAGACTGCAGCAGGATATAAGTGTGTGACTCAATCTGGCGACGATGTAGAAGCTATCAATGTTGGCCTTCCGGATCAAGTCCCACGATTCAAGCCTGGCAGCGTTATCAAATACATATCATATTATTCAGGATGGCCGGGAGGACAAGGACAGCTTATCAGCGACACCATGTGGGCCGCAGCAACAGATTGGAACTCAAGGAATCCTGGAGTGAAATTTCAATGGACACTCGTCCGGGCAGAAGCAGCTTTCGAGGTCGTATATGGCGGCACGCATGCGACAGCCGTGGCGTCAGCGTTCTTCCCAAACGAGCCGCGAGGAGCACAACCCAGAAAATTGCTGGTGTATGAAAAGACTTTCACGTCAAGTGGTCTGGCGAGAATGAGGAACTCTTTTCAGCACGAATTGGGACATGTAAGTCAAGACTGGAAGGCAAGATCAAACGTCTTGTTGCAAAGTGGGTGCGAAAGAGGCCTGGGTGGCATTGCATAGAACCTGCACAACGATATCGTGCCTACCTGCTGTTCCTCAGATTAAGAACCACGCTGACCTCGACCTTCCACCTTAGGTGATGGGCCTGCGACACGAGCATGCGAACACCTCCAACGAACCGACTCCGGCAATCCTTATAGGAGTGAAGAATCCGTTGTCAATCATGGGCTACTTATTTCAAAGGTCAATTCAAGCTACGGACATTGAATGGCTGAAATTTTTCTACACCTTAGCCAATGGTACCGTTCTTCGAAGCGAAAACAACACATACTCATGGCCGATCCGCGATTATAATCCATGAAGAGAATTGGGAGATGCTAGGTTTCACGAATAGCTTGTACTGGCAGACTGTGCAGGCAGAGACAGAAGGGTTTACTAGAGGTAATGCGAAGTCGACTGCGAGTGGGTACTGTATCGTTATTAACCAGTCTACAATATGTTGCGCTTATGCGACTATTTGTGTAATTCACACGAGGCCGGTGGGTGTCAGATTTCAAGTGTGTCAGTTACTTGGAAGTACTTATCGGAACACGAACTCAGCTGCGGAGGCAAGGCAGTCTCTCCGTAGCCCTCAGGACGGCAAATCGCGTTTCCACCTTGATTGTATCGGGTATATGTGCTTTAACGTCCTACTTTGTTCTACTAAATTGCGATCTCCCAGTATTAGCCATCAAACGTGACCGACAGCCATGATCTATGGCTGCCTTTATATGTCGATATGTGTTCGAATATCTCCGACGCTGCTTTTGGGATCTTCGATTCAAGCTCGGAACTATATCCAAAGGTGTCAGCTCCTGGACTTCGAGTTTGTACCACTGAGCCGCCAAGATCTGTATGTCAATCCGGAATATCCTGCCTCCTCTTAGCCTCTTCGTCCAGATATCCTGAGGGCTCGTGAAACAATCATGCCACCATTGCAGGACCTCATGTCGCATTAGGCTCAGGAGGTCAAATGATCGACGACCTCCCGTCTCTGCATTAATGTTGCTGTCATATTTCGGAAGAATGCCTTTGGGATAGAAGCATACAAAGTAACCTTCGCGCTCGACATATGGAATGTGGACGCCATCCAACACATACAAAGAATCCTTCACTATGTTGACGAAATAATTGATGAATCTAGGATTGCCTGGACGCATACCGAAGAGACCATGACTGATCTTCGCCCAAATACTAAGTTCCTGATATGCATTCACAAGGACTCTGTAGAATGACGAAAGCTCAGGCTCATATCTCGACTCGCCCAGTCGATACATCAAGACACTCTGCTGCTCCAACACTTCGATCGTCATCATTTTGCGATACGTAGAAGGATGGAAGTTGGCGAGCCATTGATGTATCACCTCGTTTACTGTGCGCTCGGAATTGGCTAGTGGAGGTTTTAACATGAAAGACGCGTGTACGGTGTTTCCAGTCTGCTCATGTGTCTTCCCATATTTTTGCCCTCGAGAATGTGGAGTAACCAGATTTTCGGTATCGCAGACGTAGGTCGCTTCGCTCGAGCTATCCGAGGCAAAAGTGTCGTGTCGCTGAGTTCCTACATCAAAATGTGGATCTTCACTCCTTTGCACCCTTCGATCAAGGGAGTCTGACGAGTAATGAAAAGTCGGCGATGATACCTCGATATCATGAAGACTGGGCGCGTATCGTGTCGATTGACTTTGGTGTACCTTATATCTGGATTTCAACCTTGAGTACTCGTCGTCAACGTCTGGTGACCAGTCTGCATAACGTGCAGTTTCAATTTCTTTATGTTCGTCTTCGTTTGTTTTCCGATTTAGTTGGTTCTTCGACAATCCATTGCATCGTTTCGGGACAGGAGCCTCGGTTCGTCGTGGTGACTGCTCTCCCTCAACTTTTCCAGAATGAAGGCACCGATCTGCCTTTTCGACCGCTGAACAAACACTCGCACCATCGCGTTTCGAGAGATCTTTCTGTGAGATATGCGATACAAGAGTGTCCGTTGAGGAAAACGCACTTGAGACTGCTGCGCGTTCCTTGGCCTTTACGATACTTGCTTGATAATCTGAAGAAAGAACACTCTCAGTGGCAATGAATCCTTCATTACAACAAAGCCCAGAAAAGCTGACTGCGATGTCGGATTCATAATTCAAAGTTTGAATTTCCTCCGCAAGTGATTGGATGCTCCGACGGGCGGATGCGTCGATTTGTAACATTGATCTGATCCACGGGCCAGGTACGTTGGCGTCGTTGCTGGTTCCAGACGATAAGAGATCACACCACTTCATTACAGCGGAGATATTGGCATAGTATGAGCTTGACTTAGACCCGTGGTTTTCCATGAACGACAAAAGCTCTGATACTGAGTGGTCGCAAAGTTCTGTCCAAATCTCAAGAAAAACACATCCCAGAGACCAGATATCTGCGGATGTGTTTCGGGGCTGGTTCGTCGCAACTTCTGGGGCGGCGTAACGTGGTGTGAGTTTCGAAGCAAATCCAGTCGTAGTGCTGTGGCCTAAATCCGACCAGTCTAAAGTGGTACCAAAGTCAGTTAAGTATACCGCATGAGACTTTATCAGCACGTTCTGATTGCTTAATTAGTAGTCGAACACCAGGAATTGCCCGCTATTGCCTACCTCAGGTTTGATGTCTTTGTGTCTCAGCTCGTTCTCATGGAGGTAACGAAGAGCACTGACAAGGCACCCGTAGAAGGTTCGAACAAGTGAACGAGTATCCGACGACAAAGGATGAGTGCTCAGTAGAGCTTTGAGGTTGTAATCGGCAACAGGGGCCATTAGGATGCCAACATAACTACTACGTGTCAATTCTATTCATGAAGAGTAAACCACCGTATCTTACCGTGGGTCTGTATAGCTTCCTATCAGTCTGACGATATGCTGGTGGGACAGCTTCTTAAGCACTTGTAGCTCATTTTCGAAATCGCGTAGTACATCTCGATCTTGACGGAATGTGCGACCCCTAAGGATGAGCTTACGAGCATATTCTCGATAGCTAATTGTACTGATAACCTTGTCGACAAAGCCATAGCCTCCTTTCCCAAGCTCAGCGACCTTTTTGAATGGGAGATCGTCTGGATTGGAGAAATGGCGATGCTTACTATTCTCCTTCTCTAAGTCAAGCGCTTTTGTGAGGACTCTAGACTGAACGTCGAGAAACCGGACCCGTGATAATTGGTCTTTGAATTGTCCTGGCAATGTTCGCTGGTTGAACGGTAATGACAGATCAGTGATTCCACACCCTAAAAATGCATCAATAACGTCGATTTCGTCGATGAGCCGAAGCGTTGTATATATGCGGGGTATGCGACTCCAGGAAGCCTTGCCGCTCCGACACAACAAGTGAGAGATGTCTCTCAGATCGCTTTCCGTAAAGTTCGAACGCGTGGAGAGCTCGACTGTGCCCAAAGGAGGAAACCAGGCTAGCATAGCCTCGTTCAGCAGCGCAGCTTCGTCCATGGTAGCGTTGTTTCGGCATGTGTAGGCGTTCGGCGTCGTCTAGTCTGGCATATTCGCTTCGCGAAGGGCTATTGGAACCTGACAATAGGAGCGTGTTGTATCGCAAGGCTACAAGAGCGTGGTACAGGAAAGAGAAAAGGGAATTGATGCAGACCGGGTGAGAATGCCCAGACTCCAGCCGCAGCACATGAGCCAGTGCATCGCTTCATACGGAAACGCGTTGATTGCACTGCCTCCCACTACTGGAAGGCTTGCATACCACACATGATGAGGTCCGCAGTGATCTATCTATCATTTCAATATTGTACAGCTATTATACAGATAGCTAGAGTCTACCCGCGACTCAAACCCCATTGCTGCCAGAGTCGGCGGCCCCAGAACGCCGATTCGTTATATACTCGTGTACTCCTCAATGGGCTTCTTAAGCGTGGGCCCCTCAGCCACGAACGTCAATCTCGCCAGGGTACGCCAGCGCGATACTTTCATCTTCAAACCTCGCACCAATGCTTAGTAGGTCGATGCTAAGCATCTTGGTATCGCGTTGGAACCTCGGACGATGCTGCGCAAAGTCGCTCTCATCATCCCCACTGGATGCGTCGCTTGAGCTGGCCACCGACTCCACGGAGGAAGCCAAATCTGCGCGCATTACAACTTCCGCGCGATAGTATCGTTGTCGCACCCAGCGAAAGTATACGGCAAGCGCGTCGCGATGGTTCGGGATGCCGATAGAAACGAGTGAGCGACGGGACGGGAGCTTGACAGCGTAAGGATGGGCTAGGAACAGGTGGGTTAGCAGAGCGATCGAGGAAGCCAAACCGTCATTGGTTGATGGTGCGGCTGAGATGGGACGCTAGGCTCCAGGAAGTATGTCGCGCCACAGTGAGGCGCAGCAAGTCGGTATTGGGAAGGAGTGGGATCGGAGGTGGAGACGGCATGATAGGCTGACTTACTATTGCGAGACATCTTACACCGAGGTAGATGCTTTGTATGAAGCTTGGACGTGGTTGGGCGTAAAGGTCAAGCAGTTGGGCTTTCGTCAAGTGTGGTGTTGCGAATCAGGAAGTCTGAGTGAACGTTTGATGGTGAGCTTCGTGTGGCGAGTGTATCGCTTTATATGGTTTTTGGTTCGGATGGAAGCGCTGAGGAAAAGTAGCTGTCGAGTAGTGGCCGGATGTTCAAGGCGTAGATGGAGAGTTGATGTGCAAGGTGAGGACGTGGTTGGCGAGAGACCTTTTCAGCTTGCGTATGCAAATCAGTATATCCGCAGAATGAGCAAGAGGGAAATGCGCATACGCGTCCATAGCACACTTATGAGCATCCCAGTGGCCGTTTTCATGACCTCGTTGAAGCCTCACGACCAAGGCATATACCCTTTTCCCGAACGAGCGCTTGGCCATTGCGTATCGTGTAGTGGGCCTTTAGCGACCTGTGTCGCTGCTTACCGAGCCTAGTCGATCGGCAGCAGCGTTACGTCCGATGTAAAGACGGAGCTTCGTTTCAGCTGCGATGGGTAGGGCTCATGCATAGAAACTGGGGTCTTTCGCGATAGAGAACGCCCACCAGTCCTCATAGCCGGAGGTGGTGAAGTTGCCGAACCCGCGCCTGGCGAAAATGTGGCTGTAGTTTTAGACCTTCACCGGCGGAGCGCTGCAGGAGAAACGCATGCGATCGCGGGGCTAAAATTTCTCCATACATTGCTTCTACATCATCGGTTGCTGGGCATTGTTACTCCTTGAACGTGCATACTACATGCGCTGACAAAAACTCGAGCAAAGAACGCGTGGGCCTCAAATGGTGGGCGTAGCGGTAAGCGCGGGGCTCCAGCCCTCCAGCTCTCTGCAGGTGTCTTACCGCGTCACTAGTCAGGGCCTACCAACAAGATTCGTTTCGCTCGCCCATTGCTACCACGCTAGGTTCTGCAGTAGAGGTAATCTTACATTTTTTCTTTGGACGTTTTCATACTAGGAGTCGGGAATACACAAGCGCGCCAAACGATGTAGGCGAAGCTATTGGGCTGTACGTCCGAAGGACGTGCCTGGCAGGGATGGACTTTTGTCATCTGGTAGTAGGTCTATGCGCTTCAGTAACCTATGCTTTTGCTTTCTTTTTCTCGTACTTTCTCCTCGTCACTCTGCAGCACCAAGACCTTTGTTAGTCGTCGTGTGCACTTTGCATACGCAATTCCATTGCTGCCTCGGGACAACGCTTCGATAAGGCATTCGTCCCTGCCGGCGACAAGGCGTACCTGGAATAGATGCAGGCCGAGTCGAAGAAAGAGCAGCCCAAACAACGCTAAGACGCAAAGTTTCGATGGCACAGGCCTGACGCGTGCGACGTATCTTCACACCGTCGCAATTGTATGCGGACCCCAAAATCCCAGCATCCGGGGACGCGTAGTGCCATGGTTTACTAGTGTCTTGGTAGTTGGCAATAATTTGCAAGCCAGAGCCTTCTCTCTTTTCCAAGCGAGCCAACAACACGGTCTCAACGACAAGAGTAAAAGGTAAAATGTGTTCAGCGTTGGCGAGATATGGCAACGCGCAAGATCGTTTGCCGCGTGGCCTAGAATCGAATTTGCTGAAGGCAAACGCTTCGGGAGAGTGAATTCCGCAGATGTCTACAGAGATGGGCATCTTGTCCTATGCTCATCATCGGTGGTCAGAAGAATCCAGCCCATCTCTTACAGCCGAGGCGACATGTGAAGTAGAAAGCGATGCACGGAAGCTGCCACCATAAACTCCTTGTCTTGCAACTTTTTTCTCTTACAAATCGATAAGAAACCCCATCAGGGTTCTGCGTTATCGAAGTGGTACAAGACTGCACAGGCTGGCGCCACGAAAGAGCTGCGGTCAGCAAATTAGCGAACAGCGCCACAAAACTACCATCCGGATAAATGTGTAGTGGAGCGCTGCAAGCGCTGGTAGCAGTTTGGTGTCGTCTGAAATTCCTACTGCTCGGTGTCCCGATTCTGCTGCGAACACAGCCCAGACGGCAGCGGATACAGCAAGGTTCTCTCCCACAAAACATTGTGCAGCTTCTTCCATGCACAACGCAGTGTGGCCCTACGCCCGACGTCCCCAGTTGACGCATGCACGATGGTCAAAGCATCGTCTTCACTTCTCCAAGTGTAGTGATGTTGCACGGTCCCTGTCGAGCATTTACTCAAGTAAGCTTCCCACATATTTGCCACCCAGCTCCGTCACTGCATCTCTTGCACGTCTCCCAAGCTGATTGGCCTCGGGTACGTCGCCTTGTACGTATGCGCGGTTGATGCGTGCAATCCTTGTTTCTAGAAGGAAGCACGAGCTTCACAGGAACGGTGAGCCAGTTACTGTATGGCTGTGATTGGTAAGGGTAGACGGTCATTGGCTGATATTCTCCTCCGCCGACATGCAAGCGATGTTGACCGGTCCGCAAAAATGCAGCACAATACAGCATTTGAAACGCCAATGCAACTGTTGGTCGTTTATGTGTGTGTGCCTGCGCAACACTCCAACGTCCGATGAAGGCAATGGCGCAAGGATGCGAGCAAAGGTTTGATGCAGACTGCGGCCGTCTCGTTAAGGCAAGAGCACAGACTGGCAGACGCACAGCCTTCGTGCGGCTCTGAGAGCTGATTGATGCGCTCTCGAGGTCACGGTCCTTTGACAACCACTTGAAACCATCAAGATCGGATAAAAGGGCTAAACCAACAATCGTCTTGAGCATACCAGCCAGTAACGCTTCTTGACGACGCTTTCGTGCAACCACCACGCCACCCGTCATGCTGCGGCTGTCAGGACTGTAGCTTAGAAGGTACACATCTCCGAGAGCTGTGCGCTGGTGTAGTTCTGAAAGACGTGCTCCCACTAAGGTAGCCAGCGGCAAACTGCAACGTATCTCTGAAGGTAGAGATTGGAGAGTTAATGGCAGTATTCGATCAGACCTTGCGCTGGCTCTGTGGATTGTCGACCAATCGGCAATTCACGGTTTTGCTGCGCTTTCGAGCCCACCAAACGCGTCGTTTTCCGTTAGAGATGACCGCGACCTGCTCATCGGAGATGAGGCGATGCAGCGCGTCGACACATTGAGCTCAGCCTGCTACAAAGACACTTGCGCTCGTCTTCCATGTTTTGTTTCGCAAGCAGAAGAGCATAGTCGTTAGTGTAGTGAAAGGGTATCAGTATAAGGAACAAGACGCCGAAGGAAAGAAAACTGTGTATACACAATTATGGTTTCGACGAGTGAAGGATGAATGAGAGTCGAAAGCGGAAGTGCTTAGGCCACCCGAAGCTTCCGACAGTACACGTGACAGCGTGATTGCACTTACTATGTTGAGACTAAAGCATGACGTAGTAGATCACCATGTTATGAATGCACTCTCGTCGGAAGATCGATACCTATCACACTTGTCTTACTGCTAACTTCTTAAAACGTGTCAAATCTAATCGCAATGAATGCCAGATGACAACAATAACAGGACATGCCTCGCATCATGTGTCATCCACCTTCGTAACCGCCTAATCCTCAAAATCCCAATACGCCCTATCCAACTCCGCCTGCAACCCCTCAATCAACCTCAATTCAAACGGCTCAACCTGGAACAACCCACTCCCACCTATACAAGGATTCGTGCATTCGCACTCTAGGCTCGCATCGTCCGTCATAGTCGCTTGCATGCGTCTTTCCATCGCCTTGACACCAGCCGTATGGTCGACGCTCCTGTCGTTGAGAAGCCGCATCCACTGATGCCGCGCAGAGTTCTTTATACATCCACTCATGCTATACTTGACTCCCTTGGAGCCTTTGAGCATGTTCAAAGCGTCCCAGGCGGCAACGAAGAAGAGGTCTATCCACTTCTTTTGGCAAGAATGCGGGCCTTTCCAGGGACAATCGGCGAGGTTGTGCTCCGGTCCTATGAAGCGGAAATCGATTGTGTCGAGGTTCTTGAGTGAGTTTAGAGAGGATAGAGTGAACGGGAAGGTAACAGATTGACGCAGCGGTTGTCCTGGGAGTGGACGAATGCCGCAAAATTCTAGGTAATCTCTTGCGCACATCTCGAGCTGCAACTTTCGAAGGAAGTTGACCGGCATTGACACAAATGGGAGGTTGTGCCAGATATCAGTCATCGACTTTTGAGGGCCAATTGGCGCGCGAAGCCGTGTGAACCGCTTGAGGGTATCGCGGTTGGCAACTGTAGTCGCTTCTTCGTTGACTTGTTTGCAGATGCGCATGATAGTCATATTCGGACGTTGTATATCAGGGTCGACACGGCGCCCTACGCGACTGCGATCCTCGAATGAATGGCCTTTTCCAAGGACAAGCTTCTTCCGCATATCAGACTGTACAACCATATCGGGAACAACGACTGGACCGATTATCTGCAGATAGATGGCTTCACGCATCTCCAGAGGCAATGCCAACAACCGGAAAGCCTGATCGGTGCCTTGCCACCATAAATTCTGCTCGTCGTATTGCATCTTGGAGAATCTCATCGCATACATGTCGTCGGCGGCGGTACAATATGTATCACGTATCCAGGCTGCTGCTCCGCATTCGTTCATGTTCTTCTTACCAAACTCAACGACCCTAAGATCATCGACGTGTACTGGTCCATTGCTTCCAGGCGGTTTCAAGATCGCGACGGTGCGAGCAAAGCCGTCGGATCGCCGCGGCTCGATAAAGGTATACCAGTCATCATAGTCAGTTGTCGCATCGCACACAGTGGACCTACGGACGGCTTCGATGTCTTCGATGTTTGCCGAAGAAACCACGAGTAGGTCTTCCTGACGCTTATAGAAGTGGCTGTACCGTGACAAAAACGAGAAGTTGGTCTTGCGCTCGTTCTGTATGAAGTCGTGGAGAGCAGAGACGATGAAGTTGACAGGCATTGTGTCGTTAGTGGTAGTTGCATGCAAAGTGTCGGTGGTTGCAAGGCTAAGTGCAGCAAGTGTAGTATTAGTTTTGTCCATGCCTAAGAGCTTGCGTAGGTAGCAGATTGTAAGTGAGTAGTTTAAATTGTAGCCTGGTGCAGGACCGTTTACGCAATGAAAGCATCAGGTGCGCGCAGGCTGTGTCAGCAGGCGCACTAGTCCATATCGGTACTAGATTGTGTATACGCTTGTGAAAGTGCGGGCGCGTACCATTTTCCAAGTGAAGTATGAAGATTTCAAAGCCAATCGTTCCATTTCATTCGTGGTAGCAAGGTAGCGAGGCCCTAATTTTTTGTCGTTTTCCATTCGTGGTCGGCAGCGCAGCTGCCTCATCGTGTTCGTACTCATAGAATGAAGATCTCGATTTTTCTAGAGTGAAAAAGAGAATACTCACGCAGGCGAGTACGTTATCTGGCGGTTTCGTAAGTATATAAACATAGAACATCGTAAATGCTTTCGAAGATTTTGTTATGTGCAACCTCAGCAAGATTCTTCGTGACGCGAGCACATTTCATCATGACGTCCGCGACGAAAAGTGGTTTCCAATCCCATACTCAAGCGTATTCACATTTCACTATGATGAAGATATATATGGTATTGAATAAGCATGAATTGATTTGGTCATCGCTATGCTGGCGCTAGACTCATAAGTCGTAATAAAATAAAGCTCCTGGCTAAGGGCTTTTCGCTAGATGTACACGTCCTCTTCGCCCCGCAACTATGCGTAAGACTGGGCGGAGCAGGTGAAGGGACTTCTTACAGCACCGGAATTGTACTGTGTAATAATATCCTCGACAGATGCGTAGGTACCGGCACCGAGGACGACAAGTCCAATGAGGAACACGATAGCGTTCAGGATAGACAGAGAAATGTTCTTGGCGTTCGCATTCCACTTGCCCTCCTTGACCAGCTGGAACCAGAAGAGCGCAGGCCAGTAGAATGTGAAACCAGAGATGAACAGCGAGGAGATAAGACCAAGAAGTGCGTTGAAGAAGGGAATGGCCTCAGCGATGATCCATCCAATGACGGTGACGAGAGTAATAAGTCCGACCCAGACACCCCAGCCCTTGGCGTCCTTGACGAATCGGATGGGCGAAGTAGGGAAAACGCGGTCCATGATGTAACGGCAGACCACGGTACCGTTGATGGAACCGGAGATGAAGATGACGGGGAGCGCGATACCGAAGGCGATACGGGAGACAGTGTTACCGGCGGAAAGAAGAGCAGGTGACTTGACCTCCTGGCCAACGAAAGCGTAGACGAGAGCACCAGTCAAGGTGTAAATAAAAATCTCAATCAGACCAAGGGCCCAGATGGACTTGACGTAGTCCTTGGGTGTGTGCATCTCGGACATGAAGGAGAATTGGCAGACGGCGAACGAGTAGGCGAAGATGATGTTGGTGGTAGCCAGGAAAGCTTCGTAGAATGAAGTTCCGGGTTGAGGCCACGCGGACCAGTTGACTCCGCTAAGTCCGCCAGGAGCATCGTGTGCCTGAATACCAGTCGCGATGATGGTGATCAAGATGGCGGCAATGATACTAACAAAGTCGATGTAACCTAGGAACGCAAAGTCGTGGAAAGTGGGTGGCAGAGCAAGGACCAACAGGATAATCATGGATACAACACCCCATACAAGCGCGCATGTGGTGTAGTTTCCAATAATGTTGATCCAGGCAATTGTTCCAGTAAGCGCGTGCGATCCAACGAGCAGGATCAAGAAGAGCGCAAACATGACACCAGTAAGTTCCTTTCCGAATTTTCCCCAGATGATTTCGACAGCGTCCGAGTAGTGGTTGACATGCGGGTAGCGCATCTTAACCTGACCGACAACGTACGATGTGTAAATTGCGACAAGACCAAGACCAACGCACATGATGACACCGGGAACCATTCCCAGGGTCGCGAACGCGCTGGGAATACTGAGAGAACCAAGAGCGATGGCTTCGACGATCAAGCATACTGTAAGTTGCTTCCAGCCAAGGCGGTGGAACTTTTCAGATCCCTCCTGGACGGTAGCAGTCTTGTCGACGGGCATCATAAGTTCGGGGTCGCTCTTCTTGCCCTCAGATGAAAGGTCGTCCAAACGGTAGGTTGGCGGTGCAGCCGCGTAATGCCTAGCGGGAATGCCGGTGTTGACGCCGTTGGAGCCTGCAGCGGCGTATTGTGGCTGAGGGTTGCCCGTCGTCAACCCGTTTGCGTGAGGTACTTCCTGCATGATGGAAGATGTCGGAGGTTCAAATATTGATATTTTGAATTTGACGGTGGGGTGGAGTCGCGGTCAAGTCGGAAGTCCAAGGGCACTCGCGACTTTTTGGTGTTTGGCGCCTGCTGACGAGCTAGTTCGCCCGGTACACCAAATGCAGCAGTTGCAGTGTAGGTCACAGATCCAGTCGTCGGAAGCGGGAAGAGGACGGCGGTCGATGTCGACGCTCTGTGACGTACCGTGGGACCGAAGGAGAGGCGGATTAGTATAGTAACACAACAATAGCCGTTTCCTCAACGCCAGCGGCTACAGTTGTTTCTTATATCAACGAGCCTTATCTCTCCGCACGTTCTGCATGTGTAATAGAATGTTCCAAGCGGCCTTCCCCCGCGCGCTCCCAGCATGCTGGACGACCGATGTTGACCGAAAGCTGGCTATCGAGGGCCTTAGCGACTCTCGGTCCATTTCTCGTATCGTACCAGTGTATGGTGCGTGCAGCCAGCAGCGTCGGTTTCTAGTGGCATTGGTAATAACGCGGTCCACATGGTGCGTCGCAGTTGACGTAAAATTTTCTCTTTTTTACGTGTTTGAGTGGTGAGCGTTGGGACGTGCTTGATGTGACATCGCCTCAATCCTTACTAGGTGACATCACGGCGGAACCTGCATGAGGGTTGCAGATAAGAGAGCCGCTCAGCTCACGCGACGACCGGGAGATGGGGGATAAGCATTCTGAGTTTGCAGTGACGAGTGCCATGGCGACAGAGGCGTCGCGTAGGGCTGACCGTGTGGCTGCATTGGAGCGGCGGACAAGCCTTTAGGGCCGCGCCATCCCGGGTCTCGGCGGGGCTTGAGTAGTTTAACCGAACAGGTACAGGGCGCAAACTCTGAGCGAGGCCCCCCCGAACCTTCCCGTCGACTACGCTCAGTGCGGTAATGCACGACACTTCTCGGTGATTTGAGCCTGGGCGCGGATTGCTTCTTGGCTTCTAAATGGGTGATGGCAAGCGTTGCGTGACCGCGCGGCTTATCTTTGGAGCCAGGGTTTTGTGGAGTGCATTGCCGAACTTTGCGCCGGCCAATAATACGGGGGATGAATAGGATTGTTTGGAGATAGCTATGGTCTTACCCCAGGATCTCAGAAGCCTCAAAGGACACCGTGGGATGTCCTGCTCTTGCCGAACAGCCGTGGTCCTCCAGATTGGGAGAGACTGGCCAAGGATGCCGCGCAACGAGCGCAAAAGCACTCGGGCAAGTTACTGCAGACTGCATCGAATGCTCCATCTCTTCATGGACCCTTCCGCCACTGGAACCGAACAAACGGCATACTACAGCCGTTGTCGGAAGCTATCGAGGCCGCGGCCTCTGTACATACACTACTCGACTACGCCGCGGTTTTTAGAAATTCGTCCACTACATGCGGGTCGGTCTCGACTTCCTGGGCTCCCCTGCTTCGCCTGCTCTCCCATGTCTCGCTCACGTGGGCGTCTTCCGCCGTCGATTCTGGTGTGAAGACAAATACGCGATGCTCACCTGGACAAATGTTAGCCTATAATGCGGGTCCAGATATAGAGGCAGACTGACAGTTCTTCCACGCGGTACCTAGCATCGGGTCTTCGACTTCCCAGTCCTCAGTCAGGAAGTGTGCGAATGCGCCATGAGTGACGATCATCACCTGCTCCGTTAGCACACCATCCCTACGAGGAGGGTGATGGTCGACTTACCTGCGCTTCAGGCCGTTGGTACAACCAGTTCCTTAGATCAGAAGCGCGCTTCGATATGGCGCGCTTCTCATACGCCCAATAGTCTTGCTGCAGGACGTGTTAGTAAGCATGCATATTGATGTCAGACCGGGAGATCGACCAACCTTGGAATTCCAGCCCGCTGTCACCGCAGAGGCGTCGACTTTGCTGATATCAAAGTCGATCTCGCCTTCTGGGAAGAGTTCTGGTAGGAACTTTTGCACGTCATCTGCAGTATCTGCAATTCCAACATCACACCCAATGTTGCTGACTTCTTGCAAGGCTGGCAACAGCACGAACGGCACCTTCTTCCGCGATAGCACAGGACCAAAACTCAGCGCAGCGGTCTGGATCGTTCGGCGCAGGGGCGACGCAAACACCGTCTCTATCTCGTCGTGATACTGAAATGCCGAGCTGAGTGTGCGACATTGCTCTTTGCCTTTCGTGGTCAGAACAGCGTCGCGAATGCTGTAATCGCGCTGCGGTCAATTAGCGTCGATGTCGCAGAGATCATCCTCCCGATCTGCCACCTACAGTCGCGTTGTGTTGTCCTTGCGCATGGCGAACAATATGGATCTTTGGAGGCATCGTGGTGTTGGTGTTGAGTGTTGCTGAGTCTGCACTGTACGCTTGGTGGTGGGGCTTGCCGATTGAGTCACCAGGGTGCTATCGTGCAGTGGCGAATCTGAGACTGATGGATGAGAGGATAGTTTGACGGGTGACGTTCGATCTCTTCCTGCACTCGGTCTACGATTACAATGCCGACTTCCAGGTCTTACTTTATACTACGTGGTTGCAGTCCGCGGTGTTCGTACTTCTATACGGAACAGAGATCGCTCTCACAAGGAAGGTCAGCCGAGTGACAGCAATTCGGCCACCCGCACTAGGCCGCTTCCGGGGTCGAATCTCGTTGTCGCAATCCGTGTCTTTGAGACCGCGTAAACGGTCGTGAATGCATTTTGAACGGCAAAAGTCCAGCTATCAAAGCATTGCATAGCTTGGAGTAAGTTGCCAAACTCCCGCGACACGCGATTGACGGATGCGCTGGTCTGTGTCCATGGTTGACCGTTGGCTTCCTTCCTCGAGCCTTTTGCCATGACCCAGCTCTTTTTCTTCAAGAAAAAAAAAAAAACGAGTAACTGCTATATGCACGCTCTCCCGAGTGCTTGTTGCAGTGAAGCATATGAGCAGATTAATATGTAAAGCTGGTCGATGGGATGCGATGGAGAACCACTCGAAGGAAAAGAATACAAGAATCGGACGTTGCGATGGAATCCAGATCGATCGTGAGAGGAAGAAAATCTTTTCGTAGTGCATGCCTCGCACTGGCGCCCATGATACACGAGATTGCTGCTGGTAGTTCGCATGCGTGCAATAGATTGTGTCTGGTGTTTTCAGTGAGTCGCTACATTTGGGCAGGAGCGATGACACCACCCAGGTCTATTTAGCGCCCGCCTGCCAGGGGAAGTAGGTCCAACAAACCTCGAGCACTTCCCTCATCATAACTTCGGTATCGCGCAACAGACTATCCTATCGCGACGGGAACGAGTGCGTTTTTGACTCGGTTACCGATACATTTTCTTTCTCGAGTTGATACAACCGATGCAGCACTTGTTGCTGTCCTTCGAGCTATTGTATAGACCCTCATCACTCGACGGACAGATCTCACATTCTCTCGGAGCGAGCGTCACGCGACAAACACCGTCTGTCCCTGAGTCTGGTGGCTACTTGTCTTAATTGATTCTACTGGGTTGTCTTTTTCATTGTGTTGTTGTGGTTCTTCTCGTTGCTCAAACAAATAGGTATGCACTTACGACTTTGAAGCAGCAGTCTACGGGCCGCCTGCACTTTACAGTAGGAGAAAGAGGTGATGGGGACAAGCTTTTGCGTCAAGCGTTGCGGCTCTCTACTATGGTCGCTTGCTAACAGGCTTAGACTCGTCAACAAAGGCTATCGGCGTTGAGATGTCAACAGTTTTGATGTTGTATCCGGGGTTCCCTCTGCTTCCCGATCGTGCGAGCCAATGCACGTTTTCGGCCAGGCAGGTACATCGGATCCGCAAAAGACCCCGCAGCACTAGTGCGAGCAATCTCATCCACCATCCAGGAAGCCTCATCGTTATCGCTATCATATACATCACTGACAGCTTTGCGAACCTTAATATTTGTTTAACATCACTCGTCCAGCATGTCATATAGCGAACCCACAGTACTCATCATAGGCGCAGGTACTTTCGGCGCGTCCACCGCGTATCATTTGAGCAAACAATACAAGGATCCATCTCGGATAACCATCGTTGATCGCTGGAATACCAATGCATCACTTGGTCAAAAGCAGGCGGCAGCCATCGACACCAACCGCATCATCCGTACCGACTACGAATCGCACCTTTACTGCAATCTCGCAAATGAAGCTATCCATTTCTGGTTCTGGAGCATTGCAGTTCAAGGCCACTTTCACAAAACTGGTTGGGTTGTTCTAGACAAGAAAGGCGGTACTTTTGGAGATGCGATCAAAAAGACATTTTGCGAGCGCGGAGGCGATTGCACGCGGGACTTACCAGCTAAAGACCTGGACAAGTACGCTGTGACCAAAGGGATCAAGAGTGAACAATATGGCAAAGGCTACTTCAATCCTGAAGCTGGATGGTGCGATGCAGAAAGAGCAACTCAAAGCTTTACTAAGGTTGCACTCGAGTCTGGTGTCAAAAGAGTAACCGGAGAAGTGCAAGAGTTATTACTTAGTGCCGACAAAAGCCGCGTCGCTGGCGTTAAGCTGAGGGATGGCCAGATTCTCAGAGCCGACAAGATCGTGTTAGCAGCAGGAGCATGGACCAGCTCTCTGATGTCACCAATTGAAGACACTTTGAAGATCCAAGAGCAGGATCGCATCGAGCGTCAGGTCACCGCAGTCGGACGTGTCTCCGCGTACTACACACTGAACGAACAAGATACCCAAGGCATGATCGACGAAGAAGTCCCCGTGATCGTCATTGGTGGAGAAGTCGACATCATTCCACCTTCGCAGCCGAACCGGACGCTGAAGATCAATGATCTTAAGACAGAGATCGTCAACAGGGTCACAACACCTTCTGGACATACCATCACCATGCCATCACGGAGGAACCAAAACGATGTTCCGGAGAAGCTGAAGCACGAAAGTGCACAAATAATTCACAACGCCATGCCAGAGTGGACGCGCAGCAGACAACCAGACCGCTGGCGAATTTGCTACGATGCTGTCACACCCACAGAAGACTGGCTCATGTGCCAGCACCCTCATCAACAGCTCGCCAATCTATATCTGGCAGTCGGTGGCAGCTTTCATTCGTACAAGTAAGTGGCCTTAGACCCATAACTCATATCGCGCAGCAGATTTCAATACTGACATTTTCGTTAGGTTCCTCCCCGTCGCTGGCAACTACATGTGCAATGTGCTATCTGGTAAGAGTAATGGCGAAGAGAAGGATACCGCTTGGAAGTGGAAAAACGCGGAGGAACTATCCTGTCGCAAAGGTAAGGAATTTGGCGAGAGCCCAAGGAATTGCGATAAGAAGGAGTTGGGTGAGTACGAGGGGGTATCATCGAGGTTATAGTCGTTAAGAGGTGACGCTTTGCATGACAGCAACACTTATAAACTACCATTAATTTTAGCAGGATCGAGATATTATCGACTGTTCCGCGTCACGAAAAGGTTTTTTCTTCAAAGCCGTTGATATGCTCTCCACTAAGACTAAAACGTACGTCTAATTTACCGGTATTGCACTTGCATGCGGTAAAGGAATGGCTGGTGTAAAGGTCGCGCTTGTCCTCTGCGGCCAGCAGGAGTACCTCGCATTGATTACAGTGAAGTGGAGACAAATGCTTCATCAGTGGCGAAAATCAGCACAGGTCTGTTGTTGCCTGCTTAATTATGGAAGTGCAACTATACTAGCATGAAGGCATTTGAGCCGTCAGCTTAGGACAATACGGAGGTAAAGTTATTTTTGCTTAGCTGGCATCAGTCTGCTGATGAAGACAGACTATGCGGCTAAGAGCTTGAATTACTGTATACGCATCTAATCTCGTGAAGTCCAACGGGATACTGTGGTGCCGAAGGCATGTGGCGGTTGTTGCAAAGGACAAAGTTCGAGATGAAGACAAGGTTCGGAAGAACGCTGCCTGAGGCGCATTGGTTCCCGTCAGCTCTCTATAGTGATGCACTCACTTATGGCAACAGCGCGGTCTATTGATATAACTAATCTGATAGACGTACTAGTGATAAGGTGCAGGCACAACGCTGTCGAGTTACATTGTATTGTATCACGATAGAAGTGTATTCCTAAACACTTGCTTAGCTTCACTACATGCAGCTATATATATACTTATTTAAGAAATTTATTACTCGAAACTAGAGCTATAAGTCCAATACAGCCCTAGAGAGTTCTAGTAGCGCTTAATGTTGAAGTTAAAAGAAGAGAGTGTTTGAAGACCTTGCAATGTAGTTAGATGAATTGATTGCGACTCGGCGGTTCCATTACAGACTTAGATGTCGATAACCATGGTTCATAGCAGGCAACCATGGCCCAGAGCCATAGCAGCGCGATCTGTTTTCACCGCGGAAAGGACAGAGATAATCTAGAAGTATTAGCCTGCTGTACCTCCTTTGGCCTTGGCATGAATCTCACTTCATTCGTTGCCTTGTTCACCGTTGTATACCTAGCCGATTGTCCACCTTAGCACAATAAAGCGCTTTGAAGTGACAACAATCATAGTTGGTCAGCAAATGCTAGTATGTCTCACCTAAAGGAAACTCAGACAACCGACGATACCAGCCAAGAGGATTCTTGCGTCCAGTTTGCCAGTGGAAAGAAGGTGATCATCCTCCCCAACGACCCGCCCTCGAAAAAGCCCGAAGATGAATACATCTTAGTTAGTGATCCCATGGCTGATGCTGTCGACGTGAGTGTACCCGCTTATTAAGAATTGGAGCTTTCGCGCCCTAGAACTGACATGTACAGAACTTGGGCGTCTCTGGCCTCCTCATCCATTACGCTAGTATCCTCGCAGTCGAAACTAAAGCAGACCTCCACACCAGCCCACAATGGGATGCGCTCGTCGAGGGCCTCGATACTCTACGCGTCTGTTCCAAACTTTTCTCAAACGCCACCATCGATGATCTGCCCAAAGTGTTCGGGTATGTCAACTTCAAACTATCGCCGCAACACCAGGTCACCCTTTTTATCGTCCTTTCAGCCATATTCAAGACGACTGACTGGATGCGCTTCGAGCGTCAGGTTGTCGAGAAGGAGGAATTCGGGATATCAGCTGTCGTATGGGCGTTCAAAATCGGTCCTAGGGGTCTGACACTGGGGCGGTCAAAAGGAAAGAAGGAGCTTGAAACACTCCTGGAGGCGGAGGAGGCGTGGATCGCTGCTAACCGCAACGCGGTCGATTATGAAGACAGCAAGAAGGCGCTGCTGCAGCTCGCTGCTGGATTCGTGGAGTGGGGTACGAACGCGGCCGGTTTCTTTAGCGCTAAGTAGCGTACAGGTCTGGTCATGGTTTAGTCGCTGGCAGCCTGTGGGAGTTGAGACTTCTCTTCTATGTCGATCGATTTGGTTGAGAATGTCACCAGTGTCAAGTCCTTCTATATTGACGCCATTCTGCATCAATGTGATTTAGCGACCTCGAAAGGGATATGCAATGATGCTGAATATGCTGGGTAATTCATTGGGATTGTTCGATGATGATGGTTCTTCCTGAGTCATAATGTACTTCTATTATCACCTACTCCTTCACCTTAATAACAACCTTTCCGAAATGTCCTCCACTAAACAAGTACTTGAGTGCTTGGTCCGCCTCTTCAAACTTCCAAACACGATCGACGACTGGTCTGATCTTCTTCTCATCATAAAACTTGAGCATTCTTTCAAGCTCAGTCCTAGGGCCGTTCATTATACCCTTGAGGGTAACATTCCTCTTCAAACACAACAGGTTTGTGTTGGTCCTGTCGCCAGCTTCGTCTTGCTTACCGGAAAGGTAGCCGATGCAAGAGATCAAACCACCGAAGCGTACGCACTCAAACGACTTGCGGAGTGTCTGCGCGCCACCGACTTCAATAATAATGTCAGCGCCCTCGTCGGAGGTGGCAGCAAGGACTGCGTTCTCCCAATCAGGGTTGTTGCGGTAGTTGATGGTCGTCTTCGCACCAAGTTTGGATGCGCGCTCAAGCTTCTCGTCGGAGGAAGAGGTGACGATGGCATCAGCACCTGCTGCGGACGCGATTTGAGCTGCAGAAATGCTCACACCGCCAGTACCCTGGCAGACGACTGATTCGCCCTTTCCAATGATCTCGCCATTCGGTCGCATGCAGTTCAAGCTCATCCAAGCGGTTACGGCTGCGATTGGTAAGCAAGCCGCTTCGTCATCGGAGAGATAGTCTGGAATTTTGACAACGCCATAGGTGGGGAAGACGCGGTATTGTGTCAGTACTCCTGGGGCTGGCCCTCCAAGCCCACTCGCAATGTCTGTAGCCTTGATTTGGCCGCTGAGATGTTTCGGCGCAAATGTGCTGATGACCCTGTCGCCTTCCTTGAGCTGGAAAGCTGGGTTCTTGTAAGGGTCTGAAGTGTTGCTGGAAACTGGACCAACAGCAACAACCACGCCGCACATGTCACTGGCTGGAACAATCGCGGGAGGATGATCTACCGACTGGTGGTGGTTGTAGAGGCCCATAGCGACTGTCCACGTTCTTAGCGTTGTTCTAATGACCATCTTAACCCTGCCGCTGAAGTTGGCACGATCAAATCACGGTGTACATACCTTCGGTATCCCTGTAGTTCAGACTAACAGAATGGACTTCAACCAGCACTTCATCCTCCCCAGGAGCCGGGCATTCCGCCTCGTCCATCCTGAGCTTATCGAGCCCGTCCTGGCCCGTGAGCCATTGCTTGATCTTTTGTGGAGGCGTCATCTTTCACGCTGAATGTCGAAGTAGAGTCAAGAGCTTTTGGGGCGCCAAATCTAAGGTCTACAGTTGATGTGGATGCTGTGCTTTTAATGTCCTTGGTTTTGCGCTGCGAAAACAGTCCAGAAATTTCGCTCAACCAATCTCGGCGGTCTTGGGAGAACGGTGGGGTAGGCATCTCGGGCAGCTACGTCCACTTAAAAAGACTTTCGCTATGTAAGCTGCAAGCAATGCAGATGGTGGATCTCAAGCAGCGGGCGGAAAATCGCCGAAAGGTGTGGGGATGGGCATTATTTCTATGTGTCGTTGCGATGACGATAGGGTGCTCACAGCTGGTCATTTAGGTGTTGGTGAGGGACGTCACTGCATTGGCCGTCTTCGCCCGATAAGCCGAGGTAGGGTGTTGTCGGAATGTGCGAGCCGATAGCAGCCTGCAACACCAAGACATCGCTCACGATACTCACGATCGTGCGCAAGAAGCCATCAACAAGTTGTACTCATTTCGCGTCGCGCGCGGGGACCGCCTGCTAGGATTAAACCTGGATCTTGCCCTGACGATGCAACACCCCTGATGACGCCGATATCCAGGTACGATCGATCGACCCCGGAAAGCGGGAAGTTTCAGGGGTACTGTCTGCAACAAGGGAATGACGATGCTGGTGACCAGTAGATCTGGGAACAACATGTAATCGGAACGTCTTATTTTATTATTGTATTGAAACCGCGCACGGCCACGGGAAGCGAGTGGGATGTCGTCCCTGCCACGCGACATAGCGCGTGTGGGATGAGCAGAGAGCATGACGACATGCACTGTTGTGATATAAACGCGACGCGGTCCTTCACAAATATGCCAACAACGCATCGATAGCAACACATTCATTCATAGCAACGCATCGCATCACCTTCTCAACGACATGGAGCACCAACAACACTACTTTGCGGGCCAGGAAGCCTTCCCTCCTCCACTTCCCAACCACCTCTGCCCTAGTTACTCTCCCGCTCTCACCACGATGGAGCAATTCACTGCAGACCTCTTGCGCATGGACGAAGAACACCTCAAGCATCGCAAGCCATCTACACCTGGAATCCCATCTACACCTGAAACCCCATCTATACCCGAAGTCCCATCACCATCGAGAAAACCATCAGAAATCACATTTTTTCCCGACGATGAATTACCCAGCGACTACACCCTATGGGGCACCATGAGGACCTGGTATCGACGACTCTCCCGACGAAGCAGCCGGGGTAGCGACGTCAGTCTTTGAGAACAAAACATGATATCGTCATGCAGGTACAAGCGTTCGCATAATCGTACGCACTAGTCGCTGTCATGGTCCTTCGCCCTAGGCCGCCCATCAACCCCGTGCGCTATGACCACTACAATCTTGTTCCTGGATCGAACAGTATTGTACGGGCAGGATCAACGACACGGCGCAAGTTGATCAAGTCGCCGCCTAGGCCAGCGCCTACAAGTCGCGACGCAAAGGCAGAGGCATAGGACGCACACCAAGATGTCGCCAATCTGGAACTTCTTGCCCCGACCCATACCCTTAGCTTCGCCATCAGCCGCCGCTAGTCGGCTGCTCCGCGATCTCGATAACGATCGCGCGGCTCGGGTGCAAGAATGCCGCGTATGGAAGATCAATGACGTCGACATGTTCATCTTCAGTCGTGATTGACAGACGCCCTTGAGCCTAGACTCGGGCATCGTTGGTTTTTATAGGATCGACGAAACGCGCATCGACCTGGATTTGATAGGTGCGCAGGGAGTCGAGCACCTGGCCCATGTTTGGATAACCGCAATGCTATATTGAAAGCGCTGGCTCTTTACAAAGCCAACGAGTGGTTTAGGAGTTAACCAATGATATCCTTGTCGTACATCCACGACACTTAGCTATGCACTGAGCATGCATCGTGTAATAATGTCTAATAGTAATTCAACTGTCAACGAATGCACATTTATATTTGATGTTCATGGGCATTGAATATTTTGACACATCATCTCAAGTACTTTGCCGTTGGGACCTAACACGATGATTTGAAGTGAATAACCATCGTTTGATGCTGTAGGGCGCAATATTTAGGGATCGTATTTCGTCTTCAAGCGGCGGCAGTGGGATGTCGAGCTTCGACATGGGTGACGAATCGTGCAAGTGTCCAGGAGGCACCACGCCTGACACGTGAAGCTCCAGTGCAGTGAAGGTTGCGGCTGCAGGTGAATCATCGATAAGAGCGCCAAGACGCTAGACCAGGCCCAACAATCGACAAGCATCGCGTCTTCACGCCTTTTCCTCGTCTCACATTACTTAGATTCTCGGCCACATCTTTCCCTCACATAAATGACAGAACCTGATCTGTTACCTGGAAGATATATGCAGAGAGAGCCGCCAGAGTGTCTGGCATCTGGAAACTACTTGTTCCCTCTACTTTCTCCTGCTTCTCTGATGTTCATGCAATGTATAACGACGACTACTGCAAACAGCGCCATCCCGAGGCTGCCTGAGTCTTAAGAATCGAATCTTGCGATTTACATGTCGGTCTCAGGCCCCGTCGCAATTGATTTGGATGTCTGCTGCATTCTAAGGAGCAGAAAATGAGAACGACGAGCCCAGCTTGCTGCAGTGCAAGCCGTTGCCCTGGGTAATGCTCCTGATCCCGACTGAAGAAACTCGCAACAAGAACTGAAGAAACTGCTTGTGTTGGAGTGGGTGCTCTCTAGCCACAGGAGATATGCGTCACCGTCACCTCGTTTAACGCGCAGCGACGGGTGCTACCTTCACCGCCTTGTCCTTGCAATCTTGCACCTCTCGACAAATTGCGTGCCCATGACAACGTCTCGGCTCTAGGGGACATAAAGCGACATTACGCGTCAGACGCTGTTTGCCCGCCTTCCCTGCGCTACGCACACTGGACCCTGAGCTCTGGAGAGATGAGGTTCGAACGTTCATATAGACACAACGACAACATGCCAGATTGCCAGTTGTGTTTACGAAAACATGAATTTGATCTTGTCGTCTTTGTCCTATTGTGACATTGTTAGTTTGGCTTGCGCTTTACCGTCTTGCTCGCTTTGAGAGCGGACGAAAGCCTTGCACAAAGGACACTGACTGACAACTTCAACTTCACACTGTGCAACTTATATGTCAAAGCGCCAGCTCCGCACGCCTAATGAGTCTTTCACCTCGGGTCTCAGGGTGGCCACACGTTCTCGTACATATTGCCCACGTCCTATCCCTTTCAAAATGTGTCGAAAATTCCAACATACGTTGGCGCTCATTCAGAACGCACCTTCAACCACGGTACGCTCGACTACAGCAAAACCACTCGCAAAACACTTCGCCAAGAGTTCGACGCACAATCAAACGAGATCGCAACTCAACCCAGTCGGTCCTCTCATAACCACTACTGAGACACCTGATTTACGCCAAAACACCGAAACGAGACTGTGTTTCTTCGATATGGCCAAACAACCCACTACAACGCCACTGGCCCCTGAGACACCACCAAAACAGTTCGAGGCAACGGAAAGGTCTGAGGTAGCAGAGAATCCCGCCGATATTGAAGACGCGCCCATCACTACAAACAGCCAGTCCAGTGCCTCGAATACCCTCGCATCAGCTGAAGAGGAGGTCACATCGCGTACAGATGACGTCGAGGATACATCGCTGGCACTTGAGGAGGTCGCCCTCTCTCCAGAAAAGAAGAAAAATACAAAAGCCACCACGTCAAAGAAGTCAAGCGTAAAAGCTTTTACCCCAAAGAAGAAGGATGGAAAAGCCGTGACCTCGAAAAAGAAGGGTATTGAAGCTTCTGACTCGAAGAAGGGCGACAGTGCAATCGTTCCCGAAGCAAAGGAGAGCAAGCCTCCTGTTGGCGATGGCTTTACGACCTATAACCACTCGATTATCATACCAGCCTTTAATCAATTCTGGGGTGACAGGCCCGTGACCGGTAGTGACAGGCCCGCTCCTGATCAACCATCTGCTCGTGCGAGCAACGGACAGACTAATCCTCCCTTGTTCGAGAATCGTGGCTATCGATACAAGCGTGGTTCGCAAATGGTAAAGCACCATTATACTATTGATCCGGACAACATGGAGCGTCTTGACGCTAATCGTGACCAAGAAGAACTGCTTGCAGTTCGACTCATCGACATGCGGCTGAACAGAAAAACCAACGTGCCGAAGCGATCACCATACGTCTACTGTTACGACAAGAGACCCAGGGATTGGAACTCCAAGCAAAGCATCAAGGCTCTGAACGATCGTCGCTACCAGGCTATCGATCGTGTGACCATGGATGCACCTTGGACAGAGATTGAGCGAGAGTACCTAGCTCGACTGATCCGCGAAGACCCCGATGCATCCATTTTGGACCTCGCCGAGCGCCACAATGATCGCTTCATGGGCCAAGACTACAAGGAGAGCACCGGGTTTTTTGAGGTGGGACGTGTGTCTATTGGTCGAACAGTGGAGAGCGTTCGCTACCAATACACAGCGTACAAGCCGTTTTACGATCGTGGCAGAGTACCAGTGGTGAGATGGCGCGGTGACAAGTCGATTGAGGGTATTGCTCTATCGAAACATATTGCAGATGTATTTGGCAAGCCTAGCAAGGCCGAACAACTTGCACATGACAAAGCACACGGTGGTGCCGATGAAAGCGACGATGACGATGATACATCCAAGAAGACGTCGAAAAACGTGGAAGGGTTGGATCATGACAATGAAAAGTCAGACGAGTCTGATCTTCATCCCGGCGGCAAGCGCTATGCTTCAGATCAGCTAGAAGAATACGAGCGGCCTGCCAAGTACTCGAAAACCGGCGAGGCCAACCCCTTTGCCGGACAGGACAAGCTTGACGATGTCGAAGAAGAGCTTCTTGCGTTAGCCATGCCTTCCGATGACGACAGTGGTTCTCCATCTCTACAAGGAGACAGGGATACCGAGGAGGCTGAGGAGACGGATAAGTACCATGATGCGGAGACCCAGGTCGAACTCGACCTTCGTGCTACTCGCGACATGGAGGTAAATGAGGACTACGACGACGAGTTATAGCCAAAAGTATCGGTAGGAATCGACGCGATCGAGCGCCATCTCCCCAAATCCCTTGAGACCTTTCAAACGAGGACTACTGGCATGGCCTTTGTCCTCTCGTTACGTTGTATCATTGTGGCATAGATCGCGTAATGTACTTGGCAGTTTGTAATAGTGTGTATAGTAATGACATGTATTTGATCTTATATAAGGCCTATTAGCATCCAAGTGGGAAGTGTTACATCTCTTATACCTTTCGCTTGCGTTTGCCTTCGATCATGTGTGAGACATATCTCCGAATGCGCTTGCATTGTGCGACACAAACGCAAAGACATCATGAAGATGATGGCAAGTACAATCATACTACAACGCCATGGTGTCTTACAAGAATGGCGTCATCTCGACTCTTACTTTTGCTCGAATCCATGGTGTTGCACGATCTGCACCATCTCGTAGTGCTTGCCCCACCCTACTAACGGCGTATGGCAATAGTACTGTAATGATCTGATTGGCTGTTCTCCGTAACAGTCCCTCGCGTAATGATTTGATGTTCGGGCGAAACACGGACGCGTGTTGCGGGGTGCGGTTAGTTGTAGAGCGGTACGGCTTGCAAATAGTGCCACTACGGAGTTGGTGACACTCCGCAGGCGTGTACAAAAGTCGAGTATGGTTTTTAATATGCTTAGATCTTCAAAATACTCTGAACTTCATATTCCAACCCGATTATTACTGTATTACCCAATTGAATCATGGCTGCCTCGTTTCTCGTCGTCGGTGCCACAGGCAATACCGGTCGCAGCGTCGTTGAGACCCTGTCGAACCACCTCAAATCCAGCAATACCTTTTCCGACTATCGCATCCTCGCCATGACGCGTTCTGCAAACAGCTCGTCAGCAAAAGCACTCGCCAAATTTCCTCACGTCGAGATTGTCGAATACACTTGGACAGAGATTACTTCGGAGTGGCTGCGCGAACACAACGTTGCTAGAGCCTTCATAGCATCACACAACGAGCCACCACATTTCGCCGACGAGTCGACATTCCACATCGCAGCCCTCGGTGCTGGCGTTAAATATGTAGTGCGCATCTCCACGACAGCTGCAAACGTTGCCCCAGACTGCAAGGCCTACTACCCGCGTGCGCACTGGGCAATTGAGGCCATGCTCGATTCACCAGCATTTGAAAGTATGCACTGGTCTTCTTTGCAGCCAAATGTGTTCTCGCAACTCTACCTTGGCACTGCTGCCGAGCTCATCAAGACTGTCCGCAACGGCGGCAAGCAACATACACTACGTCTGATGGCAGACGCTGATAGCCCAGTTGGTATCATTGATCCCTCAGAGGTCGGACCCTTTGCTGCGCATCTCTTGCTCCAGGTCAACACTTCTGCCCAAAACAAACGTAGATATGTTCTCAATGGCCCTGAAGACATCACGGGAAGCCAGATAGTGGCGATGGTCGAGAAGCATATTGGCGCCAAGGTTGAGGATGTCTCGTTCAAAGATGTCGGGTTCGTAGACTATATGGCTGCTGCGTCGAGCTATTCCAAGAACGTGATTCTTACTATCAAACATGCTCCAGAAACGGCGTGGCAGGGTAAGGCGAAGGCAGAGACGACAAGCAAGGAAGTGCTGGAGATTGCTGCGCCGAAGAAAACACCCACTCGGGTGATGGAAGAGCTGTTACAGTAGCAGAGTCATGCCTCAAAGCAAAATATAATAGTATTAAGATAGCATCGCCCTGTAAGAATCCAATGCCAATATGGCACTACTCGAAACTTTGTTTGACCCGTCGCCACAAGACCTAATCGTCAAAAACAAGCTGCCACATTGGCAATTAACAGATCACCCAGGTCAGCCTTCAACCTCAGCAAGCATATCAGTATGCATACTGCCAAGTAGATCATGAGCTAAACACGGACCTTGTATATCCTTCGGTAAGAGGCTTTTAGATGGAGAGATCATCTATAGCCGCAAAAGAAGATCATGAGGCCCTGATACGGAGTCCGTGCGCGCCGCAACACAGAGATGTTGTGCCATCTGAGCGACGGATGAAGACCTTTATAGTTGTAAGGTATAGCACGAAGAAATGGCCGGAGGAAGATATCCAAAACGGTACGGACGAGAGGGTCTTTTTGACACCAAATATTTTGTGGGTAGTGACGATGACTCGCTCGTGCGCTTGCCGCCGTGTGCGGCTCGCCGTCTCGGACACTAATTCTTGTCAGTTGATTCATTTTGCAACAGAACGGAGTCTCATGTGGTCGTCTCGACGCATACTTTGAAGAGTACAAGAAGCAAGTAGTAGGCGAGGCAGAGCCCTACACACCCGTACCGAGGAGACCACAAACATACAGGGCTGAAACATGAGTGAAATGAAATGAGCCGTTAGTCACCTAATCCATGATGACCTCTAGCAAAAGGACCAGCGTTTTGGCCGATAGACGATGAAGGTGGTATTGTTCCTGGTTTCCTGTAATGGAAGGTATCTCGTATATGTACTCATGGCGCGGGCGTAAGGGTTTGGTAAGCCAAGGAGGCGAGAAGATGCGCGTTGCTGCTGATAGTTTTCTGTGTCCGACATCGGTAGTGGTACTGGCAGTGAGATGTGTGTACAAGGTATGAGTAGAGACTAGGACGTTGGGAAACTCTTCGAAGGAAGCATTATACCTTCTCTTCAGTCTTGCCCGGAAGGAGGAGGCTATAGTCGGTCTCCGAACCTTGCGATGATGGGTATCGACTGTCCAACGAAGCTGTGTCGTTGCCGTTCCACCAGTCAAGAGCTTGAGCCGAAGCCCGAAGAAATCCCCAAACCGTGATAAAGTTGGCCTGACGCACGAATCTGGATAGAACCGCATGGCCCAGTAAAATGACCCATAGGTCTTTTGCCTTGAAGAAGACATTGGAGTTGAAGATCGCAAACATGAAGTGTAAATCCGTTGTATGGCCTTGGTTGACCATGAGCATGATCCCATAGTTGAAGCAGCCACCAATCAAAGAAAATGAATAAAAATCTAGGACCATAAAGAGGGAGCCTAGGTAGGGCCCTCGTTTAAATCCACCCGTTTCGGTGTAAGATGTCGCATAACAGTATACACTCGGATGGCGAGAGACATTGAAGGCGAGATCAATGTCGGCAAGCAACAAGTCCAATGGGTAGTTACGAAAGTGCTCCATGCCTTTCGCAACAATATATTGCCGACGGTACTCCAGCTCCGATAGAACGAAGAAAGCAAGCGCGAAGTGAACTGCATGATGTTGAATTCCAGTGTTGTCAAAACTTGGTTCGGCGGCCTTGCCGAGAGCGGTCGCAGCTTTGTCAGGATATAATAGCATGGCAGCTGTGATGGAGCAATACATCTGCGACGCGGGAATACCTGGTGGCCCAAGCTGGGTAGCGAGCGAAACGATGAGTCCGATATAAGGCGCGCCGCCCCAGATTATGGCTGTAGGGAAAGGTGTTTCCGTAATGAGATTGGAGATGTAGACCGTCAATACGCACTGCGAGAAGTGCGCTGCGTAGCGACGCCATGAAACTCGTTCCCATTCCATGTCCATCATAGCTCCGAACTGCCGGTAGGTGAGTGGGGAGTTTCCGCGCGTTTACTTTATCGGTAACTGAATCGGTGTGAAGCTGGTGGGTTCGCGAAAAGATGTGAAAAAGCCGTGTCTGAGGAGAAAAGATGTTAGTTCGCGGATGATCAGGAGACTGACGGAGACGAAGGGTACTTACGGCGGGGGCGTTGACAGTACCATGGTAACTTGATAACCTGGTACCAAGACTACAGCTAATCATGATCCCTCTCGATTTCTCCGTATTCATAATGCAATCTTGGAATCGGTGACGAGGTGCTTAGAGCGTGCGATAAATGGCAATAATTCGTCGAGTAGATATACGGTCAGCGTCCTGAAGCGACAAAGGACAGCGCGCTGGGATCCAGTCAGCAAGAGAAGCAGAGGAGTATCGAAGGGAAGACAAACCATGGAACAGACGCCGAGAGTTTGATGCAGGCTGGGAATGTACGAGAACGTCCTCTTCGAGTTTTCCCATGCCCGCCCACCACCCAACCTCCCGCTTTAGCCCGGTGAGTATCACCGGGCGTCGGGCATTGTCGTGACCACATCCCACCCCTCACTCCTCTCGTTGTCGCTCACCTCGACCAAAACCTCCGCACCGTGGTCAGAAGGTGGCATAGACTACTCACCGACGACGCCGGGCGTTGTTGTTGGTAAGACGAGGTGGGCATATGGAGCCCAATGGATTGCCAGTCCTACCACTACTATGATGACGATCCCGACCGTGGGTCCAATGTAGAAGACGATACCGACGATCGACGCGGAGACGAACATGGTGAGATTCGTGAGGACTTCCGGGTGGAAGAGGCTGCGGAGAAGGGGTCCAGTAATGTTCTACATGCTGGTAATGATGTAGGGTGCGAACCTGTGGGATGCGGCAAAGAAGAGAAAAGAAGGGTCGGGGCAGGTCGCGCAGCTTTTGTGTCCGCCTGGACCGTATCGTACCTTCTTCCAGAGCTCAGTCGTTGTTGTTGTTGATCATGGCTGCTCCTTCCCTTCCAACGACACTCGCAGCCTTCAAACACCCAGAAGGGAAATGAATCCAGCGAATCTAGAGCAAGCAGAATCAGGCGATTGGAACATCACGGCAAAACTTGTCTTGGGGACAGGTCGGTAGCATCTCCTTACAGATCGGCACAGCTTTGAGCAAGCAGACTTAGTACGTGAATTCAGAATTGCTAGCTTGTAGGGACAACATCAAGGACCCGAGTATCACGAATTCATTGCGACATTACTGTTTGAGAAAGAGCATGATGGCCTAAATTAAGAGTCTAAACGATCGAGACACTACTATGGTGATCCGGAATCCATTTTTCTTGTTATAAAGCCACCGTACGCCTGGAAAAACTCCAGGCCTTCGCGTGTACAAAACATGGTCGAAAGGGGGCCATGTGTTATGGTTCTTCGTCGACGGTAAGAGACAACCGGTGAAGCTTCCGAAATAATACGCGTATAAAAAGGTGTCAAGGACACCAAAAGCATGGTACGAGTGGTGGATTTGAAAAGGAACAGGCAATGAAACAACGTCCGATATGACGAATCTTGTGGCTGCCGGCGTTGCTGCTGTCAGTAGCGTTGGGTCAAGCTTGTTGTCGCATCGCACCTGCAAGACTTAGATCTTCGCACAAAGATACTGAGAATGCCGCGTCTAAGTCCGTCTGAACCACTTGTAAGCTTCTGGATGTATGGTACGCGCAGCGCGATAGCTGATAGCTCGACGCGTCGGCAACACGGGATGATGTCATAGCGTACTACAAACGTCAACCTCATTTCTTCTCAGCATTTCGTCTCTATGTCTGGACACTGTGCGCAAAAGCAAATTCATCAGCCTGAACGTACAGTAATGCCTCCATATACACACAGATAAGCAGGCAGAAGATTCGATGAGAAAAAAGTCATCAAAGTTATTAAGCTATGATACAGGGTCTGCTACTGGAACAGTAAGTTGGTTAACACAGTAACCTTATAAAACCTGCCGCAAAACACCTGATGCACCATGAACGCCTCGCTAAATCATATCCGCAACGCCTTACTGCAGTCTTCAGGAACTGCCCATGTCTTTCTTATTCATTGTCTTGTCCGGCCAAATTTGCCTTCTTCAAAAACTTTTCCGTCCTGACCTATGCAAAGTAGCTCGAAAGCCAGCTCTACCTACACATATCTTACATCCTTCCAAGACGCTCCCTTTGAAAACTTGTTGCATGGTTGAACTGTTTCTTCTTCGTCTACGAATATCAGCTTCCGAAGTGCATTCCGCGCCTGCCCTCGTACGCTCTCACTTTGCTGCTTTCTTGCCCGCCGTCTTCCTCTGCTGTTCTGGCTTCGTTACTCCAGCTTTCTTTGCCATCTTTCCATTCTTTCCCGCCTTCGCAGCGCGGTTCCTCGCCAAACGATCAGCCTTGATTTTGGCCTTCCTCACCGGATCATGGTTGTGACATCTCCACGTCCGGCGGTCTTCGTTCTCGTTGTCTGCATGTCGCTTGCATCGCGAGTCTGTCTCTTTCGACCACGCCGTGCACCGGACAGTTCCCGTCTCTAGTACAAAGTCATCTGGGCCTTGGCGGGTCGCTGGCTGAGCTGCTGGCTGGGCCGTTCCCGGGTCCTCGTCGTCCTCGTCGTCTTCAGTGTTGTCTTCCGCGTCTTCGGCGTCTCCTTCCTCATCAGCGTCAGCATCGGCACCAGGCATCACATCTCCATCTGCTGGGCCCTGGTACGATGTGGCTACCGTGTTGTTGACAGTTCCGGGTGCGACGATGGGATAGGAGTCCATGTCGACGTCCGCGTCGCCATTGTTATCGACATCTTGTGTGGAACCAGCCTGGGTAGGATCTCCGCTAAACTCGGGAAACTGTCTGCGAGCAGCGTCTTGGAGGAACGTCCAGAGCTCGGGCAGCAACCGGGGGTCATGTAGGTATGTGTCGAAGCCGAGACGTTCGCGGATCTGACTATGATCTTTCAACATGTCAGGTGTAATTTCAACGCGACAGAATTCTGGTACATCTTTGTTGGTCATTGCTAGATTTCTCTGTCGAATGGCCCACATGACGAATCCGGATAGCTCATCGCGCTTGTCGATGAAGGCTTGCAATCCTTTCGCCGTAACGTCATATGCCTCTCCTGCAGACTTCTTCGTCGCTGCGTCGATAGGACTAAAATAATGACAGTGTTCAACGAACTGAACTGGGTCGTTGATATCATGGGTAGGTGTGGCGGGCAGATACATAACGGCAAGGAGCAGTTCGCTGTGCAATTGAATGAAAAGATACTCAGACCGGCTCCAGGCGCCCAGAGGAACGCGTGTGAGTTGAGGTGTCGCGGAAGATACGCGGTTTCTGGTCATCATGGCTCTTCTTGTGGTAGTCCGGAGCTGTGGATAGAATCGAGCGCGAGAGTGATAGTGTAGTCTTGAGGTCGGAGCCTGCGTAGGGCAGAGGGGTTGGAATCCGGAAGTTACCTGTCACCTTGGAAATAGTGAACTTTCTTGACGAGAACGCGCTGTTTGTGAACACTCTCAGCCGGCTAATTGGAGGATTTTTCGTGGGATCTGTGTGGGCGCGGATTGCGACAATGGTGAGTATCTGCCGCTAGCGCGATCAGGGTACGGGCAAAAGGTTCGCAAGTGAATTAGACGATGGATTTATCAGATAGCGATGGATACAGCAGCTTCTATCTAGACGCACTTGTCTCTTCTAGGACCCTTGTTTCGCCTTGCCAGCGGACGACTGCCACCAGTACATGTCGACTCTTTGGGGAGTTTGGATTACTTGTCTCTATAGTAAGCAAAGACCTGTTCATCGTCAAGATCACGACAACGATCTCGTATATCCGGAACTGACGCTACGTCTTCATGATGCAGCTCGTCTTGTAGACGATATCGCAAGGCTTCTGCGCGACAAAAAAGCTTTGCCTCTACAATTTGTCGTCTGTACCTCTGTTTGATGACTTCCATGTCGAAGCCGTTCTCAATCCACCCCTGAACGCGCATTTCACCAACCATGCGGCAGTCTCCTTCATCCCGCCTCAACTCGGCTAGTAACTTCTTCGCTTTGCGCACATTGGGATGCTTGTCATCGAACAGCTGTTGATATCTCGCCTTGATCTCAAAACCGTTCAAGTGGTCTACCCCTATCCATCTTTTTATCGTGTCTTCTGAAACCTCTGAAAGTTCGCCGATATCCTTTTTGCACATTTTGTATTCCGTGCGTGCAATTGGGCCATACCTGTTGTAGTCGTTGGCTCGCTCACAGTACATCAGCCTGATGAGCCAGTGTGAATATTGGGCGTCAAGACGTTCTTGTGTTGACGAGACTTTCCATGATGGTACGTTTCCAAATTCTTTCCGCAGTTTGATCGTAAGCGATTCAGCTCTGGTGTCGCTCATGGTTTGGGGGTGAGAAGCTTGTGTAGTGTTAGATCCAGATGATGTGCGTAGCTTTTAAGAACACTTGTGTTTGCTATGAATAGTCATTCGCAGTTTTCCTTGCTTTCCGCATGCTATCATCAATCTTCAGAGCCAAAGAAGCAATCTTGGAACATGGTGAATCATCTCTTGGAGTCTGCTGCCTTGTTTGATTCAGACACCAAGCGGATTCCTCGATAAACAACCATGTCGCATTCTCTCACAATCACAATCCCCAATGTCTGATGAGATGCATTACTCTTCACTCGTCGATGTATCACAAAACATGCGGCCAAGGAGGAGACATTGATTCGAGGGACCATGACGGATCAACGTACAAAGCGATTGCCATCAGATAGGCCAGCTGGTCTCTCCTTGAACCGCAACTATTGGTCGTGTCCACCATCCACCGCTCGAAGAAGTCGACTTCAGGTCGATGAAATCGTTTGTCCGTAATTGGCTGCGCATCATTTGCCTATTGTAAGGCGTCGACTGGACTTCTCGACGCATCCGCGAGTAGCCAAGCTGGAAGGCGTCGATGCAATCGGAAAGTAAGGCGATCATCCTGTACTTGACGGGTCGGCGATTCAGCAGATGGTGAACTTCTCAGACACGCTACCTTTCTCTTCCCATTCTCGGTGAACGCGACCGTCGTTGACGTCGTAGAGATAGCATTCGCCTACAAACCTCCAGAGGCCGTTGTCCACAGGCTTAAGGACAAAGGGTACCTGGGCGCCGTGTAACACGACCACGACGTCGCCTGGTGTCATTGATCGAGGACCAATGCCTAGCATTTCCGTGCTAGTGACGAAAAGGCAGCGGTCTCCTCTGTCGATAACGTGTCTATGAGCGAATCTATCCGCGCTCGGTACGTAGGAACACGAGGAATCATCCGAGACAAATACTCCAGGCCCATGGGTATCTTGGGCAAAAACACTCCCCATGAATGCCCTATATTCACTCAGACGATTTGCAATACGGACAGAGTCTAGTGGTAGATGCCTTCGAGGATTGCCAAAGGTGAAGGCAAGACACTGTTGGCTGTATATGTGCTCCAAGCGGCGGAGCAAGGCTTGAAATGCTTTCAACACGTCAAGATTGCCGATTCCGTCTGATAATGTGGCATATTCTTTGATTTCTCGGTTTATCGTATCAATTCTGAAACCTGAGATTTCAATGCACTGAGTTCCACCGAAGACCGTTTCTGATATTTGAACAACACTCGAGTCATCTTCTTCATGGGGGGGCTTGTTTGGGTGGTATCCGAACGGTATATTGTTTCCTTCGTTCCAATCTGGCACCCATGATGGCCAGTCTTTAGCTGATTGTGGAACGGAGCGCATCCAGGAAAGGACCCTAAGGTCGTGCCACTCGCAGAGAAGTTTTGCTGCTACCCTGCGATAGCATTCCATAGTCGTAATATTATAGTCAGGGTCAATAAAAGATTGACCATCTGCGAGGTCGCACTCGAGTGTCTTTATCCCCAGCAGCCCGTAGATTCTGTCCTTTGGCTCATTGAATGTCAAGCCGTCGGTCAAGTGAAACAGATTGAGAAGACTTTCCCTCGGAACATAGGGGCTACGTAATCTTTTCCATACGTCAGAGAGGTTTTGGCAATAGGACATCCCTCGGCTTAGCCTGGAGGCATTTTCGAAACTGACACAGAAAGCCGCGGTACCCAGCCACTCGAAGTCGATTTCACTGTGACCCCAAAATACTGAAGTCGAAGTGCTTAATGCCACCTCCTGGACTACCCATCCCCGACCAAACCAAGGTGAGCGGCAGACAAGTTCCAGAGCATCGACAGCGACATCGGTAAGTTCGGAAGGCTCCATTCGGCTGACGGTAGTGACATCTACGTCAAGCCATCGATATAATATATCGGGTGCCGTTCCATTCACCGTTCCGAACATGCTAAAGGCATTTTCTTCACATACAAATCGACATATGGCATTCAACGAATCTTGGACTAACTGGTCGTCCTCATGTTGCAGCCACACAAGTACCCGAACAGCTTTTGTGTAGACATAACTCATCAGCCGTACCTGTGATGTTTTTTCGTCGTCATCGGCTTGGTTTATACACAGTGCGTCGGCCCAGAGCGTCCTTATGGTATCGACGCGTCTGAAACGCTGAAGAGCCTCGAACAAGCTACGTGTTGTAGTGATGGCGGATTCGTTGCAAATTACTGGCTTCCGATCGCTGTGGTCGCCCCAGGCGTATGAAATCGCTTCGTAGCGAGGGTTATCATCATCCAAATGAACTGTTCTCAAGGAGCAATTGACGGGTTCGTCCCATGTGCCGGGAGCCAGATCGAGGACTCGGATAGTCCGATCTCGAGTCAAGCGGCTGTATTGGAGCGACTTATTGACTGCGTCAGGAATTGGGACTGTTGTCTCAGCCTGGTCGATATGTCCTCGTCGGCCAACTCTCAAGAAGCGAATCCTCTCGACAATGTCGTCATGCTTTGCGCGTATACGATTCCTGAATCGTTCCATAGTTGGAGGGATTGAGGGCAATGGAGCAGTTGACGTCGCGGGTTCATTGAGGGAAAGAAGTATGGAGTGTTGTGAGCTTCAGCTGATGGATCAGGCTGAAGCCATGTGCTGCGCCACCACAACCCCGCACCCATTCAGCAACGTCGGCGTGTTGGCGATCGCTCAGCATCTCATATCAAAGCACCAGAATTGAGCATGACCTCCTCCTTTCGGCGTCGCGCCTCGAGCTTCTTTTCTCTTTGCGCATAGTATGCCTCCCTCGCCAGCCTATGTTCCTCCTTCTTGACCTCGTACTCCGCCTTGCGCCTCTCATATTCCCGTTCCCTCTTCTCATCTGCCTTTATCTTGTGCTTAATCTGCTTGTGCTCAGCTGACGAGATATGCCATGGGCGCGACAGGACTGTTTGCTTAAACGCAGCGGTCTCAGCCCATGCTCGTGCTTCTTCGTCAGTCGTCGTGATGACTGAGATGCGCTGCAGTTCAAGCTGCTTGTTGCCTCTGAACTCTGATATCGTGCATTTTGCCTTGACGACAGAACCTATGTCTAGTGGCTGATCGTCTACTACGACTTCAAAGATGCCTAGTCGGCTGACAATGTTCAGGTTGCTGACCTTTGTATTGGAGGACGTGTCTACGGGGTTCTGCTCAACGGGAGGTATTCGCACGATCTTCAGCTCGATGGTCGCGCCGCTTCCGTCATCGATGGTGAGAGCTGTGTATCTGAGATTGATCTCATCGATGGCTACTACGACCCCGACGATGCGGACATATCGGATGGGGTGGTTGAGGTGAAAGTACAGGCCGCGCTGCGCTGCTCAAGTATCTCAGCAACAGCTATGACACTGATCAGAACTACTACTACCTTGGAACTCCTTCTCAGAACGAAGAGTCTGCACATCTGCAGCTGTAAGCTTCACCCATGTATTGTATGTAGGTGATGCTTTGAAACAATATGCGGGGTACAACCGATAAGGACGCGATGATGCCTGCGTTGACATGTCATATTGTGTTACCAATGCACAAGGTGGGATGAAAGCACAAGAGACGCGACGCGACAGATCGCCACCACTGCGTGATCACGTGCTCGTAGAATGACTGACTAAGCCGATCTCAATCCGTCGGAAGATCGGCGCCTGTGCAGCTATCCTCATGCACCTCAGCACGCGATGGCATCCGATGCAGCCGCTCCCAAGAAGTGTGGCTTGTGCAATTGCAGGGAAGCAATCAAGGCTTTCGCTGTGCACTGCTGACGCCCAGTAACTTCGCCCTACTCTCCACTGCCAGCAAACATGATCGGAAGATGGGCAGCAAGCATCGTTCACAAGGGCCACCCGGCCACTGCAGCCCCATCACACCTCAACACCGCCGTTTTGCCATGATGCCCGAATGGTGAGCCTTTGCAAAAAGCAGCTAAGTCGGACCACTTTACCGCGAACTAGACCTCGGTGCCGTCGAGGCTACCAATAGTGCGCCTCCCCACTAGGCCGGCATGAAGCTGTCCATGACGAGCTAGCCCAACATGCAGCAAGCTTGTGGAGCTATCCCAGCTCTCTAGAGGAAGCTTCCAAGGTAATCCGGTCAGTCTTAAGGGCAGGGTAGCAGCCCGGTATGCGCCCGACTGACTGCTGGTTTTTGATCTCTCGTCTTTCTGAGGCTGTGCCTTTTCGTCGCAATACTAACCCAGCAGCATATTTCTCTGTTCCCTGTTGTTCGTCGCTGGAGACCTTGGTCGCACCCGATAACTCTCTCCGCCAGCCTTTGCGACTACTAGCACTATGATATCCTTTGCGCCATGGAGCCTGGTCGTCGCGACGTTGACATTGTGTGTCGCTGAACCCATCGCAAAGCCTGAAGCTATACCACAGCAAATCTCGAACAATGCGCCATTCTCCGGCGCCGTGTATATCGTAAACCCAGAAGGCCAATCAGTCGTAGCGCAAGATGCAAACTGGTGTCCTTCATCCGCGTCAGTGAGCTGCAGCAATGTCAACCAGCCTAGTTGGTAAGTAGGGTTGCTTGAAGATGGCATAGCTCCTGCTGATCAGATTCAGGTGCTGTCCGTCAGGCTACGAATGCGCCGTACCCGGTAACTCCAACGGACTCATTGGCTGCTGTCCAAGCGGAAACCAATGTGGAGGCGCGGTAAACGTCGCACAGGTCACGACCGTAACTGTGTACCCCCAGCAGCAAACGGCAATCGTGTACGCTCAACCGCCTCCCCAAACGACCGTATACCAGAACCCAGCTACAGTGCAAGGCGGCTTCTGCGCTACAATCACAATGGACGGACCTGATCTACCGAGAGCTGAGCAAGGAGGATGCGGCACAATATTGATCGTTGCAGGAGCACCGAGTCTGAAAGTGCTAGGTGTAGGCGCCGGCGTTGTTGGACTGTTCCTACACCTAGCCTTGGGCAGGATGTTCCATGGCGCATAAAGGGAGGAACGATGTAAAAAGAACACGATAAAAGACATGATACATGTTGTAATGATTTACGAATTACGAGTTTACGCAGTACGTTAATGTACTCGGCGCTAGACTACTCGATTTACACAAGGATGTAACTACTGGTTTCCCCTCTGCCTGTCCTCCTCATCGTTCTTCGGTACACCAACAAACTTGGGCACAGTAACAGCGTTCAAGTGTCGGAAAGCCTGTACAACACGTTAGCATAACTATCCCACCAAGAACTCCGTGTGGAGTGACTTACGTTGGCAATACTGCTATCTGGCAACTTGCCATCCCACTTATCCTCAACCTTTGCAATCTTGCCCTCTGCGTCCAAATGGATAGCCACCTCACTCTGAATCAACTGCTCTTTTCCCAGTCCCTTGATCACATATCTTGTCCTCAAATCCATCAGAATAGGGTTTCCCGCATCCTTGACCTGGTGGTTCAGGCGCTCAATCTCGCTGAATGCCGATTGCAGTCCATACCATTGTGCCGAGTACTTGTCGCGGCCCTCGGCGATGGTAATGGGGTCTGTGAAAGTAGCGTCGTCACGCCATAAGCGCAGTTTAGGAAGGGACGGGCGGCCGGCGAAGAGGTCGAGGACCGAGCCTACGATTTTGTTTTGTTCTTCGGAGAGCTTGACGCCCGGGGCGGTTTGCACGTCTTTGGTTTCGATGTTGAGGTTTCCGGTGGACATTTTTGCGGTTGTGATTCTTGATATGCTGGATGTGAAGGTCGGTTTGGAAATGGTACGTAGGATTTGGTTTGTGGTTTGTGTTGCGAATGGGCGGATGTAAGATAGCATTGTAAAGGTTTCAGAGCAAGTTGAATGGAACGGTTATTATAGGCATGTATTCTGGCTATGTACTGCACAGGAGGCGTTTTCTTACTGTCTGCTTTAGCCAACCACATGTTTTTGGCACTGCGTCATTATGAGACAGATGGTTACAAAGTGGTCTAATGTGGTCTGGGTTACGCAATTTGGGTGTTGATCGATACTGGTGATGGCATTTGTTCGATGCGAAAAAGTCATGACGCAATGGTCTACTAGGTGAGATTTACGCCAGGCGATCGTTTCGGGTCGGGGGCTGAGGTACGCGGGTTTTAGCGGGGTAGGGGATGGGTTGTCCCGAGTGCCGGTGGCCGTTAACGTTGAATTTTATAGACAGTAGCTTTTGAACCTTTTTCTGTGTAGTTCCATTCTTTGCAGCGCGTTCGCGTTACTAGACCGCTATGTCCTAGATATACGCGTCGGCTTGACTACCCTACCTTGATGTGCACCTTCCTCCTGGTGGTCGCGTTTGCTTGACGCATACGATACTTTCGCATCGCAGAGCGCGGGTTATGAATGTCTTCAAAAGCTCCGTTGAGCTTCTCTATCGGTAGGCCTAGCTATGTAACATAAAGCGCGCGGCACAGCTGAAGCCACAATCTATTTTTGCGCTCTCAATCATGACATGAGGCGTCGCGACCAGCCAGCCAACGTTGCTTGGCCATCACACAAGACGCTTCTTAGATGAAGCAGCTCCTATGAACATGAGATGGGCTAAACTTCGTCCGCCTTCACACCTTAGCTATGTCTTGCTTACGCAGGGCTGATCCTCTTAGACAGGGATGTTCAGCCCCAAGCTACCGAATCAGGAAATTCTCATTTCGTTACTGTCTGACTGGACGCCTGGTAGTATGCTAAAGGAAAGATGCGATCTTGTTGGAAAGGTTTATGAGACAGCATGATGGCCTGTCGCGTGGAGTCGGCGATTAAGCTACAGCTTACTGTCATCTGAGCGCGTTCTTGAAGCGCAATTCTAAACTCATACAGTTTTAATCTCGTTCTCGATTGCTATTGCTACTATCAACTCTGTTTGTCTGTCTTCCCTGACACAAGTGCTCTCCAAGTCAGGCATCCTACTCCGCAACCAAGACCAACATGGCCACACTACGTCCAGTATCCATACGAGCATCAGAAATGACCAGCAGCTCGTCGCCATCAGGCAAATTTAGAGATCAGCGCGCCTTGACACAGACAACACTACACAAACGCAGAACAAGCGCATCAAGATCAGGCGTCGTGTTCAAGTCGCGAACATGGAATGAAACGACATCGAAGCACCATACCACGTTCAAAACCAGATCAACATCCTCAAACAAGCGGACGACCTCAGATCCTACGAGTTCAGTAACATCAACAAAGCAACAAAGTCGCTTCGCGTCACTGTTCATCTCGCTGTTGGCCGTCAGCCCCATGGCTATCGAATACGATGCGGCTGATCAGCAAACCATGGAGGCAGCGCAGAGATCATCTGTTAAGCCGACGCAACCAATATCATCCAAGAAGACGCAAGTCCGGCTATCAGGCAGTGTCAGGCCGTCAGAGATCCGTAAAACTAGATGGAAGCGGTTCAAATACGAGATGGGATTGAAGATGAAAAGTACTGGGAGAGGGAAAGCGAAGGATCGACGGCAACGGGCACCAGTCGCAGATATGGAGTTGGAGGACTTGAGAACGTAGTAGTATGAGGTCAAAGGAAGAAGCAAGGCAACAGTTGAAGGTCGATACTGTATAGTCTGCGCATCGTTTGCACCTATTTCGACTGTTAGGTTCTACGTCTATATCTTTAATACCATTCCCAAGTCGGTCATTTTCACTGCTCGTGGCCAGCAGTAGCAACACTCAATATCCTCTCTTCCAACCCAGGTACATGTATACATTCGATACCATGCTCCTCCAACTTTTTCCGCCCCTCGTTCTCGCCGACAAACTTCTCTGGCTCTTTAACCCCTAGATACACCTTTTTAATCTTCTGCTCTCCATTTGCCCCTCTTGTGCGAATAATACGATCCGCACAGGGTAGGTTGCCACTTAACCGAAGGTTACAAGGCTCCATGGTAGTGTAGATGACAGTGTTTGACGGCAAAGCTTCGCCAACTCGCTCTTCAGGCAGACCACGTGCTTGGGCGAGCTTCAGGAGACAACATTGCTCTGCATGCGTGTTTCCCTCACACTCTAGAGTGTAGCCACGAGAAAGGATGGACCCGGTATCTGCATCGACTAACAAGGCGCCCACGCGGAAGTTTGATGGTTTTGGTGGTGATTCTTGGGCTTGGTCAAGGGCCAGTCGCATGTATTGTAGATGGTCGTTGGGATCTGCGCCTTGAGCTGGCGGCACCGGGCCGTCCCAGGTACGCACGGGACCTGTATCGTAGTCGACTTGCGCTTGCATTTCGGAGGGTGAAGAAAGTGAAGGTGATGTAATTGGCGTTCTGGCCAAAAGTGACGGCGGAAAGTGGGTCTGACTGTTTAGCTCCGTGTTAAGTCCGGTGATCGCGGTCGGTCGCGTCGCGTTCTCACCCAGGCGCCAACCGCCAGTACTTACATCAACTTTACATCTACATCATAACTCAACAACATGGCACGGAAACAGAAGAAAGAACAGACGCCCGAGGAGCACACAGAGGACGACTTTGTAAACAACGACGAGAGCGAAGGCGAGAACGACATGGATGAAGAAGATGGCCCGCCTGCAATCGACCCGTACGAGGTGCTGGGACTCGAGGTAGAAGCTACCGCCGACGAGGTGAAGAAGGCATATCGCAAAATGGCGCTCATGTGCCACCCGGGTAAGTTTACTTACTAGACAGGTCAACATGGCATCGCTGAACTTTTCCCAGACAAGGCAGCACCTGATGAGAAAGAAGCCGCCAACAAGGCCTTTCAAGAGATCGCATTTGCATATGCCGTACTCTCAGACGACCGCCGACGCAAGCGCTATGACCTCACGGGCAGCACAGCCGAGACAATGGAGGACGACGATGACTTCAATTGGCTGAAGTTTTACCGGGAGCAGTTCGAGAACGTCGTCAATGAGGAGGCGATCAACAACGTCGCAAATGAATACAAGGGCAGCGACGAGGAACGTCGCGATCTAGTCAAGGCATTCAAGAAAGTCAAGGGCAACCTGAACAAAGTGTACGATCTCGTCATGCTGTCCGACATCCTCGAAGACGACGACCGCTTCAGGCAGATCTTGGACGAGGAGATCAAAAACGGAAACGTCAGCTCGTACCCTGCCTACGAAGCCGAGACAGATGAGACCCGCCAGAAAGCCAAGGATGCGGAGAAGAAGCGGCGCGAAGACTTTGACAAGAAACAGGCCAAGAAGGAAGCATCAGGGGCCACAAACGGCAAGACCAAGGCGAAGCCAAAGGGCAAAAAGAGCGGCACAGACGACATGGCAAGCCTAGCAGCTCTGATACAGGGGCGCCAAAAGGCAAGAGCGGGCAATTTCTTCGATTCGCTAGAGGCCAAGTACGCGCCCAAGTCGCGAGGTTCAAAGCGCTCGACGCCCATGGAGGAGCCATCAGAGGAGGCGTTTGAAGCTAATCGCAAGAAACAGAAGAAGAGTGCGAGCTCAAAGAAGAAGGCCAAGGTAGAGAGTGAAGACGAGGAGATGGACCTGGACGAGGAAGATATTGGGGATTCTGAGGAGGAAGAGGAAGAAGAGGAAGTGCCTAAGTCAAAGAAGGCGAAAGCGAAACCTAAAGCACGCGGAACACGTACAAGGGGGCGGGCTTAATGTTGAAGTTTGCCTCGGGAAGCTTTTGCATACGGAGATGGATGGGCGGCGTTCATTGGAGTAAGATACCATAACCGCTTGTGTAGCACAGTCTTGGGAGTCAAAAATAGGGTCTGCTCTGGCTGACGATCTTCTGATATAGCCTACGGTGCCTGATAGGGTCTCGGGTCCTCGTTTCAAAGGCTCATCCAGCCTATTCGATGTCTTCATGCTCGTTATCTCTCACTTCATGCGCTGGCAAACCTTTTTTGCACTGGAATCCCCCTTGTCAAGGACACTTCTACCTCTTTCACCTCACCGTCTTTTTCTGTATTTGTCCGCGTCCTCTCTCCACGACAACCAGCCCTTGCCTTAATCCTAACCCGGTTCACATATCAGCGCTGGAGACAACGTGGAGCAAACGACCAAGATCGTATTCGATACTATTCCGACAATGAAGCTCTCTCTTACAGACAAAACTTCCTTTGTTAATCGAGAAGTCCTTTGGTATTTCATCTTTCTAGTCGCTCATACTAGCATTCACTCTGTGTTTCCGCGTTTGATACTACGCTATCTCACCTCATCTCTTACTCAAACTGCTTCTCGCAAACACAAATCTCTTTCGTCTTTTACACGTCCTGTCGACCTTTTCAACCTTCTGGCCGACTGTCTCGCCATCTTACCTAAAAAGCTTTTCAAAACAACAAGATGTCGGATATCGCTATGGCTCCTAGGCCGAACACCCCTACAGCGAGGAAGGTGAGCCGGGCTTTTGGATTTTAAAGGAGCAAGCAATGATATACTGACAAAACTAGGTTCCCGTAACTTCGTCTCCAAGCTCAAAAGGCGCCGAGAAAGCACAGCAACAGCGGAAAGTATCTGTTTCTCAAGCTACGAGCACGGCACAGCAACAACGTAGGAACTCGACATCTCGGGATTCGCCAAACGTCATCGGTCAGCAGCGGCGGGAGAGTACTACTGCAAAAGGTTCCATCCTGGCAGGCAACAAGAGGAAGGATGAGGTGAGACCAGATATACCAGAAGTTTGAAAGCAGAACTGACACTACTACAGGAACAGTCGCCAACAAAAGTATACCCCCAGGGCAACGCCAAGGCAGCAGACAACGGCACCATTCACCCACACCCCCAATCCTTCCCACCACCAAAGAAACAAAGAGTCTCCTCAGCGAAACCCATTGTTAGTTCCACTCAGGAACCCGCAATAACGACTTCGTCACAACCTCCTTCTGCCACGCCCATACCCCAAACAATCCAGCTCCTCCATTACGTTCTCACCACTCACCCCGACCTCGTTCCCACCTCCCCTTCTCCTGTACTCTCCTCCAATATCGACGCTATTGCGCACATAATGTGGCAGGTTGCCTTCAATCACGGCCCTCTGCTAGCCCGCGCCTGTCAGTACAGCGCCATGTTTTCGCCGCTCAAGTTGGCTGCGTTAGCGAAGTTGAATTTCTTGCCTAGCTGGTGGTTCTTCAGGGAGGGGGCTATGAAGGGACTACCTGAGATGGTCGGAGAGCGGATGTTGGATGATGGAGAGATGCAGAGTGAGTGGAAGGAGGCTGTGTGTTGGTGTATGGGGATTCTAGGGGAGAGAGCGGATGTGAAGGCGGGTGTGGGCAAGGCAGAGCAAGGGAAGACGGAGCAGTGAGGAGAAGATTATGGTGACTGGTGGCGGGCTGGGATTTCTCTGACGGCTCTTAGAGGTACAGTAGCTCATAGGGATCAGAGTGATAAGCAGAGACCGATAGTTGGGAATACTCCTTAAGTACTCCACGGCGGTGTATTGTGTATCTTCGACTGTGCAACGGACAAAGGTCAATTCACCAACTAAAATGATACACCAACACCCTATCGTCACGGCTCGGCTGCGCTAGACTTTCCATCAAGTATCTTTTGAGCCTCACCCGCCAACAGTACCGCTGTCCGACGCATCAACTGGGGACCAACACTAACTCTCGCAACACCAATGTCTTCCAAGTCTCTGATCGCCAGACCATTCCCGCTCATTCTGTCCAGAATAACATTCAGCCTCCCATCAAAAGCCCGGCATACCTTACCAACTTCATCCCTACCCCAGCCCTTCCTGCTTGGTCCACCCCAAACGAACACATTCCAGGCACCAGCATCTAGATACGCCTGCCCGCGCTTAATAACATCTTCGATTCCGCCACCCGCGAATAGCGCATCTGACCGCGCGTTAATTACAAAATCAGGCACGCCACTATCGCGAGCAACGACCATCACGCGACGTATACGGCTGCACTGTTCCTCAACACCATACAGCCCATCGATCTCACGTCCGTAGTCTTCAAGATTTATACCCACCCCACCTAATTCGATAACGCGTCTCACGGCCTCCTCTAGCTCGTCGCCGAACCCGTCCTGCAGATCCACGGTCAGCGGGAGATTGTGTGCAGCTGCTACTTTGGCAATCGACTCCACAGCACGCATGTTGACGGTGAGGGTCAGATCGTCGTCGGATAGACCAGATGCGGCGGCGATGGCGGCACTGGCTGTTGCGAGCGCTTTTGTGCCGGGAAGATCGGCGATGGCATTTGCACTTATTGCGTCCCAGACGTTTGTCAAGACGAGGGGCTTGCCTGGTGTGTGGAGGGCTCTGAGGCGTTGTGCTTGGGCGTTTAGTGGCTGAGACGACATGGTATGCTGATTATCTGCTGGCAAGACTGCGGTGAACTTTGCGCAAGGTTTGGAAAGAAGTCGCATTAATTGTCAAGTTGTTTGATCGAGATAATGGCGACTTTTGATGTGTTCTTGAGCCCGGTTCTTCTTAGCTCACCAGCACTAGCCGTCTCTTGTTTGATCATTGGTATGTCAAGAAGGAGCGTGATATCGCGTCTAGGTCTTACTGATGCCTAAGAAGTGGCGCGATGGCTATTGGATCTATGAACTATTGAGGTATGACGGTGAGTCATTGCCGTTAGTATCCGACTTGGCCCGCCTATGGGGCATATTTCCCCAGTATGGAAATTCGCTTGAACAAGTCATGCGGTGTTATGGTTTATGCAAAGATCCCAATATAAGCGGTTCGGCTGGACTTGTCCCTTTAGGAAAGGCTTCAGGTACACAACACTGACACAGAACAAGGCAATATATAGGCTCAACAAGAGTTTTAATAACGCGTTTAGGTTTCAATGTCGTCTGAAGGGGTTGCTATGGGTTCAGATCTACGACCCATGCTACAAGACAAAGTGTTGGACTACGATTCCCTCAACTGCTGTAGCGTCTTCTTCTGTCTTCCTTCCTCGTCGAAGTTATCAGGATGTAACCATTTCTCCAAACCGCTCTTGACATAATCCCACTCAGAATCCAGGACAGAATACCAATTGGTATCGCGATTACGTCCCCTGACAATCATGTGCTGCCTGAACGTACCCTCGTACTTAAATCCCAATCGCTCTGCCGCTCGACGCGACGGATGATTGAGGCTATTACACTTCCACTCATATCTTCTGAACCCAAGAGTTTCAAACACATACTTGGCGAGCAAATACATGGCCTCCGTGGCGGCGGGTGTGCGCTGCAAAGCGGGTGTGTATTGTATATTGCCAACCTCAATGACGTGGTTTGGAAGATCCATACGCATCAGATCCACCATTCCTACTGGCCTACATGTTCCATCTTGCGGGTTGTTTCGAAGAATGGTGTAGGTCCAGGGATGCGTTGTTGCTGCTTTTACTGCGAGGCTAGCCTGGAGTTCTTCGAGGGACTTGGGATGCTTGTCGAAGATGAAGTCGAATAGCGATGCGTTATCATCTCCTTTGATGAGCTCGTACAATTCTGCTGCATGATCCGGATGTACTGGGACAATGGTGGCGTACTGGCCAGCGAGCTTGATGTCGTTGCTGGGGGGTTTAGCAGGCGATGTAGGTACTGGTCGCCCAAGGCGCTCGTCATCCATAGAATCAGACATTTTATTTCAACGTGTTTGGCAAGCTACTAAAGAGATGAGAGCTTGCGAAGTAGTTGTTTTAAAATACCAATAAAAAGGCTGAGTCAAAAGCGCAGATCTTCGTATGACTGCATGTTCTGGACGATAGTGGGGCGGCCTACATTGCGCCGATGTGAGCGTCTATGGCGTATACAGGTCCTGCCGGGCGCTAGTGTGATTGTTGCCATCAACAACGTAGAAAACCCAATCCAGTACTTCAGAGTACCAAACTCAGTAGCAGGTCAATCATCATAATTGTTGGGTGGATGCGACAAGATCGCTAGGGGACCAAGGTTGTAATGAGTCAGCCACGCTAAGCAGGCACAAGTGCGCCTTGCTCCAACCTTCCCATCGACACTACAACCTCGATACTCTATACGACCTGATTATCCGATTGATACCAAATCCATGTTGTAACCTACATCAACCCCAGAACATTCAAGTATCTTCTTTTAGCCATTTAGAGACCATGGACGCTAGCGCCTCCAGTATCAATCCTTCACAGCTCCCATTCGACCGGAATATCACTTTCCATGACTCTTCGTTCTTTCGAAATCACGGAAAATCGCGTACTCTTCCATCACCGGAAAAGGTAAAGGGGATCGCCAAGGCAACTAACAAAAACGCGTGGTTGAGGAGTCGACCACCGCCGGTAATATGCGAAGATCTCGGTTTGCTGGTGAAATATGGAGAGGAGATTACGATTGCGGAAGGCCAGTGTCTCCTAGCCTTACGTCAGTTGCTTCCTGATACTGTACCGGTTCCAGAGGTGTTTGGATGGCGCGAACACGATGGGCAGGTATTCATCTACATGGAGCTCGTGAACGGTACGACATTAGAAAAGAGTTGGGACAACATGAAAAAAGAGGACAGAATGGCGGTCTGTCATCAACTACGTCATATGGTTGATGCATGGCGCAATTTGAAGCAAGAGGCTAAGAGTCCATTCGTCGGTAAGCCAATATCTCCGCGCTCAAAGGAGAATAAAGCTTGCTTTGGCCATGTGCTTTGTTCTTGACGTAAATACTTGTAGAGCTCTTGATGAGAAGATTTTGACTTACCATGCAGGCCATATTGGCGGACAGCCGCTTTCAGATGTCATCTTCGATTCCAGTTTCGCAAAAACTCCTGGACCTTCCAAAATGTATCAGCATTTCATGATTATTTCACAACTCATTTCGGCCTGAGCAAAGATTTCGGTGTTCAACCACCACATAAGTTTCGACACCACCTCCCAGACCAAGACTCTATCGTCTTCACACATGCGGATCTCCATCCCAGTAATATACTAGTCTCCGTTGTACCTAATCCCCGCATCGTGTCGATTATAGATTGGCATCAGTCGGGTTGGCATCCGGCATACTGGGAGTACTGCAAGGCACGTTCGACGGCTCGTGTTGGCGAAGAATGGGAAGCCCAATATTTGCCAATGTTCTTGGACCGACATGATGATTATTATTTCAACTACTTTTGTAGCTGTTGGTTCTAGGAAATCTCTCAAGCCTTGGTAAACTGATGCTTTGCCACTGATGTGGCTGCCTACAAGCGCCTCACCCCCACCAAAACGCCAAACCAGCCTTATGTCTCCATCTCTCCACATGCACACCACTACGATGCCACGAACCATCAGTCTTGTAGTCTTCAACTCCCCCCTCTTCCCCGCGCATTGGGGTCTATGGATCCCCCACCTCTTATCCGATCTGCATGGCACTGGAACCTACCTAAACGCGACCGGCGACGCAGCAATTGGCTTCACTGTAGAAATCGAACGCAACTACAAAGTCGGCGCTGACGGTCGACGGTATCAGTTGCTGCCTCTGGGCGACGTCGCAGACGAGCACGTTACTGACACGCAAGGGGATGGAAGTTGGTCTGTTGACAAGGTTGCGAGAAATAGACTTGAAGAAGTTGTGCTTAGAGTAGAGCCGCCTGGACCAAGTCTCGTAGCTACTTCCGGTGAGGGACCACGAAAGAGAGTAGAGATAAGGAATTGTCAGACCTGGATACATAATGCGGAAAAAGCGCTTGTGGAAGCTGGCATTATGGACCACACAACCTTGCAGAACGTAGAAAACGCTCCTCAGAATTGAATCCAGAGAATGTGAGACGGACGCGCAGAGACCTAAGACTCCAGTATTACTGTGTAAGTACGTGCTTGGATCCTTGCGCACCTTCTTTCAAGGTAGTCGAGGCGATTTCACTGGACGAGGGCTCCAGAAGGTGATAGTACTTTGGCCAGCTTGGCTACGGTATGTCAGGGTCGCACTCTCCTTCCACTACTGCACGTTCGACTCACCTCAAGTTCTTCCCGTGCTTCATGCCCATCATTGGCAAGGATAACGAAGATGCGGAGAGGAAACATGAGATCGCGCTGGAATATGCGGAGCTGGGCGGTCTACATCCATGTCCTGTAGGGACGGTATCGGAAGTGGCGGATGTGATACAAGAGTGTATTGAGAATGCAGATATTGATGGCTGCAACATCGGCAGCGTGACGAATCCAGGCAGCTGGACGGACGTGGTGGAGCTGCTTGTGCCGGAGCTTCAAAGACGAGGGCTGTACTAGGACGATTATGATGTGGCCAGAGGCACTTTTCGCGAGAATTTGGTGGGGTCGAAGGAGCTGCAATCAGATCATTATGGCGCGAGTTTCAAGTGGAATGAAAACGCGACGTGCGAGGTGAAGAGGAAACATGAGAATGGTGACAGGGGGGATAGTGGAATGGAGGATGAGACTTCAACGTAGTGCGCTCTAGATCACTACCAGCTCGTGGTACTAATGGATGATCAGGCAGTTCCCCCAGTGAAAAGAACCTTAGAAGTCCTGGATGGGTGGCCAAAGTGCTCAAATTGCTGACGCAGCAATCCAGGAAGGTACAAGGTGCCCCAATTTAGCTTCCAGACAGGACTTTGACGATATTTGGACAACAACAACCCCATCACCTACTGCATCACCGCCCCGCAACGACCAATGGATGCTGGTTACATGATGGTCGTGAAGCAATCATCATGTGGCTCGCTTCACGCCTCTCTCGATCGCGCGCTCGCCCACTCTTCTATTTTGCCGTTGTTCTCCCTTCCAAATCTTGCCGAGTGGATAGCAGCGGTTGGAAGGAGTAACACCATGATGCATAGGTTTTCCACTGAGAAATTGCACTGATAACCGAGGTGTTGATATTGTGGGGACAACTGAAGGGGGTCACCCTAGTCTAGCTCATAACCAAGAGCGCGACAACTAAAATAGTTTGCTCACCCCGTGTCACCAAGTAACACCCCAGGGCAACAGATGGGTGCATGGATGCCAGCACCTACAGGTACATGATCGACCACTACGACGCCCTGCCTGAAAATCTTCTGTTCATACTTCTAGACAGATACCAAAGGCACAACGTCGATCCCAACTACGACGATCTGGTCGCTCGATCGTCCATCACAATTCCGTCTTCACCATCTCGCCATGACCCCGAGCTCGATGGAAGGCGGCACTCAGGACCAGCGAAACCATGACAGCCCAAGGACCGAGACCTGTCAGCACACTTGGTGTGTTCTCACCTGATGCCAAGCCAAGGCCCCACGCGCTCATTGCGCCGCATGCGAGTATTCCGAGCTGGTACTTGTCGCTCTTATGTATATGGTAGAAGACGTTCATCGCGATGCTGTAGACTAGGCAGGCGACTATAAGACGAATTGGCTTCGGGTCGTGGGAGAGAGGCGAGAGACGAGCCCACTGCTACTCATATGTAAGTGTTGTCCTAGTATTTTGCGCAGTAGTACTAACACGTTGCCGAGAACCATCAGACCACGAATAGGATAGCAACGACAACCGTGGCATGGCTGTAGATACGCTTCCAAATGAGTATCCTTCGACTGCGGATCCATGTACCATGGACGCATCGTGCCATGCGTTTATGACCAGACTGGAGGTCGTCGCTGTGCCTACAGCAAAGACCCCTGTGACCCATCGCCAGTTTGTCGCCGGTCTCTGGGACCGCCTCGAGAGGACTTGTGTGTTCCGATCAGCATGATAGCAAGCACTGGGAGAGTGTCAACAATCGGCATGGTGTGTGGCTTGCCCGGCTTTGCAGCTACTCACTTCTCCTTATCTTTTTCGCTCTTGACGTGGCTCAGGGAATCCATTTAGTGCCGGTATAGGTGCAGGTATTGCTGAGGAAGAGTTGTGGATATGCGATCGCAAAGCGGTGTTCGAGGCAGAGGTTGAGCTGAGGCGCACGTCACTGCCAAGCTCCCGCACTGCCTCACTGTTGCAACTTCGAAGCTTGAGATCAGGAAGAAGCGGCTGCACATCGACATAGCTCTGCCATCCAGAACACACCGCCCTTTCCTGCGAACTGGCATCACGCACCCTACTCCAAGGCTCTTTGTACTAGCTCAATCAACGACAAAGACAGCCAATCGCTCGCAACCAACTCAAGATGGGTACGTCAATAGCGACTCGTCTTCCACCGCAAGGTTGACCACAGACTAATGTTCCAATGTAGGACTGTTCTTGAAGACGGCGCAGACCTTTAGGAGCAACATCCACGAGCCCCGCTACAATCCGTATGAATACCCGCCTCCACAGGGACAGTATGGAGCTCCACCGCCACAGGGACAGTATGGGGCGCCGCCTCCACCGGCACAGTACATCCAGGCTGCATTCCAGTCCAGCGAGTCTAGTTGGTCGATATATCGTGGTTTCAGCTACTTGCATGCCCGTGTTATACTTCAACTACAGGACGAACTTCGGTGTTTGGAGGACAAACTGGTAGATCTTGACGAGATGGATCTCGAGAATAGTAATAGAGATCATCTGATGTCTCGGAAGGACGACCTGCAGCAAGCCAGGAGAGAAGAGAAGGAGAGTGTACGTGCGGGACTTATAAGCACTATACAAGACAAGCTTGTCAACTATAGTACGTAACATCCCCACAAATCATCCTATAGTAATAATAATCTAACTGCATTAAGATGAGATACTAGCAAAGGCGCGCGATCTTAACGCCTTCCAACGGCCGTCGAATCGTGATTACTATAGCTTTCGCACTTGGTTCTGGAATGAGAAGCCACGAGGAATGCCAGGGATGGACTCCTTATCCATAATCAACAACACGGGCTCCGAGTGCTTCGCCAACCTGAACTCCGATGAGTATCTGTCTGACAAGTACCCAAAGCTCCATGTCCAGCCAGAGGCCGACCTGCGCACATGGCGTGGTTATCTCGATGAAATCTGGACGCTATTCGATGGTCCTCTCGACTTCATGAGGGTCGCCGTCGAGAAGGCACAGTGTCTTCCTGGATATCAAAGCTCCATTCGCAAAGTCCTTCGGGGCGCATGTTCCCTCAGTCCGAAGGTGCTTGCATTACTCATGACAGCCAATTTGATCCCGAGTGCTCAAGCCCAAAGGCATGATCTTGTACGGGAATGGGGGATACGTACTACTGGCGCAGTCACCGGAGGTTTTAGTATCCCGATCGCTGCAATGGACCCCAAAACTGTCAGTCCTGGCCTTTGGTGGGGACTGATTGCAGCCTGGGTCGTCACAACGGTGATGTTCGTTGCGACCAACACCTACGTCATTCCAAGGGGTCATCGGATGCGCTACTTGTGCACGTTATTGCTCGTGGAAGGGCTTTTCGTGGTTGTCTTTGTGACGGCATTGATTCACGATCCAGTGAAGATGGCGACAAAGATCCTCGCCAACATGCCTGTTTTGACTGTCATCATCGCTGGGCTGTTGCCGCTTGCTTTCGATTAAGTCGAGAGGGGAGGTCAAGGCGTGAGGGGAGAGCAGGTGGTTTATTGAAGCCTTGGCGTGGGTTTGATTTTCTTTAACGTCCGTGGCGTTTTCCCGGCTTTCTATATACACGATTTCAGCATGACCCCAAGTCAGGACTTGACTTGACTGACAACGAATTATCAATGAAGCTCGCACAGCCTCGTCTGTGGCAACTTCGTTTCCCAAAACACTCTGCACAATGCTGGCATTTGAATGACTCGGCTCATCGTTCGTGTACCATGAGCACGCTTGACACGTGCCATTACACGTGGTGCATGTCATGTTCCATAAGGTCTGACATATCCCCCATACTGACTATGATACCAATTCTTTTCTGGAGGTGCGCTCAAGCTTAGTTTGGACAGAACATCTCGAGTACAAGTTCTAGCAAGGGTACATTGGTCTTGCTCAAGCGCTGCCCCTGTGCTTACAAGGAACCATGCCTTTCACGTAGAAAACCGAATAGCGCGCCAGCCGAGTCAGGTTTCAAGTTCGTTGAGAGATGAGACAGGTCGGAAGAATAAGGTAGGAAGATTATAGTTTTGATGGGGCTTGTGGGTTGTATCTCTTGTGGAGCGGTGGGCATTTAGCTACGATGAAAAGCGCGATGCGGATCCAGGCGACGCAATGCCTATATCGATTACCGGCGCGTCTATTGCCCAAGCCAGAGGTTCATGGAGTTCATCTCTTAGCTCGGATTCATTTTGCTCGATTCAATCCGATCGTCGCTCTATAACGCTGAGTAGTCGAGTTTGTTGGGGGTAGGTATGTCGCGTATTGATCACCGTATACAATAGAAAACTCAAACAGGTATAGGAACAACATGCCCTAGTTTACCGCCTATGTCAGCTTCTAAGGAAGGATTTCTAAAAAGACTAATAGTACTGTAGACATCTAGACTCCCTATCTATGTCTAAGAAGGTCTTAACAGGCTTCATTGTAGTAGGTATAAGTACTTTGCTCTTGAGAGATGTTCAGTTCCTCTATTCAAGGTAGTGACGTGGTTGAAGATCATTCAGAGGAGCCGCTTCATGGGCACAGAACTATGCTGCATCAGAGAGAACGGGCTTGGAAAGAAGGCAGAAGTGCATGCAACTAGAACTAGCAACAACGCCATTCCATTAGGCTGCATTGATAGAGTTGTAGTGCTTCCGTGGACAGCAGGTAAAGCTAGTGTAAAGTCACATCTTCGCTGATTACACGCATCTTTCCTTACAAAGTCTCGGTCGTCGACATCCCTTCCTCCATTCATCTCAACAGAAACAAAGGATACATCGTTCTTGGTAATTCGCGAAGATACCCGCTTCAACAGTCCCAGCTTACCAAATCTTGGGCACAAACATGGGCGTCTCCCTTTTCCACTTTTGATAATCCTTCCGATCACCATACCTCTCATCATACTTATTCTCACTCAACGGCACCCCACTAACCTTGAGCAGCAAAAAGCTCACAAAAGCCGGACTAGCCGCACACATACCCGCAACCAGCACCTGTCCGCCCAACCCCCCACTCAGTCCCAGCGCCGCCTGCGCCGGCTGCCTAATCAGCAACCCCGCCGCCGCAATCGCAATACCGCTCCACAACGTCGCCTCGCCAAAGTAATTCGGATGCCGAGACTTGCTCCACAGGCCATGTGTCAAGAACTCTTCCGAGTGCTTCTTTTGTTTCTTGCCTTGGACCCAGGCGTCTTTTTGGCGGTCGGCGACGACTTCAAATGTGAGACCGAAGACGAAGATGGCCAGGCCGAGGATGTCGGTCAAGTAGGGTTTTGAAGATACGGCTTTGCCGAGCAGCGAAGTTGCGTATGCAGATCGTGGAACGGAATTGACTAGGATGACGGGGAGAGTGCACAGCGAGACCCAAGTTGCCTGCGCGAAGAAGGCGACGAAGAATTTGGGTGGTGAGGTGCGGATGGAATCAAAGCGGCTGTCCTTTCCTTCATCGCTTTGGATGCGCTTGTAGAGGTAGGAACCCACTGCATATCATCATTAGTACTTCTGTTCTTTCGTTTCTAATTTACTCATTTAGAGAAAGAGAACATACATCTCGTTGCCCATACCCCCACCGCAGCACTCAATAGCGCCTGTCTCCACCACCACGTCCCCTGTCCTAATCCTTGGCTACTGAAATACTCGGTTATCCCTCCTGTAATTGTCCCAGCGGCTCTTGCGCGCATATAAGGCAAGACTAGACTGAGCGCTGTACAGGACAGGTATGTGAGGCTTCCAGAGAGGTCATAGTAACGTTCTGTCTGCGCAGCAATGGAGGGGACTGCGACGGCAGCTTGGATACCATATGCGAGTGCGACCGAGGGCACGAGGGTGCGTAAGAGGGGGTTCTTGAATGCGGTTGCCCGGAGGAGGGTTTGGAGAAGTGTCATAGTGGGCGGTTGGAGTTAAGAAAAAAAGACACGAAGCTCGTGTTACCGACGGGACTCTAGCATTGAAATATACTCGCAGATCAAAACATCTGTTGCGTTATGCATCTGGCCATCCTGGAAGCCTAACCAACAAATACACTCTTTGGCGGTGCATCCGGCGCATACCGTTGTACCAAAATGTCTGGCGATCTAGACTCGTAGTTGGGATCGATGCCGTCATTTCTCGCCTATTCTCCACCTTGACAGGGGTACGGAGCTCAAGCTCCCGGATAGCGCGTACAGTGCATGAGAGCTCGGTGCGATCGGACGCCGGCGGACTCGGGTTCAAGATACGAGATCCTGCTTACGTGCATAAGAATTCATGTGTTGACGTACTGCATCGTTGTGGTCTCAAAATGGATGCAAGATCTGACTTGGCAAGAATTGTGCATGTGAGGAAGCCCAGAGGCATATCGATGATCTTCGCTGATGGGTTTGCGCTGCATGTGAAGAAAAGACGCCATGCAAGTGTTATACCCAGCCATGCAATCATAAACGGCATCCACCAACCCCACCAATATACAAGGTCCTTGACAAAGAAAGCCAACAAAACCAGCAACAGCACAACACGAACCCAATCCCCTTCTTCCCTCCCAATCACCCCATCATCCCCAAAAGGTGTCGACTCCCACTCTTTCTGAGACCCTATCTCCGAAACGCAGTCTCGACCTCCTTAACCCCCCAATCAATCTCCACCTCTCCACCATAGACATCTTGATTAATCGCCGCCATCCTCTCCACAACACCCTCGTAATATCTCTCACACTCCTTGAGGACCTTGAAAACCAAATCTTTACTAATATTGGGATCATCCGCGTCACCAAAGTGCTTGTCAACGCGCTTCTTGAGGGCCTCGATACCTTTGCGGAGTTCCTTGGCGTCATGCGAATGCACTAGCTTTTTGAAGACGGAGCGCGAGTGCGAGGAGCGCTGGGCGATCGCCTGTGGGGAGGCGCCGGGTTGAGACAGGAGGGTTTCGGTTGATTCGATGAATTCCTGCATTCATTAGACATACTCACAGCATTGAGACAACAAGGACTACGTACCAAAAGTTTCCCAAGTGGTCTCCGAATAACCGCATCAACATAGAGACTCATATGCTCACTGTACTCTTCGTTCGCCTTGCTCTTCCAGAAGTCTAAGACAGCCACGGTTCGCGCGTCCACTTCTTCCATGTAGTGGTTCATGTTTTCGATGAGCAGGATGTGGTAGTTGAGGGCTTCTTTGTCTTCCGGGTCACCCTGGCCCTGACTTGCCATGACAGTAGGGGATTCTTTCGCAATGACCTTCAAGCTCTCAAACATGGCTTTGTTGATACGGCTATACGCGTCGTTGACCATACGTCGGATCTCTAACTGATCGCCGCCTTCAGCAGCAGAGGGCAGCATGTTTTCGATTGCAATGGAAAAATGGGGGAAGGTTTTCATGAAGGAGATTACGCCCTTGCGTTTCTTAATCTTGACTTTTGTGTCTTCGATCGCGCGGATTTGCTCGTCTAGGAAGCGGTTGAATAGGCCTTGCAGCCGCTCATGTATCTTTTGTAGGTTTCTTGTTAGGAAATCCTGGTTTGTCTCTTCAATGTCGAGAAGTTTGCGGTCGACCGCACAAAGTATGCCTACACCTTGCCTGCAGACGATTAGTGGGGCTGTAACATTATCATGCAAGCTATAACTTACAAAGGATCGGCTTTTGTAGCCCAGTCAACAAGACTCTGTATCTCAGCCGGCCAGAAGGAGAATATCTCCTCCATGACTCCTGTCACGTGCTTTGCCATGGCTCGGTCCGCCTCAAACTGCTTGCGTATCCAGAGGTTCGGTCCACGGCGGGCTTCTGGGGGTGCGGCTTGCACCGCCTCTGGAAAGTCGAGCGAATCAGTTGAAGTGGCATGGAAGAACTCGGTGATGAAGTTCTGCTCCGTCAAAAGAACGGGGCCAGTGTCTTCCAGCACCCTAGCGAAAACATTGAAAGCATAGAATTTGCCATCTTGAGCGGCTGGCTTTGCCTTGCCTTCCTTCTCCCCAGAAGCTGATCTCAGGCCACGAGCTAGGGTCTGACTCCGCTTAACGGTCAGCTTCCTTGCCGCACCCAAAGTGCTAGTGGTTGTTTCTGGCTCTTTTTCTTGCGCGGTAAAGAGTAGATCTTGTTCCTCACCAGTCGGCTTCCTCGCAAACCGTCTCCATGCCAGAATATTGTCACGAACTTCCTGTTGGTACAACTGCGCTGCTTGCGTCTGGTACATTCGGAGTAGTGAGTCCCATGCAGCCCTGTCAATCTCTTTGGCGAAAAGCATGACCGGGCTCAACATCCACAACTCGCTTCGGCCTGCGTCGTGTGCCTCGACATTCTTTTTCAAAGATGGCTCAGAGCCTTGATCAAGTCTCGAAAGTGCATCTTTCGTCGACAGGAAAGCTGCACCGAATGTGATATCCATATGCTTCTTCAACCTGTCCAAGAACATGGCGCCCTCGCCAAGGTACCTGTCTCGTTTCTCTTGCAGGGCCTGCATGGTTGCCAAGTCGCTATTGCCAAACCCGGGTCCACTGGTGATTGCACCCGAACGAGCTCCGGCAACGAACGCAGGGTCGATGGTGATGAGCGCTTTGTAGAGTAGAACCAAGGAAGATTCAATATCCTTCAGCCCATTGATCTTACCTATAGGAGCACGTCTCAAGGGCTCCAGTTGGTCAGAAGTAATTGAAATAGTGTCGACTAGCTGCCGGAGTTCGTGTTGCAAGAGTCGCTGGTTCGCAGTCTGCACCTGCAAACCTTGACTTTGCGCTTCGATGAAAGCGATGTCGTCGTTCAGGCTGCTCAACTCGACGTTGTACAAGGTAAGCAGGCCTTCAAGCTCGTCGCATTCTGCGATGGCGCGGTCTAACATGCGCTCAACAGCCTCCACGCGATCGTCCTTTTGCTCCAGATGATTGAGCCAACTCCCTGCTTCCACGCGGGCAATCTCGCGTTTGATATCGTTCTCCAGAGATTCAATGTGCTTGGAAGAGAGCTCGTTGTTTCCCCATCCAAGCTCAGACAAGATACTCTCAAACTCCAAACCCCGTTCATCGATGATGCTGGGATCTATGCCGAGTTTCGATATGTTAACAATCTGCTGGTTAGACCTTCGCTTCTTTCGGCGAACTTCCGGCTCGGGCTCGACAGTTCTTGATGCTGCCTTCTCTGGAGGCGGTGGGGCAGGTTGCTCTTCAACCTCTTGGACAGCGCCACCCACAGTGTTGGTGGACGGGCCAGACACTGTCACGGATGGAACTACCTCGGTGCTAACACGCAGTGGCTCCGTGGGTTTCGTCTCTGGTATAGGCTTAGGAGGCTCTTCAAGCTTCTTCTCAACTTCCTCTTTGGGGGTTTCTTTAGGTGTTGGCCGCTGAGGCACAAAAACAGCGTTAACACCATCTGCTTCATCGGATGTCTTCGTCTCCTTATTGAAGAGTTTCGCAGCAGCTCCGCCAGCACGAGGCTTGAATGCACCTGCCGCTGCTGCGGCCTTACGGAACCTGTTTGCTGGACTGTCGCTGCCTATTGTCTTCTTGACCATCGGTCCAAGGCCAGGGCGCTGCGATCCTTCGTCCCCTGACTCTTGGGGCATCGAGTTGGTGCGCTCGACAGGTGCAGGCCGCTCAGGCGTAGTCGGTTTTGCTACAGGCACCGGTGCTACTGGTGACGCTACTTCCTCTGGTGGGGGTGCTTGTGGCAATGGCGCTGTCGGTACCTGCGGAAGTGGTGCTGTGGGAGGTGGCGTAGGCTGTGATGGCGGAGGCAGTGTTTCTGCTGGAGGTGCGATGTTTTCCTGAGAAACAGGCTTCAGTCTCTCCGGTATTTCCTGAGGTCGTCTCCGTGGTGGTACCTCCATTGGTGGAGCAGGTGAGCCAGACGGCGTATGGAAAACCGAACGTGGCTCTGCGCCTTGGCTATCAACACTTCGTTGCGACAAATTGGATGGACGGGGTTCCATGAGCGGCCTCCTCCTCTGGGGAGGTTCTTCTGGAGGCATGTCATCATTTCGAGTGAAGTTTGAACTGGTGTTGCTTTGTGCAGTACCAGGTCTTCCAGCGCTTTGGGCCGTTCCTGGTCTGAGACCCCCGGGCGACGGATCTCTCCTAGGGGAGGGGTACCCATTCTGTCTGCGTGGGTCTGGTGGCGCAATACCCGGAACTGCGCCATCCATAGAAGGCTCATCAAAGGACCTCTCTGATCGCTGAGACTGTGCATCTTCACGTGGCGGCAGTCCACGTCCTGGACTAAGACTTGCTGGGAGATTACCGGAGTCCGGTGTTCGTGGTCGACTAGCGAATTCTGAAGTTGAGGATTGTGGTGTGAGATTCCGTGACGCGAATTGCGGTACTGGTGCCAGAGGGCTGGGTGCTTGGCCAGGACGAGGCCGGATGCTATCACCGCTAGGCCTAGAGCGGATGCTTGGGTCCATGGACCGCTTTTGGCGGAGATCGGGCATAGATGGTGCAGCTTGAACTGAATTCAGCGGCGCAAATGGCATAGGCCTACGGGCATTGTCCCCGGTGCTTGGTCTACCCGCATCGTCTGGTCGTGCCGGTCTCCTTGGGCCATCCAGCGCTCCTGGAGGTCTGCGGAAGTTTGGGTTTGCTCCAGGCGGAAGAGCCTCGGACGATATAGGCGGAGATTCTCCGGGTCTCCTCGGGGGTGGGCCAGGCGATTTTGGAGGCATGGGCCTTTGATCTGGAGGCCCTGGTCGTCTTTGCGCTGGGCTTTGGCCTCCCTGGCCACCAGCTGCAAATGCGGCTCGTCCTTCTGGCGTTGCCAGTTGCGGCTGTCCGTTGGTCAGGCTGTTCAGCTCCGTCACGTTGAATCCGGTCAAGATGGGAAAGTCTCCCTTAGTGTACTTGTTGAAGATCTTAACCATACTTCCAATAAAGAACTCCTTCTCTTTCGCAGTGCCAGCTTCCCAATAGTACGGCTTGCCAATCGTCACGGTGAAGCCCTTTTCTCCAGCCCATAGCTTGCGCTGTGCCTCGTCTTCATTGGCGGGAACAAGATGTGTGTAGTTCTCCACGGCCGAAAGCTCCTCCATGGGCCAGGATTTTCCGATGGAGAAGGTACCATTGGCATTCTCCCTGGCCTTGTGCAGCTTGACTCTGCCCGTGTTTCGCACGGATATCATGATGATTCTGGCCTTCTTGTTGTTCGGAGCGGAACTCGGTGGGGGAGGGGACTGGGGGTAGCTGCCATCTTCTTGGACGCGGATGTGGGTGATGTAGGACTCTTGGACTGGCGTGCGTTAGCTTTTACTACAGCATACCGAGCCAGACGCCAGGGACTTGTCAGACGTACGCTGGCCTGAATCATCCGTCTTGGAGAAGCAGCTCTCGGTGATTCTCTTTCGCTCGTCGTCGAATCGCTCGGCGCGCGACATGCCCGAGGGCGTAGAGCTCGTGGCAGAAGGAGCGCCCCTCGAGCTGCCAGGTGGACGCTGTGCAGGAGCTCGCGGATCCCCCGCTCCGTTGGTGTAGTTGCGTGGCCTCCCCTCCATCTTGGTATGAGGCTATCTAGGAGACGGGTTTGGTGGTTTGACGTATGCGTCCAAGTGCGCCGATTACTGCCGCCGGGCGCTAGCGAGAGGTCCTCTGGGAGCTGCCATGAATCGCGAAGGGTAGGAAATGAGTCTTGCGATGCCTGGTCGGTAGGGCGTCAACGAGAGGCAGCGGCGGTGTGTAGCAATCGGAGCGTCCAATGCGGCAGGCCCAGGACAAGTGCTACCAATGCGCAGCACGAGAGAAGAATGTGTGGTTGGGGTGAAAGCACTGCATCAGTTACTGTGCGGAGAGAGACGTCTGGCGTCGTCTACTCCATGTGAGACGGCAGGCGCGCGGGACAGGGATCACGCTTGCAGTCTAGCGCCATCGAGGCGCTGAACCATTCCGCTTGCCTGCCCTAACTTTTTTCTCGTCCAACATTTGCTACCTTCACCTCAACACCCTCACCACACCGCGCTACTACACGACTCACCGAACACATCACGCGCAATGGCTTCCGACAAGAAGGCTTCCAAGAAGTCGGGCGCCGACAAGAAGCAGAAGAAGACATCTGCAACCAAGAACGTCGAGGCTCCGCTTGACGTGATCAAGAACTTCCTCGAGCAGCAGGGAGAGAAGAGCGCTGCTAGCAAGCTCGAGGACTTTGCGCAATCTCTGCAGGATGCTGTGAAGAATGCGCCCGAGCCAATGGACGTGGACGAGGAAAGCGCGTCCAGCAGCGACTCGAGCAGTGATTCCAGCAGCGAATCTGAGGCTGAAGCAAAGCCAAAGAAGGCCAAGAAGACTGCTGCGAACAAGACACCGGCCAAGGAGGACGCCTCCAGCTCATCAAGCTCTTCCGACTCCAGTTCCGACTCATCCAGCGACAGCTCCGACTCTGATTCCGAATCTGAGAAAGAAAGCGCGCCAGTCAAGGCAAAGGCTGTAGTCAAAAAGGCAAAGAAGGCCAAGTCGGTCTCGTCTTCTTCTGCGTCTTCCTCCAGCGATTCTAGCGACTCTAGCGATTCCGATAGCAGCTCCGAAGAGGAGCCTGCGAACGTCCCCCTACCTGACTCCGATTCGTCCGATGCGTCGAGCGATTCCTCCTCGAGCGACTCAGACAGCGATTCCAGCGACTCATCTAGCGACAGCAGTTCCGAATCAGAAGCTGAGAAGAAGACTACAAAGGCGAAGAAGAGCAAGAAGGCCGCCTCGGTCTCATCATCGTCTGCCTCGAGCTCTTCGGACTCTTCAGACTCTTCAGATTCCAGCGATTCCAGCGACTCTGATAGCTCCTCCGACGAAGAGCCAGCCAAGACTAAGAAAACAAAGAAGATCGCCAAGAAGGCTTCCACATCCTCCTCTTCAAGCGACTCCAGCTCTTCCGATAGCTCCTCAGACAGCTCGTCCGACTCCGACTCCGACTCCTCATCCGACAGCAGCAGCGACGACGACGAGAAGAAGCCCGCCGCCCTCGAGCGTAAGACCTCCGCCAGCGACTCTTCCGCCACTCTCCCTGCAAACTCCCCCGCGCCCTCCTCCAACAAGCGCAAAGCCAGCTCCCCCTCCGCCGACGCGCCCAAGTCAAAGCGCAGCCACGTCGAAAACCGCTTCCAGCGCATCAAGCCCGACGTCAAAGTCGACCCCAAGCTCGCTAGCAACGCCTACGTTTCCTACGATTACGCCGACCGCGCGCACGCCAAGTTGATTGTTACAAGGGGAAAGGGATTCACCAAGGAGAAGAACAAGGGAAAGAGGGGTAGTTACAGGGGTGGCATGATCGATACGAGCGGTGGAAAGGGTATCAAGTTCGACGACTAAGCCTGTCGGTAGTGCTGTATTTTGCGGTGGATAATCCGCGAGGCATTCATGAAACTACCAAGAGGATAGACCAAAAACACGCGCCATATGCGCAAGGAGATGGCGAATACGGAGTTATGTTATACTAAAAGCAGCATACCCTTCATTGGCGAGACGAGTGCCAGACTTTGGTTTGTAAGAGGTGGCATTACTCTCGAATTTATAGATTTGTAGACGTTGTGGTCTTGCATTTATTGCACAGTTCTAATACATCTGTACACTCCAGTCTATGCTATTCTGTCCATGTATCGTATCCACGTCCCACTCCGTCTTCATGTCGTGATGCGCATGTTCCCCCATTGTTCTGTCCTGCTTTCATTTATTGAAAAGCGCATCGTTCCTTCTTGTCATTCCAACAACCAATATAGTTTACAGGATCCCCACCACACGCAAATACATCCTACAGTATGTGCTAACCCCTCACTTCTCCTCTTGATACTCAACCGGCAAGTTAATGCCCACCCTCCTCGCGCTCAGCCTGACCCTCTCCTCTTCCGTCATACCCATACCCGGATTATATCGCTCGAGCAGCGTTGAATGTGTGCGTTGCGCCTGTACGTATTGGATAAACTGTTCCGCCTGCGCAATTTGGCTTTGGGCGTTTCCGGTTGGGCTCGGCCGGGAGAGTGTTTGACGTATACGTTGCTGGAGTTTTGACGGCGAAGAGAGCTTTTGGTGCTGCGTGCGCGTTGTCTGGGGTGTGGAGGGGAGTTCGCGGAGGAGACGCCGGTATATGGATCGGATCTGGGGTGTGGGTGTTTGTGCCATTTTGTTTTTTTGTTTTTATTATTGAGCGAATTGACTCGGGATTATACGTGATTGTAGGGTGACAGTAGGTTTCGAGATTGGGTGTTGAAGAAGTTCACTGCGGAAGTGCTGCGGCGAAAACATGGCAGTTGTAACGCTTGGACCAAGCGTGAACTTCATCATCCACCACCAGCTACCCAGAAGAACTTCGGGTGCGAAACGGGATGAATAAGTTACCGCCGAGTTCGCGTTATGTATGTCGGGATTGCATACAACGGTTATCGCGCCAACATTCTACGCTCCTCACGCGTCCGCAATCGCGCCCGCAGTCCACCGATACTGCATCTCAAGATGATGCGCCGAACGCGAGGCTACGGATACACAAGCATTGGAATGGAGATGCCAGGGCGAAATTCAGGGTGACGTCGCCCACAAGGAATACACTGCATATGAGCAAGACAAGGAGTAATTTCCACCTGGAGTTGAACGAAGAGCAAAAACCGAACGTGACAAACGAGGAACCGCGACAGATGTCGATGCGAGAGAGACGCATGCGGAGAAGAGCAGGAATACACGGGTCCTCGACAGTTGCATCCGTGGAAACTGCGCCACTGCCAGCACGGATCAGGCGAGAAATCCGTCAGGAGATGGGAAATGTGGAAGCAGGAGGAGATGCAATGGGGGACGCATTATCGCAACTCGAGGCACAAGTGCCAAAACAAGCGGGGCGGAAATCCAGAGGTCAATTGAAGACTGAGCAAGCAGGAAAGCATGCGTCATCGCAGCTTGAACCACAAGTTGCTACACAACCAGCGTCTCGAAAGAAGCGAATGGGAAAGGACCTTGAGCCAGAGCTGATACCATCTCCACCCTCAGCACCTCTAGGCACAAAACCAAAGTCCCAGCCAACCACCGAGACTCCAGTCAGTGCCGAATCACTTGCCCGAAACAAACTCCAAGGTTTCAATTGGTACTGGGACACCTTCCCTCCCACCATCGCCCAGAAAACCACCGCAAACACCTTCTTCAACACCCACGGCCGCGCTGCAAAACTCCTGCGCAGCGTCGCTCAGTTCCGCCTGTTCCCCGAATCCGATGTGCCAGAAGTAGCTTTCGTAGGCCGCTCCAACGTCGGCAAGTCTTCCCTCCTCAACGCCGTCATGGGCGCCGATATAAAGGCCCTCTTAGCCCGCACCTCGTCCACCCCCGGTTTCACAAAGACGATGAATTTGTATGGCGTCGGCGCAGGCAACGGCGTTACGATTAAGAAGACGGCGCCGAATGGGAGGGAGAAGATTGTGGGGATTGGAGGTATGACGATTGTTGATATGCCGGGGTATGGAGAAGGGAGTTTGGCTAGCTGGGGAGCAGAGATTATGAAGTATATTACGAATCGGAAACAATTGCGAAGGGTATTTGTTCTGATCGATGCTGAGCATGGGATCAAGGATAAAGACCGCTCGCTGCTTGCTTCGTTACGATTAGCAGGCGTCAGCCATCAAGTCATTCTATCCAAGCTAGACAGAATCTACATCCCCAATGCCAAGGACATTAGGCGGCATGATGGGAAGGCGCTGAGGCGTCTGAGTCCGAAGGGTACAATCGAGGAACTTAGGAAGGCGATGGAGAAACTCAAAGCAGATATTCAGCCGCCGGTTGGTGGTGGTGCGCTGGGGGAGGTATTGGGAGTTAGTGCGGAGACGATGGTGGAAGGAAAAAGGTTGGGAGTTGACCACGTGAGATTTGCGGTATTGAAGGCAGTGGGGTTGGATTCCAAGTATCAGAAGGAAAGTGCGATGAAAAAGGAGAGTGGTATTGATCAGAACACTCTGAGTTGGAAGTAGGAAGATGACCAAAGGTCAGGATTTATACACCTCCCCGACCATGAGCCCTCCATAAACGCCTCATAACTTCGCCCGCAGCTCGCGCTCTGGTATCTCAGGTAGAGGCGACTCCAAACTCTTTGGAATCAAATGTTCCACATCGCCTATGTTGAGATACCGTGGATGGCATTGCGAGAGCGATGTTATGCCCAGTAACCGCATCGTCGTTTCCAACTCGTCTTTCATAATATCGATAAAGTGCTCCACACCTTCTTGCCCGTATGTCAACGAGTACAGGAATGGACGACCCATACCAACAGCCTTTGCTCCTAGACATAGAGCCTTGACTATGTCTGTTCCACGTCGGACGCCACAGTCAAGGTAAACTTCCAAGTGGCTGAAGACTTCAGGGTGGTGGCGGCGGATTTCGAGAAGCGTCAGTAGGGAGGGTGGCGAGCTACGAGATGTCAGCACAATATCCAGTTGATGCAGATCATTGGATGTAGGAGTCTGGCATACGTGTCTAGATTACGTCCTCCATGGTTAGTTATCACGATACCATCTAACCCGTGTTTCATAGCTAATACTGCGTCTTCGGCTGTTTGGACACCTTTTGCAACGATGGGTAATTTTGTGGCTTTGCGGAGCCAGGCGATGTCGTCCCAGTTGAAAGTGTCGTCGATATACCCGCCCATTGTGCGACCCAGACCACCTCCTTTCTTATCGTTTGTTGCTGCTGCCCCACTGATCGCTGCTTTGGCAAACGTTGCTGATTCGACTTTTACACGCTCATCTCCTTCTCTTTTGCCTTGTACAGGCCCATCGATGGTAAACCATACTCCCTTGATCCCATTCTTTTCTGCGTCTTTGAGAAGAGCTTCCGAAGCCTTGCGGTCCTTGTTGACGTAAAGTTGGAAGAAGAATGGTATAGAATCTTTTTGTACGCTCCCAGTAATTTCCTTGATGGTAAACGATGCGTTTGTCGAAATACACTGTGCCACCCCATAGCCCTCACACCCCCTCGCTAATGCCAATTCCCCATCTGGATGCGCCAATCGCGCCATTGCAGCCGGACTTACGAAAAATGGTAACTCGACCTTTTGTCCTAACATACTCGTGCTAGTATCAACATGACGAATGTTCCTCAATAACCTAGGTCGGAACCAGATTCGGTCAAACATGCTCTTATTCGCGTCTCTCGTCACGAGGTTTGTTGCACCACTCGAGTAAAAAGCCCATGCTTTCTTGCCGAGAACCTTTTCAGCTACGGCCTCGAAGTCATGACTGTTGATTAGGCTGGCTAATGGGGGTTCAGAAGCAATCGAGAGGGCCGGTTGGGTGGCTTCTGTTGGCGGTGGCTTTAAGAGATCGTAGGAGGGTGTGGAGGAGGACACCTTGCCGATACATTTACTGGAATCTAGGGTCTTCGATATCAACGTGGACGAGTGAACGGAATTGTAGGTTAGCGAGGCGTCGAGACCGGCGTGTTTGGTTATTACTGAATAATGTTAGCATGGTTCCCTTGAACGGTATTGCTCAGTGCGTTGAAACATTCTTGAACAACACAAGTATCACTAATGGATACTCCAAACGTGCTGTTCTTTCTCGCGACAGACTCTAGGACTAGCTCTGCTTGTTCAAGAAGCCGATACATAGTTCGCAATCGTTGTCAAGCACAGGTAGATATTGCTTACTTTCATTGCCGCCAGGATGACTGGGAATAAATTCTGTTATGTCCCATACCACATCATCTACCACAATCCAGCAGTCCTGCTCACTCGCATGCTTTTTGATTTCTTCTACAGAAACAGCCTTTTCTGCCATGTCTTCAGAGGTCTTGTCAAGAAGTGTCAGTACGCCAATTGAACTAAAATGACAACTCAAATCGGAAACGTTGGTAATCTATGCGAGGCTGTCAATTGGCGGCGGAAGTTACCTCGCTGGCTGATCTACCGATGCTGATTGCGGAGAAGTGGGTCCGGCGGAAACTCCGATGCCTCGCTGGGAGCGACGAGCCTCCAACATCTGCAACCGCGGCCGACATCACCACCACTTCCAGGCACCTGACAGCTACGGATATTGGAGACCGGGAGGAGAAAGTCTCGCGAGCGCAATGTCTGCGTTCCGAGTCCGCGCAATCGGTCAAGATACCGCTCCGATGACAGGCGCGTGCGGTATATGAGTGTGATTCGGCATAGTTGTCTCTGATAGCATATCGTTAACAAAATAAACTTCTGACTTCATACCAATCCGATCTTCTCACAAACATCATGCGTATTCTTATCACAGGGGCCGCTGGCTTCATCGGCCAACTCGTAGCGAAAAAACTTCTCGATGACGAGAAGGGCGCGCATTCTCTCATCCTGACCGACATCATCGAACCGCCCATCCCAGACGCCCGTTCCCGGAGTCAGGCACAAGCCATCAAGGCAGACTTATGTACGGAAGCAGATTCCGTCGTTACCAAAGACATAGATGCCGTCTATGTCTTCCACGGCATCATGTCCTCAGGCGCCGAAGCTGATTTCGAGCTGGGTATGAAAGCAAACTTTGACGCAACCCGCGCATTACTCGAAGCCATCAGGAAGACATGTCCAGGAGCAAGAGTGATCTACGCCTCAAGTCAGGCAGTATACAACAACTCCGTCACACTACCTGTCACGGAATCTCAAATGCCGGCACCAGAGACGAGTTACGGTGCGGAGAAGATGATGTGCGAGTACCTCATCACTGAATACACACGGCGCGGCTTCATCGATGGTATCTCACTTCGCTTCCCTACGGTCTCGGTACGGCCAGGAAAACCAACCGCTGCAGCGAGTTCCTTCATCAGTGGCATGATTCGCGAACCGATGAATGGCATCAAATGCGTTATTCCATTGGAAGACAAGCAATGGCGACACTGGCTCTGTTCTCCTCGCATCCTGGTCCAGAATCTAGTCTACGCGGCTACAGATTTCGATATCAACCGCCTCGCAAAGTTCGACCGCTGCTTAAACTTCCCTGGCATTGGAGTCTCAGTGCAGGACATGATGGATTCGCTTGCTAGGGTAGGTGGTAACGATAAGCTTGCATTGCTAGAGATGAAGGACGAGCCTACACTCAAGAAGATACTATATTCTTGGCCTGCGGAATTCGACAATGCGAAGGCTTTGAATCTGGGGTTTGCGAGAGATACTGGGTTTGATCAGATTGTAAGGGATTATGTGGACGGGTTGGCGCCAAAGGCTAGTGTGAGGGGGGACGAGAGAACGAGCCAGAAGGTTGAGAATGTACGGGTGAATGCTGTTGAAGTAGCAGCGTGATGCTGCGCGCTGTAGTATAGCTAGAATACATCAATATCTCACATCTCAAGATCATGTGTCAACTCTGATTATGCTCGAGTCAGTCAGCACGCTTCGACACGTATGCATAATCTCTATCACATGAACTGCTTCGTTATCAGAACAATCTATTTCCATAACTGAACCAGCGTGTTGCGATTTGGTCAACACCAATGATCTCATACCTTCTCAATGTGTCTGCTGCATGCAGTGTAAACATATCCACAGGCCGTGACTAGACGCATGTGCTGCATGTGCTGCATGTTGGCACAATGCACCGGCTCTACATGAATAACCGTGATCGGCACAACCCCCGACCTCCCCTCAGTTCCCTCAGCAAACATCATCGCTAACTCGCCCAGGAGCCGACGGTGTACCACAAGGCCTCGTCTCGAGTACATCTCGGTCAACACGCCGTGGTCTCTAGCCTTGGCTGACCACGACAACTGTAATTCACAAGGACGATCTTACCCGGTCTGAAGATATGTCGTACTGCGGGAATCCCCGCACCCCATGCCACACTAAACTCGATAATGCTGACGATTAACACAACGTGATATGGGGAGTTGGAAGACTAGTATAAGAAGTGGCTACCCCAGGTTTGTGGGGTAGCGCCATCCACGCTTCCGCTCTAGAGCGCCTCACTACCGTCTTCACCATTCGCGCCGCTCTATCATTGCCATGGACGTCGAAAAGCATTCTCTCGAGAAAGACCTGGCCTTCGAGCACATTGAAGCAACGAATGAGTCTCGCAACCCAGTACCGGAGATCCTACGCGGTCACACACCTGATCAACTCAAAGCTCTCGAAAAGAAACTCGTGCGGAAAATCGATTTTCGAGCCCTGCCTATTCTAATCGTGCTCTTCTTGCTCAACGTGCTCGATCGAAATGCCATTGCTAATGCACGCCTCGGGGGTCTGGAGGCGACACTGGGCATCGACGATGTGCAGTATCAAACCGCTGTGATGGTATTGTGGGCTGGTTACATCTCCATGATGATACCATCGAACATGCTTCTCTCCATCTTCAGGCCCAGGCTGTATCTGCCAACAGTGGTCATCATTTGGGGTGTCGTGTCTGGTGCCACTGGCTTTGTGCAAAACCACGCTGGACTGGTTGCGCTCAGGTTCCTGGTTGGTGTAACGGAAGCGCCCTACTTTCCTGGGTGCATCTTCTTCCTCTCATGCTGGTATACACGAAAAGAGCTACCAAGCCGCATTGCTACTTTTTACTCCGGATATACCCTCTCTTCTGCCTTTGGTGGGTTGATCGCAGCAGGTATTGTCGATGGCATGGAAGGACTTGGTGGCTATCCAAGTTGGCGCTGGTAAGTCGTGACTATACAGACGCATCTGAGACATACACTGACTTCGTACTCCCACATCTCCAGGATTTTCATCTTAGAAGGAGCCCTAACGATTATCATGGCCTTTGCTGGGTATGCTCTTCTGCCGAACTATCCTTCGAACACGCCTTTCTTGTCACCAGAAGAGACAGCGATGGCACAATGGCGACTCAATCGCGAAAACGATGGTGTTGCAGATGAAGTGAACGATTCCGTGTTCGTTGGGCTCAAGCAGGCGTTCTCCGACCCGAAAGTGGTACGTACCTTCTCTGCCTTATGTTTTCTTCCCTAGAACACTACGGTCGACGCCGTAGATCGATCTCGAGAATTTTTGTCTTCGTATGCGTTGCTAACCTTAGACACCACCTCTAGCCGCTCCTTGTCTTCATCCAGACATGCGCCGTTGTATCTATGAGCTTCACCTACTTCTTCCCCTCTATCGTGCAGACACTCGGCTTTCCCCGCGTGGAGACACTTCTGCTCACTGCACCTCCCTACTTCCTTGCATTCATTTTCTCCGTCCTGAACTCGTGGCACTCCGGGCGTTCAGGCGAGCATTGCTTCCATATCGTGGCCGCATGCGTTATATCCGCGGTTGGTCAGATCATCTCCATGTCAACATATCAGACCGGGCCTCGCTACTTTGCCATGTTTCTGCAGGCTATGGGGTCTTTCTCCGCCTTCCAACTGATTCTGCCATGGGTCTCGGCAACAGTCGCACGGCCAAAGGCGAAGAGAGCGGTCACACTTGCACTGGCAACTGCTGTGTCGAATGCGACAAACATCGCTACCGCTTATCTGTACCCTGCATGGAGCGCACCGTAAGTATAACAGCCCATACCATGTGAACTTTTGCTAACGACACAACGCAGTCTCTATCGCATGGGCTGTATCGTGTTGACAGTGGCACTCCTTTGCTGCGCAACCGCGTCATTGGTGTTGCGTTTCTGGCTGCAGAAGCTGAATCGGAAGTCGGATCAGGTTATGGGCCTGGAGGGCGTTGCCAATGGGCCCGGTCTCCTTTTCCGCTACACTCTGTAAATCTGCTGCAAGCACAGACATGCGGTGCAGGTTGTAGTGTATTGTGATATTGCGATACCTTTCGAATTGGTTTTGCCCTTACGCTATCAGGTGACACTTCCGGGCCGTAACGAAACCTCAAGATTCCCACGTGTGTTGATCTGTGTGATACTGCCACTGGGTAGATTGAACCGACGACCGCGATTGCAGTGATAGTGGGCGTTCTGAAGGGCATCAGACGTGGGATGTCAAGACGTCGCCGACTAGCACCTACCACCACCATCAGCCCGTATCCCAACCACCGTATGCATCGAGATATCCTTAATATGCTGTTCTCGCCATGGAATCCTTCGTCGCGTTCGGAATCGCGTTACATCAAGGGAACATTTTCGATAAGAAGTTAGCACCAGGCGCAAGGGCCACGGGAGGGGAAGGCGGCTTCCCGTAGCCGTACCTCATCCTCCATCATCCACTTCGATATGATACAACCCCACGTTTTGAAACTCTGGATTTGAGCTTGGAAAGCGCGCGATGGATGATGTTGGTTTCGGCGAGATGGACGCGATGCCAATTTTGACAATGATGGCGTTACTCCTGCAGCGTGGGGGCTGAAGCCCGGAGGCTGAACTGGCAAGTGCTTTGCAGACGCTGTTTCAGCCTCGCATACTCGTGATGCTGCGCCGCATCCTACTCTTGCATCCCAGTACGCCTACACAGGGAGAACTAGACGATTACAAAATGGCTATAGCGAACCACCATTATGAACTACCTTTCTTGCGTTACCTCAGTTGCTCTTCGCGAAAGTTAACTGAGGCCTTTCGTTTCCATTGCTTCAACATTTGGCACTTACGTACGATCGATCCCCAGGAGACATCAAGATATGCCATCGACGACTGAACATACCGGAAAACCCCGGTTAACCCGAAAGATATTGGCCGATGAGAAGGTTTTCTTTGACGCTAAAGTCCACGGAAGGGAGGATCTTCCTGAGTGGTTACGACCCATATGCCACGACGTAAGATGGGCACGCACAAAAGTTCCAAAAAGCAACAGAAAGATTTTTGACCGGGAAATCGAGGATTTTAAGCGTCATGGGCAGGATGGAGAAACTGCGCAGGATTCAAGATGGAGTTTGAAACCTCGTACTTATCTGTCCAGAAAAGGCCTCCGTAGAGGAGAGGTGTCGCCAGCCGAGACTGAGATAAATAACGTAATTGATGACTGCAAGAGAGTCAAGGAACAGGCGACGGAGTTGCGCAGGGGAAAAGTACCAGAGGATCCATGGACGTCTCTTCTGAAAACAGAGTTCTTCAAGACCTACAGAGAGGTCCATCCCACCAAGGATAGGCACAGGTATGCATTCTTGCAACGGTTCCAGATCCCCTTTGCTGACTATTTTTAGGGAACTGTATCACCGGTGGGAGCTGTGAGTTACAGTATGCTACTTGTTCAAGTTCAAGTTAACATTCGTATAGCCACCAGAATCATCTTTGGAACGATTGCCCAACGAAGGGAGCCTCGACGAGCCCGGTACGAACTGAGCCAAAACCGGATTTTGCTTATTTATTCCCAATCATTGATCCCGCCTGCAAGGTGGCGAGGAGACTTCACTTCGACTCCAGAGTCAACAATTTCACGCTTCCCGTTCTCAGCGAGCTGCGGAAGACACGAAGGGTGATCTCGTCGCCAACCACAGCCTTACTGAAATGTGATCCAACAAATCTGGACAATATGGGTTCTTCAGATCTGGTGTGCTTTCCTTGGGCTATTGTCGAGGTCAAACATGGCACGGGAAGAGGCGACAAGACAGAATTCTGTTATTGTCAAGCTGCAAATGGATCGGCTGAAGCGCTCATCATGCGAGAGAGATTGGCCGCGAAAGTAGACTCTCCAAATACCAACGCCCTGGTCATCTTCTCGTTTACCTGCGTGGGTCCTAGTGTTCGTCTTTGGCTCACGTTCAGACACCAAGTGAGTACGATTCTGGTGAATCATAGGTCATGCATGACTGACATCTATTAGCAGAGTAGGCAAATTCAAATGCGCTGCATTTGGGCGACTTCCCTCGAGCTTACCTGGGGAGTTTTTGCACTTCGTATGGTAATCGACAATGTGCGCAATTGGGCGTTCAATGAAGTGAAACCTGAGATATGCAAATGGATATCTCATGTTCGCTCGCATCCAATGTCTCAGACCTTCCTTGATCTAGATGGCAACCAAGTCGAACGACGGAGGAGGGCCAAGTCTCTTGAGCCGGACGACGAGAGAGCTCCAGTTCGAGCTTCCCTGCCGGAGAGACCTGCATCCCATTCTAAGCTTACCTCGGCATATGTCAGAGAAAACACTGTATCAAGACACGAGCGCTCACCCAGTCCTCTGGCTCGTCGATCGGCCCCACCAATGAGTCCCTCCGATGACGATGATGAGGAAGAAGAAGAAGAGGACGAGGAGGATGAGATTTTGGTGCTTGAGGCATACGACTCAGGTGATGATGAAGATTATGTCCTAAGTGATAATGCATCAGGCGACGACGATGGATATACAACTGTGGAAGAAGAATCATATGACACCAGCGGAGATGAGGACGAACCCGATGAAGGATATTTGAAGGATACCGCATACAAGGCCCTGAACGAAGCTGAATTCTTGTTGAAGCTGCGAGGCCGTAAGAGTATCTGCTGTTAAGCTGGTCATGGTTGAGTGTTTGGATCACTGTCTTCAGAGAACGGTCTGCTTTCTTTTTAGTGTTCGGTATTGCTTTCTCGTAAGTATCAACCTGTAGTATTAGATAGACTGATCTTTATAATGGACGCCTTTGACATACTTCTTCTTCGAAACAGGTTGGCTAGTTCTTCCCTTGTCCGTACTGGCCGAACGCCCAGGTGTGTGTGCACCATGTCGTTGCTCGCTGTGCTTTCTCCATCGAATCAATGCCAAAACTCCTTCATACGTCCGTACCCTGGCAAGGGTTTGAGCCCTACCGCAAATCCTCGGACTGTAAAACGTTACTCATTACGGTTTGCATTCTGAGCAATAAGAGAAAGCGACATAGCCGGTAAAGACGAGTTACACCTCCACTCCATTCCAGGATCGGAGTCGAAATTATCTTAGATCCAACGTGTTACGCATGAAGTTGGACGGAAAAACATTGTTATGAGTGATAGCAGGGACATCGGCTTTGACATCATGGTCGCTGTCATGTTGGTCAGACATGAAAAAGGAAGTGTGAAGACGATGCATGTCGGATGAAGAGGATATACAGACCTTTACGAGTGGCACAAAAAGCTTTTCTTTTTCTAGAATGTAAGAAAATGGCCATCACAGCAATATCAGCCTGGTTGGTAGATTCGCTAAGGCGTGCATCGTGGCGTCGCTGTTTTGAGCGTACCAATGTAAGGAGTAGAGCTCTGTGCCACAAGCAAGGATGTTCATTGTTCAATTCCAGGAAGACAATACGGTGGAGTTTCAGCGGCATTCCTCATGTGACCAGTGGAGGACATGTCTACAAGAATCGGCTGACTAGGAAAGCGGATTGGGGATTCGATGAACTGAGCCAGGGTACTCAAGTATTGATGAGCGAGTGTTGAATAGCATTCGAATGAGAACTTGGGCATCATCTGCACAATGCATCAAGAATAGATCTCAGCGGCGTCTGGTGCGTGGTGCGTGCAAGACCGGAGTGATACCTTTATACGTTTTACTGCTTGGTCTTCCTCGTGTGCACTTCTCATGACGCATCCGGTGTTTTGCGACCCATACAACAAAGTTGCGACCAACAGGCGTGACACCTCGGGCTATCGACCAAGGCTCCAGGCAATGAGAAGCGAAGATCGGCCGGTGCCATTCAACGGCGATGGGGGCCTTATTGGTAAGATGAGACGGAGCCAGTGGTGCAGCGCTGGACGGCGAGTTGTTAGTAGGACACAAGATAGGAGAAGTGGGGTCGGCGTTAGATGGAAGTAGCAGGAGCGGCGCCACATGGGGAAGTTGCGAATCTTCCCCTGAGGCTGAATCAGAGGCCGAGGATGGGCAGCGAGAGAGTGGACGCGAGATGTCGTGCAGGGCGCACTGACGGTGTTGTCGGCAAGGATGGTTTGTGTTTGCCCAGGTCGTTGTCTAGGCAAAGATGTTGTGGATGGTTCGCGCGAGATTTTCAGGCTAGCCCAGTTGGCTCTAGCGCCGACTGCATCATACTGTACCAGCCTCCAGGCCAAACAAAGACTACTCTTTCCTTGGTCGATGAAAGCAGATCGACGTCTGCAACGCGCCTCTCTTTCGCTCAATTACTCTGCCGTCACCTTGTACCTTGGTCTCCAAAGCTCCCGCACCTCGACATGGCAGCTACGCGTTGCTAGAAAATCCTCGACGTGCCTGTACCGTCGCGTCGTGAGCTACACGCACACGTGCCCCTCCCACCCAGCATATCATCTATTACGCCTCGAGACCAGCCCCGGCCGCTCTCCCACGTATGGCAGCAGTAGCTGTCCCTCCGTCACCCCAGGTTCCAGTAGTCATGTCGAACCGGCGCGTCCCCCTCGCCAACCTGCAAAACGCTACCAATTCCCCGTTACGCGCGACGGCCATAGGAGGAAAGCGCCAACGCTCACACGCCAGTGAGCAGCGCGACGTCCTCTATGGCCAACCGCCGCCCAAGAAACAAGTCATCCAAGTCGATGATGCCGAAGCCCATCGCCATGGCCTGGTCCGTCGGAGTGGGGCCCAGCCCACGGCTTTGACCCGCAAGCTGGAAGCAGCAAGAGAGTCAAAGGCCCCGTCCAAGCAGGCCGCCCAGCGAGCGTCCAACGACCTGGAGACGATCCGACAGTGGCAGCGTCACTATCGCAAGCTGTTCCCTCAGTTTGCTTTCTACTTTGACAGCGTGCCAGAAGCCCAGAAAGACAAGCTGATGCATAGGGCAAAGCACCTAGGTTCCGTACGTCTGCCATGTCCTATCCTACTCCCATCTTGCTAACAATCTTCAGCGTGAGGTCAATTTTTTCTCCCGAGAAGTCACCCACGTCATTACGACGCGTTCCATTCCTGCCGACCTCGATGGCAGCTCATCCACCCACAAGGGCACCGTCAACCCGGCTCAGCTGGAGAACAAGAAGTCCATCTTCGATGCCGCCCTGGAGAGATCTGACCGCGGTGACATCCTGCACAAGGCTAAGAGCTTGGGCATGAAGATATGGTCTGTGGAGAAGTTGCAGCGGATGGTAGACACCATGTTCAACAAGGAGACCGGTGAAGATGCAGCTAGCCACCCGACGCGCCACGCCGTGGCCTCGCAGCATCAGAAGGGCCGTCCTGCTGACCTACAGAGGCTGCTGCAAAACGAGAAGATGGATCGCGACTACGTCATGGCCTCGCAGGACATGATCCCTCTTCGTGGCTACTACGTATACGTGCACGACATGGATGAGGTCACCCGACCTGTTATGATCCGAGAATATCAGAAAGTCGAGAAAGAGAAGGGCAAGTGGCCACAGTTCCGTGCCTCGGGTAATGGCAAGTGTCCGTTTGTTGAAGATCCCCATTTCGGCCGCCGACAGCAGGAAGAGCAGGAAGCACGTCGAAGGCAGGCAGCCCAGGCTCCACGGACGCGTGCTGTCTCAGCCATGGAAGAGAAGAGTGCTCTAGTAGAGAACAACAACTTGGCCAGGCGTCCCAGTGCCCCTGCTGCCATCGTCAAGGAAGAGCAGGATGCGGATGCAAAGCCCTTAGACCCCCCGAAGGGCCTCCCACCCAAGCGATGCAACACGGCAGACGGCCCACCACCCATGTTTGGCAGTGCTCAGGCTAGCATCCGAGCCATGCCCCGTTTTATTGCTGGTGAGCCAGTCGCGTCTGGTCTACACCAATCCAACATCACCTCCGCCATCCGCTCGCAGATGATATCCTCAACTGCTGCCGCGCCGCGTGCTGGAAACAGCAAGGAGGTGAACCAACTGAAACGAAAGGTCCTCGAGAAGAACAGCGTACCGTCGGCGAATACGAATAGTGGCCATTCGTCCGTCACAAACGATGTGAGGGCTGCGCTCAGCTATGAGCATTCTCAACCCATGCGAGCAGCCAAGCGCAAAGCTCAGGAGAATATGGGCCATGCGCATGATGACGGTGATGAAGAGAGACAAGCTCGTAAAGCAGCAGCCCTCCGCAGGCGCAAGACTGTTGAGAAGGAATTGAAGCCTGGCTACTGCGAGAACTGCAGGGAGAAGTTCAACGACTTCGACGAGGTACGAATCATGACTGTGCATTTTGCGAGCTACACTAACATTCCACAGCACATCCTCTCACGCAAGCACCGCAAGTTCGCTGTCACCACCGAGAACTGGGTCGAGCTAGACCAGCTCCTCGCCCAACTTGATCGTCGATGAGCCCTAGGGCTCATGCAGACTACACGGCCACTCATTGCATCCCTTACGGCGTAATGCACGACCTCACTAATACCCACGACATAATTTCCTTTCGCAAATATCTGTTCACTTCTCGCCCCTGGGCGCATGGCATTACTCTGCGAGCGAATACCCGTTTCCCATAAGCATTTTCGAGGCGCAGCTTCTGCCTTTCCATCCCTTTTTCTTGGCGAACATAAGCTTGACTTGACTCTCCGATTTTCCTTTACCACAGTATTAGGCCAACGATCTTCGATCCCTGGTGGGCTAACGATGCATGCCGTCCCCTTTGTATATAGCTATTGCGTCCAATGGCCTTCGGGTCACAAATTCTGCTGGTTCATTTGCGATATGCAAACCGGCTGGCTGGTGGTGTGCGTGCGCGCGCGTGTGTTTCTATCAGTAAAACGTGGGTTGGTTGGTACTACTATGGAGGTTTGTAGAACATTGTCACACGGGAGAGGTGAGTATACTTGGCGACGAACAAGCGGATGAGCGCCCTAATGGAGGCTTATGTTATATATCATTATCGTATCAGATATGTAGAAAACACTAGATATCAATGCGAAAGATGATAAGGTTGATTGGGTGCCTTTTGCTTTTTTAAGAAGTGATGTTGGTGTGGTGGGGCGGTGATTGGTTGGTTGGGCAGTTACACCTGACCATCGCTTCTACCTAGAACGACCATCAATAATCACTTTGCATGAGTCCATCTTCTTTTATTTTGTAATTCCTTCTTAGAACATTGAACGGTCTGTTTATTGTACTCACGTTGAACTCACTTCGCTCCACAACGATAAACATACACTCACACAATGTCTCAATCACCAAAAGAGAGGATGCCAGAAGACGACGACACAACAGAAGCGCCTCTCACCATGGCCGCGTCAGTCGTGTTGACCAACCTGCCGAAAGATGCTTCGAAAGCGTTAGAAGCTGCCGGGAGCCTCGCTGTACAGAAAGGTATATTGGATTGTTTTTCCATTCATCTATACTATGGAACGGGGATCCACCGGCGATATCACCCTCTTCACAACTCTCCTTCCCATCTCATTCCATCTCACCTACATCTCTCTTTTCTGGCCCTTGCCCCCAACTCCACGCAACTAACCGCCCCCCTCTTCTTACAGTGACAATTCGTCTCCAACCCATAGGCTCAGCCCCGCACCTAACTCAACGCATTTTCAAGCTTGGCACAAACTCGACGTTTGCAACGATAGTACGGTTCCTCCGGGGACGACTCCGCGTCAAGGAGCATGAGAGTGTGTTTTGCTACGTGGGGAGTGTGTTTAGTCCTGGGTTGGACGAGGGCGTAGGGAATCTTTGGAGTTGCTTTAGGCAGGGTGAGGAGCTGGTTGTGGGGTATGCTATTAGTCCGGCTTTTGGGTAAGGACTAGGAGACAGACGGGGATGAGGGATGGATGGATGATAAGGTCATGATGCTAATCCAGCATTTGGGCCAGAGTGGATTGTGAGTGCAGGGGGGGCGGGTTAGCAGGTGCGTTGGTTGGGAATGGTGCGTTGGTTGGGAATGGTGCGTTGGTGGTGCAGAGTCGAATTGGATGGTTTGGGAACAGAGTCTTTGAGGGTGTTTATCGCTCTATAGGACGTCGTCCAACGGCATACTAAGAAAGAAAATGACAGGAAGCTACGAAACGTCCAACGAGTGAAAAGAAGAAAAGCGAGTTATCTATACCTTGACTATGCCCCAGGAGAATTTACAATCCCCTTTCACAACTCATATGTGATAGATCCGTCTGACCCACAATTATCATTGTGCTCTCCCCTTGTACTTTACATCAACGCCACGCTTCCTTCTCTCCCCATTCCTCACACTATCCACCATCTCAACTTCAAGACTACATTACCAGGTCAGCTCATCACCAAACATTGGATAACCACAGACTGTTACAGTCACCCAAAAATGTGCGAATACCTCATAACTCACTATAAGATATGTGGCTGCAGCCATCGGGAGATGTATCAACGATGCCAATACTACTGCGAACAGGCGCATCGTCGTTGTCTTAACGCGAAAGCAATCATTTTCCGTAGGTTGTATTTCGATGATTGCTGTTTCGCACACGGAGGATGTTAAGAGATGGAGAAATGGCGATGCGGAAATGCAGAGTATGCAATGAGGAGTGATCATCAAAAAAAAACGTACGATACCATCATGTGAGGTAGTAGAAAGAAAGACGAACAAGACAATGATTCAATTGAACCAAAAGCTCACACTAAAACTAGGTGTGAGACTACGTATATAATGCCACCAACCTACAGGAAGATAAAGACACTCACCCGGGGCTAGAATGCCTTCAATATACCTCGCATCCTTGAACCCAGGAAACTCTTCTTCAAATTCCCTTCGCCGTTCACTTGACAAGCTATCAACCTCCCAGCAACTCACCTCCCCCAAAACTTCCATCCCCTCGTCCAAATCAACACGACTAGTATTGCTCATATCCACTCCGCCCCCCTCCATCCCTCTCGGATACAACCGCTCCGTCTCCTCCGGGGCATACAACCTCGCGTACTTGTACCCCACGACCTGTGCAAGTATATTGTGGTACGGATCAGTATGCAGAGGCGAAACAGTCCCCTTAGGTCCAAACCAAGCATTAAGCAATGGTTCTTCGAGCTTCGGGACAGGTTTAATGTGTGTGAGGTGCGGGGAAGGGGCGGGTGAGGAGTAGCAGTAGTCAGGTATGCTAATATCGGCGCGGAGAGATGGAATCTGGGCGAAGAGGTCGTGCTGAGCTAGGTAGCCTGTCGGTGGTGGTGTTGGCGTCTGACTGCCATCAGCTCCGTCACAATCAGGACTACCCACATTGTCCATGTGTGATGTAGCCGAGACAGCATCTTTCGCGCCTTCGAGCATGTATGTCTCCATAAAGGCGCGGAAAGTGGTTATGCGCTGACCCCAGCCTTCGTCTGTGTAGCTCTTGCCCACTTCAACGGGTATGAGGCGTCTACCACCGAGTGTCTGCTCGAGCAAATATGCTGGGTTGTTCCACGGTCGCTCGTCAAGTGCGGGCCAGTGCTGTATCGCACCTTCGATAATAACAGGTGTATGCATAGTCGTGTCACCAACTCTCTTCTGGAAAGCCTCCAGACTGAGTTCTCTCGTTCGATGTATCGCGTGTCGGATGGTGGGCGAGGGATTGGGTAGCACCGTCGGGAAGCTCGTTGGTACACAGGAGGTTTGACGTGAAAACGATAGCATCCTCCGTTTGTTCGGGGGCTCGGAAGCGTCAGCGTCGATGTTGGAGTTTCGTCCTGGAGGCGTTAGGACAGCTTTCAACGCTGCAAACCACAGCTCCACGAGCTCCTCTCTCTCGGGTGCGCCTGTCAATATAAGCGTCATATCCAGTGTTCGTACCACGTCGTCAACCCAGGCATGCTTCTCAGCGGCAGCATTGCTTCGCTCTTCATCGTATCTACCCTTTGCGAATTGGCCATGCTGATCGTCTACCACCTTCACCACCTTCCATAGGCTCGCATCCGCATACAACCTGCGCCAGCACGTCTTCACCTCCTTGTACGGCACATCGTGTAATTTCTGATAGGCGAGCTTCAATGCTAGGTCGGAATCAGAGGGAAGCAGCGCCAGCGCAGCGCGTCCGCATTCACGGATCGGGTCGGTTGTCTGCGTGTGGGTGAGTTCTTGACGGGTTAGTTGGATGATCTCGAGGAGCGTGGGCGCGTCATTGTTCATTTCTGACGTGCTACCAGATGATGATGGCGGGTGGGTAGGTTGTGCTACTGCTCCAAGGTTCAAGCTGTTGCTAATAGTGCGAGCTATGACCGTCGCGTCGCGCCCTGCAGCTTCCTTCCCGCGCGCCGTTGAGCAGCCAAGACACTGTTGAATAATATCCGAACGCTACCTGTTCCACAGGGGCTCCAAGCGTTGGATGCTGAACCACTTACTCGGTAATCAACGTTTTCGAGCAATTGCTTTTTAGCGTAAAAACCATGTTACATTCCTACGACATGTACCACGTACCCGGGTGCCAGGACCACAAGAGCCGAGAACGTCTATATTAAACTTCATTTATAGGTCGGCAATTTACCGCCGTAAACGACGCCACAGCGACGTCAAGCGTCGTTCGATATATTGTTATTGCTATAATACACATGCGTCTTGCTGCCCGACTATAGATCGTGATCTACTCTGCGACATCCAGTCTGAGATGTCTGATGGATCCATGGGTATCGCGTTCGTAGCCCATCAATCGTAAATCCATCAACGCCCACCTACGTAGGTGGATATCGTGCGGGTACTGACTCAAGGAAAAGGAAATCATTAGGCAAACTATGCGAAGGCAAACGAGGCCGCGAAGGCCGGGGTATCACGCAGGGAAAATGTAAAGGAGGAACGGGTGTCGTCAGCCAAGAAGGCCGCCGGCGTCCTGTAGGGACGGCACTTTGCGGCCTTGTTGGGGAGGATTGCGTCGTGTAGACGGGGGAGGCGGCGCGGAAGAGAGTAAGCCTCCAGGATCTTTTAGCGATGGTACATCGTAGCTTTGTTGTGTCGAGCGCGTCGATGTGCGTCGTATAGGCGCGTATCGTGTCTGGCAAGAAGGAGGACCGGCTGAGGAGCCTGAATGTGGAGATGGAGTCGACAACGCTTCTTCTTGCTCGCGCTCTTCGGAGAGCAAGCCCCCGGGATCCTGCAACTGATTGGTGGGCCGGACTTGAGTCATCTCGTAGTCTTCGGACTGTTGAGAAAGTCGGGAGTTGCGTCGTGCTTGAGGCAGAAATGCGCGTGCGTTTGGCATGATCGTGTTTGAGGCTCTGGACCCTCTTCGTGGCTGTGACTGGGCTGCAAAGTCGTGCGCAATGACTGAGTCGGTGGGTGAGGGAGCTACGGCTGGATTCTCCAGTAGTCCACCAACGTCGAACCATGACACGCGCCTGGCACGAGGACTGGGCATCGGATCTCGTATGTCTTCGACTGTCATGCTTGGTCGACCGTTGCACGGAAGCATACCAGCTTCCTCATCGGGGAACTTCCAGTTGTTGTTTGTAAAAGGACCGGGTTGTCTGGACGATGATAAAAGGTCGAGGTCCGCCACGGGAGCCGGTCTCGGTAGGCTTGTCGACTTATCGAGCAGTTCAGGTTTTGTGCGGTATCCTAGTGACCTTGCAAGATCCTCATCACTGCTACCGGTCTGGTCTGTGAAGCGGCGTGTTGATCCTCGGCGTTCCATACTGTCTGTGGTAGATGGTGCTTTGAATTTTGGTTTCTTGACACCTCGGTCGCGAAGAAAGGAGCCTAGGACGATGGCGTTGGAAACGATGGTGGCAGCCAGAATTTCTGAAGAAGCAAATACGGTGCGAAACTGCTGTAAACCTGATCTTTGCATCACCAGAGGCATTCGAGCGCCAGTGACAACGATTAGAACGATCGACAAGGAAAACAGCAAGACAAGTGAGATCTTCCGCTTTAATGGCATGCTCGAACGCACGATGATCGGGATCGGAAAGGCGATAAGGAAAACGTCGGTGACGATGTCGCAGATGCCCATGGTGAGTAGCTGTGCGTAGCCCTGTCGGCATTGCGGTCCTGGATCCGGGACAACTTGCCAGTAATGGGTAGTAGGATGGCACTCTGCGAGTGTGGCAATCAGAACCATGAGGAAAGTAACGACGAGAAAGATGCGTATGGCACGCAGTCCCCAATCGTATCCTCTCTTCCAGAAACGTTCCGATAAGCGCTTCAGGAACTCTGAAACGGTGAACTTGGCCATCCAGATGCTAGCATGGGTTAGCCACACCCTAATTCAAGTTGATGACTGCACATACAATAATGCATAGAAAATCCTCGCTGCGAGGACCATCTGAGAGCCAATCTCGCGGTGGCGGATGATGGTAGGGTCTGTCAAATTCGTGACGTTGACATTGTTGGTGCCCCAGATCAGGACCACGTGAGCGAATCCCATTCGCGCAAACAGTGGGATGATGCTGAGTGCCATGACCTTGTCCTCGCGGAAGAGTCTTTCATTACGAATATAGCGGCCCGACAGTCGGACTCCAATGATGACAGCGGAAAATACAGTGCACCACCAAGAATACAGGAGAGTCGGATTGTTGGCCATGCGGTTTCGGCGCAGCGGGGGAGAGTCATTATAGATATCGCGTGATATTATCATCCTGCTGTCGAGCAGTCCTCACAGACTCTCGCCTCCGCAGAGGGGGAGCTGTTTGGATGTCGCGTGCTCAGTGCCGATTTTGAGTGGCAGCGGTAGCGGTGACGAGTTGGGAATGGCGATAGGTGAGCGCTTTGACCATGTCGCTCTTTCTGGCTGACGTTGCTGGCGTACCGAGGATCTGGGAGTGTCAAGTGGGTATACTCGCAAGCTAGGCTTGTAGCCTCGACGCGAATATGTCGACGGTGCGACGATGTGCGGTGAATGAAGATGAAGAGAGAGAGACAAGTCACCCGGCTGGGAGAGGTGTGATAAACGCAAGCCGCAGCGCGCATGTGAGTGGGTCTTATCGCAACGGCAGACCTTGGCCAGGATTTCGGAGGTACGCCACATATTCGCTGGAGCCCGCCTCGAGCGTCCATGGCGCGCGGACTGCCTGCTGCCATGCCCTGCCAACCCTAGCGTTCTTGGATCCAACTCCTGGTCCTCGCTGATAGGCGTTGCCTGACGACGCTGTGACATGCTCTGAGATGACCCAGGGTCAGAGTTGGGACAAGCATGATTCTGGCAGCCGCTGCTCGAGTCCAACGACGAGCGTCTTGACGGGAGGACCTGTTGCTGGCCGTCGGAGTCATCCCTGCAGCCACCTGCATAATTCCAATGGTGCTACGCTTCCGCTATGGCGCTTGTGGCCTTTGTCTATCTCTCGACAACGGCGATTGGGGCCTGTTGGAGAAGAGGCGGGAGGTCAAACACCCCTCAGACCCCTCTGCAGCGGCGCTGACCGCTCGGAGGCTCCTTGAAGCATTGGCAACTCACACCCAAGGCCAAGAAAAATCAGCTTCGGCACGCCGACGGAGATATTCACCAAGTCTCGATGACACTGACTGCTGCTGGATTGGGACTCGAAATAGTCCCGGATCCCGGGGTTGAGGCCGCCAATATGGCGTCCAGCCTAACCAATCGGTGCACAAGTGTGCGCATTATCGCACAATTCTTGCGAGTCTCGCCCGGCTATCAATACTGTATGAGATGCGCCATTTCGCAGAGCGCAAAGCGGGAGGCCGAGGGCGATGACCCCCACCTTTGTTGTCGCGTGGTAGAGTGCCCTGTGCGTCTGCGCCTGCCTCGTGAGACCCTGAACCCCCGCCTTCCGTTTCGCACCTGCCTTTGCGAAGCACTCCCTTCCGATGACAACAACAAACATTGTAACATCACATAGGGGGTGCCATGTAAGATTAGAAAGCACAAATACCCACTCAATATATCGAGTACACGACCCTTGCCGAGAGATATGACGTTGCAGCTTCGTGGACGGCCATATCAGTCATCGCCGCCGCCGCGGAAGCGCAGCGGAGTGACCATCCATAATTTCCCCTCCACATTCCTTTGTCCATCAACACCTAGCCGACGATCCTGCTTCGCCTGGTAGCACAAATAGTTGGGGTCCTATATTTGGCGCCCAGGAACAGTATGGGCCTCTAAGTACTCGTATACAGCATTTGCATATGCCACGATGTAGACTTGACATCGCCGAGCCTCATCGTACTACAAACGATGCGCTCCCCGCCGAAAGCGCTCTCCAAGATCCTTCATGCGCTATACACGAAGAGACAAACCACCCCTATCTCCCAAAATTCCATTGACAGTCGACCGCTACGTGCCTCCGAGATTCCTCCACAGCCAATATTCACGTGCAGGTCGCAAGAGACCTTATCCGTGGTTCTGATCGAGAATAGAGCCGCAAGGCTTAGACTCGCGTGATCGGTCCTGATGGTTCCACATGTTCAGATGCACGATAACCAAAGCCACTTCGGCGAAGTTCCCAGTGTCAGCAGAATAATACGAATCGCAAGGGGGATTTGCAATGTTCAAGAGCTACGAGCTATGTTAATTTCCCGACTTATTGCCAACCCCAGGGGAGCGAGGCGACAGATGGACATGGCGCAGAGCCTACATCATCGTTCAGCGCGTTGTTAGCTCGTCAACTACCAATGTGGGCTAAGTGGGGATACCTGTTCCCTTATGACGCTGAGGTGCATGCTGGATGATAAAATTGTCGACAATGTCTTCCGCAGGCTGCGATGCCAATGTCCGTATGCTGCAGGAGTAAACCACATCTTGGTCCATGCTAGAGACAATCCGACATTGGATGAAAGGGAGATCGACGCAGGGGGATCTGTCTGGGACCTGGCATGCAAAAGTGGATCAGCAAAATAAATGTCATGCACAAGACAAAGAGATGCATCTAATATGTGTACATTTGGGCATGTGTACCGTGAGATTTTGTGAGACTGACTGTGACATTGGTCCTATGTTGCGTCATGAGGGGGGAATCAAGACCACCTGGCCGTCTTTCACATGTGAAACAGGCCTAACGCTTGGGCCTGCCACCTGGACAAGAATCGCATCCGCGGAAAGGACAAGTCGACACGCAGCAACTTGGTTTCAGGCATTGTGTGAATGATGCACATGTATGCCAATGACACGATTTGCTATGAAACCTGTATGTGCAGAAGTGCGTCGTGAGTGGCAGTGGAAAACAAAGCATGGCCAGGCCATTGTGGAGTGGAGCCATGACGTTTTGGTGAATGTGCCCAACGGACTGCTGCGCACACGACAGTACCCGCACAAAACCATAGCAGCACCTTCTACCTCTCACACTCTCCCATACCCCAGCACCTTGTCACTATACTCCCGCACCACTACTTGCCCTCATCCACCCGTGATCATACCCCTCCACGGCCAAGTCCTCAGCGATGTCAGAAGCTCCCCGAGTTGAGCTTAACAACACACAAACCGATTTCGACCTAGCCACGCCCAACGGCACTCCTGATCTCATCAACCAAATGGACGGCTCTCCTTCTCACGTAAACGGCAGCGCAAACAGTGATTTGCAGAACAGCGCAATCAAGGCAAAGAACGGAATTCTAGAGAGTGAGGTGAGTGGGACAGAACGCCCTCGACCCTTACCGAGACGCAAGCTAACGCCATATATCGCAGTTCTTATCTGCCGCCCGCACAACACCTGATTTCCTGAACTGACACCCACAAAGCAGCTTCAAACGCTATGAATGCCGCAAACAACCACCCCAGCGTGCAGAACGCCAAGCAGACCGTTATGAACGGTAAGGTATGTACATAGACTCGTCCCTGCGTGTTCCGGACCGCAACTAACAGCCTGCAGATATCTGAATGATGCGCACACGACCATTGCTAAACTTTGCAGGCCCCGTTGCACAGAATGTCAAGGCTGAGGGCGCAAAGACCCGCGACGAGTTTGCTGATCTGGCCAACTCCAAGACGATTCCCGAGCACAAGGCCGCGACTGGTCAGAACCTCACTCGTAGGGCTACACTGGTGTTCCATATCGACAACGTAGCTAACACATATACCAGACTACCACAGCATGTTCTACCGCCTGTTGAGCTGGAAGAACCCCCGCGCTACCGGCATCGCTTTTGGTGCAACCGTCGTCTTCATCTTCGCCGCACGATACCTAAATCTGATCCGCTACATCTTCAAGACCTCCTACATGGTACTTGGTCTTACCGCAGCTGCCGAAGTTGTCGGACAAGTGGCTATCGGACGTGGTCTTACTTCGCAGTTCAGGCCCCGCCAGTACTACACTATCCCCAAGGCTTCGCTTGAGCGCATGACGGACGACTTCGAGCAGCTCATCAACTTCTTTGTCATCGAGTCCCAGCGTATCATGTTCGCCGAGAACGTCTACGTCACCGTTGCTGTGAGTATGCCCTTGGGTTTAACAATGAGTACAGCTGCTGACTATCCCTTACAGGCTTTCTTCGCTTCCCTCATCTCCTACTTCCTCATCAAGTTTGTCCCGCTCTGGGGCTTGGCCTTGATCTCGACATTCATCACCTTCCTCGGTCCTCTTGTGTACATTCAGAACAAGGAGGTCATCGATGCCCAGTTGGAGAAGGGTCTCAACATTGCCAACCAGCAGGCTCAGCAGGTCAAGGGCCTTGCTAACCAGCACGCCGGAAACGCCATGAAGACTGTACAAGGCTACACCCAGCAGGCCACGGCCAAGGCCCAGGAGACCGTCAACCAGTACCGCGGGCGTTCCACTTCCCCAGAGGTCAAGAAGGAGGCTTTCCCCTCAGCTCCCACCCACGCACCCGTTGCCGAGGCTGAGTCTTCTTCCGATGAGTCCGAGACTGAGGGCGAGAAGATCGCAGCGGCCCATCCTGCTCTATAAGCTTGATCTTCCCAGACCATCTTACTCACCTCAACCTCGAATACGCTACGATCGATCTCTAACACGCACACACATCTTCATGATGCTCACGTATGACGACTTATGCTCATCCTGAAATTGGAAACAAGGCCAGCGTTGTGTATCATTCTTCCTTTAAAAGCCTTTTCTTGGTCGCGTCTCTAGTCTAGCGCCTTCTCCTGTTTTCCCCTCTACATTGTCCTGTCTGTCATGGGCGGGGTTCCGGTACTGTAATCATGGTAACATGGGAGTTGTTCTTTCTCGTCATGTAGTTGACGGTTGATATAATGAAACATTGTCTTCTTATTGTTGTGCACTTGAACGCGTGATGTCATGGATTAGAACCACGGATGATGATTAAGAGATGAGGCGTCCAACTTCGGCCCCAAATCTTCTGCAGGTTGACTGAGAGTGTTGGGATACAGGTTCATCCATCACTGTGGCCAAACCGGTTTCAGATATAGTTTTGTCGAGTGACACCAAAGCATGCTCTCTGTGGACAATAGACTCTATTGTGAAGGAGCACGCCCACGTCTTTCCTCAAGAGCTTTCTGCATATAACGGAACGTGAATTACTTGAACCACTCTCTAGCACATTCACACAAGGCGGGGCCAATTATAGATCAGCGGCTAAGACGGCACATGGACCGTGCGTGACCAGGCAACCGTCTTGTTGCGTCAATGGGGCTGGACTTCGCCTCCTTGGCCGGTCGCAGTCCGTCTTGAACGCCGTGCCGCTGTGACAGCGCCAACCTGTCACTTCACCCTTTTACCTGTTGTTAACTCTTCTGGTCTTCTGTTCTGTTCTTTTTACCCTTTTCTACCATTCGAAGCGACCACAATCTTTCGATATACGACACATTAAGGCAGTTTAAGGAACAGGCTTTACAGAGGACATCGATAAGATGACGGTCCTCGTCGAGCTCGCTCGTCGCGCCGTGTCGCACCCGCAGACGTCTTCGTTCGTCAAGCGCGCCATCAACGGAAACGGTGGAAGAACCCCAGACTACATGGACAAAGTATCCATCTGGAGTGTTGTCGCCATCTATGTCACCATCTTCATTGCCGCCATAGGCATCAGCCTCGTACGCCCTGATCCCCATCTTCCTGCTTCATGTCAAGGTTTATGTTGCTAATAAGATATGATTAGTTCTCCTACATGCTCAACCAGGTCGTCGTAACCCTCTGCATGGTCGAGTCCCCCGTAGCCGCTATTACCGTTACCCACGAAACCTCCAACGATAAGGAAGACTCCAACGAGAAGGAAACACTCCTTGAAGCCGGTCCGACAATCACCCTCGTGAACGCGAAGCCCATCACAGCGTCCATCCGCGCTACCGTCCGCCACCTTGTCGCACACGCCGGCCGCTGGTCCCGCTTCCGCGGCTTCAAGATTCATTGTTTCTACTCGTTCCTGTCTGGCTTGACTACAACGTTCTTCTCGGGGGCCCTGTCTGGCATGCCTGGTTCAGCTGTTGTTGGCGCTGCCATTAGCGCTGCCCTTCTCGCCAACGTACACGCCGCGTGGACACACAAGGTTGTCGCTATGCCCACCGACGGCCTCTTCTGGCAGCGCATCCCCTCCAAGGCCCACTGGAAGACTCTTGCCGTCCCCGCCGCGCTCAAGGCCGTTATGCCCTATGTCAGCATGTACCTCACAGCTGGCGTATTCATGCTGCTTAAGCTCAACAAACTTGGATACGAGGGCCATTCTATTGAGACTTGTGCAGACAAGATCGGTCTCATCGCGAGGGTCCTTGCTGTCATTGTGTTTGCCATTACCTGCACACTTTTCCTCTGCCTCCCTGCCATGGTCACATTGGTCCGGATCGAAGCTTCTCTGCTCCCCGAGGACCAGGACACCATCGTTCCCTTCGACCGTACCTTTGGCGGAAAGGTCGTTAGCAAGATCATGGGTGGAACTGGTGTCGTTGGCTTCCTTGATGCCTGGAGGAGCTTCAACTGGGAGGCCAGACGCCGCCTTATCAAGTTGTTTACCAAGAACTTCTTCATCATGGTCGGCATGTTCGTTTTTGTGTTGCACGTTGTCGCAATTGAGGCGTTTGTCTTCATGGGGGAGGCTGCTGGTGAGATTTTGGCGCATATGCATAGGGAGATGGCTGTGCCTAACTAGTTGCGTAGTGCTTGCAATGGCTGCTATCCCTTACCTGATTATTGAACAATCGTGAAGGGTTGTTATCGCTTTTGGATAAGATTGATCTTGGGGTTGGGGCTGGGTTTGGACTTGGACTTGATGGTGTCGGTGTCACGGAAGAGCATGGGATGATGCATTTATTAGCAGTGTTACAACTTACTCATACTTTCCTTGAATATGTCATCTCATAGCACACTATCAATAAAAACTCATCTTTGCAGGCTAAACACGACTACCAAATCATGCACCTGCTGTCTGAATGATGCTTTCTAGAGGTTCATTAAACGTCCTACTTCTCACGCTACCGCTCCTGTGTAAGAACCAACAAAACGCACATCATTGAAGCGTGCTAACATAGTAGTAGTTTATTAATTTCATTCAGATACCATAGTTGTCAATCGTGATGCCTTCACACATCCATCCACCTTACCCTATCCCATCTGTCTAAGAAAAAAAAACGCCATGCTATGCCATGCCATGCTAAAGTAGTCACTCGTAACAAAAGAGAAAAAAAAAGACGCCCCAATCGCCATAGCCAGCTTACCCATCGTCTCCCTGCGCCACGACAAGAAGACAACAAGAAGACGACAGAAAAGAATAGAGAAGACAAAAAAAAGTCTGGGGAAAGAATATGCAAGATAGAAGGGTATAATCGCCTGAACATGCTTTTTCCCTTTTCGTCGTCGTTGTTTTCGTCAAGCTTGCTCTTGACCATAATTTTTTCTTTTTTTCCTTCTCTCGTCTTCCGGGAGAAAGACCAAAGAGATAACTGTCAAGATGCAGTTCATGTACGCCAGAATGCGTAGGTTTTTCCTTCTTTCTCTCCTTCTCTCCTTGTCTCTCTTCACTCATTCCTTGTCCATACCGAGCTTGTTTATCAGCGACAAGATACGTGTCGACGTCTTCCTGGGCGAACAACCCTCCGTGGAATCCGAGCGCTGCGAACAGTCTACGCTAGAACGACCTGCCATCTCTCTTTTTAGCACAAAAGCGTCATAGCAAAAAAAAAAAAAAAAAAGATCCCCAATTCTCCTGGGAAGCGTGCGCGTGTGTATGTGCATCAAATAATCGACGCACTCTTCTTATGTTGCGTTTGGGTCTCGCAAACTTTGACCTTCTTCACCACTTCATCCTCGCCCTGAACAACCGCAACACCCACATTGATTCCCCTCGCCTTCTCATCAACGCTTTCCACTGTGGACTTGAAGATGGCTTCCTGTTCCACCAACTTTAGCCTTTCCTTCTCAGCCTCAATCTCTAGGTTCGCTTTATCTTGTCCCGTAACCACGCCCTTGAGAATAACTTCCAAGTCTGCTAATCTGACTGGCTTGATCAAGAAGAGGTTGATCCCGCTTGAATTAGCTTCTTGCTGAATATCCGTATCGGCCACACCGGTGAGTGCAATGATAGTGACTTTGGGTAGGTTATTTCGGATCTCATGAGCGCGAATCTGCCGTGTAGCTTCTAGACCGTCCATGACAGGCATATTGATATCCATCAACACAACATCGATACGCGATTCTTCTGTTGCAGCTTCGCCGTCGTTGGCGACGGTAGCGGCTTTATACGATTCGAGCGCTTCGAGGCCGTCGGCGGCAAGGACGTGGTGGTGTCCGAGTTTATCGACAAAAGTGCGCAGAAGGCGGAGGTTGATGGGATTGTCGTCTACGCAGAGACATCTCAGCGCGCGCGTTGGTTTGAGGTATTTGGAAGCCTTGGGGGGAGTGGTGTTGTGGATGGACCGGATTTCGGGGGCACTGCTAACGCTCGTGAGTTGGGGTCGGGAGGATTCTACCACGTGGAGGTGGTCGGTGCGACGGGGTGCTGATGCTGGTCTTTCTTCTGTGAGGTTCAGTTCTGTTATGCGAGGAACGCTGGATTCGATATTGTGAGTCTGTAGCTGTGTTTCTGCTCGTTTTGCGTGGCGGTCGAGGCAGGAGGCAAGGGCTTTCGCCATCTTGTGTGGTCCGACGGGTTGACCAATGCATTCGAAGATTATGCCTGGCACCGTGATAGCCGTTGTTGATTGCGCAGCTGCTGCACCCTGACATATGACAATAACGGGGGTTGGAGACACTTTACCAGGATTCTGGCTGTACGTAGTTCGCAACCCTTTGGCACAAGTCTCGGTAGCAATGATCAGGTCTGGCTCAGACGCATTGTCGCCGTCTTCGCATCTTTCGATGCCGAACCACTCATCGCAAAGGCTGTCGAGTGCCTTCAACGATAGCTTCGAGGCGGTTTTGTTCTTCAGATCCCTAATACGGAACTCTTCCTCCTCGTGGAAGCCTTCAAATCGCACTCTCAAGCCCTTTGTGCGCTTTGTGATTTGCTGTAGTTGCAAGTCCTTCTCTCCTTCTAGGCCGGTGGCGCAGACGTTTGGTGACATTCGCGACTCCTTCAAAGGACATGTGACTGTGAATTTGGTGCCGCGCTCTTTTTCACTACGCACCTCCACCTCTCCTCCTAGAGATTCGACAATCTGTTTGACAATAGATAGACCCAGACCAGTGCCTTGACTCAAAGGGTTCTCTTGTGCAAAAGAGTGGAAAAGCCTGTTATTGATGTAGTCCTCCGACATTCCAATGCCAGAATCAGTGACCGAAAACCGGAATTCGCACTCGTCGTCGTTTTCGGGTTTTCGCTTAACCTCAAGCTTGACCTTGATGTATCCGCCAGGCGTATACTTTAAACTGTTTCCAAACAAGTTCATAATGACTCGCCGCCATGCCCCGGGCTGTGTGCGGAAGACGTAGTTGTCGCTGTGGTTGATATCGAGAATGATGGATATCGGCGGTTTGTTCACTTTCGAAGTGGTTAACTCATATGTCTGAGCAGATGTCTTCGCGTATGTATAACCAGCGAAGACACTCTCGACCACGTCTTCTGTGAGTATGCTCATGTCGACGTCGTTGATCAATGTCATGATATCGTTGGTATGCGCTTGGCCCGGACTGATCATGTGCTTCGCGCTCTGCGTACGTTTCTTCTGGCGTTTCGAAACTCCTCGTGTCAGATTGTTGATTTTGGCAAAGTCAAGCACCTATGGAATTAGTGACAATATCTGGTGCAGATTATCCCAACTCACGTGATTGATGGTTTCCAGTAAAGTTTTTCCACATGTCTCGATGGTCGCTAAATGGGACACCTGCTGACCATCGAGAGAGGAGTCTTTCAACAAATCTGTCATTCCCAGTATTCCATGAAGAGGAGAGCGCAGCTCATGGCTGATGGATGAGATAAAATCAGCCTTTGCAGCATCGGCCAGCTTTGTGTCCAGACGAGCAACCTCAGCCATGACGAAGTTACTGAAGGCCGCCAGATAACTGAGCTCCTGCTCTGTCGTAAAGATTCTCTTCGGTTCAGAGCTCCAGATGACAGCCGTCGCAAACCAGCGTTCGCGATGCGGATCCCACAATGGATACAGTATCAAGCTTCGAGCAGTCGGAAAAACTCTTCTCAGGTAGGCTTCGTCGTCCAAGCTTCGAGCAGATTCAGTTTTGCGCGGTGTACTGAATGGAAAGCCATCGGCTGACTCGACTTCATCGATGCTTATGCCAGTCGACGGCGAGTTGACAGACGGAGATGTAGGGTCGTCATCGAGATGGAAGATCTGGCCATGGGGATAAAGTCGTAGGAGGTGCCTGAGAACGCTTTCTGAGATGCATTCACCAGTGTTGGGTAGTGGCTTGGTATCGCGATCGGACCTGCAAAGAGCCGCCCCTAGGATATCGCAGGGCTTATCCGGCTCCGGTAGCTGATCGGGGTCAAAGTCGTCGTCAACAAGACCTCCAAATGTACTGATTTTGGCATCGAAAAATGCCACACCCTCGGCCTCGGTTGAATCCACGATCATGTTTGCTGCCCGTGTAAAATGGGCTCTCAGTTCCGGAGCTACCCTGTCCTGCTGATCAGACTTGGCGAAGCCTTTCGTAGAGGTGGACGATGTGGTGGTGGTTATTTCTGGCCGCATGCCATCAGATGGCTCCACGTTCGCAATGCTCGGTGGCACACTACTTAGAGGCGGGGTATCGTTCGGGTTCTTCATAGCCGGATCTACATGATCATATCCGTTGAGCACAACAGGTTCCTGCGCAGCATCGGACGTAGCTGCAGGCCGCTGCCGTTGTGGTAGAATTACATCCGGCAGACCAGATACTTGAGTGTCGACGTCCCAAGGGTCTTGTGCCCAATTTTCCAACCCGCTCTTTCCCTCAGCAAATGAGCCCAGACTTTTGACCATGATCTTGGCCCTCCGGTGGTCTTCTGCTGCCCTAGTCCTCTCTAAATGCCGCATTACTGTCCCAGCCATGCTCTTCAAGAAAGCAAGCTGATGCGGCGTCAGGCCATCCCGCGGCTTCTCGTCCAGCACGCAGTATGTACCGATGCTGTGACCGCTTGGGCTGCGAATTGGAACTCCGGCATAGAAGCGCGAGTAAGGCGGGCCTTTGACGAAGGGAAAGTTGCAGAAGCGTTTGTCTTTGCTGAGGTCGTTGACAACAAGGTGAGGCAGGTCGCTCGGATCGTCGAGAGGCAGGGTGCTGTACTTGGGAGCAAGGTTTACAGTGTAGTTACACAGACTCTGTTCCTTGGGGAAGATGGTGGTGCCAAAGGCTAATCGGTCGTCTTGGAACTCTGGCTCTCCGCTCTGCAGCGACAGGGTGCGCGTAGCCTCAGCGAGGAGGAAGCAGTCATTCCGGTCGAAGAAGGATATGAGGCAGCGGCGGGCATTCAGGCGCAGAGCGCCCAATTGTGCAAAGGCAGTCAGGGCTTTATCATCCGAGGCACGTGGAGCAGCATAGTCGAGAGAGGGCGGCGGGGTACTCGGAGGCGTTTGCGACTTGGGGCCAGGCGACGGCGACGCCTGGCGACTTGCAGGGCCATCTGTCTGTGGAAGATGGGAGCCCGGTCGGGGGTAGTACCTGTGCATGGTGTGAGTGTAGCTCTCAGTGTGGCGCATGGAGATACGTATATAGAAGTCCTGCTCCCTTTGTCTCGCTAAGTCTGCATGATCGATCCTGCGTCGCCTCCGGGCCTGGGAGCGGGCAATGCCATGGTCGTGTGAATCCGACATTTGCGCATGTAGATACCAGGACCCTTTTGCGGAGAAAGATAGACCATATGAACCCACCCAAGCACACGCCAGCCACTAATCGACGGCTGCAGGCCAGATCAACGGCCGGAGGTGTGTTGGGCAGACTCTAGACACTACGACCCAACCAACCACGACAGATCGCCAGACGCAGGGCAAGTGGCGAGCACTCTAGCGTGTCGTCGCAGTCGGGGCGCAATCGGAAATCCCAGACGAGCCTTGCAGTCGCAGGACCATGCAAGGAGATGGTGAGCTCGAGTCACACAGAATCGAGAGAGAGAGAGAGAGAAAAAAAAAACCCCCCCGATCACAGTGCCTGGATGTACCACCGACAGAGACAACGGCGCCGATGGGACTGATGGCCTACCCTAGCGAGACGCGCGACTAGCCCAAGCCATCTTGGCGCGTTTGGTTAGTGCACAACCCCCACTACTACGAGCCTGCCCCGCCAAGCACTCTACCACCGACATTGGCCACCACTACATCAACCACGACCGGATTAGACCACAACCTACAATGGGTCGTCTCGTGACACTTTCGACCTGCAGCCTGAATCAATGGGCCCTGGATTTCAATGGCAATCTTCAGCGCATCAAGGTAGGCCATCTCCCCCACCGACTACACACGAAACATATACTGACCTCGTACAGGCAAGCGTCAAGATCGCAAAATCTGCTGGAGCAAGGTATGCGACCACACCAGAGCTTTCAATCCCAGGATATGGCCTGCTGGACCACTTTCTTGAGCAAGACACCATAAGACATTGCTGGGAAGTTCTCGCCCAACTCCTAACAGATAGGGAGCTCGATGACATTCTCGTCGATGTTGGCATGCCCGTCCGCCATTCAGGGAATCTCTATAATGCGAGAATCGTGTTCCTCAATGGCCAGATCTTGCTGATTCGCCCCAAGATGAGCCTGGCAGGACAGGGAAATTACAGGGAAGGACGATACTTTATACCCTGGAACCGCCCTCAACAGGTGGAGCAATATGAGCTTCACGAGCTGCCTGCTGCTGCGCTTGCGTTACAAGAGACATCTTTTGTTCCGTTCGGAGATGGCATAGTATCTGCTCTCGATTGTTCTTTCGGGTATGAGACTTGCGAAGAGCTCTTCACGCCGCAGGCACCGCATATCCAATTGTCTTTAGCCGGCGTGGACATCATCATCAACTCCTCAGGTTCTCATCATGAACTGCGAAAACTCGATACTCGCCTTGACCTGATTCGGTCAGCCACTGCCAAGTGCGGAGGTGCCTACCTTTACGCTAACCAACAAGGATGTGATGGTGATCGACTATTCTATGACGGCAGCGCAATGGTACTCGTCAACGGTACTGTCCGCGCACAGGGTACCCAGTTCTCGTTACAGGATGTTGAGGTGATTACCGCGACAATCGACCTAGAAGAGATTTGGTCATACCGCACAAGTCCCTCACGAGGTTTACAAGCCGTGTCAGGTCCACGATATGAGCGCTTCAGGGCAAATCTACGCATATCGTCTTCGGATGCAGACTTTGACCCAGACATTCGGCCCACCCCGGCTCAGACACTACGCTATCACACCCCCGAAGAGGAAATCGCTTTGGGACCTGCATGCTGGCTCTGGGACTATCTTCGTCGATCCGGTCAAGCTGGCTTCATGTTGCCCTTAAGCGGAGGCATCGACAGTTGTGCTACAGGTACCCTTGTATACTCCATGTGTCGACTGGTTTACGAGGCTGTGAAAGATGGTAACGAGCAAGTTCTCGCGGATGTCCGTCGCATCGTAGGCCCTTACCACGACAAAGATAATTGGATACCTGAGAGCCCGCAGCAAATATGTAACGGCATCCTCCACACGGTATACATGGGAATGTCGCAGCAGTCAAGCGTGGAAACGAGGAGCCGTGCTAAGAGGTTGGCAGAAGACATTGGATGCCACCATGTTGAAGCGGATATCGACGACATCTACAATAGCCAGAAGAATCTTTTGACAAAGGCTACTGGCTTCACACCGCGTTTCAGGGCTCACGGCGGTCAGCCAGCGGAGAATCTCGCGCTACAGAACATCCAAGCCAGGACTAGACTTATATCTTCTTACTACTTTGCCCAAATGCTCCCTATGACTCGGGAGCGCCCAGGCGGAGGCAGTTTACTAGTCCTTGCCTCAGGCAACGTCGACGAGTGTCTACGTGGATACCTCACCAAGTACGATTGCAGTAGCGCCGATCTGAACCCCATTGGAAGCATCTCCAAAACCGATCTAAAGCGCTTCATAAGCTACGCTCAAAAAGAGTTCTCCTTGCCCATCCTTGGCGAGTTCATCGACGCAACACCAACCGCCGAACTCGAACCCCTCACCGAAGGTTACGCCCAAAGCGACGAAGTCGACATGGGCATGACATACGCTGAGCTCGGTGTCTTTGGAAAGTGTCGCAAAGAGTTGAAACTGGGTCCTTATGGTACTTTTGTCCGCCTTGCGCATGAATGGTCGGATGGCTATACGCCTCGAGAGGTTGCGGTGAAGGTTAAGCGCTTCTTCCATTACTATGCGATAAACCGGCACAAGATGACGACTATGACGCCGAGTTACCATGCAGAAGCGTACTCACCGGACGACAATCGGTTCGATCTCAGGCCTTTTCTTTACCCGCCGTTCTATCAAAGTTGGAGCTTCAAGCGCATTGACGAGGAAGTGGAAAGGTTGGAGAAGAGGGCACAAGAGAAGGCTGATACGAAGAAGTGAGGGGAGTGCTAGGTATGAATGATGCTCAGAGCCATGGCATTGGTACCTGCAAGGAGTATACATAGACTTCGTGAGCTCTGGTGATTGGCTAAGAGCGTTATGTGTATACTTCATAGTCTACTTTCATACTTTCAAAGGATAAGAGTACTTTGAAGACTATCACAGTGTAACTCGACCGCGTTGTATCTGCGTCTTACCACCAGCACGTCCATCAAATCGATAGTAGCTGCTGCGAGTTCATCGTCGTTCGTCTTATCTTCCTACATCCTAGTGACGCGACTGTTCCAAAGCCTTCCTAGTTTGTAGTTCTAGCAGCCTTACCCTCCTTGCTTGGCTCGCTGTCTAAAACGTACATTTTCCTCGGGAGCCGAACCAAGATTGATTTGAACATCATATCGTATATACGATTATCCCCCAATCTATAATCTACGAGACCTTTAAACTATATCTTCATCAATTTCTTCTTGGCTCTCCACTTTCTCCACGTCCTCGCTAATGCTTGCGTTACCTCTATCTCTATCGTCCTCGCAGTCGAAAACATCCATTGATACAACCCTACTACAGCGTTTAACCACGCATGGGGTGCGACAGGAGCAAGAAGAAGCGCTATACATGTTCTCAGTCAAATTGTTTTGATCAAATCTGTTTGGAAGATGAAAAAAAAAACTTACATGTTAGCGAGAGGTGTGTTGAAGATAGCCTGCTCCGCGGCCTCCTGATCGATGACGTGAAGCTTGTCTTCTGCAGACAAAGCAAGGCGTTCATTCCATTTCTTCTTTGTGTCTTCCTTTAGAATCCCGCCTACAGTTACTTTTGCGCGTAGGTCCTTGACAAAAGGCCAGGCGAAGGTCATGATCAAGTCTACCATGGTACGTTGGCAGCAAATCATCCTGCCATCGCTGTCATCCAACGTGTTGTTAACTTTGTGTGCGATTGTTTTTATACCATGAGGATACCAGGAGTCCCCATCATCTGGGCTCCTGAACCAAAGTTGTAGTGTTGATAGTTTGTCTAGTGTTGAGAGAAGTGTAATGGAAGACTTGGAGCTGCTCTTGTGTAAGTGGGTCCTCGGTTCTCGACCGAGCATATCTTCGAGATTAAGCAAGTCGAACCAATCGCTCATGTTAAAGTCAAGAATAATGTGATTGAGCCAATTGTACTTCGGTTTAGTGCGCGCATCGGGGATATGATCGAAATGGATTAGTGAGAAGAAGCACTTTCGAGTGTTCTCCCACCCAGCCTGGAGTGCCTCGCTGTGAGTTTGCCTGCTGACAGACAGCAGTGCGATATTAGGCTCGTGAGCGGAGCAGCCTGTTACTCTCTGGAAGTCTCGCTGCATAAGGCTGCTATCGAGCCAGTTAGGGAAGCCGATGCCGAGACGAACTGAAGAACTGCTGAGTTCAACCAAGGGGTAAATCCGAGGACCGATGGCGAATTCGAAGACGGTCATACGAACCTCGGCAGGAAGGTCGAAAAGACGGAAATACTTCCCATTGAGCTTCCACCACTTGCGCTGCGCACTGTAGCCTTTCTCGCCAACTAGACCACTTCCATCAGATAAAATTTCGACAGACTTGTAGCTGGACAGCAACCAGTCTTTCAGCAAAACCCACTTTGTACCTATCTTTAGGTAGAGATTATCTGCGGTTGGGCCAGGTAGTCCAGGAGAGAAGGTCACCCAGGCAGTGAGTGGAAATTCGTGATAGTCGTCTATGAAGGTATACAGCTTGCTGCAGTAGGTTGTATAATCAGGCAAAGCCAACCAAAACGGTAGGGACTTGTCGGTCGGCGATACTCGGAAGCGCATATCTGCAACCTCGATGTTTTGACCATTCAGGCTGCGGATGAGGCCCAGGATTTCTCTGATGACTGGATCGTTCTGGCGGGGCAGCGGTTCAAACTTGTACCTGTAGTTGTGTCGCACCTGAACGAGCGTTGTGAGTTTGTCGTCAGGAGGTGGGAATAGCTGTACTGTGTTGTATCGGTTGATCGATTCGCCTTCTCCCTTGTCTTTTTTTGCTTCGCGACGGAGCTTACGGATGCGAGTTCTAAGGGAGGGCATGTTGGGTGGTCTTAGCGATGGCATCCTTAAGCGAGTGTAGAGTTTCAAGTAACCGCTGGTGGAATCAGTGCGTTGGTTGAGACAAAGTTCATAGTAGAATGAGGAACTATGGGTTTTGTGGTATATGTACTCGATAGGAGCAAGCGTGGAGTCATGGCAAGGCAACAGATTGTGGTCCGTGATGTACGAATCGGAAATGGTTGATTCACTCTCAAGGAGCGCCGCAATATTACGGAGGTACCCGACAAGAACGAGACAAAATACAGGCACATTAGCGTGAATCGGTTGGAAATCAAGCAGGCAAACACACTAGGCAGGTCTTTCAGGCTAGAGGAGGTAATCACTCGATTGACAAAACGGTGTCTTAGTCAGACATCTTATCAGACACATACCACCCAAACTCCCGAAGCGCCTCGCTTTTTGAATCTTCGTACATCAGAGAAAGCGGTCAGATGTCAAAATCGATAGTCTCTACTCTTCCAAGCTCACCACAACAAAAAAGCCCCAACAAGCACCGAAGCCACAAAGAATCCTTGGCTGCTAAGGGCATGTGCGGCACTAGTATCTTCAGTACCACAACACGACTGGTCGTTGTATGTAACGTTGTTCGCCGTGGCCGCAACTTGAAAGACACTCCCATTAAAATTGCCAAAATTGTAATAATCAACGAGTATCCAGTTCGGCGGCCTGTCCCACATCTTCTCGCAATTCTTCACATTGAGCCCGACACTGCCATTGCCAGAGACAGCGTTGACTTGGTCGAGGAGCGAGTACGCTGGTATGAGAATGCTGCTGACGCCAGGGAGACTGACTTCGATGTTGAGATTGTGGTTCATCAAGTACATACGGTTGCGTGAGACATCTTCAGCTTGATTGGGAGGTCGCTGCTCGGTACATGGAAAGGCAGGATTTGTAGGAGAGAAGGGCGTTTGCCATTGGTAGTTCCATTCGTTGAGGAGCCATGGAACTTGGCTTTGGTCTGCATTGTAGTCTAGCATCACTACCACGCGCTTGTTTCTGATAATCATCTCAGCTAGTGTAGGCCAATCGGTCAGGTTCATAGTAGCTGAGGGTGGGGTCCATAGGTATTCCATCATTCCTGAATCTTGGAATGGCGCAACGTAGTCCGTCGCCGGTATCTTGGTGTCATCTCCGTTGTTGTTGCCCATCATGATAGCGATGACTTCGTATGGGTGTTCAGCGAGCCAGCCTTTGACCGTTGCGAGGTATGATTCGAGGGTGCCCACGTCGAGCAGGTTGCAAGAGGTATGGCAGAGACGTATCCCAGAGGAGGCGTTGGGTTTATGGGTCTCGAACTGCACTATCATGGAATGTCAGCCAACGCCTTCTTTACCATGTATCGGTAGCTTACGCCCTCTGATTCCGTCGCTGAGCTGGTTAAGCACTGGATAGACTTGATTGCTGGCTGCATTGTGTGGTTTCACGAACGGGCTGTTGTGCGCGACGACCATCGAGACGTTAGAAAATCTCCGTTCGCAGAATTCGACATGTCCGTTGCATGGTCGAGTATTACTTGGCCGAGGACGAGCTGAAGTTGTCGCTGAAGCGGTACCGTTTGCGGAATTGGTCGAAGGGGACAGACCGACTATAGCTGTGACATCTTCGGTTGTCGTCGAAGATGTGGCGGTAGCATTTTGCCGCCCTGAAGCAGTCGAGATCAGAACTATGCCCGGCAGGCCGCTCGAGAAGCTGGCAGAGTAGGTGCCAGTGGAAGTGCTGGCAGCGCCGGCGATCACTGTAACATCGCTGCTAGGTATAGGTGTGTTTGATGAGGATAGAGAAGAAGACTGAGCAGTTGTAGGTTTCGTGAGTAAGACCAAAGGGAAGAGAAGTAAGGTAGAAGGAAACATGAGGACGATGCGATGCGAAAGAATGACGGAAGTGCTGGTCAGCAATTGTTATGCGGTGTCCACAAACAAGCAATCCTGCGTGCTGCAATGATTGAAGAAAAGTGCCTAAGACAGTCTGCCATATTGCCATTGCGTTGGTGGCTCGTCTTAGCTCACATTTGATGGAAAGCACGATGACGGCATGCTTTCCCCAACCGCCCTACACGTTGTCTCCGGATCTGCGCGGGGAAGCTAGAGGCAACCGTCTTGACAAACCTATCCGTCCTGGGCAACGCTTTTGAAATTGATCAGAAACTATCGATCTGACAGCAGTCGCATCATCGTTTGTACGACTGCAGTGGGGCTGGTATTCGCGGCCTGCGAACTTGCGGTGGCTTGAAGGGCGGATAGCTGTCAGGAGCGGCATTGTGAGGTATATTGACGCGTCATTAGCGCCCGACGACCTTGGGTCGATGCAGTTGACATAGTCGAGACCCTTCTCACGACACGGCCCTCGGCAATGTCAATAGTGGTGAAAGGAAGAGGAGGCTGAGTGATTAGATACGCAGTGGAGAAGGCCGCTCGCCCAAGTCAGCCTCACGCGTCACGCTAGTTGCTTAAGCTTTGGGGGCTCGATTTAAGCCTTGAAACCAACCAAATTACATGCTTGAGTACATGCATATTGAGCCATGCAACGCACCGACTATGTGCATTGCTTACCTCGATTTTCTAGCCGTCCCGGTGTCCCTTCATGCTGCCTTCTTAGCGCAAAGGGATCTACAAGCAAGGACCCGTCCAGGCCTCAACAGCGCAGCGCAGGTCGTTTCGGAAGCATAATTGCTCAGAGCATGCAGAATTAGGAAGCAATTATCTAGTGCATTCTACAATGAGTGCCTGTGTTAACATGGATCTTGGTGCATTTCATGTTTTGTTTGCTCAATCCCACAGTTGCACTCGCGACGCGAACAACTCCTCCCACCATGATGCTGACGACAAACCTTCATCCCTCATCATTTCTTGAAGGCCATAATCGTAGTTGTATTTTCGTTTCCTTGTATTCCAAAAATTACGCTCTTGACCTGAATCTTGGCACAACTCGGTGTATCTGTATTACGAAATCAATCCATGTACATCTCACCGTTCCGGACTGTCCCTGAACAAAAGCAAAAGTCCTGCAAAAACTTACCAGGTTTCCCCACGCCTGTCACCGACACCGCCTCGCATACCTTATCCCCTGAAACGTGTAAGAGACCAATCAGCATGAACATCTTTTGTACTCACCCCTGTCCGACTTCTCGGCTTCCCAGTCAATGGGGTCCTACGCGTTCATGAAATTGTCCTTGTTGAAGTTCACAATTTGGACGGGGTATGCAGAAAATGTATTGCCAGTCAGGGAGGCGCCGTCGGAAGGAAGGGTGAGGTTGAAGTGGTCGGAAGTGGTGCAGCAGATGAGTTTGTCCGCGTAGCCGCGATTGGTATGGCAGAAAGGAACAATAGTGAGTAGAGTGCGAAGAGAAGTAATTGTCTCAATCGTGCTGCAATGTAGTTCGGAGTGAGAAGAAAGTAGCCGGGCTTATACAATTCCTTGAGAGGCATATTGGGTCACATCACGATGGTTAGTACCTGATTGGACGTACGCATGGGACGAACATACATGTAAATGAGTGTTCATTATTGATTAGCATTATCTGCGTAGCACATTAAGTCGTAAGTTTTTCATTGGTCTTGTCCTCCAATGACCATCCCGTCACCCTCTTCGCAAATCAAACAAATACCCTTGTCACGTTGACTGAGACACACGTCGGGTTGTCCGGCTTGCCTGCACCCAATCCCCACACGAGGTTGTTGTACTGGTAGCTGGAGTAGGATGTGTCGCACGCATACCAGCGGTAGAACTCCTGATAGCTGCCTGTGTAGTTCTCGCCCGGAACATACGCCTGAAGAGTCAACTCGTCCTGAGAGTTGAAAGCAAGCTGCGTTGCGTCATCGCTGCCAGGGCTGAGGGTGAAGGTTGCGAGATTGGAAATCGGGTCAAGGCCAAAGGCCGCTGATGATGGAATGTCGAGAGTGCTTGTGTTCAGCCACCAAGTCAGGATGCCAGGTACGCCGAAAGATGGCTCTGGTGCCTGAGAGTAGATTGATGTGTTGAATTGGAATTCTGCGCCAGCGAGAGGTTCTGGGGCATCCCCCGCTCCAGCATTGCTCAAGCAGAGCGATTCTATCGCTGCACCGACGTGACAGGCACTGATTGTGTCGTTGACACCACCATCTTCTGATGTGACGACCAGGTAGAAAGGTGCAGTTGTGATGTTGTAGTACGGCTCTTCTTGTGCGCTGGCCATGGCAGCTGCCGCAAGGGTCAGAGCGATCGATGAGGTCTTCATGCTGATTGACGTTTCTTAGGTTGGTAGGCGATTGACGCAGGGATAGGTGTTGTAAGGTTGATTAGAGATGGGTTGAATGGATGGATGGTGTTGTGAGTGCATTTCTTCAACAACGGCACAGGCGAGCTTTATACTCACGATCATCCTTCGCAGTCGCCGCATTTGCGCAGCCTCGTTGCAGCTCCCTCAAAGGTTCCACCTGCACAACGGTCATGTGTACCACGATAGCGGCACCCAGCCAGCCCATGACGTTCCGCTAGCCGGTAGCGTTGCGAGCTTTGCCACACCCATGGTGATCTTTTGCCAGTCGGCTGCTAAGATCCGTATTCAGGGCCGCACGGCATGCCCGATGAGGGACCGTTCACCTCAAATGGGGCACTCATAGATCAACCCCGCGCTTTAGCGAACGAAGTTTCCCCCAGCCTGTCGGATAAGCTTTGCATAAGTGCCATGACTGCCACAGCCGCACAGGGCGTCAGGGTGCATGTAGCGCAAGGATCAGCTGTTGATACGAGGAGCGAATCGATAGCTCAGTACCATACATGCAGGTAGAAAAAAGCAAGATGCGGCGAAAGGCCACAGTTCTGGGTGTCCGCAATATGAAAGTGTATTGTCAGCACTGATTTGGGAGGCTGATTAAGCGGGGTACGAGATGCCATATGAAGGTGCTCGTGATGTGCTGATGCACAAAATATTGAGGTTGCTTGTGTATCCCTGTACCATACGAAAACGTAGAAAAGTGGAAAGGTGCTTTCGATGACGCAGGGAGGTTGGCTGGCCTTAAGCCACCGGACTTTCTGTTAGCGCTAAATCTTATCGATTGCCAAAGTCGCCGACATCGTCCATGGCCTCAGGTTTACAGCCTCACACCAACTATGAGACGAGCGACTACAACCAGGTTACTTCCTTCGTGATGATCGATTTTGCACCCGGCACATCCGCCAGTACCTTGCGCATGTAAACACGATGGGCGCAACCACAATATCACAACCCATGCGAAGCGTACAGGAAATTGGTGAATTCAGCTAATACGGCATTTGTATGCTACCATTACAGCCCTATGTTCTCTTACATGACAGCGGGCGCCTCTAAAGGCAGTCCCACATGTCTACCCTGTAAGATCTTGTCCAACTATGGCGTGCTGACTGGCCTACAGACGACACATGCGATAGTGGCGTAGAAGCCTTCCTAACATCCAATTTGTACCGGCAGCACACGAACTCCCCTCCGCTTGCCCACAACGCATAGCTCCATCGTGTATCCAATTCCTCGGCCGACGACCACACTAGCGACGTCTTACTCCTCCGTCATACCCACTGGCACCCAGAGCAGTGTCCGGTCCATTGTCAGCACGCGCGCTCTTCACCCCATTCATTCGCCCTGCGCGTTGATCACCAGATTTCGGTTGTGCCAGATACCAACAGGTCCAAGTGATCCAGCAGAAGATTACGTCGAACCCTACACTGCTTACAGCTGGGTGTTCCAGCAGAGCACTCTGAATTCCCACGAAGCCGGCATAGGCATATGCTCTTGCAGTTGTCCATACAAGCATTAGTCCAGCGTTTCCCAGAACCAATGCCCACATAAAATTGTAGATCTTGTCGGTAGATTGAGGATCGTCGTTGAAGCACCCAGCTGGCACAATGGCGCGGATAATGGGTAAGATCATCAGGGCGACGTGCGGAGCCATAAGCACCGGCATAAAGTGCGTGGGATGGTGCCAGTAATGTTCATCGGCCAGTTGCATCGCCGGATACGCTGTTGCAAATATGGCAAAGAGGTTCAGTAGCCAAGGACCTAGCCATGTTGGCCGACGTACTCCGGATGACGACGACGGAGCAGGTGTAGGTGGGCTTAGAAGCAAGGTGAGTAAGAAGAGGTTTGTGGCAAAGCTGATGGCTACTATCTGGCCAAGCAGCATGAATGCCCAGGTGTATCTGATACCACGTCGAATACCTATGTTCATTAGTTATTGCTATCCGTGAATATACCAAGTCCATTTTACCTTTCTGCTCCAGATACAATCCCAGACCCAATGCAAAGAAGAATATCTGATGTGACCACCAGTATCTCGCATTGCCTACAATGACAGTCTCCCATGCCTCCCGAAATAAAGAGGTCTCCTTCAACCACAATCCCCAGTGTTTATGATGTGGCTCAAGTTCGTAGTAGCTCCGCCACATCAGCCATGATTGATAGCTGACCTTGAAGTACTGAAACATGTACGTCCATGTCGTGAGCAGACTGCCCAAAGCAAGACCACTGAACAGCCAGACATGTGATCTAGACGGGAGCTGCGCGGTTGTTGACTTTTGCAGCACATTGGCTCTTTTGAAGAGTCTCAAAATGATGAGTACAGCGACAGAAAGACATGTTAACAGATAGGAAAAGAAGATAGCGTAGGGTCGAGTGTTGGTGTCAGACCCTTCTGGGGGCGGTTCGCGATGCATGTAGCGCTGCGGGACAGAGTACCCTGGCGGTCCGAATCCTGGAGGGGCCATGGTGAGACGATCTGAGGGGTTTGTTGGGCAGCCATCACGTACAGTATGCTCTCCCGCCTTTATGCTATCGTCGACAAGGACGAAACGTGTCAATTGCGGATCAAAGGGCTCCTCTGCTTTGCCGGCAATGTGTATTGATTAAACGGCTATCTTGGAGTCCAGTTCCTAGGATGCGGCAGCGGTCGGTTGTTGCGCCAATGACTACGTGGCTGACGCAGGGATAGACGCTCTCCACAACACGTGCCCAGGTGCTTCGGTGCCAAGGCGCCAGCGCGATCGTCATGTTTTCCCAGGTCCGTCGCGGTCTCGTCTTCGAAGATTCTCGTTCTTTGTTTTGCTTCAAGTAGCTCTCCTCTCCTGTGGGTGACTGTCATCTGTTTACTCTTGCACATTCTCATACCCTTCCTCTGTCACAACGTACTGCAAGCGGCAAACATCACAACACGGTGATGTCAGGCACACGGACCATTTAAGCTTCGCAAACCCTGATTGGCCGTTAGTTCCATCATTCGGACCTCACCGCCAGACCCAGGCTGCCAGACGTCCAAGTTTCGTAGCTCCGTCGATATTTTCTCATCTACATAGTACTGGGGGATCTGTACATCCGTCGAGCTATCGCAGCCATGACCGACACGCCGCAGACAACTGCAGGTGCCGATCCCAAGGAGGCCAGGGTCCTCGAACAGCATTTAGACCCAAGCTACGACTTTTCAGAGTTTGACCCAGCAACACCGGCTCAGGAAGATGGCGCAGACAGTGCTTCCAACTCAGGCGACCGTCAAATGCCAGAGTCGTCGTTGCGACTGCAGGGCGGCGATATCCACCGTGATCTGTACAAAATCGCCGCACAGAACCGGCGGCAAAAGTTGCATCAACGAGCAGCAACCTTTTCTGACGCAGTACATTTTGGACGCAACAGTGCGCCGTCTATTTCAGATGTTGACCATGACGAACTCCCCGTTCGCGACCAGCTTGCACCCGGTGGACTGAGACGACAATACTTGCAGCGGCAAAGCAAGCGTGTCAGCTACATCTCGGAGCCTGTGACGCGAAACTTCATCTCATTCCTTGAGCTGTACGGCCAGTTTGCTGGTGAAGATCTTGACGAAGACACAGACGAAGAGTCTGCCATTGACGATGAAGAGGAAGAGGCGCAAGGCGAGCGCAGACCACTTCTCGGACGACGACAGAGTTCGAAAAGACTGAGGCAACAGGGCGACGCAGACCAAGTGAAGACCTTTTTCACTCTCCTGAAGGCCTTCATCGGTACCGGAATCATGTTTCTGCCCAAAGCCTTCAAGAACGGCGGAATGCTGTTTTCATCCGTCACTATGATCCTGGTATCTGCCATCACCGCACTGTGTTTCGAGTTACTGTTGGCGACGAGGAAAAGATACGGTGGCGGTGGTTACGGTGATCTAGGTTCTATTGTCGTGGGACCGAGATTTCGTGCCCTCATCCTGATTTCCATCACGCTGTCCCAAATCGGCTTCGTATGCGCTGGTCTTATCTTCACGGCAGACAATCTCCGATCATTCCTTGACGCTGTTGCTCATGCAGAAGAACCACTTTCAACCAATGCGCTCATTGGTATCCAGATTGCTGTTCTGATACCCATGTCCTTCATCCGAAACATCTCCAAGCTCGGACCTGCCGCTCTTCTCGCCGATGTCTTCATCCTCATCGGTCTGACATACATCTACTGGTACGACATCTCGTGGATCGCCAAGATGGGAGGCTTCCACCCGTCTATTGAGCTTTTCAACCCTCGTGACTTCACCATGACCATCGGTTCCGCAATCTTTACCTTCGAGGGCATCGGGCTCATCCTCCCCATTCAGTCCAGCATGAAGGAGCCCGAGCACTTCAGCAAGCTCCTCTATCTTGTCATGCTCATCATTACCGTCATCTTCACGTCCGTCGGCGTGCTTTGCTACGGAACCTTTGGCGAGAACGTGTCAGTCGAGGTCATTACCAATTTCCCCCAGTCTAGCAAGCTTGTCAATGCTGTCCAGTTCCTCTACTCTATGGCCGTCTTAGTCGGCACACCAGTACAACTCTTCCCCGCTATGCGTAACATCGAGCTTAAGATCTTCGGTCGCGCATCTGGCAAGCAGAGTAACATGACCAAGTGGAAGAAGAATGCTTTCAGGACTAGTCTTGTCATTCTCTGCGGTCTCATTGCTATCCTTGGAGCTAGCGACTTGGACAAGTTTGTCGCGCTCATTGGAAGCTTTGCTTGTGTGCCTCTAGTGTACATTTACCCTGCTTTCTTGCACTACAAGGGCGTGGCCAATCGTCCTTGGGAGAAGTTCGGTGATGTCACTATGATGGTTGTCGGAGTTGTTGCCATGGTGTACACTACTAGTGTTACTCTTGCTAGGTGGTCGGAGACTTGAGATTAGACACATGAGGAAGAGGAGGGGTCGCGGAAAAAGTCCTTTTATAGTACGGTAGGCATGGGCTTACTTGTTGCATTGCTTGTTATTTTGGCATGGCGTTCTGGGGGATGGAGGGATATTGTTATGTTATATGCACGTTCAGAATGTCATGTAGTTAGACTAATGTGTAATGAGTAATGGAATTTTCTCCATGAAATTCTGTTACTGATTACACATTATTCTAACTTACATGACATTCTGAACGTGCATGTGTTACATAATTATGAACTTATCTCATCGCATTAATTACGTGGTTCGCTCTAAAACTCTGAATTCTCCCTCGTCGCTTGCAAAACAATGTTGTTCGTCAGTCTCTTATACTTCTGCAGATCCCCGGGGCTATCTCATCTTTCTAGCCCCATATCCATCGGGGAAGGATATGCAAAACAAAAGACACCCCGCCCGGTGCCGCATTTCCCCAAAGGACGAATAACAGTACATGCAGAAGGACAATCCATGCCATATACAATGTCCTTAGACGACTAGGCCTAAGAGTCGCATGAATCCTAGTAATCGCCGCAGCCATCTCGCTGTCTCGCTCTCTTTCTGTAGCAAGCGACATTTCCATCCGATGAGCCATGTCTCCAACCACCGCAAGGTCGGCCACGTGGGCCCTCGCAAGTGCAATTGCCATCCCGATCTCCCAGTCTCTAGCAATCAACAATTGGTGATCTAGAGTAGGTATGGGGCCAAGTGCAGCTGACCTAGCGTTCTCAGCGTCATTCTCAGCGTCTTCGATGTCCCTGATGACCCTGTTCTCTACCTGACCTATCCTTCCCCATACAATCGCCAATCTTGTCAGATGTTGCCTCGATATTTCAAACCATGTTGTCCGACACAGTGGGCATTTGTTGCTATTTGCTGTGTCAGCTGAGATAGACTTGCGCAGACACTGGTAGCCGAATACATGTCCGGAACATCCTTGTGCCTTGACGATCAGTACGGGAGCGTGTGCCTCGTGGAAGGAGTCGTGGCAGATTCCGCATGTTGTTCCTAGCGGTGGATAGAGGGGGTGTGTGGGCATTAGAGGGAGTAGGTTGTTGTCTAGGAACACGTTGAAATCGGGAGGGGTTGAGAGTAGCGCATTGTCCGAAGGCGGGGGTGCGGTTGGCCTAGTAGCCGGGCGTGATAGTATTTCGCGCAATACAAAATTTAGTTCACTTCTCGAGAGACGTACGAGACGACTACGTAGCGGTGTGTTTTGTGCATCAGTCTCATCTTGATGTAGGTCCGTCGAAGGTGAGAATGCATCATCTTGGTGTGGTATCGCCGTTTCTGAGGAAGGACTTGAAGAACGACTTTCTGGTAGCATTTCTAGTCGAGGTATCATAGTTGATTGAGGTTGAAGGTCAAGTGGGGGTGGACTTTCTGATCGTCCAGGAGAAAGATGTCGAGGCATCGTTCCTGACTGTTGAGGAGCGATAGGTGGTTCTGCAACTTCCGATCGTCCAGGTAGGATTTCGAAATTTCGAAAACCAGGAGCTCGACGTGAACGTGTTACTCTTAACGGTGGAAGAGTCGGGGACGACATTCTGAAAAGCTGGCGTCGACTCAAAAGGTTGTGTCCGTACAGTGGGGAAGGGATCACGATGAGTTGGAGATTTTGATATATCAGTTAGGTAAGCATTGTGTTTGCGGTTGATCCTCATGATATAGCGCTTTCCGTTTGGAGAAGCATTCAGTGAAATATGGGATTTTGCCTGGCATACCAGGGGAAACGCGCATACAATGCAAGGACTCACGTTAGACCCCACCTGGCCTCGCCTCCACCCCCGAAGAGTTGTCTGCTTTCTCTTCTTCAACGTTCGGGGTGGTCTTGTGTCGGCTCTTGTATACTCAGAACTGTAAGGGTCCAGGTGATAGAAAAAACCTTCAAAGACCAAGTGAGAACGTGGTGTGGAGATAAGAGGACTCGTCTCTATGCAAATCGGCTTGTGCACCAAGGTACTATCACCTCATCAGATACAACTCCTACATATGAGCCTCTGCTTGCATTGAGTAGAGTAGCAAACATTTTGAGGGTGGTGTCTAGCTCAGGCTGCAGCTGATGTTTTACCAGTCGCCGTACTTATCTTGCTTCGAACTATGGCCGAACGCCACGACGAACCCTTCTCTGTGGGGCTCTTTCCTTTTCAACTGCATGCATAGCTCACTTATCTTCACCTTCTATGTTCACCACTCTTCGCAGTTTGACGACGTTTGAAGTTCTCCGTATCATCGCTCCTCGCCCAATGAGGCTAAGTGAAGCCCCGCATTAGCGTTGTTAGCGCGCCTTTCCCTGCAGCGTCTCGCTTTGGCAACGCCAACGCGTAAACACAGACCCTCATCTAACAAAACACGCCTCCACATTTTGCTTTCTCACCACTACGCCTTCCCTTCGTCTACACTCGCTGTTTCTTATCGCTTACATCGCCTAAACTTCGCGATAGAGAGCGTTTATCGTCTTGAACTTTTTCTTTTCGTCCTTCGGGACACGACAACAACCCGCTATGGACGACTCCCTAATGGAAGACTCAGTCTTCGACGAAGGCGCCAGCTCCGATTTTGCCCCACCCGCAAAGCCAGCGAAGGCCACCAAGGCTGCTGCGAAACCGAAAGCCGCAGCGACGAAGAAAGCAGCTGGACCTGCAAAGCCCCGAGGCCGACCCGCAGGCGCGACAGCCAAACCAAAGGCCGCCGCGAAGCCGAAAGCTGCGCCGAAGAAGAAGGCCAAAGCCGACTCAGACATGGATGAGAACTCAGATGTAGACATGGACGAGGACCCACTCGATGACGATGAGGAACTTCTCAAGGACACACCACCAAAGGCCAAGAAGGCACCAGCCGCGAAGAAGTCCAGTGGCAAGCCTCTTGCAGACATCGCGAATGAAAGCTTCGGCGGAGATGGCGAGGATGTGCCCATTTCAGCGCCCAAGAAAGGCGGCGCCAGCAGCAAGTACCAGATGGTGGGTGACTGAGACATGCGCTGTGAGGCAACGACTAACACGTAGACAGTTGACGCATTTGGAGCACATCATGAAGCGCCCTGACACATATATCGGTTCCGTTGAGCGACAAACAGATAAGATGTGGGTATACAACTCTGAGAGCGAGTCGATGGAGTTCCGCGACGTAACCTACGTTCCCGGTCTATACAAGATCTTCGACGAGATTCTCGTAAACGCGGCAGACAACAAGCAAAACGACAAGAACATGAGTGAGATCAGAGTCAGCGTTGATCGGGAGTCTGGCGAGATCTCCATCAAGAACGACGGCAAGGGAATTCCAATTGAGATTCACAAAGTTAGTCGCCTTCGAAATCTACTTCAGGTCGCTGCTAATTCGAATAGGAACACGGCATATATGTACCAGAGATGATCTTTGGTCACCTTCTCACATCCTCCAACTACGACGACAACCAGCAGAAGGTCACCGGTGGTCGCAACGGTTACGGAGCAAAGCTTTGTAACGTTTTCAGTACCGAATTTACGGTCGAGACGGTCGATTCGAAGCAGAAGAAGAAGTACAAGCAAACTTGGACCGACAACATGAGCAAGATGGGCAAGGCCAAGATCATCGATATCAAGGCGGACGACTACACCAAGGTTAGCTGGAAGGCCGACTACGCTCGCTTTGGCATGACTGGTATCGATGACGATTTCGAGGCCATGGTCAAGCGCAGGACCTACGATATGGCTGGTACGCTTCGAGGCATCAAGGTTTACTTGAACGGCGAACGGATCAAGATCACATCGTTTGCGAAGTACATGGAAATGTATACCAAGTCCATCTCGCGCGACCAGGGCAAGAGCGAAGACGACAAGGAGAAGGATGTCATCATTACAGACAAGCTGGACCGCTGGGACATTGGTTTCGCAGTGTCAGATGGTTCATTCAACCAAGTCTCCTTCGTCAACTCGATTGCGACAACATCTGGTGGTACCCACGTCAACCACATCGCCGACCAGATCATCGAGAAGCTCATGGCGATTGTCAACAAGAAGAACAAGGCTGCTGTCAAGCTAAAGCCCGCGCAGATTAAGAACCATCTGTTCCTGTTCGTCAACTGTTCCATTGTCAACCCGGCCTTCACATCCCAGACCAAGGAGCAGCTCACGACAAAGGCTAGCCAGTTCGGTAGCAAGCCAGTCCTCAGTGACAAGTTCCTCAATGCCATCGCGAAGACCGACGTCATCCAGAACATTATGCACTTTGCTCAGCAAAAGGCCGACCAGATGATGAAGAAGACCGACGGCAACAAGCGCAACCGGATCAGTAACGCTAAGCTCACAGATGCCAACAAGGCAGGAACAAAGGACGGACATCTCTGCACACTTATCCTCACTGAGGGTGAATCAGCCAGTGTCCTTGCTTTGGCTGGTCGTGCTGTTGTCAACCAGGATCTGTTTGGTGTGTTCCCGCTTCGTGGTAAACTCCTCAATGTGCGAGATGCTACTGTCGATCAAATCATGAAGAATGCTGAGATCCAGAACATCAAGAAGTTTATGGGACTTCAACACAAGAAGGAGTATACCGTAGCGGACATGAAGAGCTTGCGTTACGGCCATCTCATGATCATGACTGATCAAGATCACGACGGTAGCCATATCAAGGGTCTACTCATCAACTTCCTCCAGTGTCAGTTCCCCAGCTTGCTCAAGATTCCTGGCTTTCTCTTGGAGTTCATCACTCCTATCGTCAAAGTTTGGAAGGGCGACCCCAAGAACCCACGCGGCATGCGAAGCTTCTTCTCCATGCCTGAATACGAAGAGTGGAAAGAGCAGCACCAGCACGAGAAAGGATGGGACCACAAGTACTACAAGGGATTGGGTACCAGCGACATTCCTGATGCTCAAATTTACTTCAAGGACCTCGACACACACATGAAGCGTTTCCAGGTCATGCGTGACGAAGAGGAGAAGCTCATCGAGCTCGCTTTCTCGAAGAAGAAGGCTGACGCTCGTAAAGATTGGCTGCGAGACTTTGTGCCTGGTCAGCATCTTGACCTTACAACCCCGGATATCTCTTACGACGACTTCGTAAACAAGGAACTCATCCTTTTCTCCATGGCTGACAACGTGCGATCGATTCCCTCCGTTGTCGACGGCCTGAAGCCCGGTCAGCGAAAGGTTCTGTACACCTGTTTCAGGCGAAACATCAAGAAAGATGTCAAGGTCGTTGAGCTTGCAGGTTCCGTCTCTGGATCCACTGACTATGCTCACGGTGAAGCCTCTATGCAAGGAACTATTGTCAACCTTGCGCAGAACTTTGTCGGTACCAACAACATCAACTACCTCGAACCCAGTGGTAACTTCGGTTCGCGTCTCAAGGGTGGTGCCGATGCTGCCAGCGCCAGGTATATCTACACACGCCTTTCGCCATTCGCACGACGAATCTTCCACGCCCACGATGACCAACTGCTGAAGTACGGTGAGTCGGATGGTCACAAGATTGAGCCTGAGATGTTTGTCCCGATTCTGCCCACGATTCTCATCAACGGTTCGAGCGGTATTGGTACTGGTTGGAGTTCAGAAATTCCTAACTTCAACCCCATGGACATCATTGAGAACATCAGACGCCGCATGGCGCCAGGCGCGACCAAGGAGGACATGGCTCCTATGGTTCCCTGGTACAAGGGCTTCACTGGTACAACGACAGTGCTTGGTCCCGATCGTTATCAGTTCACTGGAGTTGTCCGACAGACTGGCGACAACGAGGTTGAGATTACTGAACTGCCAGTTCGCTACTGGACACAAGACTTCAAGGAGAAGCTTGAGGAGATCATCAAGGCTGAGAAGGGTCCTTCTTACATTAAGGATTACATCGACTACAACACCCCAGACCGCGTTCACTTCATCATCAAGATGGAAGACAAGTACATGGCACAGGCTCTCGCCAAGGGTCTGGAAGAAATGTTCAAACTCTTCAAGCCCCAGTCCACGAGCAATCTTGTCGCCTTCGACGCACATGGACGCATTCACAAGTATGCAAGCGTTCTTGATATCATCGAGGAGTTCTACCATGTCCGTCTGCGATACTACGAGAAGCGAAAGCAGCACCAGCTCCAGGTCATGGAGAAGGAACACCTGAAGATGACGAACCAGGCCAGATTCATCCAAATGATCATCGATGGAAAGCTTACTGTCTCAAAGAAGAAGAAGACTGTGCTCGTTCAGGAGCTCAAGAAGCTTGGTTTCACCCCCTTCCCCAAGGTTGAAGATGCCAAGGCTGCTGGTGAGGTCGAGGATGTCCAGGAAGATGATGAGTCAGAGGAGACTGAGGCGGAGGTGAATGCCAACGACTACGATTATCTGCTAGGTGTAAGTGCTACCAATCCTTTTCACAAAACCGAAACTAACATCTTCTAGATGGCCATTTGGTCTCTTACTCAGGAACGCGTTGAGAAGCTTCTGAAGCAGATCGGCGAGAAGCAACACGAGATCGACACCCTCATCAAAATGTCACCCAAGGACATCTGGAACGTTGATCTCGACGCCTTCATGGAGGAATGGAACGTTCAGCTGGAGGAAGAGGTCAAACGTAAGAAGAAGATCGCTGCCGTCACACGCCGCCCGTCTCAGAAGCTTGGTATCGGTGCTGGTAAGGGCAAGGGAAAGAAAAAGAGAAAGGCAGATGGCAGTGACTCAGACGACTCCGGATCCGACTTCGGCCCGGTTAAGAAGAAGGCAAAGCCGAAGAAGGAGGGCTTGCTTAGCTATCTACAGCAGGAACCAGTCAAGAAGCCTACTGCGGCAGAAGCTCTTAAGAGTAGCAGCGCCTTCGGCTCAACTGCACCGCAAAAGCAAGGCACGTTGCTCACGCATCTCGTCAAGAAGAAGGAGGAGACACCACAACCTGATGGTGGAGAAGATGGCAGATCAGCTTCTGTAGATTCGGCACCAGCGCCGGCACCGGCCAAACGTGGCCGCCCTGCTGCTGCCAAACCTATCAAGAAGGATCCAGTCTCAGACGATGAAGATTCGGATGTCTTCGCTGCAGTCGCCCAAGAGGCTGCGAAGGTGCCCTCGAAGACGACCGCGTCTCGTACTGCTCGCAGCGCAAAGAAGGCGGCCCCCAAGTATACCATGGGCAGCGACTCCGACGATGATGACGATGATCTTCTCGGCGATGTTAGCAGCATGGTCAAGACCATCGGATCCGGTACGAACGGTGTACCAATGTTCAAGGCCACCACCACTGCCCGTCCCGCACCCGCAGCGAAGAAAAACAGCAGCCCCATCGAGATCGACGGCGATACTACCAACTATGAAGGTCTGATGCCTCAGTCTTCGCCACAGCGCCCTCCTCCTCGCAACGTCCACGACACAATCATGAGCTCTGATGAAGATGATTTCGACCTTGGAGCAAAGAAACCAGTTGCCAGCAGGCTAACCGCAAAGACCAAGGCCGCTGCCGCGAAACCAGCTCCCAAACCAAAGGCAGTTGCAAAGAAGCCCGCAGCCCAGAGCCCCGCAGCAAAAGCTTATGCAAAGAAGCACGGTAAAGACGCCGACGCTGCTAAGCCTGCCCCCAAGGCTAAGAAACAAATCACCATCGACTCCGACGATGACGAGGAGATGGAAGATGCGGATGCCATCGCCAACGACATTCTATCTGGCTCTGACGACGATGAACCGACGCCTAAACCAAAGGTTGCTGCTCGCGCTCCTGCTGCAAGACCGGGACGTAGGGCTGCTGCTAAGCCGGCGAAGTATGTGGTTAGCGATGACGAGGCAGAGTCGGATGAGGCGAGTGAACCTAGCTTCGATGATGACGATGATAGCGAGTAGATGGTGAGCGAGCTTGCCAAGGATGCATGGCGGTATGGTGGGTTTTTGGGTGTATGATACCCGGATTATCGGCGTTGCATGTGGGATGCGTGTCTCAAGTTCCCTATGGGATATCTGATTTGCGAGATATTCGGCGTTTACGTTCAACATACTTTATCAGGATGTATATTCATTTGGGATATACTATAGTTTTCAGAATTACAGACTTCAAGATTGTACAAGTGCTGGGTGCTGCATTGGTCGGAAACTGCATTGTAAAACTAACCCACCATTTCTAATAATATAAAGAAAGACCAACTATCGTCTGTTTTGCATGGAGCGAACGCGGAACACGACCAACAGGCATGTGCTCACCATTGCATGCGTCATCTTCCTGATTGGTGCGCGTGTGCATCAATTGCTGCAGCTTGCACAGCCTCACACTCAGCTCGCCTCACTTTTCGTCCATTCCTCAACCTAACTTCAACTTCCCCGTCATCCATCTGAATCTCTCAAAGACTGTTGTATCCCGAGGTGGTGATGGATTTATCGATTGACAATGTCCTGAACGACTGGTCTGGGACTGGCAGAGGGTGCCATGTCGATTTCGGTGTGGACGAGTCTATCGGGTTACAAACTGGTAAGTCGAGTCCCTTCTTCATCAATGCAATCTTAGTCATCCCTCTCATGCATGTCATTTTCCGCGATTGATGTTGACGAACTTGAACACAGGAGACTTCCTTGGACAAGGTGCCGACGCAATTGTTCATGAAACGACCGTTCAAGGACTCAAAGTAGCTATGAAAAGCTCATCACGCTATAAAAGCTCAAAGGAGAGTATCAGGCTCGAGATCGAGGTCCTAAAGAAGTTGAGCCATCGCCATTTAGTCCGACTCATAGGCTCATATACCCATAAGAGATTCGTTGGGCTATTGTTGTACCCAGTAGCGGTTTGCGACCTCGGTACTTTCTTCGAGGATGCTGAAGCATACTTGCAAGATAACGCGGCTGACGACCAGGAACTGCGGCTTCGGCAGCTCGGATACTCCTCCTCAAAGTTATATCGAAAACACAAAGCGTGGCCTATCTACTCGCAGATTGGATGTCTCATTTCAGCTGTGGCATATCTTCACAGTCAAAGCATTCGCCATAAGGATATTAAACCCTCAAACATTCTCCTGTCACGGGGGCGTCTCTGGCTTAGCGACTTCGGGCTAGCTCGGGACTTCTCTGATGTCTGCGAAAGTGGTTCACATGGTGGTTCAGGAACACTACGCTACAAAGCTCCAGAAGTAAGTCAGGCAACCAGGCATAGATCGTCTTCTTCTGATCTCTTCTGTCCTTGCAGGTAGTAGACCGCGAACGCAGCGGTCGAGCTTCGGACATGTTTTCACTTGGGTGCGTGCTCCTCGAAACCGTAATCTTTGACCGAGACGGGACGCTGCAGCGCCTAAGGCCTGAGTCTCCATCTACACGTTTTGTGTACCACGAGAACCTGGACAAGCTGAACGAGTGGCTGCCATTGCCTGAAGATCTTTCTCTCGCCAAGAACCAAATGTGTCTTGTTTTCAGGAGTTTGCTCTCAAAACTACCAGAAATGCGACCCGTGGCGGACGAAGTCGCTTCGCAAACCAGCTTTTATGACAACTTGATAGAGAACGCTCAAGATCGGGTATTCTCCGATTGCTGTCGTAAATCGTCCTTTACTAAGCAACAATTCGAATGCAGAAGCGAAGTATCGGAAGTTCGGATTCTCGATTCACATCGGGAGAAGCAGATCGAACAGCAGATTCTTGAGACAGATCGACGGCTTAACGACCTCGAGGCTCAAGACTGGACAAGTTCAAAAGTTCGGAGACCAACAAGACAGTGGATCTTTGCGGTATGCTCAATTCCAAACCTTACAGTAGAAACCGATGCTGACGCAATGTTCCAGCCGCCATCAACCTCCAGAAATGCAGAGCCACAGTACATGAAGCATCGTCTGCCTACTCCAGTTAAAATACTTGTATTAATCATCGTCACATACGTCGTCTTAGTTCTCTTGCCTGTTGCAATACATCTCCCAAGAGACACACCTAGGATCTCAGCGCCGTTATCCGCTCCGCCAACGCTGCCAAAGATAGGTGGCTGGTGATGAGTTGCCTCGAGACAAATTCGCATGTGATGCGTTTTGAGAAGATTTGTTAAGAGCATCGAGAGTGTGAGATGGAGAAGTTAGAGGTGGCTGTGCTCCCGAGGATTGTACGCTCATCCTAGACGATGATATGAGAATTTGAGGCTGAAGCCCAGCACAACCAATACGGTCTAATCTTACTAAGGAACCCTATGTAGCTAAAGTTTGCGGCTTCATAGTAGGTGTTATTGCAGGCTGGGTATTTTTGAAAAGCGAGGCAGGCGATGTAGACATCAGTGAGCACGATACCCAGCGCACCAGAACTCTCTGTCAGACAAGCTCTCCAACAGTCACTCCGCTAGCTGTTCGCAAAGGACCGAACGGCACGCTTCCACTGGACCAGATGGGAGCGACGAACGGCGCAGAAGGGACATGTTGTCAGATCCACAAGCGCCAAAGCCTGTTATGAGGGGAAAAGAAAGAAAAGCGTTGAGGGTCTAGACACCTTATGGCGCGTCCTGAGCGCATCCCCGGGGGCAAGGACATTGTGGGAGACATTCAGCCAGGAATGCGTTATTGGTTGCTTGGAAGACGATCGCAATGCCGGGTAACGGGTTGTTTTGTGGCTCCAGGCACGACGTAATGCGGATGTTACGGCTGATAGGCTGCGCGTCGTTACACAGGGAAGAGCATCCTGAACATTGAAACATGGCTGAAGCTTTGTGGCTGGGCGTGGCTGACGCGTGCCGAATTGGTGGGGTGTGACGTAACCCTTAGCGAAACATTTTCCCAACTACGAGGTGCAAGACAATGCGCATGTTTTGGGTATCGTAATTCAAATCGTATTAGCTATAGTATTATTACAATCGCTAAAGATCAAGATAAACGCCGCATGTCGTCGTAGACGTTTCCTGGTATCCTGAAATCCGTTGCCTAGTCATTCCATCCTATCCAGCATCGGCATCAAGCACGATGTATTTCCGTCTTCATATCATACACATTCCAAGTCGTGACGCTCGATCTTGACACTCGCAATCTCAGACATCACTGACATCTGATCGTGTGTTCCAAGAGCCGTCAGAGTAAGATTTGCAGGCATCCTAGACCTGGCTCATGGCGGGACCGCCACGGCGGATGCCACCGCGAAGGTTGGCACCGCTGCCGCGTCCGTTCATGATGTTGAGGGCCAGGGTAGCAACGAATGCAGCCCATCCGAACCAGAGGAAAGCAGTAGTGGCCTGGGCCTGACGGCAGTTCTGCTCGGTGTTTGCGGAGCTGTTGAGGACGCTGTTGGAGTGGGTGTATGCCTGTGTGTGGTTAGTATGAATTCCTTGGATCGTTGGCTAAAAAAGACTTACGCTGTTCGAGCAGCTGTGTGCGCCAATGTATGCGGGAAGAGCAACAGCAGCGCAGAAGCCGAAGAGCACACTGAGCGCATCCATCGCGATGTCGACGATGGGGATGCTGAACTTCTCGATGAAGGATGTAGGTAGGAAGTACAGCAAAGTGAACAACCACCAGACACCGACAAAGAGCGAATAGTTGATGATGGAGTGCACACCCGACCAAGCACGCGCAATGTTGTTACCCATGAACGCGGTGACGAGGATGGCGCAGATTAACTACTGAATGTCAGTAGGAGTTTTCTAGATGGGAATGCTATAGACATACCTGCCAGGCACGAAGGCCCATGGAAACTGCTCTTGACACCATATTGTTGATGGATATATGAAGATGTGGGTGTTGGGTGTTGTGTTGCGGCGAACAAACTGCAGTTTGTCGTTTCTAGCAAAGCGTCAGGGTCTTTGTGGAGATGAATGAGTCGGGTGGCTGAAGCGAGAAATCGTGGATGAATGATCTGCTGCTTGGAGGTTGGGCTGGGGCTGGAGAATTATAGCAGTGGGCGGGAGGAAGCGGGTCGTCCTGTCGCAGCGTCATAGGACCCTGGGCAACTGGTAGTGACGTATGAGGGTCCAATCGTCCCTTCCACGCCGGAACTATCGGTACTTACCTTGCTATTAGCGCCGATCACAAATTGACTTTATGATGGAATATGTATTGTTGGATGTTGTCCTGGTTGTAAGGCAGATAGTGTTTCTGTGAGTTTTGGATATTATATACACAGTACATGATTATATATCGTTACGCGGCTGTGTACTTCGTTGCTGCGCAACAACAATGATGATGCAAGCCTGCGCAGGGATAACCCGTCAGCGCTATCAACCACGCTGACGAGCCTAGGCGCTTCGCTCGCATGACCGCACCGTCACCCTAAACTTTTCTCCGAGGAGGCTACTGCAGTCTTCTACGTAAGAGCGAGTGCTATGACATGTGCAGTTGTGTCCAGACCATTGACAGCACCAAAGTTTACATTGACGACATGAGTGTGAGGTCTGAAGTTGATCTTGCTGAGGTTTGGATCTGCATGTGCGACCTCCCCGGATCGACGACGTGATCGTCATCGCTGCGCACCGTGCGAACTCGGAACTGGCTGTGATGCGGATGGACCACGTTTGCAAATCGTCCTCGCACGAGCATCGTGAGCTATTTTGTAGTGAATCATTAATCGCGACAAGCATGTCATTCCGTAGGCTGTAAATCTTTGGCAAGGATCTCCGACGATTGGTCCCTGATTTCCTGAAACGAGGTGGACGTGTTATCTGAGTAACTCGGTCTTTCGACAGCACCGTTGGTATCAGACCCTGATCGCATATTTACACATTCGTGACGTTTCACAAAGGCAGCGACCAAACGCCCTTGCTCATGGTTGGTAGAATGAATGCTGTTCAATGTTGAGCACGTCTGCGTCAACGTTCAACTTAAGAGACGACAAATCGAAGCACAAATAATTGATTACTCTACGTATTGATGTCCAACCGGTATCTGTATTGCAAAGACAATAGTCTCAGTCTAGGCGACTTTTGACGGCTGGTCGTTCAGTTACCCATCTCTGCTTCGGAAGCAGGAGGGTACCATGAACTGATTGATCTTCGACATTCCTTCGACAGCGGCGCGGCGCGTCAACACCTCCTCATACCAATGAGAGATTTTGAAAAGGTGGTTTGGTGTCGGTGCAGGCGTAGCTATATGCTAGACTTATATGATTTATGGAAGAGGCGCGAAGATTGTGAAGCGAAGAAACGTGGCGTGATATAATGTAGCTGCCAGCGAGCGCTCGAGTAAGTCAAGTCTTCGAGTATCTGTAATACTGACATGACTGTGTGCGTGCATTACATTTGTACCGCTTTCTTGTCGAAGCTCGAGTATAGTACGTGGGAGGCAGTAGGGCGGAAACTTGGTCCAGCTGCGTTGGGTGGGGAGTATATCGAGCGGGTGAATACTACACTTGATCAATAGCACATATAAGCACGATACGCCTGGCTAGAGACGATCTTGCCAGATTGTGACTACACTCCTCATTTCATTGTGGAAACAGTCCGTCGCAATGGACTTGGCGTGTTGCTTACCTTGCGCTTACGCTCGAGCCGATTGTCAGTGGTATCCGAAATACATGCAAGCTTGCGGCTCCTCCGTTGGTGCAGTCGAATCAACCTCTGTTGAACGAGTGCTAATTATATGGTATAATGGTAGATGCCACGGTTCACTGTCGTCTCCATCACGGAGCGTGTGCAGTCGGGGTGTCTTTCGATATACATTTACCTTTCGTGAATGTCACGCGAATTTCAGCGATCCCTGGCATTGTCCGCAGCCGCTCATACCGATTTCAATCTCCAAACAAGGGGTAGGATATACTCATAGAGGCCTCGGAAGATCATCGAGGCAACTGAAAAGCTTCTTTGTTGGCGCGCCGTGACTGTTACCGTCGTAAAGGTGTGGGAGGGTCCGGACATCGTTACTCGGGAGGCTGGCGTGGCAGCGGAGGTTGTAGGGAGACTCAAGGCGGCCAAGAGAAGAAGAGGATACCGAAGTAGGAGGCGTTACAGAGGAAGTGGTGGTTCTCCAGCTCCGAGACCTTCTTTCGCTGAAGGCGGCTGTGGTAGTGTCGTGAAGAAAGAAGGGCTAGCCGTGACTTTGGGCCAAGAATCGTTGTGGGGACAGCCGAAGGGGGGTCAAGGTGGCGGAACAAGGCTAATTCAGAAGAGGCAGAGCAAATGGATAGCCAGGAAGAGATTCCAGAAGGAAGGAGGCAGCTTCAGAGAGCATCTAATAAGCATTGAGCTCTTAGATTACCTTCACAGCAGCCTGTTTGCTTCCGTGAATAGCGATGCTAATTACCACACCTTCTGGGTGACCACAATGTTGTCCAGCTTTGCTTCCTTGGATGCTGAAGAGGGAGCTCTATCAAACAGACGGCGCTTTAGCTTACCCCTCTGCCCCTGCATAGAAGGTAAAGTTGAGGTCATGAAAGAGCTTTGTAACCCCTAGAATGCCTTCGCTTAAGTCCTGTGTGATGTCGTGATGTTGTTGTGATGTTGGTCTTGGTCCTTCCTCGGGCAAGGGCCACAATGCCCGAGATGTTGCCTCGAGCTTCAACCCATGGTCTCGAAACACCCCACCCACACGGGCCTCACAACCCCCAATGCAACCACGACAAAGTTATCAGAAGGCTGTAATCCTCTTCCTTGAGTATATGTGACTCCCGCTCCCGAAGTTTCTACCTCTCGGCCCCAACAAGCTCTTTCTGACCTCGATCGATCACGCCCTGAACATGCGCCCATAAGACTTGCAACCCCAAGCCAGCGAACATTCAGCGGCCTAGAGGACTCTCGCACAAGCAAGGGCTGTACAAAGAGCGCAAGCATGTCAACGTTCCCGTCGAAGATCCCCCTTCCCTCTCCGCCATACGATCGAGATGGGAAGCAGAAGACAACAGACACTCAGCTTGCCATCTACGCGAGCACGACTCGAATACCAATAGGGCAGCGACCTTGCATCCAATACAACCCTTCACATTACGATGGGCTACCAGGTCGGCGATATTGCGGACTTCCTCCGGAAGCCCTCCCGTAGTCGCGGCCGTGATACATTTTCTGCTACACAGCGGAACACCATAACAAAGCGAAGGAGATCACGCAAGAAGCGTTGCTTATGAATATGGAAGGCTGACCAGACAACGCAGAGCATGGCCAAAACCATCGAGACTCCACAACGAATATAGCAGGCTGTCTGGGAGACATCTTCATCTTCGCTACCTTGGCTGGGTACGACTACCACTTCGACAATCCTGGCAGAGAGTCGTCACCAGACCCCATAATCCAAAGCTTAACCAAAGCTTCAGCTGTGACTCCGTTCAGGTTCAAGCGCGAAGACTGGAAGATGGGAAAATCTCATGATACCGGAAGTAGCGGCAAAGCGGATACTATAGTCACCTCCGCGAGTGGTTGTCAGACATAAGGACGTCGGGATTCGTCAAAGACGCCGGATGGTACCCCGCGCGTAACTGCGAACGATATCCCTGCGAGACCTCGAGCCACAACGGTGTGCAACTACGAACACCGTTCTCGAGATCGAGGTAGTCTCATGTGACAGGCTGAAACGGCGGCAATAACGCGGAGTTTGGTATACCTGCATGTACCCTGCGCATCGTTGTCTGAGACGTCTTTGACAGGTAAGCATCGGGCATGTTTACACAACCACATGGAAGTCTAAAGCCGGGGTACATGCTGCCTTGATCGGGATGTGGATTGTCGGCGTGAGGTGCTGGTTCGGCCGTTGAACGACAATCGGATGCTCTGCATATCGGACCGAGGACTTAATATATCCAGGAGAGGTTTACTAACTCCGGCTGCGACAGGGTTTCCGGAAATCCATTTGACGGCTATGCTGTTCCGCAAAGGCATGCTGTGGACGTGCCTCAAGCTACAATGATGTTCTGAAACGCCGCCTTACTATGACACATCAGAATCAACAAGTATTTGAGTTTCCAACGAAGAAGAGGGAACCGTCCAGAGAAGAGCATCAGGCGATAGTCAGCCATGCGGGCGCATCGTTGACTGGAGGTACCCGCCGAGCTTGGCTGTTCTGAATAACGCCAATGCTGTGCGCAAGATGCGGGGTTGGCAGGATGCTTCGCAACTAATATGGGAAGCCGAAAGAGGAGTCTGTCCAACAGCATGCCGTGCCTCGTGTGCCCAGCACCAGCCAGACACACTGTAATACCCTGTCATCTGCAGATGGGAAACGTCTCGCGAACCACTCAAGAGTCTTTGCGACGTCGTTCGCAGCTAGCTCCAGGAACGCTCGTTGTGTAGCCATCGTTTGCTATACGAATACCAAGCGCGGCGTCGAATAGGAGATGCCCAGAAGTGCCCACAAGATCATCGCGTTGGGCGGGGCATGCCGCGGGTGCGTCAAGCAGCTAAAGAGCTTAGTATCCAGGTCATGGTAGTCGTCGAGAGCGCGTGACTTGTTACACTCTAGGGCTGAGGGCGCCAGTAGTGCTGCTTAAGTCTTTCCCGGGGGCGCCATAGCCTGACGGGGATGCAGTGTGATTGATGGCGCTTGAAGCGAAACAGAATGGCGTGCAGCAAGCATGAAGCACTGGAAAAGATGGGAATGGATGTCTTCCGACGGGCCCAACCGAGTCCAGACAGCGAAAATGAGGGGTTCGTCGACGAAACCCTGAACATGCAGCCCAACGCATCGTCGATCAGCGATTGGGCTAGCAGAGCAGGATGAGTCCTGATGAAAGTCGATGAAGCTGTGTCGAGAAAAGGATGGTTACAAGAGGTTTGACCTAGGCAGATGGTTCGAGCAGCCGGGCCCTATCCGGCGAGGTTCGCTACCCCCCAACAGCGCAGCAATTTGCAGGAGTTCGCCTGAAGCATATACGGCTAGCCATAGTTGGTCTGGCCGTCTCCGCATTTCCTGCGCAACGACCTTTCAGAAGCCCCTGACCCTTGGCCAGCCATGAGCTGCAGAAGCCTCAAAGGCGTTGCATGTCTGCGTGTCTCCAGACTTACGTCTGCCTTTCTGTAATGCGCATCTTGCTTCGCCGCCTTTGTCCCATTTTCCTGTCAGCCACCTCTCGAACTCCTTGAGATCGCCGTAAGCTCGCCGCGCTTGGCCTGGTGGAGTCGTCTCCTGATCTGACAAGGCGCGCGGAACACAGAGTGTCTGCCGCGTCTGCTTCCCAACGTTTCGAACGATCGCCAAGGCGAAACCCTCCTACTGTCAGTCTGGCCTCTGCAGAAGGTGCCCTCCTCATTATATTCTCATCCTCTGCCGTCCGGGTTAGAGGGCGACATGTGCTCGCTTTAGCAGTCGCACGTCCATCCTCCTAACAGTTTGTCCTTGATCTGCGGGACAGCCTTGGGTTTAGCAGCGTGGCGCTTCCCCACACTCCAAGGACCCGGTGCCTTCTTGCCGATCCTAGGCTTGTGTGATTACATGCGACGACTGATGCCATAGCGGATCGTGTTCGTGTTCGATATCTTCGAGAAGAAAGACTAGGGATAGACTGGTTCAAGAGTTTGGCGCTTGGTTTGCGACATTTTGAGGTATGTCTTTGCCGATCTGCGACGGGCGTGCCTGCGCGGACGTGGTGTCGCAGTGCTTGATGCTTACAGTCTGTGCTAGTTATCTTCCGAATCCGTTTATTTGAATAGAGTCGTTGTGGGATAGAACGTACCAGGTAAGTGGTCCTTCTCTCAGCGTCTCGCGCCACCCGAATGCTGTCGTCGCCCTCGTTGGCCGCCGCATCAGGTTTGCGGCCTACATCAGGCTCTGCAATGTAGTGTACCTGCGTGCAATGCCATGAGACTGACGATGTCGAGTAGGGTATACCGTTCTTCTCCCGATAGATCTGCTTTGAGCATCGAGCTCCGCGTCGCGTAATTCTTCTAGACAAAGTCCTGTTAACTAGGTAAGCAGAGTCACTTTCCTTCTTGTCCTTACTGCAGCTGCCCCCGTCGTCTGCTGTCTTTGTGAATGCACTGCTGGTGGGTGGGTGATGTTGTGGAGAATGTCGAGATGTGTTCCGGCGTTGGCGGAGTTGAGGTTGTGGGGAAGTAGGCCAACGCCAGCGACATCACGCACAGCAATGCACACCATTCTGAATATGTATGAGCGCTGCATCTGCCTCACAAGAGTTTCTGCATAGTATCTCGTGGGGCAGAGCTGCCTGCGTCGAATTCTTGATGGTTGTCCAGGTGGTGTGTACATGGCGGAGGCAGCAGATGAGTCCTCCTGAGCTTCAGCAGTCGGACAGCAGCATGTGTTCATTCCTGTGTCTCTACAAAGAGTACTACTGGGAGCAAATGAAGCTTTCTGGTTTCTTCTTTCTGTCATCTGTCTACCCATATTTCCCCTGTTCCTAGTGTTCCCTGCTAAGACGACGATGGCGGACAGTAATCTCTAAAGCCATCTGTGCACGGCGCTCCTGCCTTCAGCATCACCGACAGTTCTTTCCTCCAGTGTTTCAAGGCGGCAATAGAACCAGCTGACCGTCCGCTCTCAGTTCTGACTGATAAAACCCCGCCTCCGGCACCATTTCCTGTTTCCTCCACCCACCATCTTTGCCATCATCTCTCCCTACAAACCTCATTCCGCTCTTCATCTACTTCTGCTCGCCTCTGAACGTCATTCGACATCAGGGAGCGCGTTTGAAGCGTCATAAAGCGCAACTGCCAGCCTTCGCTTCAACTATCGTCCCTCAGAAGGTGCCACGCCAAACTGCCTTGAGAGGCAGCTGTGAGTAGACCAACGGCAGTATACACGCCTGGTATTTGATCCGCTTCACATCTCCAATATCTACCGTCAAGGTATGTATCTCCGTCCTATCATGTGCTTCTTCCCGTGCATGCCTGGCGAACATCATGTTTGCATAGTGGGTATATGCCATTGCGATACCCCGCTCATTCACCAACTTTATCGCCTATCTTTACCGTTTGCCTTTACCTCTACCTCACCCTTGATACCCCGCCCCTTACCGCCTCTTCTAAAGATGTCATCGCTAACACATGGCACGTTCTGCTTCACAGGTGAAGGAGATTTATAGACACACTGCCAGCCTAGACGTTACATTTTCTCGCACACTTAGTCACAAGAAGAAGCATCTACGCTGTGCATCACATAGATCTCCAGTGTACAGGTAGTGTGCATCAAGACACTCCCCTATTCATCGACCATCTCCATTTTTTCTAGACTTCAAGGTTCGTCTGCCAATTGTTCCGATGTCTTCAAGGACGTTGCTAATGTATCTGAGAAAGACCATCCATCATGAGTTCCAACACATATAAGGGCGGTCTGTCTGTTGGCGGCTCGGCTCTCGACAAGTCGAAGTTGCAACTGCGTCGTCCAACCCCTGATAGCGATGTCTTGGCGTCCAGCGACGATGACCGAGAGCACGTGGCAGTGCCCGTTCGACATGCACCTGGTACATACCCCCTTGCAGTTCGTCGTCCTTCCTCTGGTTGGCTGCAGGATATACAGCCAAATCGGAAGTTCTCGCTCCCTTCTGTGTCGTTTGCCGGCTCGCAGCCAACCACGCCGTCCCTCGAGCTTCCCCAGCAGTCACGGCCCAGCACTTCATCATTCCCCTGGAATACCCCGAGCTTCAGCGGCTTAGTCAACAGCCGTTCGAAGAACGAGATTGCTCCTTCCCCCACCTCTGCTTTTCCCCCCACCGACAACAAGCCCATTCCCTCCCCCACAACTATTGAAGGCGACGACGGCAACGGTATTGGTTTTCTTCTAAACCAGCAAGCACCAAACCCCTTCCGCAAGGCCGTCCGATCTCAATCCTATAGCATAGGACAAGGTGACATCGAGCACAGTCCTGTCAGCCGTTTCTCGCGCAATCCTAACACCAGTGCCAATCTTCGTCATCGCCCGTCCAAACCGAGCCTTCTTGGTGAGTCTGCTGTCGGCCTCTCACAGCTGCGTGAAGACGAAGCCGACGAGATCGAGTCGTCCAACGGCTCAGAGCACGGAGTCCGTCTGCCTGCCGGTTACTGGGAACGTGAACAGAAGCAAGCCTTACTCAAACAAGCCGCGATGGAGAACGCACGCGCTCGCAGCCGAGCTACCTCTACTGGCTCTCCTGTCAAGCAGATGCAACAGCAACGCCGCCAGACTACTGCCGGTCTGCGCAACACCTCATACAACATCGCTGGGGAGTATGCCATCGAAGAGCTTGACGACGCTGAGCCTCCGATCAACCGTCCTGCCCCGGGCCTTACTCGCCGCTTCAGTGAGCACGTCGGTGTTCTGACCCGCGATCACGAAGTCGAGATTGTCGACAGCCCTCAGAAGCCGCAGTGGACCACAGGCAACATCTCACCTGCTGAGATGGATCCCCTCGGTCGTCGCCACTCATTCGCTCACTATGGCAGCTACAATTCCGCCATGCCTCTCTCGACCTTGAGCAACACCCAGGAAGAGGAAGAAGAGTACGTGTCGCCTCGCCAGACCCCGCCAAACAAGGACGACGAGCCCTTTGACGCGTCTGCCTACTTCACCGGCTACGGCCCTGCATCGCGCGCCATCAACTCCTCTGCCATCTCAGCAGCTCACCCAGACCCGGTCGTCCCTAACCCCGCCATGTCTGCCAACCCCTACGCCGTTCCTCCGAGAATTGGTAATCCTACCCGCCGCTTGTTCATTGTCACCTTCAAGTGCTCGCGTGCCGACATCTATTACCTTTACGATAATACCGGTCTCGAGATCCGCCGTGGAGACCTTGTCATTACCGAGGGCGATCGCGGATGTGATCTGGGTCAGATCACCCATGCCGACTTGACCATGGAGGAGGCTAAGAAGCTCAAGGCCGAGGCGAATGAGGAGCACTTCCGCTGGCTCGTCATGTTCTCGCAGTACTCCCTGGCCGGCACTCAGAACGACTCTGGTATGTTGGGCGCGCTTGCGCGTGCTAATGGCTTTCCCAACCCCATGAGCCGTACTCCAGTGACTGCTTCGGGTGAGCCTGAGCCGTTCAAGCCTAAGATGATCAAGCGCCTTGCCCAGGCTCACGAGATCTCTGCGCTTCGCGAGAAGGAGGGTGGAGAGGCCAAAGCCAAGCGCCTTGGAGCTCAGAAGGCTGCCGATCACAAGCTGCCTATGGAGATCCTCGACGCTGAGTATCAGGCGTAAGTCAATCACTTCCACGTTCTTATCAACATCATACTAATAGATCCAGTGATTACCACAAGTTGACTTACTTCTACTACGCTGAGTCGTATGTCAACTTCAACGAGCTCGTCACCGACCTATTCAAGCAGTACAAGGTGCGCATCTGGATGTCGGCTGTCAATCCCGCATCCGTTATCAACCCTGCTGGCGGTGCTCAAATCCCACCCCCTTCGGCCATCGGACCTGGTGCCATCATCAAGAACAGCAATCAAAACGCCCCTCCCTCTGTTGGCCCAGGCTTTGGCAACAACACGCATCACACTGCGCAGCAGTACGGTAAGTTCGCCTTCGTCTCCTGGCTGTAATATCGTGTCACTAAATGTTCATCAGGTCAAGGTCAAGCGCGCAACCATGGCAACTATGGCAACTACGATGATGGCTTCCATGCATTCTCTCACCAGATCCCTGCATACCCCACCCAGCCGTCCTACAACATGCAGCAGACATGGGCTCATGGACAGCAGATGGGTCGCCAGCAAATGTATCCGGGCTACTATCCCAACGTTACCGCGAGCGGCAGTCCCATGAACTATGGAGGCGGAGGCTACTATCCACCATCGACCTACGCTTCGTCCTATGGGGGAGGCTATGGGACTGCTACGACCACTGCAGGATACGCTGCTTCGCGAAACTACACATCCAATACCGGTCAATCCTTCGGTGTTCAGCAGCCCTCTCCGTATACCTCTGGCGCGGGCTACGCCAATGCCTATAGCAACGCCTCATACACCTCAGGTGCTCCTGGCGGTTACTACGGCACATCAGGTGGACACGGTAATGGTAACCCTGGCGCCTACAACAGTGCCAACACTGCTACTTCTGGAGGTCGCCCTACCACTGGCACTGACCCTGCCCTACTGAGTGGCATGCAGAACATGTCATTTGGTAACTAGGAGATCTTGGTGAACTCTAATATGAGAGAGGTTTCGGGATTTTCTTTCGGTTTTGTTGATCATTGTGCGCTATTTTCTTTTCACTTCTTCATCATATCTCATGATTCCACGGTTGCTTGTTTTCACTTACCCAAAAAATTCCCCATGATGCGTGTAGTTTAGTCGGATATATGCCATATGGCGAAATCAGAATGCTTTGGCACCAATGTGTTCTTTCATGGGTGAATGTGTTCGTATCTGTCAGGCCTAGATATCGGTGTGATGTTACCGCTGGCAGAAGCCCTAAGGACCTCGTGGCCTAGTTATCACGAATTTTCCAAAGGCTGGAAGTTTGGTGAAGGTCTCCAGGCTGTACCTGAACACTTATAGTCTGGTGGTTTGCGCATTCCCTGACAACCTCCTGGGCTAATTCTTGGTTTTCGTCTGAAGCTTGGAAATGGTGTGAAGACCTACAGGCGTCAACAGCTCCTTCCCCCCACCTCACTCATCTCAACCATGGCACGACAACATGCCACGTCTCCTTCACCCAAAAGCCAGCAGGTGCTTGCACTCATTCGTGTTCTCGAGAAGCCAAAGAACTGTGGCGTAGATGTGCAGCACTTCCGCGCAACGATAGTGGAGGACCAGAAGAAGCTTAACGGACTGATTGCAAAGCGGAAGCTCCAGGCGTAAGACAAAGCCTTGAATATTTACAGGAGCTACTATGTATCTGGTTCGACTACTAACAGCTGCTGTAGCAACAAGCAAGAGCAACGCCACCGCGATGAACTCGCAGCCATCATCCTCGAGGCCCTGCGAACCCCAAATCAAACCGTGAATCGCGAGACAGCAAACTTCAAAGGCACCCGTATCGCCGGAAACGCAATCTACGCCTCTATCACCACCATTCTGACGGCGTCCTCAAGCCTCGTGAACGAATACCGAAGGCTAGACGACATGATTACGAAACTACGAAACGAGCAGCCTGCAGCTCTGGTAGACACATGGAAGCATGATGTCGAGGATACAGACCGGCAGCTCAGGAGGGGAGCTCGCGTTGCATTGAGAAATGTGAAGAAGATGCTGGATGCTGATGTAGAGGATGTTGTAATGGGTGAGGCGGATGAAGATGGGGACGTGAAGATGGAGGATGGAGAGGAGGTTGAGCTTAACTACGAGTTGAGGAAGAGTTTAAGGTATGCGGAGAGGGGTGTTAAGAGGATGGTGAAGGGGTTGCCCGTGTGCGATGGATGCTAGGCATAGGTGACGCTGTGCTGTAGTGTTCGAGGTAGTATGTGGACAGGCAAGACGAATGCGCACTTCTCTCAGACACAGGTATTCGCATTAGGCCCAAGTGGCGTAGCATGTACAACGATAAATACAGGCGCTGACTCAATGGTTCTCGCCCTCCTCTTCTTCTCGCTCATAGCTGAAAAATAATGTGTACACAATCTTAATTATCGTGTTCGCATCTTCTCAGGCCCGTGTCATGCTCTGCCGAGAGTCGCCCATACGATTCTGTGAGCGACTCATGTCGGTCTAGCGCGATGCCTCGTCAAGTTAGCGTGTAGCACAGGCCACCCGCCCACAGAACCGAAATCAATATCGAATCTTTTTCGCAACCTCAAGCACGACAGCGTCGACAATCTACTAACCAACAGTCAAGATGGGTGCCCTCAAGTATGTCGAAGAACTTCAGAAGAAGAAGCAGTCGGACATGATGCGCTTCTTGATGCGCGTTCGCGTACGTATTCTACCACAATTGTGCTGGGACACAGAACTCTGCTAACATTGCGACAGTGCTGGGAGGTATGAACATCCTGAGACTCAGTCTCAATTGATGTACTCGTTGAACTTTGCTGAGAGTGCATCGATAGCTTCGCCAACTTAAGGTCATCCACCGCGCAAGCCGCCCCTCGCGTCCCGACAAGGCCCGCCGTCTCGGATACAAGGCCAAGCAGGGTTACGTTATCTACCGCATCCGCGTCCGCCGTGGAGGTCGCAAGAGGCAGGCTCCCAAGTAGGTGCTTCACAATCTGAGAGAAGGGAAGAATGCTAACATGTGGTTTCTAGGGGCGCCACCTACGGTACGCAGCACGCAGTCGATTTGATGTGGGGAAGGAAAAACTGACAACTGAACAGGAAAGCCTACCAACCAGGGTATCAACCAGCTCAAGTACCAGCGCTCCCTCAAGTCCACCGCTGAGGAGCGTATCGGCCGCCGCTGCGCCAACCTCCGCGTCCTCAACTCCTACTGGATCAACCAGGACTCCACCTACAAGTACTACGAGGTCATCTGCGTCGACCCCCAGCACAAGGCTATCCGCCGCGACCCTCGCATCAACTGGATCGTCAAGCCCGTCCACAAGCACCGCGAGGCTCGTGGTCTCACCGCCACCGGCAAGAAGAGCCGTGGTCTCGGCCGTGGACACAAGTTCAACAACACCAGTGCCGGCAGGAGGAAGACCTGGAAGAGGCACAACACCCTCTCCCTCTGGCGCTACCGTTAAATGCATTGAGCATGTGGTGTGCTTGGTGCAACGTCTGGTCGATTGTTTTCAGCGTATGGGCTGGCGTGAATGGAATAGGGTATCCTGGGCTACATAGCATAGCTTCCGAGCGGCATAAAAGCTGTCAGGACTTTCAAAATCAATACCATGGATTCATGATCTTTACGAAGACAAGACATAAGCTCTGTATATTGATGAGGTGTTTGTATGCCGGATGTGAAGAGGACTGTTCCGTAAAGAGACACGGCACTAAGCTCAAATCTGGCGAGTGTATGCCTTGCTTGGTTGTAGCCAAGAGAAGATACATGGACTTTCACATGGGTAGCTGACCGGTACCGGTAAGACAGCTGCACCATCGACGTCAGATGTGATGCCAAAGCAAGCTGTGTGCGCCCATATCTACTGTGACATTGAACGTGCATGCTAGAATAGAAGTGCGATATAAAGAGTCTTGGAGAGGCCAGAAGGTGATCAGCCAGGGTATTGCTAGCAGGCTGTGGCAAGCGTTGCCTGGGATAAGGCCGACTGTAATCAGAACTAAGCGGCCCCTCTTGAGCCAAAACACAGCCCAACCCATAACACATGCAGCACCTGGACGCCAGCGCAACAAGCGGCCAAAGCTCCAATAGACGCAAAGGGTACACACACCTCTCCGCAACACTGACGACATGCGGCTGACGAGCTGAGCATCCAGACTTTTGCTGTCATCGTACTGTTGTTCCACTTTCGATACACAATGTCCCGACGTCCACGCGCGCGACCGAGCATCATCATCTGAGCAGCACTGCCCTGCGACCAAGCAAGGCAGTGAAAGGGCGACACCCACCAGGCTGTTTGACGACTACAGCTGCCTACAAGAGTTGGGCGGGCGCACTGTGCAAAAACTTGCTTGCCTCACCTCTCCAGTCCCGCCGCAAACACCGCCGCCATGGTCATCAAAGCCGATGCCTCGCGAAACTACTATGCAGACCTAAAGGTCCCCGCCAACGCCAGCGAAAACGAGATCCGCAAGGCCTTCCGGACGCTGGCGCTGCAGTACCACCCAGACCGAAACCCTGGGCGCGAAGCTGAGTTCGTCATTCGCTTCCAAGAAATCCAGGCCGCCCACGAGATACTGTGCGATGCACCTTCGCGAGCAAAGTACGACTCCGACAGAAGGAAACATCGCAATACCTCTGCTCCTGGTAACACACCAAACCAAACGAGAACGAGACCACCTCCACCCCCACGGAACGCATACTCTACTACCGCCCCTCAAGGAACATACTATCGTGCTCCTCCTCCAAAACCTCAGCCTCAGCCTCAGCCTCAGCCTCAGCCTCAAGCACAGCGCCCGCAACCACAACACCACAGCACATACAACAATGGTGCGGACAGATTCACCAACAGGAACTTCCGCCCGCCACCAACGGCGCAACGACCAGATGCAAAGGCAAGAGATGCCGAGGCTCGGGCCAATGTCTTTACAGCATGGCAGAAGATGAAGCAGCCGCGGGGCGAGGATCCTCGGCAACACAACCCAAGTGCTCAGAGTAGTTCGCAGAGCAACCCGCAGAGCAATCCCAACGGCACTCCCTTTGGGCGCAGCCAGAGTACAAGAGTCCCTTCCTCCAAAACAGGATTTGACCCCTCAACACCAGGCGTCGATGAAGGCCAGGCACGGTCAGCGTATAGGAACTATGCCCGTCTGGCTCCAACACCACCCACGTCTACAACCCCCTCAAAAGACAGCCAAACCGACGATGCCCCATTCTCCGAAGCAAACCGCGTTCGCACACCATACTATTCCCATGTAGCCGGCGAGCGTACTTCCATGTTTGAAGGAATCGGAAGGTCCTCTAGTGTGCGGAACTCGCCAACTCATTTGAATAGAGCAAGCCATTCGACAGACGCTGGTGCATACTCAGACTCGGGTCGCAGAACACAGGGCAAGAAAGCCAACGCAAAGCCAAATCCTTTTGCCCACGGATATCCGGACTCTAGCGATGAAGATTCGGATTCGGATTCAGATATGATCAACAGCAGGAGCAAACACCGTGACCCGCCTCCTCCTCCACCGCCGCAGAATACAAGACCGCCTCCTCCAACCTGGGCAGAGAGCAATTTCGCGACCCCTGACCCAAAACGGCAGAGCAACGGCGCGGCGGGGAACATACCCAACAGCTTCAAAAGCAGGAGTGAAGAAAGCATCAATATGAAGTTCTCGCCTTCGGACTGGCATGGCAAGTTCGAAGGCAGTGATAGTTACTTTGCTCCTAACATGCAAAAAGGTGCCAACGGGAAAGGCCGAGCCTCTCCAACCCGCGGTAGATCACAACGAAATGCAACGGACCGAAACCCGTTCAGCACACGGCCAATGCCGCCTCCAGTTTCGCCATTCGGGCAGCCGATACCTCCACCTCCTCCGGGGCCACCGCCTGGCATCAACTTCGCTCCGCCAAAGATGGCGCCGCACACTGCCAAGTTCAGTCCTCAAGACTGGCAAGAGACATTCAAAGACCCGAACTGGGTATATACCGACGCGAAGGAGACGTCGCCCCGTCGGCCGTCAGAGGCTACAAAAAGGCCGAAGGCTGCACGAAAGGCATCTGTGCACCAGAATGGAGCTTCGAAGGCGCAGGAACCGACCGATGCATCACGGTCCAAGCACCAAGCCTTTGTTGAAGAGCCAGTCAACGGCGACGTAGATGCTATGGACATTGATTCCGGACCACCATCAAACGCAAAGCCAGCTAAGAAAGGCACACGCACGGCGCCGTCGTCGCCGAAGCTGAACACATCGGGTGTAGGTGCCATGCCAAATGGCTCTGCTACCGCGCCTTCTTCCGCTTCTACCGCGAAACCGCCTGGTGGAGGACTGAACAGTCTCGGTCCAGACATGATAAATCCGGTTGTCCAGCCTCAAACTAACGGACTCTCTGGCATGGGCTCCCTTGTAGACGCAATCCCATTCCCATCCCAGGCTTCCAACTCACATCCCGTCAAGGCCAACGCTGCAAAGAACCTCAAGTATCCCGAAATACCTTATGCACCTGCCCCACCAGCCAAGGTAGATTTGGACTCTGCAAATTCCTATTTCGACCGCATGCGCACCTACGTCAAAGCATACCGAAACTACTGCAAGATCCTTACTGGTCACTTTGCCTCGCGAAGCAATGAGATGGAGGACCTAGACGATAACTTCATCCACAACCGTGGCGAGACAACGAAGAAACTTGGATTCGCAAGTTATCTGGCTAAGATGGAGGAAGACGAGAGTGTCATGGAGACATGGAAGCTTGCACAGGAACGCCACATTATTGCGCTGCAACAGTGTGAGGATGTGCGGAACAAGACTATGAAGCTGTACCAGACCCTGCAGACTTGAGCTTTGTCATTTTAATTGCTTGGATCCAGTCTGCGGGTGTGCTGACATCGATTTAGCAAGAGCTTCTGTCAACGAGAAGACAGACGCCGCGACGTCGTTCAGAACATGGTCGAAGAGATGACGGGGTTTACGATCAAAGAGACGCGGTTTATGACTCCTGAGCATGCGGCATCTCCACGGAGGCGTACGTCTAGCTCTGTTCTCGGTATGAGGATCTCAAGTGCGCTGAGGACTTCCGCTTGTAGCAGCCCACCACCCAATTTGGATGGTGGTGATGATAGTATTGAGGTGTTGACAGCGAGAAGTGCGAAGAAGCCGAGGCCGTTGCTGGCAAGAAAGAAGAAGTATCATGTCCTTGTGTAGTAATGATGGCGTTTTCGGGCCGAGCATAAAATACCCACTTGAAGTCGTTGAATGTCTTCATGGTTGCGCAGGAGTATTCTTCTGGGGATCTTGGAATATAGATAACGCTTGTAATATGTATACTACTGAATGAAAGCTTTGGATACAGTCATCATCTGCGTACCATGTTGCACGCCACGCCCTCCCGACAGTTTGCCATAGCCCGGGATCTCTAGGGCTGCATCTTGCGCGAACTTCCCGCGGTTGCAGCGCATGACGCCCGCACACCCGAGGCAGATTAGCACCAAAATGAACGCGCTTGTCCAGCGGAAGAATTGACGGCTAAACACCACGCCGAACTTTCATCATTCTCTTCATCCTTCGCGGACAAGACTGTACCGCCATTGAGCAATACTAAGTCGGATGACCCTCTTGGATCCAACTGCAAAGTGCTTGGCTGTAGGATAGCCGTCCCGCCGGGTAAATGTAGAGAGCCTGGTGCATCGTGGGGCTGAATACCCCTCCATACATAAGAACCCATGGGGAAGCCTACATATAATCATAGTACACTGCTGCCTTTTCCAGTTGTCGTTCCAGATACAAGCAACTGAATACTTCACATCATGGCGGACAAAGAACCCATCGTCACACACGTTTTCACCGCCGACCCATCAGCCCACGTCTTCAATGGCAAGCTGTATGTCTACCCCTCGCACGATCGCGAGACAGACATCCAAGATAACGACAACGGCGACCAATATGACATGAACGATTACCACGTCTTCAGCATGGATGAAGTAGGTGGCCCAGTTACAGACCACGGCGTAGCCCTCAAGCAAGATGACATACCCTGGGTCCAAAAACAACTCTGGGCCCCTGATGCCGCCAGCAAGAACGGGAAATACTACCTCTTCTTCCCGGCCCGCGACAAGGAGGGCATCTTCCGCGTTGGTGTGGCCACTGGCGACAAACCCGAAGGACCATTCAAGCCAGAAGCCGAGCCCATAAAAGGCAGCTTCAGCATCGACCCCGCGTCTTTCGTTGACGAAGACGGCTCTGCGTACCTGTACTTTGGCGGCATCTGGGGCGGCCAATTGCAATGCTGGAAGACTGGAAAATTCATCCGCGAGGACTATGAAACCATGGAAGCGCAATCTGGCAATGCCCTCTGCGCAAAAGTAGCCAAGCTGTCAGACGACATGACTTCCTTCACCACCGACGTCCAGGACGTCGTCATCCTGGATGAATCCGGAAACCCCATTCAAGCTGCCGACCACGACAGACGGTTCTTCGAGGCCGCGTGGATGCACAAGTATAATGGGAAATACTACTTTTCGTATTCTACTGGTGACACGCATTTCTTGTGTTATGCGACGGGTGATAGTCCGTTGGGCCCGTTTACCTACGGAGGCAGGATCCTAGAGCCCGTCATTGGATGGACGACGCATCATAGTATCGCGGAGTTCAAGGGCAAGTGGTATTTGTTCTACCATGACTCGAGTCTGAGTAAGGGGGTAAACCATCTTCGATGTGTGAAGATCAGGGAGATTGTTTATGATGAGGCGGGGAAGATCAAGTTAGCGGAGAGTCAGCCCAAGGTCATGTAGGAGCATGTTGGTTAAGTTGACGTTTGACTATGATAGCGTAGTTACTTCTGACGAAAGCACCTCTTGATCCGCGCCAGATGCCATCTCTTGACACGACATTCCGTGGTATGCAGATTGAGTTCCTCCACTGACCTTACTTCCTCATAGTATTGCTTTAAGCTTCTCCACATCCAAAACACATTCGTCTTCCTCTTTCGCTTCTCTATTCTCCTCATCTGAATCGCATTCAACCTCAACCTCATCTCCACAATCTGATGTGTGTCCTTGCACTCATTCTCCATGACACTAGCCCCCTGCCCATCTTCTTCTACAGTCTCGTTCTCTACATTCTTTTTCTTCTCCTTGGTCCTCCACAATACATCCATTGCCTCACACTCCGCCTCCCAAGCCCCCACGCCCAATATCTCCATATTCCTCACAACCCACTGCACAAACGTGTGATCCGGTAGGTCGCAAAAAGGCGCTGGGAAGTCATCTTTTATCACTTTGGTATCGTAGAAGATTAGGTTAATTTCTTGTGCGAGACCGCCTTTTAAGATCGGTTTCTTCTGGACCGGTCGTGAGGAGAAGGAGGATGAAGCGGCTTTGGTGCGTTTAGTTTTACCTTCGAGTAGCAAATCACCAGACTGAGGATATAAACTGGGACTGTTTTGTATCCAAATTTCTTCCTGCCTACTGCTCTGCAGTCGTTCGCCTGGAAGTAGACCTTTGCGATCGGTGGTGTAATGCGCGCCCATATTGACTTCCCTTGAGCTTCGGTAGCGTGGGACGTTTGCGCGGTGGTAATGCCGCTTACCGCGTTCTGCGCAGATTGACGGCGATAGGGGACTTGTTGTCCATTCGGGGTCGCGGGGGGTAAAGAGTTCGGTGGTGATGGAGGAGTAGATGTTGGAGAGAGCTTTTGCGTGGAGTGGAGAGATGGAGAACTCTGGGGTAACAAGGTAGTGGGTGTCAGGAAGGATGATTACAGGCTGGTTGGCTTTGATGATGACGGTTGACATTTTGGGTGGTGGTGTCGTGGTAATTCGCATGGTTGGTATATTTTATTGATTTGGTCGATGTGCTGGTGATAAGATGCAGGCACAACGCTGTTAAATCACAATGTATTGTATCGCAGTAGAAGTGTGTCCCCACGGTTGGTATATTCTGCTTTGCCGAATAAGATTTTCGGATGACAAGATGAGAATAAGGTCGAGGTGGCTTAATATTTTTAGATTACACATAAAGGAAGGAGTTTGGGAGTGTGACATATGCTCATGCCGTCCCATGGTTGCAATAAATGGATTGCCCTGCCATGCCCTCAGATCTCAGATCCTCCATTGATGTCAGGGATTAACACGCGAACGCGCCCCTGTTAGAGCGTAAGATCGAGGATGACAGTATAAATGAAGGCTTGTTGGGAAGGAGCACACTTCCACGAGCGGCCTCTCTAATTCAGCTTGGCTGAGTCTACCGCGAGGACCTATAGAGTACGCTACACGCCCTACCTATCTACCTCAACAACTCTTCAGGATATTCCCAATCACCTGCTCGAGCGTCAATCTTGTGGTTGTCTGTCTGATGTATCAGTTTGCTGCCAGCCAAGAACTTGTGGATGACTCCAGATTTTGACGGAGTTATGATTTCTAACAACCAGTATTTCCTTCACATACGACCATAGGACACTGAAAATTAGGCTTCCCGTCCGCTCAGCCATATACAAGCAGTGTACCGGCGGATTAGTAGTTAGGTGGGTGACCACTAGCGAATCCCCGCTGTTGTATGTTTTTGACATTGTTTTTGCATATCCCACCTCATCTTCAGGCCCTACACACAGCAGTCGACCCAACGGTGCGTCTCGCCGTCGACACTGACTGTATCTATGAGTAACGAGAATGCGAAAGAGGAGATGGGTCTTTAATTGAACCTCATGCGGTGATTGACAGAAATGAAAAAAAAGACATAGGGAAGTAGGATAACGTTACCATACTCTAAAGCCCTCCTGAAGATGCGCCTGAAGATGCTTCTAAATCGCATCCAGCGAGGAATCCGCCCAAACAAAAGAAACAAAGACTTGGTATATAACAGAAAATCCACTAACAATATCTCACACACTCCTCCCCGATGTCCCATCTTTTCCTCCTCCTCTCAACTGGCTTCCCACCTTCAACTTGAGTCCCCTGAAGCTCCTTCAGCCTCTCAAAATCAATCTTCTCCTTCTGCGCTTTCTCCTCCTTCTCCTTCTCCTCGTTCTCCAACTTCATCAACTCCATAATGTCCTTGAGTCTTGCTTCCTCTTTCTGTTTCAGAAATTCGTCTTGCTCGTTGAGACGGCCCTGCTCATTGTCTTGCTCCATCTCATGCAACCACACACCCTTGCCGTCCTGGAAAATTTGTTTCAATTGTGGCAAGGTTCCACACACGCCGTCGACTTCGCCCCAGGGGTACCAGATCTGCTCGGCTTCAGTCCATATGCCGCCTCGTCCTCCACGATTGTCCCAGTAGCGGTCGCCTCCTACGAGGTGGTTGTGGTATCCGTTTGGAGACTGAGGGGCGCGGAAATAATTTCTCAACATGGCACGTTCATGTCCTGCATACCACAAATTATCCCAGTTGACGTTTGCGATTGGCGGACGCTCGCCACTAGAGGGTGAAGAACTGCTCAGAATGATGGCGGGTACGGAACCGGAGTATGTGTTCTGTATTAGAGGAACGCCTTCCCAGGGCAGCTGGCGGCTTGGCAGGCCATCGAGTTCCAGGGTAAACTCTAGATTGTCAATGTATGCTGGTTTCTCGTTGGGAGATGGGTTGTGTTCGACAAAGTCTGGGCGCCAGAATGGAGGCTTGGTCTCGTTGAGAGCAGTCGGAAGGGAAAGATACTGGCTGTTCGAGTCGAAGCGACTGTACTGCGACAAGTCGGTTGAGTCATCATGCAGAAGAGGAACAAGCTCATCTTCGACGCAGTACTCCAAAGGCTGGAAGAGCGCATGAGTGTAGTCTAATCCGATGGAAAACTCGTGTCGTGTAGTGTTTGAGAGCTCGGCGTTCGCTCGCTCTAGTCTTCGCTCAGCTTCCGACTTGCTTGCTCTACCGGTTATGAAGTCTTTGACCTTGGCACTGGTATGCTTCGAAGCAACTTCCTCAGCATCTCTTCTCAGCTGTTGCTCAGCGAACAGGGTCGCGAACACAGACTGAACCGTCTGCGATTGACTGCTAGCCTCCGTGAACTTCTCTAGTGCAGCCTGATACAGTAGCTTCAAGTCGCTTGCCGGGCCCATGATCATTTTTGAATGGATAAACTTCGCTGGGGTATCGGATATGCGACGGCCGTTCTCGGTTCCGTATGCGTTGTCCGGTAATATCGACTGCGGCACGTACTTGCAGGCCATATCGTCGCTTTTGCACATCTTCTCAGCGCCAAATACGATTGTCTGGTTGAACTTCTGGCAGCCATCCTTGTCAACGCCATACTTCTTCAGCAGCCGCATGTTCGCATCTGCCAACAGCCTCTTGTATTGGGTGACTATCACATCGCTTGGCAGCTGGAACCATGATTGCTGGCCATCCACGATGAGTATCAAATCTTGATCCTTCACCAGCTTTTCATTACTCAGGTAGTGGAGTGTGCTGTTCAATATGCCCTTCTCCCATTTGATGTCCGAGTCATATGGGGTGTACAGCTGAACTGCAGTCGGCGGTGGGTAGTTGAGAAGCATAGCAGACAGGGTCGTTTTGCAGAAGCCATCTGTGTCACGCTCGGATGGCATGAGGAGGTGGAAGTTCGCAGTCGTTTTCTTGAGCTTTGGCGGAACGTGGTCGAGCTCACCGTTCTCGATTTGCAGCGTCGTATTCGAGGGGGTCTTGAAGGGCGAGTGCACGATATCGGGCAGAGTTGGAAGGTACGGTCGCCATGGATAGTAGGAGGAAAAGCTCTGGTATTGTGAAGATATGGTCTGAGAAAAGTTAGCCTGAATCTGAACAGTGGCAGTCAGTTGTAGCGGGGCACGTCTCGCATGTGCTCAGCGCTCCCCCTCTCTGGCATCGATATGAGCCAAACGCACCTCATGATGCCTCATACCAGTCAATCCCAGCAGAATGGTGAGAAGCGTGATCGTCAAGACCATCATCCTCCCTCGACGAGTGCAAGCCCACTGTACCGCCGCACTTCCAAACTCCTTGGTCGACTGTGTAGGAGACATTGGCATAGCCAGCATCGCATCGCCTGCCATGATGAATTGTGTGATAACAGAAGGAGCAATGCCTCAGGCCGTTCCTCCCTCGCTCAAAACGGGCATCGGTGATACGTCGTACCGCTGTATATCAGGTATGATGCACGATCTGCCTCTCCTCTGTATCCCCCTCCGTGTCCCTGCATCGCAACGCCGGGGTCTCAGTCGTCGTCAGACGTCACGGTCCGATCATGAACGCGCGTAGTCTCCACCAAGTTGCGGTACTCTGTTTCGAAACATCGGGTAGCCATGTTGCGCGCGCGAACAGTGCAGAACTCGAAATCGACGAAGCCATAGTAAATGTGGACTTGGTAGTAACATCACATTCCTTAATGGGAAGAAGAGCTGGAGACACAGCCAGCCATTGATGGTTTGATGGGTGTATCCTGGCCTATCGTGACGCGTCGCTAAGCCTAATGTGAATTAGAGGCGGAGCCGCTTCGGCTGTCTTTGCGCTGCAGATTAGATAGATCATCAAGCGTTTCGTCATTATTGCTAGCGTTCGCATGTGGAGTTTGTGAAGATCCAACTATTTTTGCGACATTTTCCTCAAATATCGGAGTAGACTAAACGTGCTTCCAAGTTGGTTGCATGTAGTCTATTCAAAGGGGGTTGGGCGCGGCTTGCAGCTAGCTTCTACAAAGATCCATTATGGCTGACAAAAGGGGCGATCCGAACTGATATACAACATTTGTGAAGAATTGTGCGACAACTATATCACACCGGCTTGCGTTACGACGGAAGATCGTTACTTCGTCTTTTCAAAAGCCAGCGATATACCGATGCTTATCTGTGACCTCCGTAACCTCGAACTTCATTCCGACCCTGAGATCCCCGACCGTCTTCGGCACAGCCAGCATACCATAGCATGGCTTGTATGTAATTCCCTCGTCAATCCTCCGGTACTTCATCAGCGCATCCCAAGGTTGCGTCTTGTGCTTCTCTGCCGAATCAGGATGTACATTTGGTACCTGACAGCGCGCGCATCGCTGGGTGATGTCCAGGACGATGGGTTTTTCACCAGCCTTGGGCGTGATCTTGACAGTCTTCCAGCGATCTTCGTCCCAGGGAGCGTTGGCATTACCTTTGACGAGGATGTTAGGTCTGAATCGGCGGACATCGATGGTGAGGTCCTCTGCGGCCTTGAGGCGTGTGTTGAGTTCATCGATACTGCTTTGATTACCGACTAGCACAGGCATGAGGTCCGCGAAGCAAGTTGATGCGTCTCTGCCTAAGACCTTTGGTGCACCATTCGATACGAGAGGCCTGGGGTCATCAGAAACCGGGGGCTTGTAGACGAGTCGCACCTCCTTGTCGAAGAATTTGTTAAATGGGCCGGTCATCTCAGTAGAGTACACGCGAGTTCCTGTCGTAGTACTCCATACCTTTGCCGAGTGCTCCTCGGTATTTTGATCGAGCCATTCCTTTGACGGGTGAGCGGGGATAGAGAACTCCAGTTTCTCATCAACGGAATTTGGTGCTGGTGCAGTGACGGTAAGGGTATCAGTCTTCTCGTCGTAGGTCGGCCGGATGAGTGTCATCTTCGAGTTTTGGCGGATCGTTAGGAACTCATAATTCGGATAGCTCACCCACATCCACTGTCGATCTGGCTCCGTCAGCATAAAAGAATCCTTTGGAAACTGATTAGGAAAGCGCACCAAGGTCGAGGCCAGTTGGCAACAGCTTTGCTGACTTCACAGACAAACCATGGCATGATTTGATCGGGTGTATGAAGAGGCCTGTGATTTCAGTCGCAGGTGGAAGAGGACCAGCAGTACTCTTTGCTTGCTGACTCTTTGTGAAGTAAAGATATGTGAGAATTGGTAAAATGAATATAGACAGTATAACCGCAATCTGCGTGGTGGCTGCGAGTGCCATATTTGCGGTACCGTTGAATGCCCAAAGATGAGAGGTGTCGCAAGCCTTCAAATGAGTTGATCAATAACAGCTGTGCTTTGTGAGATCTTGTGGGATGTAAACTATGAGCATTTCTTCCTTCGTCAAACCGTACTCATCTGGTTGTGGCTATAGGGCGTGGTATGACAAGTCTGAGTCAGCGATTCGGTCCAGAGCAGAACCAGAGCAAAAGCCCTGCCTAATGGAGTGCCGCAGCGGAATTTATTGCTAGAAGTGACAGTTCACGAGAATGACGCAAAGGGCGGGGAAAGTGCTCGCTACCAAAATGAGCTAGCGCTGCCAAAGTCGCGTCTGCGGCGCTCCGCGGCAGTCGTACATCGCATCCCTGCGACCGCGTCAACGATATGCAACCCTTCCAACGTAGACCCTCCATCTCACTTTGTACTTTCAGATCGCATCCGCTTGAGTAGCATGTTAAAGCCTTCTCCCACCATCTCAGATAGCGAGAGTTGCTCTCGGCCTCGCTTCTTAGTCGCTCGCCCGCTATTCAACGCCTCGATTTCTGCTTCCAACTGGACACAATACTTGTCTAACTCCTCCGTTTCCTTCGCATTCATCTCCAACTCATTCAAGCGACCGAGTAGCCTGAGATTGGTTTCCATGCGAAGCATGCAGTTCTTCTCGGCAACATCGGCGCGTTGTTTCTCCTTCTCCAGCTCAAATTGGGCGTCGTGTATGGCCCTCCTACGCAAGCCTTCGGTTGCTTCGTACTCTTTGAGATCTGCCTGTGCGCTCACAAGCTGAGACTCTTTGTCGAAGAGCTCTCCACGCAGCCGGTCAGCCCCTCGTTTGATCTCCACGCATTTCTTCTTTGTACAGAAAACGCGCTTCAGGGTTCTGATGCCTAGTGTTGGGGATGCGCTCTCCGGTTGTTCACAATAATCTGGGGGAGTGTCGCAATCTATTGCGCTGTCTGGGATGTCATCCTCCCATTCTTCGCGCATGATACGTGGTGTAGACGGCGCAGCCAGAGTAATCTCCATGTATGCCCGATACTCCGCTCCAGACATCCCGACTTTCTCTTTCGGCTTGTCGAACTTGTCGTAGTTGAATGGAAAACGCCGATGGAGAGAGCCATTCACTGAAGCGGCGATGGTTCGATCTTCCGGGGAGTACAAGTCTTCATATCGCTTCATCGCCTCTCGTTGGTAGGCTACGCCTGTCGGCAGATCTGGATAACCCTGGTAGGGACGATGTTTCTCTATCGTTGATAGAGTAACACATGGCCAAGTTTTCGGATCTGTATCATTGTAGGTAGGGAAGACACGCTTGATGTTTTCATATAGTCTTGAAGAGGTGAAACTGAACGTGCCATCGTAGCAGGGTAGAGCTGTCATCTTATGTTCTGGTCTTGTCAGTCACTTCTGGTTCGCTGATTGGTATGTTCTGTATACCTTGAAGGAGACCAAAGGGTAGTAGAGAGCGGGTTGCCGTCGCCGCCACTGTTGTTGCTGCTGCTGGGAAGTGGAGAATCAAAAGATGGACTGTTACCAGGTGAGCCTCTGTAGACATTCTCATGCTGTTACTCATTGCATCATGTCTAGAAGGCTCACCGCGAGTCCGCGAACGCTCCCCTCTCACCTTCACCCCAAACCGTCTTCACCAAAGGCTGTTGTGGATCCTTGAGAATAACTTCTGTGTGGGGTGTAATTAAGAGCGGATGAAGACATTCTGAGAAGCATACATGAGCGGTTGATGAGTCGTGCACGTACTAGATGTTTTGGTACGAAAGCGAACGAAGAGACTTTCTTCGTTCGTGTCACAGAGTAAGTGTCATTGTGTTTAATCTATGAAGTAGTTCCGCAACAATTGGACGCTAACTATCGTTTGCTTGCACCGAGCTCCTAATATGACACAACTAGAGACCACTTCCAGCTCCAGGAAATTTGTCAAATAGCGTCGCATCGTATTTCACGAGCTCGGGACATCCAAGTGTCTGGAGTATCGGGTTCAAAGCGTCTGTCAAGTGTTGAACAGCCTTTACGATATTTCCAAGCAGGCCCCTCAGAATGTCTGGAGAAGCTACTTGAGCAGCGGTGAATGCAAGACACATAGCGTTGTTTCCCTCGAGCAGTGTCTGCGCGTTGAAGACGTTGCCTGTCAAATCGTCGACATCAACACCCACAAAAGTATTCGGCTGTCCCGTGTTGCCACCGACTCGGACCAGTTCAGGATATTTCGTGATCGCATCAACAGCGTCAAGGTCAAGTCCCAGGATTCCATAGTCGTCACCGATGGCGCGGCGATACCAGTTCTCTGGAATTCTCTCTTGTCCTGAAGCCCATTTGTAATTGCCTTGTTCTCCGGTAATGCCCTCGAATGATTTGAGTGTATTGACATCTGTGGGTGTGGAAATACATGGTCAGTGTATGTCTCACGTATGTCTCGTACAGTTATGACTTACCTAGATAGCCCTCTGGGTACTCGGCACTGTGGTTGGCAAAGAAGCGGTATGTGAAGTAGAAGGCTGCAGAGTTGACAGCAAGATGTGTGAGAGGGCCAGCAAAAAAGTGTCCGTTAGTAGCGATCGATTCCTTGATGCGCGCTACTCGGAATGGAAATATGACTGAGAGATCGATACCGTTCGGGCCGAGAGGCATGGCCACGAGGTCCTCGAACTGGGACAGGTTGACTGACGCTGGGTCTCCAGTAACGTACTCGTCGGATCGCGTGGGTGATGCATCGCACTCGAAACGGTTGTGGGATCCAGTCAGACCTTGTGGCTTTCCAAGAAGACCAATTGAGGAGGTGACTCCTCCTAACAATCCACTCTTCGGCGCGCCGCCAATCGAGACCGACGCAACGTCTCCATCCATAACAGCAGCGTAGACTGACAAGAATCCGGATAGGTCGAGACCCATGCCGAAGACTGGTATGGTGTCAGATAAGGGCACGTAACATATCGAATCATGTCGTACCTTCGTTAGACGCCGTAGTCAATTCCAAGATTGAACTCACGCCGGAGCGGGAGATGTAGCCATGGTTCGCCATGGCGTTCAAACCAGGGCAAGGTCCACGGAGGTCATTTGGGCCTGGTGCAATCTGCGAACAGTCTGGTCAGCATTTGAAAGACGATATCTCTCGTTAAAGATGGCGTACATATTGGTGGTCACCGGAGGTGCTGATGCGCTGAGCATCAGCATTGAATCCACGTTTTACATTGCTGGCATCAGGCCTCTCCTCGGCAGCTCTTTTTATCTTTGCCGCCAAAACAGCGATGTCCGCAAGCGTGTCATCGCTAATGTCATTGCTGAGCAAGTTGGCCGGGAAGGCAAACGTCGCCAAAGAGAAAAGCGTTGCGCTGCAAAGCAATGATGCCTTCATGATCGCGAAAATCCAATATCAATAAAGGAGCGACAGTAAGGAGAGATTTAACGTTGGGATCGCCAAGCCTAGACACTGAGTTTCGTATGGGATTATATGTGTTTCCCTGATGGCAAATTAACTTGGCTTCACGCGCGTAGACTTACAACTCTGGTTGACTAGCGTCGTGGCTACTGCAGGTGGAGCGAGGTTAAGGGTCTTGTTTGCTCAGGAGGTTAAGGCTAACATGGAAATCTCCATGATCGACGCATCATCAGCCCTCTTATGATTGGAGGATCGAACGCGGTTTCACTGTGCGCCTTGAATACTACGGATAAAAGCAGTACACTAATGGATGAAGGTTATCAATGATGTCGAGCCAGGTTCAAGCCGTTCCCGACACTAGCGACTCGTGCCGCAGATCGACGCACATGGCCGAATCCCTGAATCACATCTAAATAAGTTGCCACTTCCTCACCCTCTCTGTCTTTGATAGAATGACTCGCATCGGACATATTCGCTGACATGCCAGACCTAGGAGGATCACCAGGTCACTTCTGCTTTGAGTAATGGCATCTCTACGAGTCAATGACCACATGACAACCTGATATGGCTTCCACATTCCGCCCGAGCAGCTGTCCAAGTTGCGAATCACACAACAATGGCGTCATCTTCTTCCACATTGCGCACTGAGCGATTGCCCGTACAAGAATGTTACATTGCTTTCCTACCTAGGTACTGACGGTTTGCCCTTCTCATGAGACGCGCTCTGCTCGTCTCACAGAGGCCATTGCGGCACTTTCTGCTCTTTCGCTTCTGTCATAGATACTGGAGTTGCGGCTGAGACCCGGCCAGTCTCCTCATCAACGATTAGATCGTCCAGCTCTAAGTAACCTTTGCCGTGGCTTTTCACCAGTGATTCATCCTCGTACAAGGTCACTGATAGGTCGGTCGGCCTCTTGCTTGACTGTTTCCACCTCCCTGAGCTCGATGCTTGGCTTGGATTTGTTCTTGATTTGCTTCGGCCGGACGTGTTGTAGCCCTCGATGGCTGTGTTGACCACTCCCTTGAGCACGACGCGGAGTACGGGTATCGACATGGCTACGATCGCCATAGCTGCTTCTGCTGATGCCCAGATGATGGAGTTGTACGAGTCGTCTGCTTCTGTCAATAATGATCATGACGAGACCTCGAGCAGCCTTACAAGATGTATCCAGCACGGCCAATTTCTCAATATAGTGGGCTCTGACGATAGCCACGGCTCCCGCACTTCAGTCGTGTCAGTACAAATCTAAAGACGAGCAAAAGGGAAACCTACAAGACACCCAGGCTCATAGCCAGACCAACTCCTATCTTTTCTGCGGTACGCATCTGAACGTTCCAGAGAATTTTCCAGGGTAGCAAGGCAAGAGACACATCCATCAGTGCAGACCATACTAAGGATCAAGTCAGTTCCATACTCCTAGAGAATGTGCAACGAACGTCGTACTCACCGGCTTGGAAGTTCCCATATCTTACAGAGGGCCTCTTGTCAACACACGTGCCAGGGAGGATATCGAGAAAGGTCTTAGCAATGGGCTTGCATTGTGTCCAGGGGACGACAGCGGCTGGGATTGCAAACACCGCCAGTGTTGTGATAGCAAAGCACACGTAATATCTAGTCCAACCGCTGGTCAATCGGAGCAAGGTGACTCCAAAGGAAATCTTGCTCAGTGTGATCGCGATAATGGATACCGTGAGCTCGGAAGCACCATAGTATATCATGGTATTGAAATGTGACAGGTTGACTACGCGAAGAGTTAGAGACTGTGCACTCCATAAGGCCTTTATGGCAATGTCGTACCGTCGAGCGCATGCTTTCCGTAACCTAGATTGATGGCGAGTTGGTTCAGAATAACCTGAACAAGGAGCAATGTCTGCAATCCGTGAGTCTCACGTGTGTATGTCGGTTAATCTTTACTTACCCAGCTGAGCCCAAGCAAAAGGTCATCAATCCATAGTCTCCTTTGACTTTTCTGGATAATAAGCCTCACAATCAGAAAGGCCCCAGAAACCCCAACAAGGCACCATGTCGCAATGCTCATCAACGGCCCGTTATCTTCAGCTGGGTTGCTCTTCAAGTTCTCGATCTGAGTCGACATTTTGGATGTTTGAAGACAGGGATGGATTGAAAGAAAGTGAAAGATCCCAGTCTTCCGGACGACTTCAACTTGTCAGTGAAGGCGAAGGAATGCCCCAGCTCATAAGGACTAGTCTTGAACGTGAGATAAGGATAAGTTGTATATGTAACGGCAAGGCGGGTAATGCCATGTTTGGTCTAAGTTAGAGGGCCAGCTAGTGCCTGATGACAATGTCCTTACAAACACTGATCGTCCGGGCAGCAACTGCCCGAGACAGTTGTGAAATTCCGCCTCGTCTCGAATGCCTAATTCGTGATCATGTTCCTAAACATGCATCTACGTTACTTCGCTGCTGCATGGTGAATCACAGATGGGCATGTCTGCTGTCAACCCAAACTTTCGGTTTTTTTTTGAGGCAGACCGCACACACGTTATGACACTTCCCAGATAGATTCCAACGCAACGTCCTAGAAATGTTCGTTACGAGGTCTATCAGTTGACTCTGTTTTAGGAGAAAACTCGTTCTAGCGGCAGGTCTGGAGTGGGAAGCCATGCCGATTTTCGTTGTCGTCTTAGTGTAGACGTTTCATTAAAACGATTATAGACCAAGAATATATGGGTACCGTGTCGCCGGCAAACGTGGTAGTTCCCCTCTACTAGTTGTTCACGGGAAGCGTAATAATTTATTTCCTACCTAGGTAGAATGTAGAATTAGACGCGAAAGACGTTTGAGGGTCTTTGCTTGTTGGAGTGAACAACGGGCTGTGGGGAGATCATCCTTATGCATTCGAAGGTTTAGATCGCGCGCTAACAACGGGTTTGTGAAACCCGGATGGCTTAACCCTGGCAGAACAGATACAGCGAATCGCACCATGCTTCCTGCTTCTAGCGTAGAGTCACGGAACTTTGTAGCCGCAAGCTACGGTAATTTAGCTACTGTCCATCATCGTCTGAAGATCACCCGCTCGCCATTCTTACTGTGTTGAGATTGGTGCCATGGAAGGATCTGGGCAGCCAAGTTCGGCATTTCCACGATAGCGCATAGCTATTGAGAACGAAGCTAAATGCTCAAGACGAACATGACTCAGTTTTTTCCAGAAAGCTTCTTGGCTGGAGTTGTTCCCTATTATTGGTCTTTGTGGGAAAACGAAGAGACACTTTCTAGGAATGGGAATAGGAGGTGATCTTTTGGATTATACTACCTACCTTGTGGGGTGTCTGAAATCCAAAAAGCATCAAGTCTCGAATAAGTGATGTACTTTTACCAGACGTCTCGTAAAGGTATAAGAGAGGTCGTAAACAGGACTTGAACCCGGAGGTGCATGTGCAGGGACGCCAAAAACTGAGAGTAGCAGATAGAATGTAAGTATGAATGCATGAATAGCAATCCCTGTGAATGGGGTGGAATGACGAGAACCACTCCAAACATGACGTCTGTAAGCTAACCTTTTTTGGTACCGCCATGTCTTCCAAGGTTTGGTGGCCTTGTGGCTTTGATATGGCCGTTTTATCTCCGGAGTTCCATTTTGCGGCTGAGATAGTATTTGCCAGTGCCACACACGCATATAAATCGCGCATGTTGCCACCAGGGCTCTCAGACCTCCGTCCTCAACCTCTTCTGCTGTGCTTCCGATACATCCTCGCTCGATTTCCTCTTCTGAAAACCTGCGCCCTGTTTCTTCTTTCTCATTCCTTCTAATATCCTGAGGATCTGCTGCTCCTTCACCGCTGTCTTCTGCTTTGCCGCCGAGACGTCCTTGTTGCTCTGCTTGACCTTGGCCTTCAAATTCTTTACCTCGTCCTTGAGTTCCTCTACCTCGTCCTTGAGTTCCTCTACCTCGTCCTTGAGTTCCCCTACCTCGTCTTTGACTGCCTCCATCTTGTCCTCAAGTTCATCCACCTTGCCCCTACTCTTCTTCAAGTCGTTACTACGGCCGGAAAGATCTATTTTCAACGCCTCGATACGCCTCTCTGCAGTGTCGGCTCTTTTTCTGGCTTCTGAAATTTGTTTCCTGGTCTTTTCAAGTTCTGTTTCCAGATCCACCACTCTAGTGTAAGGAATCATGTCTGTGTCTTTATCTGAATCATCAAGCATCTTCATGATCTCATCAACAGCTGCATCCGGAGAGACACATTTGGTAGCCTCGTCGTTGGTGTGGTCATTGGTAGTCGCATTCTGATTAAGTGTCTTTTGTTTCGTAGTCGGTCTCACAAGCCTCATCTGATTCTTCCATTCTTCGAGCTCTTCAGGTGTTATATGCGGATAATCTCGTAGTTGGTTATGACGATCGTAATTGAATGGATAGTAGAGGAAGAGGTTCGTCAAATGCTGGCTTGTTCGACTGGGTCTACTGGGTGAACCTTGAAGACGCTTGAAACTCTTAATGAGGGTCTGATCATATGCCAAATACTTCGGAGGAACTGTGGGTCGATATTCCGCTGTAACGGCATCGCGTATCAATGGCCATGTGCGAGGATTATCTTCTTCATAGTTTGGAATGGCTCCTGTAATATCATATTGCAAGGAGTAAACCTCCTAGGGAAAGTCTCTGTCCCAGTTTACACGAGGTACTATGTTTTTGTTACTCATCTTGTAGGGTGTGGGGTAGAGGATTGCAGAAATTGTTGTTGAGCTTCGCACGAGTCGTAGTTGAGGCAAGTGTGTAGTATGGGCTGGTCATCAGTATCTTTATACTAAGGTCCGGTCACGTAAAGCTAATGCAGTGATCTTGGTGTCGCCAACGTCCTTCACCTCGACGGCCAAAGTGAGGTGCAGTGAGATATCACACCTACGCAAGATGCATATTTCGACAACTATCGGAACACATATCTACACATGAATCACCCCAACGACCTCACCAACTGAACTACCCATAGTCCTCGAAATCGCCACCCTCTAACCCATATCCGTAATCCATGATGCCACACCCTCGGCCCGATTAGTATCCTGCGTCCTCCCACCTGCGGCGCTTCCCTCACCGATCAACGCCTCTCGCTTCACGAATGGCACGGCACAGACGCCGCAGACCGCAGCGAGGAAATGGCCCCAATAACTGCCCATATACCCACCCATGCAGGTCCGTTGGCCAACAAGTCTCCACAACGTGTCTTTCGGACAGGCATGTCATATCGGTGAAACGGATGCATGAGGGTCCCGCGGGCGCTTCCCGACGCGAGCGCACTTCGTGCCGGGGATGCATATGCAGGTACGTTATACTTGCATGTGCGACATCGACGACATCTGTGGAACGGATATATCAGGAGTGAAGAGCGACAGAGATGGCGAGAAGGTGGCAGACGAGGTCTATCAGATTTATTGTATCATTACTAAATACTGAATTGATTCTTCACATAGCTGTGAAAAGATCCCCTAAAACGCCCCAAAATCTACTTGTAATGCAAACCCATCGTAAAAGATGAGGGGTATCGAAGAAACAAGCCGGTGATCTGTTGCCTTGGGACTTCATACATGAGTTCAACATCCATACGAACAGTCTTGCTCTTGCGTTGGAACGCTGATACGTGAGACGACAGCGTGTAGCGGGGAGGAAGAAGTCAGTCGTGATGGTGTCGTTAGGTTTCGTCGTTGTCAAAATGTCGTGAATGCAGGAAAATTGATAACAGCGCCCAAAGGTTCCGACATTTGAATGATGCGATATTCGAATGTTTGAAACTTTAGACGCGTCATGACCATGAATGTAAAATAGTGAAGGGTTACGATGCCAGACGTATTGCCTTTGCAGACTGCGACAAGCCCTCTGAAGAGCGGTGTGCGGGTGCGTTGGTCACGGTGCTGGCTATCATGTCGACAAGACCTATCTAAGCCTTCTGCAGAGGCTTCTTGACTGCACCCTTGCTGGAGGTGCGAGAAGGGGTCTTGGGAGATTTTGCCAGAGACTTTGGTGCGCGAGCCTTAGCCAGGGCCTTCTTGGGAGAAGCAGTCTTGCCAGGGAGCTTGGGGAGAAACTCGATCGAAGGAACCTGGTCAGTCTCCTTATCCTCAAGCATCTGGAGGATGATATCGACAATCTTCTGAACTTGATCATGGCTCTTGTCAGCACCGACATACTGGTCCAGCTCACGGAGGACGTCAATGGGCGCCTCGAAGTGCTTGCCTTCCTTGGGCTGGACGCTCTTCGCCGCGGCCAAGGGTCCTCTGGATGCAGCGACTTGACGGGAGTATGAGTTGAGGCGGGCCTCCTCGGACTTCTTGAACGCGATGTCGTATGTGGTGCCCGGGAACTCCTTCTCAATCGTATCGAACTGGCGGAGGATGAGCTGAACCTTGCGGATCTGCCACTTCTTTTTGTTGTAAGTCGCACGCTGGTAGTGCTTGCGACAGAAGAGGGGCCAGTCGGTGACGTCGCGGGTGCATGCTTTGTTGCGGCCGAAGTGATCGGAGATGACCTTGCGCGATCTAGATTTGAGTCAGTGTATATCTCATACAGTCCGTAAATATGGATTACTAACAGGTCCTTGGTGTACTGGCCGGTCATGCAGCGCGTGTGCTCGTCATTCATACAGGTGAACTCGCGCTGATCGTCGGGTACATCCTCGCCATCATCCAGGTTTTCGTCACCAGAAGCTTCAGGCTCTTCCCTCTATCAAACGAATATCGGTCAACTTACTGCTTCAATAGTGATGTGATGACTTTTCATGGTGTGAAGGAATGAGAAGAAACAGAGTCATCAGTACTTACAGGTGCGGTCACGACGGTGTCGGGAGTATCCACGATGGGCGACGAAGTCTCTTCTTCTGTTGACTGTGCAGGTGGTGTAGAAGGCGGCGCAGGTACAAGCTTGGAAGTGCCATCAGGAGCATCGATAGGACCAGTGACGAAGTCTAACGCCATGGTATTGCGGATCTTGTCGGCTTGAGTGACCTCAGTTGTAAGGGAAGCGCCTGAGACATCATCGATATTGGTCTTGGGGTCGGTGGACATGTTGAGCGAGTCCGGGGGTAAATGTTTTATCAAATAGAGAAGAACACCAGTTGGAATAGAGTTGACTGCACTGAATCTCACAATAGTACGGTTATGGAGAAGAAAGTCTCGAGAGAGGTGAGCGAAAGATTTTATACGCAGTACAGCGGCGGTCCAAGTGCGATGGGCCGACGAAAAGTGAAGGTGACTCTGGAATGACACATTCTCCGCTGTTTGATCGCTACCACCTGATGGATCTTCCCGTCACCTTGGATCACGAATGGGCCATCGTCCTTGATTCACATTACCGTCGCACAATGCGACGCACTGCGGCCCGAGAGCACTAGAGCTCCACCGAACGAACATCTGCCTGGCAGCTTGAGCCAATGGCGAACCCGTGAGCTCACGATAGTCGACCAGATGCCCTGCCAAGAGACCCGTTTGCTCATACTTGACCAATGCCACCCTCGAGCCGCGTGTTACATTCCCTGCGTGAAGGCCCACGTAGGCCAACACTTGTATATTAACGACGGAATGGATGGGTAGCTGATGAAACGATCGCTGTAAAAGACAGCCTGAGGGACGAGTTGGCCTTGAGCTGTGGCACAGAGGGAGCTGGGTGAGCCCAGAAAAGGCTCGCGGAATGCCCTCATGGTACATACGGGGGCCAGTTACTGGTGAGAGAAAATTGTTTCAGTAATTTGAAGTAGGGGCAGCTGGAGTAAGGAAAGTGATGGAATGAAATGGAGTGAATGAAGTCATGCAAATACGAGCTGGAAGCTAGAAACCAAGCATCGAGACGTGACACAGGAAAGCAAGTACAATTGACTCAAACGACATGATTCATGTGAACGCATAGCCCCCCGTACTGATTGTCAAGCGACGTAGCCGCGATAGTGTACGTCCAGAGATCCAGTGTTGACGATCCCGGCGTTGGTACGTACCAACAGTTCGCATTCCTGTTCCCTGTGAATGGAGCTCCTTCTGGAAGGGCAGACATAGAAGAGCTTCCACGCCGTACCCTAAGACGTTAGTTTTGCGTGAGTGTACTTATTGTTTAGATATCGACAAGTCCGATACGTCGCAGGAAGCTGTGCGGCGCTTGTCTGGTGGACTGGCGAGCAAATGTCCTCACGAACCAACCAATCCAGAGTGTTCCGCTTTGATATACATGTCGGCATACCGTACAAATATGAGGCTCGAAACGGCAATCTCTCCACTGCTCCCCTCGGACCGAAGCAGTCTACTACGCCACAAAGAACTAGCAGGGACCTATGGGCGCATTCCGAGCGGCTATGGCATGGTCTACGATTGGCTTATATTCCCGTAATTATAATCTCAAAGGTTTTAGTTTCTCTATCTTTCTGAGACTCGTACTTTTGAGAGAATGGGGCACGAGTTGTAGCTCGTGGCCAGGGTGTTCGTGGGGCTGTATACCTGCAATTTCACTCGCTGGGTTTCCTCTGAAGTACACTTCCTGATTAAGTGCAAAGCATTGAGTCTACACGTAGTGAATCATAGAGTGAGATGTGCAATCTGGAACGACATGGGATGGACGTTTGCCAGAGGGCTTTCCAGTTGGGAGTTAGCCGACCATATTATGTATATACAAGAACCCTGTACATCCAACACGACGGGCGCGTAGATCAGAGTGACAATGAAAAAGAGATAGTCGTACGCGTCCAACATAAGCGTGGCAGTTGGGCAAGGGGACGGATAAAGTGGACGAGGATGATGGAGGAGTGAGGCTTGGCGGCGGCTTAGTCACTATCGGGCAAGCTGCCGCCGATAACCGGAAAACGAAAACACGTGCGCATTCCGTCAACAGTGTTTAGCGTCTTTCGCGCCTGTAGCGTCTTGCGGCAGTGAGGAGCTCCTGTTCTGCGCATCGTCACCAAACCCAAACGGCAAATCGCTGGAAGCGCCAGCAAACCCCTGTTTATCGCTTGAGATGCGCTCACACGTCATTCCTACCACGCAACTTCTTTCTAACCACTCGATCCTGGGCTGAGCGCGTTCGCGGCCACTTTCCTCGCCTTGCTACCCACAGAGCGCCCTCTCAGCCACCATGCCCCCGACCACAGGCACAAGAACCTCTACGAGGCAGGGGCGGGCTACGGTCCGACCTACCAACTACTATGCGCGCACCTTTGCCGGCCGCCTCAACGCGAGCGGGATGGAGCAGACGCCCGAAGCTTCCAGCAGCGCGCCCGGCTTCCTGCCCGCCCTCACCCACTTTAGCGGCGCCGTCGATGCGTTCCCAAAGGAGATAATTAAGCATTTTTCCATGTTCAAGGAAGTCGAGGCCAAACTCCATGACCCGGAGCAGATGCTCAAGGAGCTGCTCGACGACATCGCCCGGCAGCCCGTCACTACAAAGGCCCAGCTGGCTGCTATAGAACAGGCCTCAGTAGCGTCCGAGGCCAACGCCAACGTAAGCTCCAGGAAGCGCATAGCAGTATCGGAAACTCACAATTGCCAGCTCAATCCCGACAATATGTCTCCCGAAGAACGTTCGGCCATGACCAAGCGCCAGCTCTTCTATCGCCTCCGCATGATTATCGCGAACACGCTGCCCATACTCGATGAAAAGCTCGTAGTGCTCCAGGGCGCCAAAGCCACCAAAGACAAGGGCCTCACGCGCATGCACCACTCCTTCGCCCAGCTCGACGGCGAGATCAGCGACGAAGCGCGATACGGCAGCCTTACACACTGGGCATATGCGGACAAAGAGGAGAAGAAAAAGGGCGGACCATCGCACGAGCGCCAGAGGCGCGAGGTGGCTGCGGCGAATAACCTGGCCGCGGCCGCTCAACATGTCCATGACGTCGATTCAATTGCGGCCAAGAGCGAGGCCAGACGTGAGGCCATGCAGGCGAACAAGCGCAGTCGACACCACCAGGTTGACTCCGACTTCGACGACAGACCAGCCAAGAGACCGCAGAAGAAGAAGCCCTTGCCTGCAGAGACAGCAGCGCCAGACAACAGAAACCTTGGGTTGGGCATTTCAAGCAACGGCACAGGTCCTCATGGCAAGCGGAAGAAAACTGAAAAGGCCCTCGCCGCAGCGGCAGCGGCGGCACCGGCAGCCCCGCCCATGGAGCGATCACTGAGCAGTGCTCTGAAAGCAACTAGCAACGGCGTACGGGGTGGTTCAAGCCCACGGGGAACGCCAGGTCCAGAGAACGGCGCAGCAAAACGCAAACCTCGTGCCGCACCCGTGGCTGCGCAACGCAAGAACCCGCTTCCCCCGTACTCGCCCCCTATGGCTTCGTCACCCCTTGCTGCCAACTTCCCCGTCAACAAAGCAATTGCCGGCGCATCGGAACGAACATTGTCCGCCCGTGCACGGAAAAACTCCACAGCCAACTCGGTGGCGTCAATCAAGGACCAAGAGGCTACAGCTGCAGGCCGCCCGTCATCCTCGCACTCTGCGCAACAAGCCGCTACCAGCAATGCCATTACAGAGCTGGAACAGGCTGCTGGCGTTGTGCGAGACAATGCTTCGGCAAAGGGCGCGTCCACTCCAAAGGAGAGTACGGAGATCCCACCGCCCTTTGATACAGCCAACATGAAGGTAGAAGACTTGGGACAGCCGGAGCCAGAGAGCATGGACATTGACGCTCCCGCACCGACATCTGCCGCCGTGAGATCCGGTCGGAACTCCAAGAATACGACACCTGTTGTCGGCGCGTTTGCGGAGACACCCATGGCGCGAAGTCGCAGCAGCCGCAACGTGAACAATGGAAATTCAAACTCCACCACGTCGTCAGAGAACAACAGCACGACGGGGGCCGGATCAAAACGAGGCAACAAGAAGAACACGCAATCGACCACCGCTACTGCTTCTCCCGCCCTGAAGCCCACGCCGAACGTAAAATCGAACCCTCCATCTTCCGCTGCCAGCTCCGTCGCACAAGAACAAGACTACCAAGAGGCCGAGGCGGAGGCCGAACCAGAGGCCGAATCCGAGGAAGATGGCGACGAGCCGCGATACTGCTATTGTAACGAAGTTTCCTACGGGAACATGATTGCCTGCGACAACGACGACTGCCCCCGCGAGTGGTTTCACCTTGGCTGTGTGAACCTTGACAAACCGCCCACTGGCAGAACGAAATGGTTCTGCAGTGACGATTGCAAGGAGACGTACAATAAGACCAAGGCGAAGGGGGGCCGTCCAGGCAGTAGTAGACAATAGGAATTAGGAAGGAGTTCAAGGCGTTCTGGGACGGGTCCAGCGGCGGCTGGGTCTAGGCAAGGCCCGAAGGGTAAGGGCAAGGCTAGGTTAAATCTCTGGGATGGCTGGAATGCTCTGTAGCAGCGTTCCAGCCGCGGTCTGCGGCTTTCTTTGAATTCCTTGTATAGGTTTCTCGGCGTTTCTACTAGGCTTGGTTACGCGGCGCATCTCTTTTTATGACTACGAAGTCTAGTGATATCCGCTCTGGAGGACACTGGCGTTTTGCATCGTCTGGCATATGGCATCGAGAAGCACATTCTTTTGTCTTTTCTGTCAATGTTACTGTATATGGACTTGCGTTGGCTCTACTTAACAGAGTACGTATATCAACAGCGAAGTATTCGCAGACATTTGAACGTTTTCTTGTAAAAACTCTACAGCGAACTAAGCTCGATTGAACTGCCTTTGGTTATTTCCATTGAGAGGTCGGTATTCGCTAGGCTGGGGTTTTGGTGATGCTGTGTCACATGGTTATTGCGAGCTTCAAGGTTGTCGCGGCTTTCATACATGCTACGCGGCAGCGGTACGATAGCCGTCAGCAGCCGTCAGCCTCAGAAATGCCCCTTGCAGATCCCTTTCGGCTTAGAGTGGGCGTCATCGTCATTGGCCAGATACATCTGGACCCTGAAACGCTAACTACGATTGATGATGCGCAGCATACTCACCGCTCGAACACGCGACACGAGCGCCTTGAGCACCATATTCTAACGACAACTATCTCTCAGGCTGATACAAGTGTGATATAGATTCGAAAATCATCATGGCGCCCACAGACCACCCATCAGCGGAAGAGCTGCTTATATGCGAGCCAGAAGGTGGCGCGCCGAATGCCCCGCCAGACCTACGTTTCTTACACTACAATGATGTTTACCACGTTGAAGCAGGGTCAAGAGAGCCTGTTGGCGGATATGCGAGGTTTCAAACTCTCGTCAATTACTATAGGGACGATGAGAGGTTCAAGGACCAACCAAAGCTTCTGACTTTCTTCTCGGGTGATGCGTTCAACCCGAGCATTGAGAGTAGTATCACAAAGGGTCAGTGAGCCGGATCGCCACAGCTTATGCAAGTAGACTGACGACTACTACCAGGAAGCCACATGGTCCCTGTACTAAATAACATTGGCACAGACGTTTCTTGCGTAGGAGTATGTACATCGTAGTTTACAGAGACCGAGCCCAACTAACGCTTACACAGAACCACGACCTCGACTTTGGTGTAAAGCAGTATCGCTACCTCACAGCCAAATGCAAATTCCCATGGCTCCTTGCGAACGTTCACGACCCAGCCCTCGGCGATGGTGTCCCCCTCGGAAACGCGAAGAAGACGGTCATGCTCACGGCATCCAACGGCATCAAAGTCGGCGTCATCGGACTCGCAGAGCGTGAGTGGCTCGACACAATCAATGCGCTACCACCGGACATCATATACAAGAGTGCCTCCGAGACTGCGAAGGAACTCATACCAGGTCTGAAGGAACAGGGCGCAGAGATAATCGTTTGCGTGTCGCATCAGCGAGAGCCAAATGACAACAAGCTGGCGAAGCAAGTTGGAGGCGGATTGATTGATATAATCTTGGGTGGGCATGATCACTACTACTCATACAATCTTATCAACGGCACCCAAGTACTACGGTCAGGCACAGATTTCAAACAACTGTCTCACGTTGAGGCATGGCGGAAGCCAGAGGGCAAAGGGTGGGACTTCAAGATCATACGGAGAGACATTGTCAGCAGCATAACCCAAGATCCCCAGGCCATGGCGCTGGTAGAAGAACAGACACGGGAGATTAGGAAGCGATTAGACAAACCTATCGGATATACCGCCGCACCACTCGACGCCCGATTCACAACCGTACGAACAAGAGAGTCGAACATTGGAAACTTTGTCTGCGATCTCATGAGGTACTACTACTCAGCCGAGTGCTGTATCATGGCAGCCGGAACGATACGCGGAGATCAAATCTACCCTCCTGGCTTGTTGAAGCTCAGGGATCTTGTCAACTGCTTCCCGTTTGAAGATCCGGTCGTGGTACTGAAGGTCACCGGCAAAGCAATTCGAGAAGCATTAGAAAACGGCGTCAGCAATTATCCGGCACTAGAAGGAAGATTCCCACAAGTATCGAACATTACCTTTGAAGCGGACTACTCGAAACCACCACATTCGCGGGTTTCCAATGTAACGATTGGAGAGGAACCTGTAGATGAGGAGCGAGAGTACGTACTCGCTACGAGAGGATACATGGGCCGTGGAAAAGGTACGTCACGTCCAGTGCACAAAGAGTTTCCACTAATCAACTACACCTAGACGGCTACACATCCCTCCTCATCGAAGAAGAAGGCGGAGTTGCCAAAGAGCTCGTCTCGGAAGAAAACGGCGTTCTCATCTCCACCATCCTCCGCCAATACTTCATGTCTCTCAAAGTACTAGGCAAATGGAAACGCTGGGGCAAATCCATGAACACGAAATTCACGTCGATTCAAACGAATCTGCAGAAGAACCACGGTCACGCTTTTCACGACCCATCTCCTACATCACCCACGCAGTCTCATGGTAACAATGCTCCTCCGGTGGATCAAGGCTTGAGCAGAGTCCTGGGTGATTCGAACAAACGCGACGACAGCCCGAACGACACCACCGACTCGGAAGACCCGGACGTCGATGAAGATGAAGACGACGGACCGATGTATGATAGCCGTGTACCAATACAGTTCACAGACAAGCAGACGGAGATGATTAGAAGGGTTATGAGGAAGTGGTGGCGCGTTGCTGGTCTCAAGGGCAATCCTAAGCTGTGTGATGAGCTTGGTGGTGGTGAGTTTCAGGTTAATTGGACAAAGGCTATTGCGCCGAGGTTGGAGGGGAGGATCAGGGAGGTTGGAGCTGCAGTTAATATTGAAGCATAGTGTTGAGGTTTATGATATATGTACGACCTTTTGCGTTGCTGAGTCCCGTTCAAATGGCTATCGCTAGACTCTGGAAGAACAACTTACAGTCTGTTTCTTCATGACCGCCTTCTCCCTTTCTTCTCGTGTTTTGTAATGGTATTGCAGTCTTCAAGGCTGAGGTGGACGATGGCCTAGATGTTCTTCGATGGTTCGATCGCATGCTTATCCGATTGTGCAATCACTTGCTTTTTATTGTAGACCCACAACTGATATGATTAATCGCCGGAGCGTAAATCTGTCGGATAATATGGTAGATAGTGGCTATGGCTCCGGAAAACAATACATGGTACAGTCCGTATTTGTCGTGTAGGTCAGATTCAACTCTGAACGCCATTATTTTGGCGATACAGGCTCTAGGAGCTGAGATGCGCCGTTGGGGGTGTTCCATGCTTGTGCCAGCCATTGTTGGCTGTAGCTGTTCTACTCTGGTATCTTCCTAGCTCTTGTGTGTTTCATTTCTCGACTTACATGTATGACCCATCATCTATTGCCTACGGATCTCACCTGTGGACTGTTCACAAAGTATGCGCACAGGCTGTTCATTGTATGCGCTGCGATTGGTAAGCTACCAGAATGGTTCAGAGTTATCGAGCGTTGCCCACTCTTCTCCGCCATCGCTCCAGTCACGCCAAACATCTTTCGATACTATATCCAACCGACCATGGTGAAGCCTTGCAAAATCCACGTTGAAGGGGTGTGGCTTAAACGTCTTCCCTTGACTAGTAGCTAGGTTCATCAAGTCGAGTTTGTACATGCGAACTATCCTTGAAGCAGCGCGAACAAACAACTCTTTCTCCAAATCGTCCTCTAATATCTCGTTGGTGAGCATCATGACCATGTGCGATATCTTGGGAAAGTCGCGTAGGACGTTTGATAGGCTGCCGTCTCTGAATCCGTTCAGTATAACTTTTGTAACAGCGACCTTCTGCAGCTCTTGGGGATTGCAGCCCGTTGCATGGCTGAAGTGAGCCAGTAGTCCTACTTCGGGCGAGTCGTCGTAATGCTTAATACGCCTCCCTTCTAGCTGTAGCAAGAGGATGTCGGTATCGATGCGGAAGTAGAATTCGCCACAACCAGTATCCGAATTACTGCACGGTACCTGCAGGATATGGTTTGCTTTCATAGCCTGGTACCGAGCTTCTTCGCGCGACTCATGACATAGATTTACCGTCACTGGGGCAGGACTAGGGGAGTATCGCGGGCAAAAGTGTGTTTCGTCATGATCCTCGTCGTGCGGTTTAGTCTCCAGTGCTACCAAGCGAGGCGGCTCGTTGTAGTACGCTAGCGCCCATATCTGAAGGCGTAGTTCTTTTGGCAGCAAATGCATAGACATGTCTGGAGGATGAATTGGGGAGGATGTTGTGGAGGCCAAGAACCTTCCCCATGCAGACGTCACGTGCAGTCGCGATCCCCAACATTAGTTTGACTTTCCGCCATTACGAGGCCTACCCACTCCGCTCCACTTGGCGCGGATGCCTAACTTTATACCGGTAACCATCCCACGTCCGAACCAACTCATCACACATTACGCATGGTCATTTCCGATGCCCGCACCTCCGAGATGCAGAATACAGTGTCTCGAAGCTTCTCTACCTAAACCTTTCCAAAGTCCAGAACACCCGTGGTCCTCCGCAGGTGTTGCAGAATGATCGTCAAATGACATGCTGATTTTATGTTTGACATCGGATTTACGTGGTCGCCGCGCTGAATGCCATACATGGCTTCATCCTATTCATCGATCTGCGCAGGTAGAAATCGCTATGTGGCACAGCAAAACAACGAGTCATTGGCGAAGTTAGATGACCTGTACTGACATCGTGTCAGCTCGTCAGCACCAGGGAGAGCTTCATCGACAGCTTGGCACAATGGATGTTCGTTGGTCGGTGAAGAAGTTGTGAAATCCGGGGGAAAGCCGACGAGCTATATTGTCAATAATGTGAGCACGGAGCGCCATGTTGTGATGCCGCTGGCAGCTTCATGAGGCTCTGGGTGGATTCGATGCGGGTGTCCCACAACCCCTTGGAGTCCCACTGGAGAAATACCGACGGCGTCTTCTTATGTGGATCTGTTGGACGCGCGACCCGCTGTATGTGAAGTCACACTGACATGCGCGCGGATGCTTTGCCGGGCAAGGAGTCTAGTTTTGCTAGCATTTGGCCTGATCGACGATGTGAAGACCGATCAACGGCTTGTCTCTCGAGCTCCGGAGGAGGCTGAAAGATTTGAGGCTCCATGTGACAAGGCTGGGCATCTTTGCTGTCGTGTTGTTGGTCGTGGAGCTGTTCCCCTCCCCCGCTTTAAAGGCAAAACCACCCCTCTTCGAGCGTCATACCGCAGACACCGCATAGGAAAGGCACGCGCTCGGATTCCGTTGCCGATTAAACACCGAAACCTTCGTCCTTCTACGATGTTCCTGTTGCGATTCTCCTTTTACCACCTCGACTTCAAATCCTAAGTTATACACACTCAAACTCGGTGTTCTTTGTCGCGAAGCACTTTCGCAGCACACCCTCGGAACAGCACCATCGGCATTTGCGCTTTGCTGCGGCACCGCACACCCGCACTCAACTCGTCGCAGTTAAGACATCCTTCAGCGCGGACACCGCAAAGAAGTTAATCGGTTATCAGACCTGATTGGCTTGGTTAGAAATTTTTCCGTACCGTCGCAATACCCAGTACCATTCTTGGTACCGAATTTTAGAAAGCACCACTTCGCGACCAACAGCTGCACCCGTCGCGCACATTCTACGATTCCGACCGCGGACGGAAGACATCTTCCGTATAAATACAACGGGTTAGGTACACCCGTGGACCAGAACAGCACATCTTTCAGCATGGCGACACAAGACGTTTCCGCACACGACACTGAGCCGCAGCCAGTCCCCAAAGAGGAAATTGCAGAAGAGCCACAGTCGAATTTGGACGAGGGGAAACTGAGGCAGTTCTTTATTGGTTCCATAGACCAAGGAACTACAAGTACTCGCTTCATTATTTTCGACGGCCTTGGTGAGCCCGTAGCTCAACATCAGATCGAGTTCAACCAGCAATATCCTCAGTCAGGGTCAGTACAGGCGAAATCTTATAATTTGACGTGAATTAATTGGCGCAGATGGCATGAACACGACCCGAAAGAGATCATTCATTCGGTAGAACAATGCATTGACCGGGCTACGAATATCTTCCTCGACAACGGCCATGAAATCGAAGACATCAAGGCTGTCGGTATCACCAACCAGCGTGAAACAATAGTCGTTTGGGACACCAATACTGGTGAGCCATTATGTAATGCGATCGCTTGGTAAGTAAAATGTGTGTACGAGATTTAATGGGCAGCGACTGACTTTGTGAATCCAGGCCAGATACCAGAACCAAGGGATTGGTCCGTGAGTTGAAGAATAAGGAGGGTGCTGATGACATACGCAATATGTGTGGACTTCCTTTATCGACCTACCCATCATCAGTCAAGCTCCGGTGGCTGCTTGACCACAACGAAGACGTTCGCAAGGCATACGACGAAGAGCGACTATCCTTTGGAACCATCGACACATGGATATTATACAACCTGAACGGAGGACCAGAACAAAACATTCACGTGACAGACACTACCAATGCGTCTAGAACCATGTTCATGAACCTGTATGTCAACCTCCGCTCGCTTCAAATTAAGCGACAAAGTCGACTAATGCAACTACAGGCACACCGTTCAGTACGATGACAAGCTCTTGGATTTCTTCGGAATCGATAAAAACAAGGTCAAGCTGCCAAAAATTGTGCCGTCTTCATCGCGAGACGACTTCGGATTCTTGCGTTCCGGCATACTGGAAGGTGTTCGAATTGCAGGGTGCTTGGGTGATCAATCGTCAGCTTTGGTCGGTCAACAAGGTTTTACGCCCGGTTCTGCGAAGAACACGTACGGAACTGGTTGCTTCTTGCTTTACAACGTTGGTGAAAAGCCTGTCATTTCTTCGCACGGGCTTCTGGCTACTGTTGCGTACGACTTTGGCGGAAAGCGGAAACCCGTATATGCACTCGAAGGCAGTATTGCGGTTGCGGGTAGTGGCGTCAAGTTCCTCATGAACAACATGGGCTTCATCACACATTCACACAAGATTAGTGATCTTGCGGCTTCTGTGGAAGACAACGGTGGATGTGTCTTCGTAACAGCCTTCAGTGGTCTCTTCGCTCCTTACTGGATCGACGATGCTAAGGGCACCATTTTTGGTATCACGCAATTTACTGAGCGGGGACATATCGCTCGCGCAACCTTAGAAGCGACCTGCTTCCAGACAAGGGCAATTCTAGACGCCATGGAGCTGGACAGTGGCCACAAGCTTAACATGCTTGCAGTCGATGGTGGAATGAGTAACTCAAACTTGTGCATGCAGGTAAGTGAAGGCATCCGGCGATACCGATGAAGTGGCACTGAAATAACCATTTGGAACAGACTCAAGCAAACATTATCGGCATTCCCGTCGACCGTCCCGCCATGCGCGAAACTACAGCTTTGGGCGCAGCCATCGCAGCTGGCTTTGCTGTCGACGTTTGGAAAGAGTTTGACGAACTAAAGGAGATTAACCAGAAAGATCGCATGGTCTTCAAGCCAAATGTCGACAAGGAGGTGGGCGAGAAGATGTTTAAGAAGTGGGGAAGGGTAAGTAACTTCCACAAACCAACTGCGAGAATGGCATGTGCTAACTTTGATTTTTTATTTAGGCCGTCGAGATGTGTCGTGGTTGGTTAGATGCTGGAGAAGCCAACGGAGAGTTCTCATGATCTACGCGTATTATGGAGATTTATATATCCGCAACCGACGTGATGCTTTCCTTGGCATCCTCGTATGAAGAGTAATGAACTAGTTCAAACGAACGCATCTTCGCGTAGGATTCTGGTGATCGGTAAGCGTTCGGGCCAGTGCCACCCGATATCCCCTGTCATACCGAATCATGTTGTGGAGAGGTTGTCAGCATATAGAACATATGGAACCTAGTCCTATAGCCACACTGCTGCCTCTGGCGCTACCACCGGATTGGCAACGCGGGGGAGAGACGGTTCGAGGTATAGTCTCTGATCAGCTAGTTCGCCGTTCTGGTGGCATTAAATGCTAACATCCATGTCTTTTGTTCAGCCTGAATGGCTTGTGATGCTCGCCAACGAATAGTCGATTACCTACACAACTTGTAGAATTTCGGACACAAGAGCCAATGATATGTTCGTAATATTCTCAACAAAGTGGTAGGCTTGGTGCCTTGTTTAAGCCACTGGCATATCAAGACTCCCAGAACGCAGGTACTGCGGACTGCTGGTTCCGCTTCCTGTTGAGGTTGCATTAACGCGGAGGCTGTGGCATCCAATATATTCTGGCCCACAATTGGAGGACACGGAGCTATACCACACTTGGGCGGTGCGAAGACCTTTTGATATACTTCAAAGCTCCGGAATGAGAGATGCATCATGCACGTGTATGCGGTCATGGTCCGTTGTAACGAAGTTCCTTGCGTTGAGGGGGCTGTCGGGTCGGCTTCTCAGAAGCTCGCGTCTGAAGCGAGCGCCAGCCGGTGAACTTTTCGATCAGCGAAGGATTGTATACAAGGCCTGCTCAGTCCAGGGGACGCGATCCTGGTACGTTCTGCATGCGTTTGCATCTTTGGTCGCCATAAGAGAAGGCACCCTGCATTGGTCTCGTCCCCGAGAAGCGGCAGAATCCCATATTTTTCATAGGTCGGTATATTCCCAGTCTCGGCAGGTCTTTTCCTTGCCGAACAGCAGCCACGTCTCTTATGGTTGTAGATTACCGTGCGTTGTTCGAGCCGACATACACTTGGCAGCCACTTAGTGCTCCACCGCCCGGGCAGCACGGTCTAGACAGTCTTACCGCGGGTGAAGACTACCAGATTCCTGGTCGATGTGTATGCACATGCACACGTTTCTCAGAAATCCCATGCGATGGCATTGGTCGCTGTTCTTTAATGCAGTCATGGCACAGCGACCTGGACATGGGCCGTCAATGCGGGAAGCCTACCTAGGTAACGTACGAGGTGCTAGAGCTGTGCCGTTCACATATAGCAGGTGTCGGTGTAGAGTAGCATGTGTGGAAAGAGTTGCGAACTTGAGAGTCAGTGTTGCGGCAGGTAGAAACCTCGATCACATGGCGTCATGCGGACGAAACGGACCCCGATAAAACCAGCATTGGGTTCATCAGACGCTCCGAAACTCAAACGCAACCCCGAATCTGCCCTGCTGACAATGTACCTCGAACGTTATGCTCACGAAATCAGAAAGTGAGGCCGGCGACCAGGACCCCACCAGCAGCCACTAAAGGTGGGATCATGTCGC